ATGACTTGATGGTTGATTGTGACTCAAGTCCCGGCCACAGTGTCAAAATACTTCTCTCAAGCCGACCTAATTTCCTACCCTCGTCCCACGGACAGAAGCAAAAGATAGGCAGAGTCTCGTAACTAACAGCAGCACCCCTTGGGTCTGATGATCCTTTTTTTTTTTTACTTCATTTTTTCAATTAGAAACACGACGGCAACAGTTCTGTTGGATGAATGGCAGGACTGTCTCGGGTGCTCCCTGATGACACATGCAGATACACTAGATATGCGGTGGCCTGACAACTAGCAACCTGGCAAGGCAAGCAATTAGGAAATGTAGATCTAGTAGGGGCTGCACGCCTAGTTCGCGGTTGTATGGAATGCAAAGAAAGGGCCCAAGACTTGTGGACTGTCCTAGCCGAAACACTCAAAAAAAAAAAAAAGCCCCCTATTATGTCGCATCAAGGAAGGAGGGAGCATGACCCTGCCTGCTTGATATGGTAGCATAAAATGGGAGGCAGGGCTGTAGGTGTAGGAGACATTTGTCCGGCTCTCAGAGGCTATGGGGGGGTTTCTAAATCGGGCTACGGAAACAGCATAGTAAGGCGCGAGCGCGAGGCAGGGCGGCGCGTATAATCGGTCATCGTGGTCTCTGTTGGTTCTCGTTTGCTCTGCTGCATTGGCATTACTAGCGGGGTTTTATATTATTATTATTTTTTCGCCACGGTAAAATACATGGCGCCTGGCCCTAGTTGATGGCGTGGGCATAAGAAGAGAGAGAGAGAGAGAGAGAGAGAGAGAGAGAGAGAGAGAGAGAGAGAGAGAGAGAGAGAGAGAGAGAGAGAGAGAGAGAGAGAGAGAGAGAGAGAGAGAGAGAGAGAGAGAGAGAGAAAGAGACTAGAAGCCTTGGGGTTCTTTTTTTTTCTTCGTCCCCAATACTAGACATCGAGGCTGAGTGACGGTGACCCGCAGATATCAAAGTGCTAGCTAGCAGGCATTCCCAGATGTTAAGTGTAGTATAGGTAACAATCAATTGGCAAAACCGAATGTTGAGCATTCTGTGCTTTGGATGCTTGAGAGTTTCTAGTTGATGTGGATGATTGTTAGCTCGCTCCATAAGGGCCCTTGAGGTTGTTGCTCCTTCAATCCATCTGGGTTTCCCTATCCCATTGGTGCCTATCTCCCCTATTTGCCAGCAGACTCGAGCAGAAATATTGCCACTTTTTACAAGGTTCTTCATGTATGCCCAGATGTTCTGGAATGCAAGATACTGTGGTTCTTACTGGGCTTGGTTTCTCGGCTGTTGAGGCTTGTTTCTGCATAGCCGACTACGCTTTTGTGGGTTTTTTGTTTTTTCTTTTTGTTTTTTCACCTAGTTGCTCAGTTGTCTTCGGCCTCGCGAGATACAAACGTCCGATGACCACAAGACCATCGTTTGCAGAACGAGTTTAGTTATGAATAATAAGATAAACCCAAAAAGGGGTGGGACGAAAAAAGGGGGGTTTTAGCACGTATGGGAAGCCGCCTGAGGGAAGTGAGTCTATGGCGGCTCGGAGGAGACAGATCAAAAAGGACGAGGAAGCTGGTGGGCGCGGACTCTATCCGCCTGTTCGACGGCACGCTCGCCTTTCAGGCAAAGGCAGTTTGTTGATGCCCAGTTCACTGCCAATGATGTGTCCTTTGACTGGATATAGTAACCACTAGTTCCACGGGCCACGAGCTCACGTAGTTGAACTAGTGCTTCTTGACGACGACGACGGACGACTACGGGTCTCGTCCGGCCAAGGCCGAAAAAGGACGTTCACCTATTCATCAGGCCGTAATACTCACCGCTTGTCGGCTCCCTTTTCCTTCCTCGGGCATACATCGTGGCCACGTAGAAGAAGGCCTGCGTGCATTTCAAGGACAACTCCTTTCGCCCATCGCTTCGCGACGGAGAGCGCGTCAAGGCCCCCCCCTCCCCCTCCGATGTCCCACCGGGGACCCAGTTTGCCCAGTGAAAATTCTGCAATCCAAGAAGACACGCTGTTCGTAAAAGTCGGTAAAGAGGAAGAAGAGAAAGGCGAGTGAGCCTGCAGAGATGGGTTTTACGCCAAATTCATGGTTTATATAGAGAAAGTATCAAAAATGTTTGACCAGCCTGGGGGTCGAACCCAGAATCTCCTGATATCCGAATTGGCTGTGATTTCAATCGTAGTCAGACGCCTTGCCATTGGGCCAACCGGCCACTTTTTCCTGTGAGTGGATGTTGCTGTTCCTGCCGCTGGTTGCGGATCTTTGGCGAAGGGTCCGCGGGCGTGTGCATGTTGTGGGCTCCTGGATGTGGGTGCTGGCGATGGGGAACTGAGGGAGTTGGGTCGCGTGGGATGGGAACGGAGAATATTGGATCACGGGAATGTGGACTTGTTGGAGACAACGTTGGTTTAGACTTTCGGTTTGTGGGTTGTGGCTTGCTTGTTTGGTGGGTTGTGCTCGGATTTAGCCATGGTGTTTCCAATGTTGGTAGTATACGTCGCGATGGGCCGCGCGGTTCTCGACGTCGAGTCTTTTGCCGAACCTTTGGCTCTCTAAAGCTCAAAACGCGATGACGGTTAATTTTGAGATTATCTACCAGAGGCAACCTGTATGCCCTGCGATGCGAGGCTGACAGGGGCGTTCATCTGGTTCGATGAAAACTCTTACGACTGGCTTTCGTAGAGGCGGACCTGGTTTTCCACGGGGGTTTTTGACTTATTTTTTCGGAAACCTAAGTTTGATTTCGGCGCGTTAGATAGTGGTAGTCCGCCAGCGGAGCATAGATGTATACGTGTTTTCGAGGAGGCCGGTGTCATGTTCGACCGTGGCTACCTTGATGGTCCGTTATGGCGAGAACTTCCTAAAATCAAAGAGCCATGGCCAAGGATAAAAGCTGCAGTCCACAACTTCTTAAAGTAATCTGTTAATCGGCTAATGCTCCGGTGGCTTCTTGAAGTCTATCTGTCGATGTTTTCTTATATGATGGTCGTTGATAGAGGCGTCGTTTGTCTGTAGGCTTGTCTTGACGACACTACCGGTTCGACGCCCTCCTTTGTGAAAACAGGGCATGATCCCGAGTTTCAGGTGACGAAGAACCTCGGGATTTGAACTGATGTTAAGCAAACGACAACCACATCTAATTTCAAAGCCACTTGTTCCTAAAAGCATGCTCGCCATGGCTTACTAGCTGTCTCCCACCTGGAGACGTCACTTGGTCTTGCGAGTGTGAGGAACAGCTAGAAATATAAACATACCAGACACCAGACCTAGAGCATCGGAGGATAAACTGTGAACTTTGCGAACGCATAAGCGTCCAAGAGTACGAGGCAGAAGTTGCGTATATGCCTACAGGATTATCAAAAACTTTATGACCAAGAGCCTTGGGGGCAGCTATGAAGCATAGAAACCATGTCATCCTCAAAAAAAAAACACCGGAAATCAAAGACTGAATTCAAAGTACTGATGCTGTATATGTACATATATCCATCTGCGTGTGAATTTTAAATATTCGAAGGGACGCGGTAATTGAGGTGTTCCCAGGTAGTGGGGGTTGTATTTTACTCCCAGGTGTGCCTGGCCGCGCTGCTTGCACGGTAGATGTAAAGAGAACTACAGATTCCGTAGTTAGAGTACGAATGACTGCAGCTTTTTGTGAGTTTATTTCTCTCTGGGCAGCTCCTCTTCACGAACCCCTCTCAGGGCAGTAGGTGTACAATCAAACAGGATGTGTGACGGCTTCAGGCGGTCTATTCTTCACTGACACATAGTTCCAGCGCGTCACTGACTAAGAAGAAACCCAAGCGTAGTACTTAGAAACTCCCGTATGGAATGTGAAAGTAATACCATAAGGCGGACGATGGCTGTTTGTGAAGGACAGGACTGCTTCGCGGTAGCTGGGGTCTCACTCGATCCTGATAACATGTTGGGCATTGAAAGAACCATGGCTCCAACTAATTTCTAATACAAGCTACAAGAGAAAATACACATGATTTCAAAAGACACTATGCATGATGCTTGCGCAGGTTTACAGTTGACTTTTCAGCGTTGGCTGCACGAGTTGGTTACATGACAACATCCGTGAACTCGATGAAGAACCAAACTTGAGTGATGCCGATGACAAACTGAACGTGACAATGACAGCAAATATATTTTTGTTTAAGTACTTGAAAATAACTTGTGGGATTCTTCTATGGGTTTCGGAGTTTTGCAACCCAACTCCCAAAGTTGCGCCTGACATGTATTCCAGCCATTTCTCAGAACAACCGAAAGAGAACACTAACCGACAATAATGTGTCCAACAAGAGGGTATGAAGTATTCAATGCATTGTCTCAAGACTTTTACCAGTGGAAGAACTATAGAATCTTTCTGCCGTGTGTTTCGATGGCAAGGAAAACTAGGTACGTGTCCAATGGTATCGTCATATCACAACCGTTGAGTTCCTCACAACTCTCATGAGTTACTTTCTGCACGTTAACCAAAACCCCCCATTAAAATTCAAAAGCATCAGTTCTATGTCAAAGGACCATCAAGCGGTAATTCAAAGAGATCGACTATCTAGCACCCAGGAAAAGCGTCAGCTCGATGTCTTTTGTGCAGGTTGCTTAGTTAGGAATGAAAGTGTAAAAGAAACATTTTTTGACCAACATATCTACAACCTGAACAAAGCGCCGAGTATCTCAGGAGAATTAAGTCATCCATCTCATAAAGTCATGAAGTTGCAAGCTTTAGAGTGACCATAACAGTTCAACTGAAGCTTGGTGGTCTACGTGCTGGGCAGCACAAGCCACACATACTCAGCTGGCTCCCAGCAACCAGCCACACACGTGGCTGTAGACCGACCCTAGTCGAATGGGTCCACCCGGCAGGTCGTTCACCCGCAGCCGCCGAAAATCCTCGTCTGATTGGCCAAAGGCTCACCCAAATTTCTGACCAGGCGAAATAGTTCGAGCTCTCAGAAAGGGATTCATGATCTCTCCCCAGCAGCCTTGTTGACCTCAATTGCGATGGCGAACCCCAATGCACTGCGGCCATCGATTGGCCGCGTACTGCGGCTGCAGGAGACTCGGCAATGGCTGCCCACGTCCTCAACATCGGCGTCTATCGCACAACCGCGAATCGCAACATCATCCTTCTCAAGCTCCGCCGCCCGCTCGGTGCGCAAGACCCGCGACAACAACCGCCTGAGAGGTGTCACGACCATGAGGAGATCAGGCCCTCGAGAGCCTCTTTCCGTCTCCTGGGAGGAGCTGCCTAAACCTGCGAACTACAAGCGTACGGTTGGAGTGGACCCAAACCACGGTCTTTGGGACTTTTTCTACGACAAGAAGCTGGTGAACACGCCCAGCGAGGATCAGGCCCACGGCCGGGCTTGGATGGTAGAGGAGCTGCGAAAGAAGAGCTGGGACGATCTTCATGCCTTGTGGTATGTCTGCTTGAAGGAGAGAAACCGCATTTCGACTACCAGCCGTGAGCGCACGAGGCGCCAGCTTGGATTTGGATCATACGAGGCCAACGAGAGAGATGAGACGGTTCGTATGCCCGTTTAACTGTCCAGGCCGACAGCTACTGACTAAAGTATGACAGGTACTCAAGACGATGAAGGCGATCAAGCATGTTTTGACTGAGCGATTCTATGTCTGGGAGGATGCACGCGTTATCGCGGAGAATGACCCCGAGATCGACCTGACTAACGAGAGCGGTGCTTACACGCCTCTTAACGGACATCAGTATGCGGAACCAGTTGTCGAGGAGCAGGTGGCCGAGGAACAGGTTGCTGAGGAGCATGTGGCTGAGGAGAGCTTGCCCGCAGAGAAAGAAGCGGCAGCTGAGGAGGTGCCCGCTGAACAGAAGAAAGAGCCGGCGGCTGAGGCCGAGACCAAGACTGAAGACAAGCCGGTGCAAGTTGAGGAGAAGATTGTCAAGAAGCCCGAGCAGGCGAAGAAGGCTGAGGACAAGGCTGACACGAAGCCTGTGGACATTCCAGTCCCGCGGATCTGAGAGGCCGGTCAATTGTAATCTCTCCCGCCCGACAGACGGGTTGACCACAGGAGAGCTATGTAACAGTGTATCCAAACATGTATAGAATCTTGTACGATATATCACTTTGTGCAAGGCGAATTATCGAGTCGCCGTCCAAAAAGAAAATCATTCCACTACAAGCTTGGCTAGCGCCAATTTGGTTCCGGGAATTGAGCACCCAAGCCGAAATGTTAGTCTGACGAGGTTGATTCAGAGCCCGGCTAAGCATTCCATCGCATAAGGTGAGCAACAAAGGACCACTATGCGCGCCAGTACATGAGACTGCTCGCATAATGTTACAGAACCGGGACGGGGAAGGGCGGGACAAGGACTGGTGCCCCGGCAGCGAAACAAACCCAATCATCTCACCGCCGAGTACCTCGCCAGGGAAACTAAATGAAGGTACTATGTAAGGTACCTGACCGCCTACAACATATTAGCCTCAGGCTTTGGCTGGGCCAGTCGCTAGACACTATTAGCGGTGAGCCACAAAGCGGAGAGGGGGAGAGCGGGCCTATCCATTAATGGGAACACACTGGAGCCGGACAGGCCCAGGCAAGCACAGGCACTGGCCCAGTGACACACTTGACACTGAACCCCTCCACGAGCATCTGCTCTAGGTGGCTCTCGCCCCCCACCCAATCCTTCCTTTGCTGCATTTTTGGTCCCATGTCTCCTACAACACCGCAACTACTTCTCCAGACGTAAACTTAACTCGACTTTTCCTTTCCCTCCTTTTTTGCCAACACCGACTAATCTACCTCCGCCCCCCTCGAAGCTCGCGCAAACATGGATGAGATTGCAAAGGAATACGATGTCATCGTGCTGGGCACTGGTAAGTGACGTTACGCCGTCCTCCCGTCTTCTGTTGCCCCGCATCATCGCTCTGGCGTGTGGGGTTCCGTTTGCTCGGAGGAGCTTCCTGGCTAACTCGTCGCCTCACCGTCTCTGTACGCAGGCCTGACTGAGTGCATCCTCTCTGGCGTTCTCAGTGTCAAGGGCAAGAAGGTCCTTCATATCGATCGCAACGATCACTACGGCGGGTGAGTGGCTCCTTTTACCCCATGATCGCAATTTCCCCTCCTGCCCCAAATGAGCACGGGCTAACGTAGAGCAGTGAGGCAGCTTCCGTGAACCTCGAGACGGTAATCCACCATCCACAAACCTGCCAGCCTTTCACCGGTCCGAGTTCTAACTGTCTTTATTGCAGCTCTTCAAGAAGTATGGAAACTACAACAAGGGCGAGGAGCCCTGGACGAAGTACGGTCGCCTGAATGACTGGAACATCGACCTCGTCCCCAAGTTCCTCATGTCGTCCGGCGAGCTGACCAACATCCTCGTCTCGACCGATGTCACACGATACCTCGAATTTAAGCAGGTTGCTGGCAGCTACGTCCAGCAAGGTCAGGGCCCCAAGGCTACTGTTGCCAAGGTTCCGTCCGATGCCGGCGAGGCTCTGCGATCGCCCTTGATGGGCATCTTTGAGAAGCGTCGCATGAAGAGCTTCATCGAGTGGATTGGCACCTTCGACCGCAAGGACACCGCAACACACAAGGGTGAGTCGCCCACGAAGAGTGTTTCAATATCTAGAAGGCTTGAGCTAACACGCCTCAGGACTTGACATCAACAACTGCGCTATGAAGGAGGTCTACGACAAGTTCGGCCTGGAGACCGGCACTCGTGACTTCATCGGCCACGCCATGGCCCTCTTCACCACCGATGACTACCTTACCAAGCCCGGTGGCGCTCCTGAGGCTATCGAGCGCATCCGTCTCTATGGAACCTCTGTTGCCCGCTACGGCAAGTCTCCTTACATCTACCCTCTTTACGGTCTCGGCGAGCTCCCCCAGGGCTTCGCCCGTCTGTCCGCTATTTACGGTGGTACCTACATGCTTAACACCAACGTCGATGAGGTGACGTACGAGGGCGGCAAGGCCGTTGGTATTAAGGCCACCATGACCGGTGTCGAAGAGATGAAGTTCGAGACCAAGGCCAAGATGATCCTTGGTGACCCCAGCTACTTCCCCGGCAAGGTCAAGGTTGTTGGCCAGGTCCTTCGTGCTATTTGCGTGCTGAAGCACCCTCTGGCGGGCACCAACGACAGCGACTCTGCCCAGCTCATCATTCCCCAGTCTCAGATCGGCCGCAAGAACGGTATGTGTTGCATTTGAGTTTTAGGGAGGAAGGGCGTGAACTGACACGCGCCAGATATTTACATCGCCTGCGTTTCTTCTGCGCATAACGTGTGCCCCAAGGGCTACTGGATTGCCATCGTCTCGACCATTGCCGAGACCAATGCCAACCACCACGTTGAGCTCCAGCCCGGTTTGGAGCGTCTCGGAAAGGTCGAGGAGCAGTTCATGGTAAGTAATCCAAATTTACTTGGAAAATGTAAATATCACTAACGGCTTGTTAGGGTGCTCCTATCCCCATCTACGAGCCCACCGACGACGGCCGCAACGACAACGTCTTCATTTCCAAGAGCTACGACGCCAGCAGCCACTTCGAGAGCACGACCGACGATGTCAAGGACATCTACCGCCGTGCCACCGGCGAGGAGCTCGTGGTTGAGGGCCTTAGGGATGGTCTGCAGGTCGCGGATGAGCAGTAAAGCTAGCGGCAGCGTACGCGGTATGGTTGATATGGGCGTGGGAGGAAACACAGTCTGGGAGGCATTGAGCCCTCACACATCATAACAGACGACAGTCAGGAGTAGATATATATCTCGGACGTAAACATCGGAGGATGGTGCTCTTCAAAGTTATTCAAGCTACATGCCAAACAGTTAACACACTTTGCTCGATATCGCTTGGTGATACTGGTGTCATTTTTGTAATGCAACTTTTTTTTTTTCACAGTAGTTCTCGCACAGCTCTGTAGATCGACTCAGTCTCTTAGTTCTCTCATCTAGGGTATTCAACGGCCCCGTAAATCATGACTTGCTTTAGCGTTTGACCGCCGATGCAGACACACAGATACACGAAGTGAGAGCAGCGGCCGCCTCTTTTTGAATGTTCATACCTCAAAAAAAAGAAAGGCAGTCCCCCCACCATCACTTCTCTCCTTCGTCCTTTCCCCAGCGTTCTTTTAGGGTCCTACATGTCGAAATAAAACAAACCAAACGCCCCCAAGGCCAAAAAAAGCGAAACAAGTAGCGTATTTACTTTTATTCTTCCTTTCAAGGAGCGCAAACGATGCCGCCACGAAAACCTTGTTGTGTGTTTTGTTTCGTCACCCACATTACCGTTTCCAACTCTTGTTTTTTTTTTTTAACGTCTCTGCGTCTTGCCCATGCCACGCTTGCCAGCGACCTTTAAGAAATGAGTTAGTCATCATCATTATGAAAATAATTGGGATTTCAGGTAAACATACCAAGTGCCTTTGCAGAGAAACCGTGGTGTGACGATCGGCCTCACCCTGTCTCGCGAATCTGTTCATCTTCTTCTGGCCAAGCTTAGCCAGGCGCTCAGCCTTGGAGCGAGCAGCATCGTCCTGAACACCGTCCTCACGTCTGTTGGTGGCGGCCTGGCTTCTGGCTCTGCTGCGAGAGCGAAGACGCTCTCTAGGAGTGCCATCAACGTCCATGGCGTCGACGTCCTCAGTGCCGGCGCGGGATCTGCCGGCGGAGCGGCCGCGAGGACGAGACTGGGAGCGGGCACGGTTGACGATGTCGGTAGTGTCGACACCGAGCTGGTCGAGGGCGTCGTCCATCTGGGACAGAGGCACACGCATCGACTTGCGGGGGATGATGGCCTGGTTCTTGAGACGCTTCTTCATCTTGGCCTCGTTGCGGATGAGGGCCTGCTTCTCGCGGATAATCTCGGCCTTGGAGAGGATGTCGGCCTCCTCCTCGTCGTCGAGCTCCTCGTCCGAGTCGTAGTAGCCCTCCTTCTCGAGACGCTCTTCCTCCTCCTCGAGCGCCTGCAGCTTGGCATCGATGTCCGGGTCGATGAAGTCGTAGACGTTCTTACCGTCGAACACCTCAGGAATCTTGTCATACTTCCACTCAGGGTTCTTGAGGAGCCAGTCAGCGCGCATGTCGACGCTGAAGACACCGGCGCCGCCGTTCTCGACCTCGATGTCCTTGGCGAGCTTCCGACGCTCGGGATCTTCCTTGTCGTACTTCTTGAGGTTCTTGATGCCCTCGGGGATGAAAGTCTCGCGGGTCTGGCCGTTCATAGGCTGAGCAACGTGAATGCGAGCCATGACATCGGCAAGACGGCCACCGATGGCGCCGCTGGCATTGGTGCCGGCGTTGAGCTTCTGAGAGACGCGCTCGGCGATGAGGCGCTCGCAGACGGTGTTCTTGACCTGCTGGACGCCCTCCTGAGTGTTGCAGGAAAGCTGGAGCATCTCAACCTCGCCGGACTTGAGGAGGTTCTGGAGCTTCTCCTGGGTCTCGGCGTCAAGATCCTCGGGCTTGACAACGTCGATCTTGTTGACGACGATGAAGACGATCTTGTTCTGGAACAGGGGCTTGATGCTCTGGAACAGGTTGATCTGGGCCTGGATGGAGTAGCCGCACTGCTCACTGAGATCCATAAAGTAAAGAATAGCAGATCGCAAGTGGGCAATAGCGGTAACGGACTGCATCTCAATGGTGTTCCTACAACAGTCAATATACCGTTTGTAGCTGGCATGCTTTGGCAGGCCACTTACATCTCCTCAAGAGGGTGGTCGAGGATACCAGGGGTATCAATGCACTGGAAACGGAGGTACTTGTAGTCGAAGTGACCGCAGAACAGCGACTTGGTCGTGAAAGCGTATGGCTGACTGCAGAACGGTCCCATGTCAGTCAACATTATCAGATGTAACTAGCTTGGCTGCAACATACACGTCGACGTCGGCTCTGGATACGGAGCGCAGGAAAGAACTCTTTCCGACATTAGGGAAACCAGTGATGAGCAAGGTTCTGGTGTTAGGGTCGATTGAGGGAAGACGTCCAAGATCTATTCGAGGTCAGTACATCTATTGGCGTCGCAAGGTATCACTCCTGCCACTCACGCTGTCGGACCTGATCGAGATACACCAGAGGATCTTTGAGGCGCTTAATGAGGGTGGCCATGCGACCAAGCGCGGCGCGCTTCAGCTGCTTGCACTGGAACAGCGACTGGCCATACTTCAAGAGACGGACATCTGCAAACAAACACAATCAGTCTTCCAATCCCACCAAGCGAACAGTGATGGACGTTTTGAACGCACAGTCTCTAGAGATAGTCTCAATAAGATGCTTCGCAGTCGAGAGCTGACCAAGGGCAATCTTGAAGTGGTCGGCATCGTAGAGGGTGTTGATAAGATCCTTGTGGAAGGGGTGGATATCGTTCAAGCGAGGGAACGACTCGATAATCAGGCCGAGCTTCTCGCTGATGGTCTCCTGGGTGAACTTGACCTTGCGAGTGTAGAAGCCACGAATTCTGGAGATCTTGAAGCCGGAGCGGATCTGGGTAGGCAGGCGACGCTGAGTCCTCGAGAGAACAATGTCCAGGAACTCTTGCGAGTTGGGGACCGGGGGAAGATCCTTCCACCTGCAAACAAATCATGATTAGTATACTGCTTTCGCCTTTTTCGAGGGCAGAGGGTATGGAATTATCATACTGAGTCTTCATGTTGGGCGGCTGGGGTCTGCGCTGAAAAATGAAGCAGTCCTCAGAGTTGCGATCGGTCAAGGTGCCCGTCGGTGAACTGGATGAGGCACTGGACGGACGGGGGGCGAGGACTCAAAAAAATTTCCTGCGGTGAAGGGAAGAGCGGGACCTCGCTTATCTTATCGGATACGGATAAAGTGGCGCCGCATGTCACCCTTGGCCCAGCGCTTCTTCTCCTAATAACTTTGCGCTTCACAACAGACCACGCAAGAGAAACGAGATTGCCTGAAATAGATGACCTTCACAAGTAATCGTGGAAATTTCTCTCCAAGGTTCAAACTCAACGTTTATAGTTTGTTCAATATGACGGATGTATCCTTCTTGCCATTGCGAAAGTGCATGCAAACTCCCTCAGGATACCTCCGCCTTATCGTCCAAGTAAACTTTATCGTAAAAAAATTCACAGAGAGTGGGGCGCATTCCGCGGGGCAGGCCGTCGATGGAGGGGCAACCCGAGAACCCTCAATGTTGAAATTTATATGTCTTCCAGCAGCCCGCATTCAGCCTAGGTGAACGAACCGATTGCACCCCCTCACATAGCCCGCTACCAAGACAACACTTCTACAATGGCCTCCCAGCTCGCCCCTTACAAGCAGGACTTCCTGAAAGCCGCCATTTCTGGCGGCGTCCTGAAGTTCGGCTCCTTCGAGCTCAAGTCGAAGCGCATCTCTCCCTACTTCTTCAACGCCGGCGACTTCTACCGCGCCGACCTTCTCCGCGCCATCTCTGTTGCTTACGCCAACACCGTCATCGAGGCCCGCAAGACTACTGGACTCGAGTTTGACATCGTCTTCGGCCCGGCCTACAAGGGCATCCCCCTCGCGACCTCTACCACCGACAAGCTCGCCGAGCTCGACCCTGAGCACTACTCCCAGACCTGCTACTCCTTCGATCGCAAGGAGGCCAAGGACCATGGCGAGGGCGGCAACATTGTCGGTGCGCCCCTCAAGGGCAAGAAGGTCCTGATTGTCGACGATGTCATCACCGCTGGCACCGCTAAGCGGGAGGCTATTGCCAAGATCCGCCAGGAGGGAGGTGAAGTTGTTGGAATCGTTGTCGCTCTCGACCGCATGGAGAAGCTGCCCGCTGCCGACGGCGACGACAGCAAGCCTGGCCCCAGCGCCATGGGTGAGATTAAGAAGGAATACGGCATCCCCATTTTCGCTATTCTCACCCTCGACGATATCATTGAGGGCGCCAAGAGCTTCGCTTCCGCCGACGACATTAAGCGCACTGAGGAGTACCGTGCCAAGTACAAGGCCAGCGATTAAATGAAGAGCGTCTGGGGTTAAAAGAGTGAAAGCTGGGGTTTTTCTATATAAAAAAGCTATGTTCAGTGTGCCCACGTCATGATAGCGGCTGAAAGGGCTTCGGGAGCTCTTATAGGGATGGAATACCTCATAGGGCTTGCCAGGCCAGGCGCATAGGATGATACAAGTGATTTGGAAGCGACATGTTGACCATATATACTGATGTGAAACATGGCCAGCGAGGGACGGTGAATCTGAATCAATTATCTCGCCTGCTGTTTGGAGGCAAGATATTCTATGTTACATCCTCTTGCCCACAAACTGCAATCATTTCTATAGGAGTTTCCCACCTCCAAATAACGTTACGCAGTAGTGGGTTAAAAAAAAAGAAAGGCCAGAGGCCAGTAGTCAAGTCAGCAGCTAGCTCATCCTGGAGACCGAAGTATGTATACCCTCCCTAAACATGTACCAAAGGACGCAGACCTTGCTCAATGAAGCTCAACGTGGACGAACCGGCATGATGCCGGAAGCAAGGAAAGTCTATTTACTTGCATGAGCACGGCTCTCATCCGCGACTGATTTGAGAGATTCGGCGCTCTTCTTGGGAGGACCGGCTAGGTCAATTACCTAGAACAACATTTTTAGTCACTTTGTGCGCTTCGAGCGTCTAAATATGGGTGAAATAAAGGCGCCTACCATGTCATTCCAGCCACCCCCCGCGAAAGACGCCTTGCTCTTACCAGCATGCCGAAAACCGAATCGCCGATAGTAACTAACCAAGTACTACAACAACATCTTAGCATGGCCGAAGTACCACATGTCCCTTTCTTTGGGCAAGGCCACTGGGCTGACTTACATCCTGGCAGATCAATGCAACACGATCAGCAATACCCGAATTGTTGATTTGTTGGAGGTAAGACATCATCATGAGCTTGCCCAGGCCGCAGCCCTGAAGTTTAGGTGCAACAGCAAATGAGTGCAGGCAGACAGTGCGGCCCATCACTTGGTGACCAAGGCCCGACGGGTTGGGCGACTCCTGATCGCGCCAGTTGAGAGGGTATCCCATGTCAGCATCCGTAACGACAGGACCGTTGCCGAGAGTCGAGACAACGTGGGCGCACAGGGCAAGAACTGCACCATTGGCACGACCAGTCTCTACCGGGTTGGCAACCGCGAGCGTCTCAAGAGCGAAGTCCTGAGCCTCCTTGGGGACGATGCTACAGAAGATACCAGTGCAGATATCGGAACATGTCGAAAGGCGATACTCAAACTGCAAACGTGTAAGTATGGGTCTGATCATGACATAATCAATGGTTTCATGGCTGCTGGTGATGTCCACGCTAGTCGACAGCAAGGTGCAAAAATCTTGGAGTAGGTAAAACTGAGAAGCTTAAGAAAACACATAACATCCGCCACGACATGATAGTCATATAGAGGCATAAGGGAAGAAAGAAAAAAGGAAGAAAAAAGACCGCAATGTCGGAACCCAAGGCAAGAAGATATGCCCACTCACCTTCTCTCTAGTTGCCCGATGGTTGGGGTTAGGGAAAGCGGCATTCTCGAGAGCGACGCAAGATTCAACACTCGAGGTTGTCAGCGGCTGGATAAGAGGGCTGAAGTGGAAAGGAACAATTTCCTGGACGCGGAGGGGCGTAGGGTTGCGCTTCTGCTTGTGTTCACAGAGACTACGCTGGGCCTCCACGTAACTGTCGTCACCATCATCTGAGTCGTCAATGGCGCACTCCAGCACCTCCACTGGCTTGGCAATAGGAGGGTCCTTCTCTGGCATGATGAATGCGGTATGTGCTGATATGGTTTGTTGTGTATGATGAAGTATTGAGGAAGATGGTATGGAAGTATTAGGATACGGACGACGGAGGAAGTGTTGGGAGGTGGGAGCGCGTTGGTTACACAAGCAAAAGGCCAAGGTAATCAAACTGGAGCCTTTTCTGGGTGAGATTTCCCTTCTTGGGCTGCAAACACCAGATTTGTTTGTAACGAGTTGAGAGCAAGCCCACTTCACCTGACGGCCGAAAAAGGCGAGAGCGGTTGTCAAGCCGAGCGATGACCGATCGGGCGGGTACAGGCACGGAGTGCAGCACAAAGGTCACCGGCCGTTGACTCGGGGCTGATGTTAGGGGGCGGTGGGTGGAAGGACGGGGCCGATGCAATGCCTGAAATCCGGGAACCAGCCGTTACGGGGGGCAATGATGAAAAGTAGGCTACCCAGAGCCGGAGGGGCACAATGCACTGGGATGATGAGAACGGCAATGGATTGTCCGCTGTGAGTGATGAGCTGACCCAAATAAAACAGCAGACGTTCAGCATAGAATATGCAGTTGGAGGAAGACCAGTTGGATTTTCACTGGCCTAGAGGAACGAGAAACTGGAGTTGAATGACCAACCATTGCATATCACACTCCATTGGATACTGTGTTGGCATGATGTGTTTGTCGCGTGACCGAGCTACCCTCGGTGGCACAGTTGTGGCCTGTTCAGTCCCCTGAGTGCTCAAAGCAAGTATTGTCGGGCTCCATTGTTTTCCCACTCTTGATTGAGGTTCCTTGAGTTGTGACGTTAACAGATGACGCTGTGTTTGTGATGTATCTCACTTTGTGTGATCTGGCCCTGGATATTCCTCCTGTAGGGCGGCGCTGATAACAATGGATACCGCTGAATCCGTCCAGCTCATCTCGTACTCCTGAAAGCGCAGGAAGCTGATTGAGGGCTTGCGAGGCTTGCAGGACAGAATAAGAAGGAAAGTAAGGTGGTAGTTTGAGACGTACCTCTACCCCACTCAACGCCAACCTTATGGCTCGGCATGGATAGTATACAAACAAGATGGTCGAAGGAGTAAGGCTCCCCAACCTAAGAACCTTCAGTATCCAATTTGATTAGGCTAACTCATACAATAGGGTGCAGATGCCCCAATCGAAAATGGATGTTTGGGGAAGAAAACAAAAAACAGACCCAATGCTGTTTGCCTGGGTCTGGAATCGTATTCGTAAATTTCATGTTGATTAACCGTAGTGGTGACCGCTGTAGTCAGGTAAAGGTTGATCAAAGCAGTGGACAACCTAGTTGTAAATGTTCACAGAGAAAAAGAAAGGAGATGCAATAGAGGCAACCGAAATGGTCGCGCCCGACGTATATGGGTGGGTGTGTACCTCAGTTGTCTGATCTAACATGCTTGTTGTTCCTTTGCTATGCACTCAGCTGGAGCAACTTCCTCCTATCATGTACTATTATTCCCCGCTTCTACTGGCATTGGAGCTTCTAGAAGATCGGCCCATCGACTTGCGAGCGGTTTTTTTTTTTTTTTTTTTGGCCTGCCAAAGACGCATGATTCTTCTCAATTATTCGTAAAAACAGCTCGAAACCAGGAGGATGGCACCATCGCAGACTTCTCTTTGTTTACGGGTTGCTCCAGTGCGAACAAAAAGGTATCTTTCAGTCCAGAGATTACGACAAATTTTGCTTTTTGGTGGTGTCCTCGAAGATGCTGAGTGACAGCTGCACTAGTTGACTGAAATGGGACAGAGATGCAGCATCAACAGTTGATGCTTGTGCCGGTCCTGCGATCCAGAGTTGCATTGCCCCTCCGCCATACCTTTGCAGATGCAGCAGGCTGGAACGGGCGTGAAGTGGCTGAGGCACTTTTGAACGGCGAGGTGAGAGACCTCTTTGGGCTGGCAAGAGGTACGAATAAGGTTGACTGAGGAGGTCTCTGGAGACTGCAAAACACCACCGAAGAGTAAACGGTGTCTGGTCCAAGGGTTAACCGGAAGACTGAGCCGGGACCCGGACCCTGACCACTAATTTCAAGATGTTCAAGCACAACTACACAGTCCCGATGTCTGCTGAAGCAGTCTCCAACCGTCTGACTCGACCTATAGCTGTCAACAGTGAGACACCGTTGGACACTACCTTGCAGCTTTGGGATCTGATCCTCTATCTCATAAGACCATTTCTTTGTTTGTGATGGATGATCTGCCGGCACTTGTGAATGTCGTTCGATTGGCTTGCACAATGCATCCTCTGCTGAGAATTCTAATACCGTTGCATCTCTCTAGTCGGGTAAGGCGGGGGAGATGGAGGGGACAGCCGACAGGATATGTCATCATCCGCGGAGAAAGGATGAGAAATTGGGCCGGATGTCGCCACTATTTTGGGCAGCCCGAGATGGATACCTGAAGCATAAGGTAGACTTGGGTTGGCTGCTTCAAGTCCCGGAGGACAAGCCTTCTTAGCTGCGTTAGATGGCCGATTTCGAATGACGCATGCCTCAGCAAGTATCGGTTGGCTGACGACCAGTGCCTTATTATAAAGAGTTTGTCTGGTTGAAGAAGGCGCGGCTGGGGATTGACAGATTTTCCCAACTCCGGTCAGGTTTTCCAGGTTTTCGGGGGCTGAAAGCTCTTACTGATTGGGATCTCCGTCATCATTGTACAGAAACCCACAGAAGGAGGTGGTAGGAGATGTCGCCGGCGGTGTTCGATTGGCGGCCCGCTGCAAGAGACCTATCATCTTCCACAGTTGAGGTAAGCTCTGTTGTAAAAATATCCATCAATTGTGGTGTGGGATGTGGTAATGTACACTAGTAATGCGGTAGCTACACACGTATGTATACATCACCTGGAGAAGGGAGAAAGTACGTACCTTGCCTAGTTGCAAGGATGCTTGTACATGCTGAAGGAGGCACGTTGGAACAAACAGTTCTATCCAGTCCGGTGAGACTCCTGCTGCACAACCTTAAGGTATCTCTGTTCCTTACCGAACTGACTTTAATGTCTACGGTTGACTTGGAGAGTCAAGAGCGGTAAATACATGGTTGACGAAGCAATTCCAACATCATTCTTTCGGTTTCTGCTAGCGGTTTCTCACCATCTCAACAGCCAAATCAGTCCCACCCCAACTTTGGTCACCGCAAACGGGGAAACGGGGGTAGTGCACTGCCGTGTCGTGTTTGTTTAGGGGTCCCGACGCTGGCCACTGCGCCCACCTTTCTTACGAAACACTCCAAAGATACCTAACTGGGCCGAGCTCTCTTACCCCAGCCTGAGGAACCTACCCTCTGGCTCCCTTACGTCGACATCCTTACCTTGACCTTGTCCTCACGTCCTCACGTCCTCACGTCCTCACTATTACGACGGTAGGCACCCAATCATCAAGAGACGCATAGCACGCCCGTATCCGATTAAAACCCTTTTTACAAGCTATGCTCTAGCCTTTTTCTTTCTTTTCCACGGTTCCTTTTTTCCAATAGGACGTCACCGCCGTGCTGCCTGAAATTCTACCTGCCCCTCCAAAACACCCCTCCTCCACCCTCCATCGCAGCTCCGGCTCCTTCAAGGTACCTTCGACCTCGCTTTCGGAATCGTGAATGCCTGGCTCGTAATAATAGCCAGTCCCGCACTCTATTCTGTACTAGACGTTCGTCGTTATCTTTTACGTGTCAGCACCACCTTTATATCCCACTTGAACCTCACCAGAAACCCAAGACCAAGCACCGCACATCGCAGGGACAGACGCCCATCATGTAAGCCCCCGGCCAACGAGATGCCATCCGCTCTCGACTGACAGTTCTTGCACCAGGCGCATCACACTAAGCATAACGAACCCCGAGGTTGAGGACCAAGACCTTCTCACTCTGGAGATCTTCCCCGACATGCCCGTTTCCACCCTCCGCGAAGCCATCCAAGCCGAGACTCAGATACCGCCTACGTCTCAGCACCTCTACCACAACGGCCGTCTGATTCAAGATGACACTAAGACTATGGAACAGCTACAAATTGCTGACGGCGAGATGTTGGCACTGCACGTGAGGGATATGCGAGGAAGCACTGGTGTGCCGGATCAGGGCAGGAGAGGACAACAGCGTCGACGGCCTGGCGGCCAAGATCCCGAGCTCATCCGCTTGCAGATCTTGGGTGACCCGAATCTACGTGCAGAGGCTACCCGTCAACAGCCTCAACTTGCCGCTGCTCTCGAAGACCCCCAACGTTTTGCCCAGTTGTTCAACGAGAGCTACGACCGAGAACAGCGCGAGCGCGAGGAGAGACAGAGGGAGATTGCACGCCTCAACGAGGACCCCTTCGATATTGAGGCCCAAGCTAAAATTGAAGAGATGATTCGTCAAGAGAGAGTAATGGAAAACCTGCAAAATGCTATGGAGCATAACCCTGAAGGTACGGATGGACACAAGCTAGTAAATACTACAAGGGCAGCAGCTAATCGTGTGCAGTTTTCGGAAGAGTCCACATGTTGTACGTGGATGTCGAGGTTAATGGTCATAGAGTGAAGGCGTTAGTAGACTCTGGGGCGCAGGCCACAATCATGTCCCCGGCGTGCGCTGAAGCCTGTGGTATCATGCGACTCGTCGACAAGCGATTTGCCGGAGTGGCCCGTGGCGTCGGTACGGCAAACATCATCGGACGTGTGCACTCTGCACAGATCAAGGTTGGCACCATGTTTTTGCCTTGCAGCTTCACGGTCATGGAGGGAAAGCAGGTGGAACTTCTTCTCGGACTCGATATGCTCAAGCGTTACCAAGCCAGCATTGATCTCGCCAAGGACAAGTTGATTATCCAGGGCGAGGAGGTGCCTTTCTTGGGCGAAGCCGAAATTCCGAAGGAAAGTGAAGAAGCCCTGGAAGAGGAGCCAAGGCTGCCCGGGCCTGCTGGGACGACCATCGGTCAACGATCTGGCGTTGTCAGTGGCCCATCAGGTGCGGCAGCTGCACCTCAGGCTCCTACTCAGCAGGGCGGCGCAGCTCCACCGCAGTCTGCTGCCCCGAGTTTCCCCGAGGAGCATGTTTCCCAGTTGATGGCTTTGGGTTTTCCACGAGAGGCGGCCATCAATGCGCTGCAGGCCACGGGCGGTAACGTTGAGTTTGCCGCTGGTCTACTGTTTGGGGCATAAAACGGATATGGAGAGCACGCGAGGAACGCTAAGCTAATCGACGATACGAATGGACAAGAATGTTGAAACTAGATCACGGAGTATTGACAAGGGCAGCACAATGCCCCTCACACCTGCCAGCTGAGGTAGCCGGTTGATATGACGCCGTTTTGGTTGGGACCATTGGCAGCAAGGTAGGTTCTGGGCAAGTGATATTTGGCTGCGAAATGTGTCTGGCCTGCGCATGGGAAAGGCATGATCGGTACACTGGGTAAAGGTCATCATAAACAAGGCTGGGGGTGCAATAACTTAGAGGCGTCTATGTTGTTTTCGCGTTGTGCGACGCTAGCAGCTGGCGTTGATACGGCGAAATGTAAAGCAAATCAGCATGCTGTGAATTTCAAGGATGACACCTGGAGCATTGTTTCCCAGCATGGTTTTTCATGCTATCTCGACGCAGTTGTACATTTTCAGGTGAGCCTACGCGGGCAGGTGTGTCATGACAAGTAGGTGCTTGCGTTTGTCGGCGGATGCCTCTATCACACATATGACTGTAATTTTGCCTTAAGAATCCTTGCCCCCCTAAAATAAATTCAGACACACGTAACTTTTTGATTAATCAAACATGAACACAGTACAAACCAGACTACCGAATCTTGTAAACGCAAGGTTTCAGAATGGTTGTCTCGTCAACTTTGTCGTCCTCGGTATCCCACACAAATCTCTTCTGCTTCTTTTCCTTCTCGACGAAACCAGCTGCCTTGGCAGCAATAAGGCCTTTGCCCTTTGTGGGAACCGCAGCCTTGACGAAGTGCATTCTGACAAACATCTTGTTGGATAGGTCCACGGCGCCTCTGTTGCCCTCGCCTTGGCCTTGCAACACAAATCCACGCTTACGCAGAGCCTCAACGAAGGCTGAAACATCTGTCTCCCCGCGCCGATCCTCATGGCCGTCAACCTCGACGGCAAGAGCCATGCGATCCGCCTCTGTCTCTTCAGGTCCCGCACCAGTACCCTTGCCCTTCTTTACAGCCGCCTGCTTCTTGCGGTTGCCGACGCTGTGAGCGACGGGTGCATTCTTGGCTCTCACAGGCCCGAAACGGGACTTGATCTCCGCAACCCAGAGCTCGCCTTTCCAGTGAAGGATACGATAGGCCTCTTCGATAAAGTCAATCCAATTTGTCCCCATGAGCGCGAGGCAGAAGATGGCGACATCAACGGAACCGTCAGCAAGTGGCAGGTTGGCGATATCGGCCTTGGTGACGTGCTTGGCGGGAGAATGCAGATCGTAGCTGAGGATCTGGAGGCGGAGTTTCTGGGACTCTGGAGCCAACGTTGCGGCGAGACGAGCATCACCGCAGCCCAAGTCTGCGATGATGCAGGTGCCATCAGTACGGGGCAGCGGTAGGGGGCCGTTCGGGTTTCTGGGTGGCATGCCACGTGGGGGGGGACGCTGCTTCGCACGAAGTTTGATGTCGCGGATGTAGCCGTCGACAGGGTTCTCGGGCCAGACCTCAACTTGTCGACGGAAGCCCTCGTGATACTCGGAGAACATTTCTGGGGTGTCCTCGAAAAGCTGGTAGGCCTCGGCCGAAGGGCGGGTGTAGAGCGTCTCGTTGAGGTGACGGAAGCGGGCGGAGACGAGCTTCTGCCTCATCGCGGCCTGCAACGGAGTAAGTTTCGAAGGCGCAGGAGGCACAGGTGGGACGGAAGCGGCGATGGCTGCTGCTGCGTCCTTGACCTTCTTCTTCTTGTCGCCTTTGCTGGCCTCCTCCTTTTGCTCAGCAGGTTGCTCCTCGGCGCCGTCGCTCTGCTTCTCCCGTTGGGATTTGTCCTTCTTCTGCTTGACCTTCTCGTCGGCCTTGAGCGTGCAATCCTGTTCCTTGGCTTGAGAATTCCTTTCCTGCTTTTGCTTCTTGCTGGACTTGGCGGGAGTCTCAGCAGCTTCAGCGTCGGCCTCTGCCTTGGGCTCTCTGCGTTCCTTCTTCTTCGGGGTCTCATCATTTTCACTTCTCCGGCGCTTGCTGCTTCCATCTGCCTTTTCCTTGCCCTCAATTACATTTTCGTAGAGATCGGCAACGTTGGATGATGTAACCTTTTCATCTCTGTTGTTCCTCTTACGCTTCCGCGTCTTGTTCTTCGCAGGGCCATCCTTTTGGCCTCCTTGCGTCTCAGACTTGAGAGCGTCTGCCGCGACGGACCATCCGGGAACTGCGAACATATTGACTCGTTCCTGAGTGTGTGGCGACCGAAACAAATTTGAAGTACACCGAGGTGGTGTGAGAATTGAATGTTCGTGAGTGAGATGTTCACACGCTCAGATCCCACCTCTCACCTAATCTTGGTCGTTGAATTTTTTTTTTTCCCCCAGAGGGTCGGTTATCGCACCCCTGCACGCTGATCGACGCCAGGATGAGAAGGGGAAAGGTGGGTGGGCCGTGCACCCGCCGTCTCCTTCGAACATATGTTGCAGTTGCATCCAATTTCGTCTTGGATTGATTCCTGTAAGCCGAATTCTGCTTCACCACTTCTCAGAGCATCGATATACCTGTGGAACGGCCGTTGCCTATTAATGTTCAACATCAACCTCATACGAGATTTAACATGCTCGATATGTGTACCTTAGATGCGATAAGCGACTTGGTAAAGCAGAAACCCCTATGGCCGAAGGAGTCAAATCATTTTTCCAACGCCTCTTCGTTGGCAGACTCGATTAACAAGCATTTTCCTATGCAAGTTGACGAGAACGATTCCTCAAGGCGACAACGGCGGCTGCCGTAATACAACGGCTTTCCCCCATAGCTTGAATGCACGGATGTCTCGACACAAATGTGAGCACCTACCTTCGCTCCGGTGACAAGCACATTGCCATTCTCAAATCGACTGGATATGGCCTCCGGTCCTCGCATCCTTTACAGACAACACTTATACACCCGCCCTCCTTTTTTACCGACAGCCGAATGATCGCACTATTGGGAAGCCAAGCCGCCAGATGTCTAACTTGAGCCCTGCTTGCCAGTATACCTCAGGAGGGATGCTTCGATTTAAAAGGTAGCCCATGGGATGGGTGGATTTTAATTTGTCCCTTCTGTACCGATACTTCGGATTGCGTTCTTCTTCCAACCCTCAGCGACGCTAACAGCGAAAACCGGTGTTGAGTGCAACAAAGAGAGTTAGTCCAGCACTGGCCAGTCGGCAGATGGTGGCCACTTTTCCTGCTTCTAGAAACTCGACCCGCGCGATGAGAAGACGGAAGCATCGGGACAAATCTATCAGCGAGACCGGAACCCACTAAGTATGTCGAGAAACGTAGCTTGGTTCCAAATTGGCTAAGTCTCTAGTTCACGGATTCCTTGGTCCGAGCAACAGTTCGCTGCAGGCATGCTGGGGAATAGTCTCACAAAGCTCCGTAGGCACGGGAAGGCTCTCTGTCAAACAGGTTTCTGCATGCCGCTAGGCCCATGATGGCAGGCGAAAGGCGAACGGTCAATAGCCTAGTGATTGCCGTATCCTCCGTTCCTCGGCCTCAATTTAGCTAAGAGTTACTGATTGAGTGATATTGGCTCCGTGCCTGGAACCACGGAATCTGTCAACCTGCTGGGTCACAACTGGGTCACCGCCAATCCTCAATGTTATTCAGGACACTGTCATGTCACAACCGCCCACAATATCATTGTATGAAACTGAAAAAACAAAATCACCTTCAAGAAGTCCTGGCTGACACACGACCCACCAGCAGGTGGTTCGGCGAACAGTCGGGTCAATTCCCAGAAGCCCCGACCTTTTGCCCGAAAGTGTGGGCGCGGCGCATAACCGGCCACACGGAACGCCGTCAAATTTGGTGTATTGAGGTGCAATAGGAACTGGAACCTGGGGAATGACAACGTAACAAGAAACAAGACGGCTAGCAGCATCGGGGCACCATGAGTGAGCTTCCAGAGCCGCCCTTTGACTGGGTCCAAGACAAGATGGCTAACAAGGCAAGTGGAAGTAGTAGTCATCTGGCTGCCGACCACATACCATAAGATGCCAGGTAGCTGGTAACATGACACAAGGCGCGGCTTGGCGAGTCTATGTGACTCGGCACCTCAGAAGCCTGCAGGCTGGTTGGCTGGCTTGCGTCTTCGAGGGCGTCTAATTTCGAACATTCAGACCGGCCCTCGGCTTCCAAGACCTCAGTTATCAAGACTCGTAGAGGCTACATGTACACTTGGCCTATGAAGGTTACCGTTCTGGACTTTCAGTCAGATCAGATACCATAAACATCCGGGACAAGTTGCCAAAGTGTTCCTATGCGTTGAGGAGGGTTACAGAGGCACAAAGACGACCAATAATGGCGGGAACAAGCCGTCAAGGGAAAAGGCGGCGATCATGCACGACGATCGGTACATCACCTCCAGTTCAACGCTGCGCGACGTTTGTGTTGCACCGGCTGCCAACCGAACAGTGCTTCGAGCATCCATTGGTGATGCCGACCAAAAAGTCGGAAACGAAAAGACAGGTTGGGTTGATCGTCGGATGGCGCTCGGGATTGTGGAAACAGCAAGATCTCGGCGACGCATCGCTACCAATCTTAATTTGCCCAGTCAAGCTAACATGCTTGGGATGCCCTCTTCTTCCCAACCCTAGTTAGGACGATACGGCCAGGGCATGTTGAGATGCTTGTCCATGCCCATGTTACTGACAACGGGCATGTGATATGGTAGTCAGACCATTATGAACCTTCCATGTGAAGAGCAGTTTTTCCAAGCTGCCGTCGGGGTGTTGTTTCTTAGCATCCCGCTCGCTTCGGCACATGGCAAATTTCCCAGAGCTAGTGGCTGGATGGCATCCCACCTTTGGACGCCACCACTGCACATCACTTTGGGATCGATGGTCTGGTCTCAAGGGAACGATCTGGATACCCCATCATTGACGAGTACCAACCTTGCTGAAGATTAGGTGCTACTCGTGGCTCCTACTTGATATCTTCAACGGCGACCGGGGGGTTCATGTTGGCCGTATCCGTAGGAACTCGCATCTCAATTCAACTCTTTCTCGCCGGACCACATCTTGGTCATTGCTTACCTGACGCAGTAGAGCGTGCTAGGGGTAATGGGCTTAGCCCTGTCAAAAGTCAGAGTCCAGACCTCAGGCTTTCGGATGAAAATCGTGCCCGGCTTTCTTTATTGGCCCATATTGCCTACGACTCTGGCAGTTAACGGGGCCCAATCGCGCTATGGACCTATGGTTCATGTCACCAAAAACCTCATATACCCTTGGCCCGGCTGTCGGGCATGCGAGGTCAAAGTCTGTTGAGCCTTGCCGTTGGATTTTAGAGCTTGGCGGGTTGCCTATTCCCAACCTCCAATTTCCGCGATCAATCAAATTTGCTCTCACTGCCCTACCAGTTTAGGCTCGTGACATCGAATGAGGTGCTCACCGCAACAACTGAGGCTACACGGGGTGTCAACCACACGCGCGCACACACACACACACACACACACGCACATTTAAAAAAAGAATACTTCCCTCAGACGGCTGTTACCTCGAACAATACATAAAGACAAAGTGCTAAGCAATAGCTGACACCAGTTAAGTCCGTGGGGCGAGAAAAGCAACACTTGAGAAGAGGAGACGATAAGTCATTCAGTTCTTGTTAGTGCCATACGCCATGCCACCAACCCCTGTTACTCGGAATATGACAGACCCCTGAAAGAACGGCGTCTCCATATATCCCTTAGTCAGTGGCAGCCCGAGGCTCTAAACGGCTTAATCCCAACAGTCCAGTGGCGCCCTAGAACGAAAGCATGGCAAAGTTACGACAAAGCTAGAATCTCTGGTTGAGCCTTACTATGTATGTACTGCGTACAGTAGGATGCGCCCCCTGAAGCGGGATACATTAGGTGCCAGGGGCCCAGCGACCTCCCCTCACGAGTTAGGGGAAAGACTGGCTTGGCAACCTTTTGGTGTTGCATTATCACGCAGCAGTCTACCACCCATCCTGTGCTGTTCCGCAAGCCACCTACCTTGAACACGCCGTAATCTTTTCTCCCTCCCGTCGCCTTGCCGCACCTCCTACATGGCCAGATCTCGACTGAGAACAGGCAGTGGTGGTGGTATCTGAACTAAGGCAAGGTACGCCCTGTCTTTTTGTCTGTTCGTGGCTGTTCTTTGCCGTCTTCCCGTTCCTCGACCCCCGGTTTGCGCACCATGAACAGGTGCATTTGAATTGCAACGCTGGCTGCCTTTTCATCCCATCCCAACACCAACACTACCACTACCACCATCAATATCGATCATAGCATTGTCTGCCTCGCCAATTATGCACGATTAATCACCCCTACCCGGTCCATCTGCATCCAGTCTTCTCATTTGTCTGGGCAGCCTGATGCTCGGCTCGTCCTGTTCTCCCAGGTTTCCAACCTCCATCTTCTTGTTCCCCCCCCCGGGCTTCCCGGCCCGGCCTAGTCTTAGTCTCCTTGCTGCTTGGCAGCTTCCTTTCCTCGCTCCACCCCATTGTTTGTGCATCTGTCCACGCCGCCTCCATACCTTAGTCGGTATTTCTGCAGTAACGTCCCACACCCACTTCTGGGCACCCCCCACATTTGGGCACCCCATTTACACCAAAAACGCCGTTTTTCGAAATTCTATATTAAACTAAATACTTTACTTATTAAAGAGAATAAATATATATTAAATAGATTAAGACTTAATTATAATACTTAAGTAGCTATATACTAGTATTATTAATAATAAGTATTATAAATTCAAGGTTTAACATTTATAATACTAATTTACCTAGCCTATATCTTAATATATAAAATAGGTAGAGATATTTAACTAATATGATTAGAATTTTTAAGTAAGATATAGTAGATTTATATATTCTTATACTTAGTAAAAAATTCTTTAAGCTTAGAATAATATTTTAAAATTTCCCTTAAGAAAAGTTTCTATTATAGAATTTTAACCCTTAATTATACTATATTTACTAAAGTAATACTTTTAAATCTCTTTTAGATATAATTATATACTTTTAATAAGTATAAATATTAATTTCCTAGATTTTTTAAATAAGTATATATAAGCGAAAATATATTTTTCTAATGTTAAGGAATACTAGTAAGTTACTAGTATCTACTAACATTTTAAAGCTTTTAGTTTTAAACTTCTATATTATAACTATTATTATATTTAAACCTTTATAAAAAATTAGATGGCTATAATTATACTTAACATAGTTTATATATATTTTCTTTTCTTAGTAAGTATAGTAGTTAGTTTAATATAGAATTTCGAAAAACGGCGTTTTTGGTGTAAATGGGGTGCCCAAATGTGGGGGGTGCCCAGAAGTGGGTGTGGGACGTTACCTAACCTGGCCTCATCATACCCTATCTCAAGTTACCTTATTTCACTCCCATTTCCACCCAGGGTGGGAAAGGGCCCATCCTTGGCTGGTCTTCGTGTCTGGAAGACACACCTTCCAACTGCTGGAGACATCCTTACAAGCCCCCCCGTCCTACCCCACGAGTCCATGCATCTTGTCCGACCCGTCCATGACAACCCATTCGGCGTAGACAAAGTCGCACCGACTTGTTTCACTTCCTTCCACCATCTATGGCTGCTCAAGAAAAAAGCATCTCCCTCCTAGACCCCCGACTTGGTTTCTCTGCTTCCCACCCTCGGTCCCCGTTCCCGCGCACAAGGGCGGAAAATATCTACCTTGTCTTGTTGCGTTGCTGCCACTCCTCACACCTGTGGCCCGTTAAGAACGCCGCTTCTTGACTAAACGTTTGCCCAGAGATCACTGCTTCCACTCGCCCTCCTTCACACCCTGCAACACCGAACACCGAACGACTCACCCTGAAGCTTAGGACTGTTACCGTTTGCCTCAAGAGACGAGGCATACGCTTTTCATTTCAGCTTAGGGTTACAGCTACTGGATTATGCAGTTTGCAAACCTTGAGATAAACTGATGGATCAAGGGCCGTCCCGAATAATCTGATCTCACTCACAGCACACTAGCATCTACTAGGATGGACACCGCCGACGCGGCGTCTGAGGCCAAAAAGTCTCCGATCAAAGCTCAAGAGGACAACGGAGATAATGGGAACGAAGATCCAAACCGCAAGAAGGCAAACGCCAGGAAGAGAACCAAGACCGGTTGCTTGAGTATGTTTTCCAACATTCTACCGTCGGCATCACTTTCCTGCGTGACACCTAACATGAATAAAAGCCTGCCGGAAACGTCGTATCAAATGTGACGAAGGAAGACCTATTTGCGGCAACTGCATCAAGTCTAAGAGGCATTGCGAGGGTTACAATCAGCGAGTCATCTTCAAAGACCCCATCGGGTCATTTAACCTTAACGGTGTCTATGGCCCCGTTGTCTACCCTCAGGAGGCATCAACCCCTCCGTTTCGACAGCTTGGAAACCCACCGCCCAAGTCATCGAATGCGCCTCCTCTTGCGCCAATAGCTCCTAAACCACCGCAACATACAAATTACGGAGGCCAGCCGATCCTTCAATATGGCCAAGGGTTCCCGGGTCCATCGTCACAACATCATCCGTCGTCTTCACCTTTCGACTTTAACCAATTCTCCTTTGAACAGCAACAACACATGCCCCCAACACCCTCATTAACATCGCCCATTAGCCCTGAACAGTTCCAAGGATCATTTAGTAGTGCACAGAGCACTTTTGTTAGCCCAAACACCGACAATGGGTCGTTTACAAGCAGACAGCCACAACCATGGCAAGAGCACACATCAAGCCATCCAAGAGTGGAAGAGGTTGACGTCGTCCCCACTGCCGACGAGATCCTCAAGAGAGGGGATATCATGGAGGACCCCGAAGTCCAGTACTTGTACTCCGACGACGACGCGTCCATGGTCGATTCAGAGGATGGATTCGATGATCTGATGGGCGAAGAGAGCGCCTACGGCCAACTGATCCAGAGTCGTTCGGAGGGCCATTGGGAAGGCTTTGGGACGAAAGTGAGAACGTTCTCGGCTTTTGCAGAGGAAGCAATCCTTACGTCGTACATTCCGACGCCCAACAATTCGCCGCTGAATGACGAACGAACTGCGGCCTTGTTCTGGCACTTTGTCAACGTAACGGGACCGAGCATGTCTCTGTACGAGAGGCATCCTTTTGACCATACGAAGCTGATGAACAACTTCTCCGTTCCAAAGGCTGGTCATAATCTTTGGACTTGTAAGTTTGTTTCCAGCGTCCAAGAACCATCCCCTACTGACTTCCATAGACACATTCCCTATTCTGGCTTTCAATCACCCGGCCTTGCTTCAAGCCATGCTTGCCTTGGGTGCTCTGCAAATCGCCAAGCTACAGCGAATACCACCAACAGCAGCCATGAAGCATTATCATCTTTCCATTCGGAGGATCGCAAAGAACGTCCGGAGTGCGAATAGGAGGACATCGCCCGCCACTCTTGCCGCTACTCTGCTACTGGGATACTTCGAAGTATGGAACTCAGATCACACCAAATGGTGTAATCATCTATTCGGAGCCAGACTTTTGATTAAGGAAATTCCCTTCAGGAAGTGGACCAAGAACATCTTACCACTTAAGAGAGCTAGGCGAGCTCTCTTTCAGGAAAGCCAAAACCAGCCATTTGATCCCTTTTACCTGGGCCACGATAACACTCACATGGCGAGCCACGACCTGGACGACCTAGATCTGGGACTTTTGAGCCATTTGACAAACCAGCACGTGTCATATGAAGAGGATGTGCCGACTATTGGAAACTACTACACAGATCGCGACATCGAACACTATGAGCATCTCCGGGATTTGTACTGGTGGTACTGCAAGATGGACGTGTATCAAAGTATTCTTGGCGGAGGCAAGCCATTGTAAGCCCTACCTTGCAGAAGCCTCACAACCATGGAAACTTACGCTATACAGTATGGACTACTCCCATTGGACTCAATGTCCGCCTCGAGCCCCAATGGGTCGCTTGGAGGCCATGTAAGTCATGATTCCCTCATGGCATCTCAATGTCACTGATTTGTTATGTAGCTATGGAACTTATGATCACATGATGCTTCTACTTGGACGCCTTTGCAGCTTTGCCTCCAAAGACCTCCCTCGAAAACGGAATTCCTTCAAAGGGTTTGGGCCTCCCGGTGGTCCACCCGGGGCCTCTCCTGGTGGTCCGCCCAAAGGACCGTCGAACCCAAATGGACCACCGAGCATGGCAGGTGGAATGCCTGGAAGCGGGCCAGCACCTAACATGATGGGCGGGATGCCTGGCGGGCCACCTGCGGGTCCTCCGAATGGAATGCCACCTCCTGGCATGATGGGAGGCCCTCCAGGGGGGCCTACAAGGGGGCCTCCCGGTGGACCGATGGGGCCGCCACCGGGAATGGGGTCAGGAGGGCCAGGCGGCTCCCCCCCGATGTTCCCGGGTATGCTGCCAAACCTCGGAAAGGTAACGTTGCCAATGGGCTTTAGTCCTCCGAGAGATGAATCCCCGTCTCCGCCGGACACTCATGAGGACTTCGATACCGACCTTGCCGAGGCCGCGGCGCTGCGTGAGTGGGAGAGCCTCCGTGAGGCATTCGAGGTACTCCGCTCCCAATTTGGACCCGAATTCGAACCTCTGGGTCCCGAATATTGTGACCATAGGGAAACGCCCTTCGGTCCAACGCTCCAGTACCGTACGTTCTCAGTAGCCGGCATCTGGATGAACTACTACATGGGCCTGATCCATCTGTACCGCGCGCACCCGAAGATGCCCCCTGCTGCGATGATTGCTGCGGGTATCCAGGCGCAGCATACCACCAAATTCGCGTTGGAGATGGGCCGGATTGCGGCTGGGTTGACTGACGACATTTCCATTGCGACCGAAGTAAGCACTTTGGTAGGGGCGGCGCTGATCGAGAGTGCATTCTGTTTGTTCGTCGGCGGTATACAGGTAAGTTGTCCGCAAGGTCACCCCCCTATCAGTCGGAAACCTCGTTGACATTACTCTTTTATATAGTACCGAGAGGACGCTCAACGTCACTGGCTCGTCCGGCGGATGCACGACGTGGCACGTCTCACAGGCTGGCAATCTGCCAGACAGATCGCCGACGGCTGCGAGTCGGGATGGAAGAAGGCCGCAGCCATGGGAAGGGGCCCGCCCTACACGCGAGACCCGTCCCTTATCACCGTCATCCCTCAGTCTGTGTGGACGAGCCCAAGGAGGATCGGCGCCAGGCTGGAGCTGCTGGACGGCGACGACAAGGTGCTCGTAGTCGCCAAGGCCGAACGGGCGCACTATGCCCTGGGGTTGATCAGTGTCGAGCAAGAACTGGAGAGGCTCGTCATCACCGGAGAGAGTTGAGGCGCGCCCCCCCTCCGAGGCGATGGATGGGTCCCGTGACATGTGTAGATCCGTGCTCCCATGCTATTCCAATGGGACGTGGTATTAGATCAATACTACAGATCCATTCAACATCACAACTAGCTCCAGCCAGACACGCAAACACGCTGAAATCCATCATCACGCTGAGTACACTATTGATACACACTGGAAAATCGTCTAAACGTTAGGTTCCAAATTCGTGATCGACGGCTGGGAAAGTATCTTCGGGGGATTTCCTCTCTCTCGCTCTCTCCCTCATCCAGATAAGGCCATTTTCCCCAGCCTACATGGTAATTCTATTACTGCATTCGCTCCAACCAGTCCCCATCCTTGTCTTTTAGTTGGCAGGCAGTCTCTCTACAACCGCAGCCATCTCCTCATCTGTGTATATTCTGAAGCCCTTCTCCTTCGTTACGCTCGCCAGCTGCACGTTCTTCGAGTCCAGCTTCTCTTCCATGACCTGCTTAAGCGTCTTGAGCACCAACGTCTCGGCATCGGTAATCGTCAGGGACTGCGATTATGTTAGTTGACACTCGATTTCCATTGCATCCAGACATTCCGACAAGAGAGGAAGTGGCGGGGCTACAACGGTAGACTGACCTTGTGGTACTCGTTTTGCAGCTCAGCCTGAGCACCCTCAGAGCCGGAACCAATGGCCTTAGCGTCGTAGCGGTAGAATGTGCCGCTGGGCTCAGCGTGGAAGAGCTGGGGTCCGTCCTCATCGTAGCCGGCGATCAGAAGAGCAACACCGAATGGGCGGGACATAATGGTCTCCTCACCCTCGGCACCCTCGCCGAAGCGGAGGGCGAGGTCACAGATGGCCTGGGTGCACGACTCGACACGGAGGGGTTCGTTGTAGTTGAAAGCGTGGGACTGGGACTCGACTCGAGCGTGCTCGACCATAGAGCGGGCGTCGGCCTGAAGGCCGGACATGGCACAGCCGATGTGGCGGTCGATCTCGACAATCTTCTCGACGGAGGAGGTCTCAAGCAGGGTCGAGGTGACGCGCTTCTCGACACCGAGGACGACGCCCTCAGAGGTGGCGACGCCGATGGCCGTGGAACCAAGCTTGATTGCCTCGAGGGAGTATTCGACCTGGAACAGACGGCCTTCGGGAGAGAAGGTGTTGATACCTCGGTCTACCACCTATTTGTCAGAAGAGGAGCTCTTTCAAAGGGTAGGCAGGGAAGAAGGTAAACGAGCTTACCGTATTCAGATCTTGCCATAAACATTTTGGCGGTATTTTGTGTATGACGTTGCTAGAAAGGAAAATAACAGAATTCCGGTCAGAAAAGGATTGGTCGGAGTGCGGATTCTTCGGCTTTGTGGGCAAGGGTGAAGCTGCAGTTGCGGGACGCTGGGTTGGTGGTGATGGTGGTGGATTGATGGATAGTTGGATGGAGGGGAGCTTGAGGTGCACGTAGGTAACCCAAACGGTGACGGTGGAAGGCTGAAGCAGGTGGTTAGGCAAGCACTCAGCCTACGCAGCCGCAAGCTTATGGGGCACTCCAGTGGTAGCAGCACAGGACTACGTACCTTACCTGGCCTGGGCTACCTTACCTTAGCGCAGCTTGCTCTCAACCCCCTGGCCTATGGCTCTGAAGCTTCTTATTGGTCACATATTCTGTTTCCCCTCCAGCAGCTGCCGTCCTGACCCCGGAATATTTCAGGGGTCATTCAAGCCCGGCTGGGGTCAACAACACGCGAGGATTTTCCGATTAGACGCGCTCCCCATTAATGGGCACTTTACCGCGTAGCCCAACCCGCTGCCCGGAGAGAGTGTTACCCTGCGATAGAGGGGCAGTAACGAAGAAGTACGAGCTTACCGTCGCAGAATAACGTATAATCGCGAACAAACGAGCACTACGGAAGAAGAGACCACTCACAAGTCAACATTCTCTGACGTACGCTGAGCTTCTCAAATGCAGCCGGCGACATGTCGTCTGGCACGCGCCGCGCGAATGGTACAGCTTCCACAGCTGCGGACAATGAACGGCCATCGAGAGCCTCACGCATGAATGCGGCCGCGGCTGCCGCTGCCGCCAATGGGGGAGGAGGAACTGGTGGTGGAAGCGCTCATACAAGCTTTAGAGGGGAACGCAGCGAGCGGAGCGATACGCGGCAGCAACAGAGAGAACGGGAACGCGAACGGGGAAGGGAGAGGCCGCCGTCGCCGGGTAATAATGCGCACAAGAGATCTGCGTCCGGAAACACTCGACCAACGAGCAGGACGCGCGAGGATCGTCGGGTGGATGAGAGGAGGACGGAAAGGACATACGTCACGCAGCTTGAGACGCTTGTGCAGCGAACACGAAGTGCCGAGAGGGGAGAGCGCAGAGGCGGGGAGAAAGGCAAAACGGCGGAAAACAAGTCGCGTATGGCGGAAGCAAAGCCCAAGGATGCCAAGGTTGAGACCCCGCAAGGTGAGGCAGGAGTTTATTATGGTGATTTAAAAGGAATCGATGACTGATGTGGATTTACAGCACCATGGAATCCGGAAGCGACACTTCTCCCTCACACATCAGCTCCGTTGGCGTCCCGAATATCTATACCTCCATTGGCGTCGCAAGCGCCGCAGCCCCAGCAACCAAAACCGCTGAGCGAGCTGACACTCGAAGCTCAGGAGGCTGTGATGATCGAAGACTTGTTGTTTGTGTTCATGGGCTACGAGGGCCAGTACATCCGCTTCGCCAAGACTTACAACCCGCACGAAGAGAGGGATCGGCTCTCGGGGCCGACTTTCAGAGTATTACCTGGCCTGGACCCCAGCTTGCAAGATCTCACAGTATCGATGCTAAAGATGGCCACATACTATTCCGCACTCGAGATGTTCGTCGACGTCCAGAGCAGGGAAGAGTTTGGCGCCGTCAACCACGCGCTATGCGCCTCAATTAGGAAGTTCCTTCATGACTATCTGATTATGATTGCGCAGCTGGAAACACAGTTTCTTACCAACGAGACGTTCACCTTACATGTCTTGAACATACACACCTTACCAACCAACCAAATGATGTCACATCTGTACGCCTTGGCACATGAACTGCTGAAGCGCAACGCATTATTGGATGACGATGACGAGGAAGAGAGTGATAGTGCGGACGACTTTGAGAATATCCTCGAGTCCCTCCGGGAGGGTGGTGACTTGGTGCCGGGCTCAGGGAAGAAGATCTCCAAAGGCGGTGTTGTTCTGGGTTTGCTCACTAAGAGGTTGGAGTCGATGTCTGGAGATCCGGCAGCACGCGCGTTGCTTACGACGCTGCTACGAGATGCAAGCAAGCCGTACATGGTCATGCTTAACGAATGGCTTCACCATGGTGGTATCAACGATACTCACGCAGAGTTCCTCATTAAGGAGCAGAAGAGTATCCGGAGGGAACGCTTGGAGCAAGACTACACGGATGAATACTGGGAGAGACGATACACCATCCGAGAACACGATATCCCTCCGCAGTTGGAAGGTGTCAAGGACAAGGTCCTGTTGGCAGGGAAGTATTTAAACGTGGTAAGGGAATGTGGCGGTGTCGACGTCAGCAAAGTCGTCTCAGACGTCCCAACGTCTTTCGACGACAGCCGATTCCTAGAGAACGTTAACAATGCGTACGCCCACGCCAACGAGTCTCTCATGCAACTTCTGCTCACCACCCATTCTCTGCCCATGCGGCTGCGGTCGCTCAAACACTACTTCTTCTTAGACCCATCCGATTACTTTTCTTATTTCCTCGAGCTCGGTACCTCGGAACTGCGGAAGCCCGTCAAGTCCGTTAACACCGGCAAGCTACAATCATTGCTCGATCTGGTTCTTCGCCAGCCGGGTAGTATTGTATCTCTGGACCCGTTCAAGGAAGATGTCAAGGTGGAAATGAATGAGATCACCCTTATCAAATCACTGCAACGGGTCGTCAACATTACGGGTATCGAACAGGGCGAGACGTTGCAGCCTCTGGCGAATCAACCGATCGAGAATGATAGGAATGCCATAGGGTTCACATCACTCCAGCTCGATTACGCCGTGCCCTTCCCGGTGTCTCTTGTAATCAGCCGTAAGACAGTGTGGCGTTACCAGGCTCTGTTCCGCTACCTCCTCTCGCTGCGTTACCTCGAGTCTCAGCTGTCAACGACGTGGCACTCGCAGACCTCGGGAATGACGTGGGCTCACAAAAGCTCCTCTCGTAGCCTCGAGATTTGGAAACGGCGGGTTTGGACACTTCGTGCTCGTATGTTGGTATTTGTGCAGCAACTACTCTACTTTTGCACGGCCGAGGTTATCGAACCCAACTGGGCTAAGTTCATGTCAAGACTAAAGGTCAAGGAGGACGGCCAGGATGCGACTGGCAGCGCTTCGGAGGGGCCCACAAGAACGGTAGACGAGTTGATGCAGGATCATGTGGACTTCTTGGATACGTGCTTGAAGGAGTGCATGCTCACCAACAGCAAGCTATTGAGAGTAAGTCTTACGATGCTAATTTTATATTGTTTTTCATTCTCTGGTGCTAATCGACTATGCAGATCCACTCCAAGCTGATGCAAACCTGCACAATCTTCGCAACCTATTCCAACTGGCTTTCCCGCGAGCTAGAGAAGGCTGATCCTGACCTCTCTGGTGCTACGCGCCCGCCCAATATGACACCAGAGCAATGGCGTGCTTTCCAAGCCGTGCGCACACAGAAGCCCTCCGGCTCACATAGCGACTCGACGTCCTCGGCGGGTGCTGGCGAACAGCAGGAGGCACGTGTAGGCAACCTATTCGAAATCATGAAGAAATGGGAAGGCAACTTTAGCAGGCATCTACAGATTCTGCTCGATGCCTTGAATCACTACGCCGCGACGGAAACAGTCGTCCTGCTCAGTCTGTGCGCACGGCTCAGCACAGCGAATCAGGGAACCGAGTACGCGGGTTTGAGGAACGAGGAGGACGGTGTGGCTTAAAGGAGGAGGGGAACGAAATACGCATATGGGTAGCATTGCATATCACCATTCCCCAGCTTTCATAAAACAACGGCGTTCTAGGAGTCGGGTAAAGGCGGTAGATGTGTCATTCCGGGCCAACATAAAAAGTATGAACGAGCGAACAAGCAATTAAAAGGGAAGGAGAGTAGAGGATTGGGCTTGTTCGCATACCCTACCTAGACAGATACCACTGATTTGATGATGCACTCTACCGCGCCACAGTCCAAATTATCTGACGCCCATTTGAACTTCATTTAAGAACACTCAGGCTTTCATGTGTAAACCTGACAGGAGTGAACATGGTCTTGTATTGCGTCGTCATAATGGTACATTAATTTTTCCTCAGTTTGACACTCAGGAGAGGCGTTTTCAATGGCACAAACTAGCCATTGAGCATTTCTTTACCCCAACGAGGTACCATGAGGCGCTCTGTTTGAGAGCTCCGGGTATACGGATGTTATACACGTCGTAATGGTACATGTTTGTTTTGTACATGGCTCGGGTCCAGATATCCCGCCCTAGTCCTTCTTAAGAGCCTCCTTGGCCAGTTCGGAAATGCGCTTCTTGTCGACCTCGAGGTCCTTGCCCTGGGTCGCAGCATTGACGAGCTTCATGACCTCACCGAGGCCGCTCTTGCCGGCGGCGGTGGCCTCCTCAATGGCCTTCTCGACGAGCACGCGCACCTCCGCCTCAGTCACGGTGAGGACGCCGCTGTTGGCAATGTAATCGGCCATGACCTTGGCCTGGAGATCCTCCTTGTCGGCGAGGTCGTCGCGGCCGGCGGCGCGGAACTGGGCGGCGGCATCCTGGGTGGCACGTTGGGTCTTGCGCAAGAGGGCAACAAGCTGTGCGTCGGTGGTGATGGGAGAGGCGGTCTTGGCGGCGTTGTTGGTAGCGGAGAGGACGGAGCGCAGAACTGACAGTCGAGCGGCGTCCTTGGCACGCATGGCGGCCTTCAGGTCGGTCTTGAGGGAGGCGAGGAGTGGAGGAGAGGCCGGGGCTGCGTCGGAATAGAGGCGAACGGCGCGCGGAGGAAAAGCACGGCTAGGGACGATGGGCCGGAGGGCCTGTAGGAGGCGTGCTGAATGTCGGGAAGCCATTGTGGATGCGGAAGACGTTAAAAAATCAGAGACTTCGGTTTGGTTCGCAATTGGCCGTTGGAAGTGCCAGGTAGGTCAGTTCAACCAGGTTTGATATTTCCGTGTGCGTTGTCTGGTGCTATCGAAATGCTTCGAGAAAAGGACAAAAAAAAAAATGTAGAGCTTCGATACTCGTTACCTTCCTTCCCTTCATAAAAGTGAGCGAGCTTCTCATTGGATGGAGCTCAAAGGCTGTGCCAAAGTCCTCTGGGAAGAGGCGTTAGTGGCGCACAGTGGCTCTAGCGGCATGGGGAGAGCAAAGGTCTTTCAGGGACCTGGCCTCATGGTCCACAGATTCTCCATTGCTTGGCCCACTGAATAACAATTGATTGACGCTTCAATGACTTGTTCCACGCCGTTCGTTGGCGGAGGGGGATGCGGTACTGAGACACTCAGAGATCACGCATGCTTGAATATGGCACAAAATGTGGAATCAGGGGTCTTTGCTTGTCGTGCTATCCTGGAGTACCTACGCCTTCGAACCCAAGCGGAATGATGTAAGTTAGATATGTTCGTTGTTGTAATTTCTAAAAAGCCCAAAGTCGTCTGATGTGCAGGGCGTCAGGGAACACGCTGCAATAACATGGGTCGGGGCTTTCGCAAACGCATCCGGATAGTGCCTTCAACAGGGCACCATCAGGCTCAAGGTTTAGGGGGGCATACAGGTATATAACTCCAGGCAACAAATCCGTCAGCCAAGGCTGCTGGTATTCTAGGGAAGTGGGCAGGGTAATTATGAGTGTTGCATGCCCTTCTTTGTTGCGGTAATTTGCCCAGGGGCAGCCAACATTCACATTGCAAGATGGCAACAGTGTCGGGTGTTGTCTGCTGTGATCGACTAGCAAGTGGAGGTCGCCCAAACGCTGTATCCTCGTCCTGCCAGGATCAAAGACCCGAAGACGGGGAACGTAGGCTCTGTGTGGCTCTGGGCGCTCACCGGCATGGGAACTGGCGGGACATTGGCTTGGAACTGGCGAGGTCGTAGGCGAAACATGGCATGGTCTCTTCAGATGAAAGTGGGTTCTGGTGAATAACGGCCCAAGACACGACTCGAAAATAGCCCCCTCCTCGACATGGATTATGTGCCCGGTCGTGATGTTGCCTGGAATGTGTGATTATGTATTCTCGATGTGACGCGGAATGCTTGCTTGCAGTTGTCCCTCACCGAGATAGAGCCCGGCCACACGGTAGCGAGTAAGAAGCTGGATTCGTAGTCCATATTCATCATCCATGCCTCCTGAGCTGACGAGTAAGGAACCAACTGCTCCTTGTCCGGGCAGAACACCCACGCCGCTGTTTTCCCTCTTTCTAATCTAAACCCGACTAAGATGAGGTGGGCAACAACAAGCCCAAACCCATCCAGTCGGGCACCACCACTTGCCTTAGCTTCTGTTGCTCTCCACTTGGGTCTCAGTCTCTTTCAACTTCATTCCTCCTTGACTTCTTGCCCAGTCAGCAGATCCTTTTCTTGCACCTCCACGCTTAATATCAGGGAGTCCTGGGCCATAGGCAACACACATTCACATTTAGCATATTCGTCCGGCTACGATCAGCTCTTCCCGACTTAGCTTGGTTAGTCATCGACCTATGTTATACCTACTGGTCCTTTCGACCTCATTCATCCGCTACGGCTCGTCATCGTTTCACCCCCCTCCATCTTGCCGCACTTCATAAACAAACACCATCAACTTCGAAGTTGTCACATAATGTATGCAAGCCATTTCTGACCTGGCCTGTGATTTGGACTGCAAAATGTTAAGGACCTTTAAATTGGGACCGAACCTGCCGCAAAGAAAGCTCTGTGTCCTTTTCGTCGAATGGGCCCCCTTCACGAGGCGCGTCAACCACAACAGCCTCCCAACCAAACATGTCTCTATCATCAAGGAGAAAAGGGACAAGAACAACAAATCAAGCGGCTTGCGAACTATGCACGGGGTATTCGCTGCCGTAACGTCGTCATAATCATTAGAAGACCGATCCTGGAATCCTTTCCAGTCTGTCCCCAAAAATTCGAACCATCCGAGATGCTCGCGTGGACATGCAGCCCAGCCAGTTCGACAATTTCTTCCACGTCTCAGCGGCGAGGTTTTCGTCCTATACATACATACCTCACAGCGCATCATTGTTAGTCTCACCCGTTATGTGGTAGCGGGGCCGACAAAAATCACTCACATTGGAAAATACGCCTGTTTGAGACATCGGCCACAACCTTTATATTAGCCTCGGATTCCATTCTAAAGAAGTTACACGCCATAATGCTTACCCTGAACGCTGGATTGTCAGCCTCGCTCCTTGCTTGGGCCACCAAGACTTGGAACTCCTGGGAAGTCATGCTGCAATGGCTCGGTCAGCTCTGGGCTTGCTTAAGCATTAGACTATATATGGCCAGCCCTGTGGCTTTGCTTCATCGGAAAATTCTTACCCACGAAACTCTGTCATAGGATAGTGCCCAAGGGATGAGAGTAACCTCCTGATGTTTTCCCTGTTTGCCAAACCGATCTGGTGTTGCCTTGGGTCTGGTCTCTGGTCAACTTCGGCCGTCCTCCACGTGGACTTTGAGCCTCCTACCGTTGGACCAACCGCAAGTTGGTAAGGGAATCATCTGGGTTTCCACCGAGTCAAATCCAGCACTTTGCATCCAGCTCTGCATCTGCAACGGCGCTCGAGGGTCTTTGTACGGTTGCATACTGTCTAGGTATCGTCTCGACCACCTTCGAAGGGCATGATCTGGCAATGCCAATCGTCAGCAAATACAGCACCGCGACGACGATATGGAAAACTCACTCTGTGTAAGCGTCCCGTTGTCTGACTGCGCATTAAAGTATATCTCCACCATCTGTACCCAACCGCCTGGCCGTAGGACGCGATAAATGTCTCGAAGATAATCTCTCCATCGATTCGAATGGATTCCCCCAGCCATCATCTGACTATGTACTAGATCAAAGTGGTTCGACGGAAACGTGAACCTACTCAAAATCAGTGGTGCTTTCAGGGCATGCGGATCAGCGGGGGGAGGACAAGTAAGCCTGTTACCTTCCGTTCAAGTCATCAACCTGGAGGTTTAAATTTAACGGTGTCTGCGTCTCGTCGGGCCAAATATGTGGACAAATGTCGATGGCTACCACCTATTGTTTCCAGTTCAGCAGTCGTTCATGGGTCAAAATACACGAACCAAGGCACACGCTTCAAGTTTTAGTGGCGAACAAACTCCGAGGCAACGGATGCCATAGAACCACTGTGGTCGAGAGCAAGCTGCACTGTCTCGGCGTAGCGAAGTCATCTCTGTTCAGGGAGCCAAATCCATCTGTTCATTGTGCCTGACCCACCCATATCATCGTCCATCGCCCAAAGTTGAGAAAAGGGGAGGCAGAAAGGTCCGAAAGTATGATACGTACCTCGCAGGTTGGATGTTGCTGTGCGACTTCGATAGCCCATTCACCCGTACCGAACCCACATTCAAGAATTCGTCGTGGCCTTGTGATGGGCGGGAAGATGAGCGAGTTTTCGAATACTATTGAGAACAGAATATGCATCATGTGCAATCGCTCGATCTCGTCCTACAGTTCAGAAGAGGGTTAAACAAAGTCACTACCGAGTCTGAGAACCCATCGGCCCCCTTACCTCGTCAATCGGCGAAAAATAAGCACCGTTATCGACGGCATATCGTTGGAATTCTCTGCCCTGGTACATGATGGTTTCAAGAAAGGCGTTGTCCAAGGGGACTGTTTGCGGATCGCTGAGAAAAGTTTAGCGATCGCCTCACCACAGCAATATTCGAAGAGAGCGCAACCGTACTTCGCCATGGTCGCAAATACACACAAAGCCGTGTCGACCAATCTCTAGCTTGGTATCTATTCCGATATGAGAGATGTTCGTCGTCAGTCAGACTCCCTGTTTGATAGGAGAACGAAGTTGGTGTTGTATACGATAGGTGGGCGCTGGGTTTCAACGAGACATCTTTTCAAGTTCAGAGACGGAATGGAAGGCAAGGTCCAGACTTTCAGGCGCAGCCTACTAAAGAGATGTCGAGAGAGATTCAAATGGTCCATATCGGAACCACAGGGGCCTTCACGAACGGCGGCAGCCATGTCTGTTAGACACAACGGACTGCCTGCTGTGCTAGAGGTGGAGACATGGGCTGGTCAGATACTTCAGATTGGCCCGAGCCTTCATTCTACACCACACGATGTCGCTGTCGATCTTGGGTTAGTACATTGCGACCCAGAGGAGTTGGGAGCCTGTTTCGGCAGGCTTTGGTTCGCGGTGCAGACGAGGCCTACTTCAGGTGACATGGATATGTTTACTGGTGTTAATGCTGCCCCCGTACCCCCCTGTACACCCGAAAATTCGAGAACGGAGCTGGCAGACAACAAAGAGTACCAATCGTGGGCCCATAAGTGGTATAGGACAGGTGTGGGAGCGGGTCCAGTCCATCCTGGACACCGCCTTTACCAGGTTGCCAGATCCATGGATTCCGTTAACCGTGGCTGACCTCACAAGCTGTTCCAGATTCCAGGTAGACGGTTGCTTTTTTGAACGACCTGGGTGTGTTGTCTAGCGGGACGCGCCATCACGGCCTAGCTTTTCACAGGGCTACGAAGGGCCATACAGATTAGTTTCCCAAGCCCTCACATTGCCTGCTGCCCAGGGCCAGTTGGGGTTTCTCTGGAGACTTTACCCACGATTGTTCCGGAGTCGGGCGACTAAGCCGAACCCTTACAGTGCAGTTTACGCACCCACAGCCAAGAAGAAGCCCAGTAAAGAGTATCGTTCCTGAGACCAACCGCAGACCCGGAGTACAGGGCCTAACACACCTTCCCGCTGCAACCCTCCAGTGTCCAGGGAATGGGAAGCTCTTCAGCAAACACGGCTTGCCATCCCTTGTTTCCTGCCCACCCATCCTTCTCCTCTCCTCCCTCTATTATGGGTGGAACTTTGCTTAAAGGAGGGGTTGCATAGCCGATCCACACCCGTTGCACGCGGAGCTATAATCGAGTCGAGGATTATCACGTCCCAAGGATCCGGTCGTTGGCTTGCATCTGGAATGAAGCGGCGAAGGATGGTGGTAAGCCAACTTGGGTGAAAAGGGGCGTTGCACAACTCCCGATAAGATCCCTAATCACCAAAAAAAGTGTGAGCATCTACGCCAACGTCGCCATCTCTCGTGCCAGCGATCTGGTGTTAGTCGTGGAGGTCCTCCCAGAACATGGACTTGGGATCTTGCTTATGAGGGTTGACTCTTGCAGCCGTGGGATGCGGTGAGGGGTGATATTAGAGCCTCACTGACACAAAAACAATAACAAAACCGACAAAACGCCCTCGACTCGTACGACAACAGGCCGAATTTCCTCCTATTCTGGTCGCTTGACTTGTTTGGCACAAAGAAGGCTGGGACCATATGCGGCCGACAAACCTCGAGGGCGGAGTCCATGGTCTGATCCTCTCACACACAGGCAGGCAATTATCTGCACCCAAGCTAGCGCAGTGAGACCCGCGACAGGCCTGTATCTCACAACACTACAGGTGGAGGAAACAGACAACGCAAAGAGTACATCGATCTTTACTCTGATCAGCACCCATGCCTGGTCTTGCAACTTGCAGGCGCCCACCACACCATCCCGAGACCTTTGTTGTAAATGTTTCGGTCGGATGGCGGCACAATATGCACAGGACAGGCAGAGCTCTACCGAAAAAGTTAAGCTAGGGGGCATCACTTTTTTGGCTGGTGGGTTGCGTCGCTGCATCTTAACACGTTGGCATATTCGGGTGAATGCTGATGAGGTTTTAATTACCTCACTCCTTCTACTTCGCGACGTCCCTTTCTTATTATCACACTTTCTGGAAATGAGTCGCTCGTCAGGTGAGGGGACATATCGGAAACGGTGAGCTGCAGCAACGTAGCGCCAACGTTGTGTTTCATGCGGAGATGTTTTAATGAGGGTTGGAAGAGGAAATGGAGCGGCCCAGCTCGTGAACGACCCCCTCGACGGGCCGTCCTGCAGGTTCGAAAGTATCAGAAAAATAACCACCAACATAGGCTTATCGACTGGGTCGTCGCTGGCTCGGATGGTGGAGCTTCGGGAGAGAGCGCGCGATGACGCGAGCCACAAAACTCTCCTGGTTCCAGCTATTTGGGAACCGAGGGGCGAGGGGTCGACAACCCTTCCTTGCCCAGAGGACCACGCCCCGGTTGCTCGGGAGCTCCTTGCCTGTCCACAGCAGCCACGTACACCCTGTACCCTTGCAATTCTTGCACCAACAAGTTCAGATGCACTGCATGGTGGACGGGTACAAAGCAACGAGAGACATCATGAGACGACTGTACCCCGTTGTATTCTAACCATTATAACTAGGTGGCGCATCTCGTAGCTTGTCGGCCACTCCTTGACGTCAGAAGAGAGACACGGAGTTGTTGTCCATCATCTGCCTCGCTTCATACGTTCGAGTCAGCCACAGTCTCACTAAACCTGCAAGCGGGCTCTTTCTTGGGGGGATGATATTATGAGCGGAAAGGTGCGGGTCGTCCGGAAGTTGCTTTGAGAGTGGGCAATGGACAAGGTGGGATTGACGTTATGATTCCTTACGCAGACTGGAAAAGGAACAACTCACCGAAGTCGCAGTCGATGCAGGATCGCCCATTGGGCACTTTTAAACCAGTGACTGTCAGGATTCATGCATGTGGTTTACCGACTATCAATCAACCAGCAAGCCACGGAGAAGGATCTGGTACAAGAACCGGAGCTAACCATATGGCATCTCAGCATCTACGACAGCGCCGCTTCTCACTGGGCATCCAAAATACGTAACGAGGCCGCAAGACAAATCCTTCGCACCAGGGAGCGAGGCAAGATACTAGCTTGTCAGAGATGATGCACGTCAGAGGGGAGCATTTGACCCAGTTCTCCGTAACAGGCTACTGTGTGCAATATTCCTCGAGGCTTTGCCTTTTCAAGATTGACCTCGAGCCAGCACAGGAGCTTCACAAATTGTGCCTGTTGATCGTATTCGCAGCGCGCCCGTACATTGTGGACCATGCACCTGAATATTACGCAGTTTGTTTACCCGACATGAGAGAGCCCGGTCAGCTCCCCTTCCTGAACACCAACCGGCTTTTCTTCTCTCATGCAGAGAGGGGAAGGAGATGAGTTGGCGGTCGATGAGGAGTCAGCTCCGCTGGGCAGGGAACCCTAGTCATAGTGAACCCTGCCGGTCCCTCCCTCTTCATTTTTCTCTCGAACAGAACCATCCCCTCGGGTTCTCTTGCGACAGAATGCTGGGGCACCACCATGCCCTCCCTTCCACAGGACACCTAGCTTACATAGTACCATTGTAGGCTGGATGCGGATACGTGGTACAGCAAAGCCCACCTCACTTCCAAAGATACCCGGCAAGGCCCCCTATTGTTGGAGCACCAGCGGAGTTGCCTGCCGCCCACCACCTAATATGTCCACCAGTTGCCCTAACCCATTTCCCTTACCGGGTTTGGGCGTTTCACAGGGCACGGAGAATACTTCTAGAAGGCTATGTTGTTGCGAGGGAGGCACCGTGCCGGTTCTGCGAGCCGAAATCTCCTGAATGGACGTGTCTGTGGTTTCTGTTTGCAGCGGTGACTTTCCCATTTTCGATCTACCGACGATGCGGAATTCGGTCATAATACCGACGGCCACCCTCCTATAATATCTTACTGATGTGCGGACATATTACAGCCCAAGTGATGCCAATATTTGAGGAACGGACGTGTCGCGTTATTATCATTGTTCCTGTAAAACGCGAGGTCAATATCCGGCGGCCGCCCTTGAGTACGAGCTGTCGTTTGATACTAGGCCGATATGGCGGTGACCCTAGCCAGGATCCTGAACCCAGCTGTCATGTACCACTTCAGGAGTCACCTGGCTCACGCATAATCTTCTTGGACATTATGCTTCCTTCCCCCTAGCACCGGGTATGAACCACCTGAAGGCGCCTCTTATGCTAAATCTAGTTTGGTACTTTAGAATGATGCGTTACACGTAAAATAGTAGGTTGGCGGCCACCCCCCCCCCCCTTTTTGACCCGGATGAGCAGGACCAACAAGGCTGCCGGGCGGTGTATCCTTGCTGCGACCTAAGAAAGAGGCTCTTTGCATGCGCCATTCCAACCGTCTCCATGCGAACAGTGCCCCTCCCTTCTCGGGCCAGGACCTTTTTGTTTTGCTTTTTCCTCGTTGCATTACCCCTCCACCGGCCCTCATCTTTCCGCCCCATAGTCCCTCTGAGTTGTCGTCCATAATTCCACAATACAAGCATGTCTCCCGTATCATGTCTCTTGCTCATACTCTCGTTGTCGCTTCTCTTGCTGCCTTGTCTGGGCTTCCGCCAAGGAGACCGAGGGTGCGGCCGATGATGCAGACGGGGGTTGGAAAAAAAGCACCAGTCAAAGGAACGCCGCTTGCGCCCTCCACCGTGATGATGCTATGATTCGTTCTGACACGCAGTTACTATTCTAGACAAGATCCGATATTGACCCAACAAACTCCCGGCTTCCCTGATTTCTACTCTGCGTGATGGTTGCCCAAAAAGGGGGAGAAAAGAATAGGTTTTAAAAGAGAAAAAAAAAAAAAAACAAGGAATAAAGAAGAGAAGTGGAAACAATAAAAGATACCACTCTAAACCCCCCTTGCATGCCCAGCGAGCCCACCAAGCACGCCGCTTGGTTCCAACTCAACTCCTCTTTGAACTCCATGCTGTGTGTATCGCTCAGTGCAAGCGTAGTGGATCACCAACAGGTGAAAACCGGGTTCCTGGCTTTGACCGGCTCCAGCCTCTCCACAATGACCTTGCGTTGGTTGCCCTCCATGCCCTCCGCCGCGGCGTAGCCCAAGTCACCCTCCTCGAGGTCGTCGTCGTACTCCTCGCTTGGGCGTGCCCCATACAGTTGTTGAGCGATGCTGCTGCTGTTACGACGTCCTGCGGCCGTCGCGAACGAGTACCGCCGTTGTTGTGACTGTTGACGGGCAGGAGAATACATGTTAAGAGCCCTAGATCCGTGGTAGCTTTCGCGGTGTGCCTGGCCGGAGAACCTAGGTCGTTGGAGTGTTTGATCCTTACCCAGCGGTGCAGACGACGCCAGGATTCCTGAGCCGTTCATGGACAGCTCGTCTGGTGACTGTGCACCCTCGCCCGTCGGGCTTATCGCCATCTCAAACCTGCCCGGGTGAGGCATGTCGGCCGGGGGGCTGGCGAAGCCGAGCAGGTCTTCGTCTGGGCGATGCGGAGGCGCGTGTGACGAGTTGGCCTCGCCAATATCACCCTCGTCAATGGACCGACGGAGCTCTGCCTCATGGCGCATCATCTCGGATGAAGTGACCCGCATTGGCACCGCGACGGGGACGTCGACGAGGTCGTCCCAAACGCAGACCTTGGCGCGACGAGTGAGCTCCAGGGGGCCATGGTCCGGTGTCTTGAGTGTCTCGACGACATTCCACGCCTGGCCCTTCATCACGGCGATTTGCCGAGCAAACATCTTTTCCTGGAAATCAGGATCTAGCTGGAACACCTTTCGCAGCGCCAGCTGCGTCTGGCTCCACCAGTGCGTCGAGGTTAGAAGTGGAAGGAAATGGTCCCGTGTCTTTTGCGAAAACGGCCTGCCGATGAGATCAACCGGTAGAAAGAGCCATCCAAACGGGAAGCTGTGTGTCAAAAGATGGTTAGCTAGATAGTTCTTGCACCGTTTTTCTATACATATCTCGCTCGGCCGAGTTTGCAGAGCGGAATGGGGGTGAGACTCTACGTACCTTCGCCATGCGTCTGGATGTTTCCATGGCCAGGAGAGTGAGTTGTCAATAGCACCAATGGTGATTTTTGGGTCCTGCGTGCGGGGTGCCGGGCTCGATGCCTTCATGGGCTGCTGCGTCTTATAAGGGTACGAAGAGCGGTTCGGCGATGGCCGCTGGCTCAAATCTACCGGCCGCGGTCCTTCCTCCTCAGACGGTCCAGTCTCCATGTGCATCTGGAGCGGCTCAGACGCAATCGAAACCTGCTGAGTGCTCCAGTCCACCTTGATCATCCAGTTGTCCAGACCACGATCTGTATTTCGCATAATGTAGTCCAGAATAACCAGCTTTTCTAGCTCTTCCCTGAAGGACTGCTTGAGCGTTTCAGTCCATATAAAGTTATCGGGGCCCAGGGGCAGCTCTTCCTGCCTGTCTTCATCGTCACTCTCGATGTCATCCAAAGCAGCGCCCCTACTTGGCCGGCAGTTATCCGCCCATCTCCTTCTACGCTTGCGATGCGGGTCGTTAGCCCTAAACCCGGACCAGTACTGGTCTGGCCAGGGATGTTCTCTCAAGAATACATTGGCGTCCTTGAAGCCCTTGAGGAAGACTTGGAAGCTTCCCGGCTTTTCTGGGAGAGGCTTTTGTTTCCGGTAGTAGTTACGGCGATCCCAGAAAGGGTAGTGAAAGGATTTCGAGGAGAGCCATACAACGTCCGTATATGGAACCATGTGGGTGCGTAGTTGACAATCGAGGGTATATGCTGCCGCTTCGCTGACGTATGAAAGATTGGGAATGAGGCTGTATGTGGTTAGCATTTCGCATCCTTGACCATGATGGACATCTTCCGATACTTACCATGCTCGCCCGAAGCAACACGGGAACAGGTTACGATGAATCCACTTGTTCCACTTGGGATTGCCAGCCGCATATGGCTCCTCATCCTTGGGCTTAAAAACGCCCACGACCTTGCCCTCCGTGTTTCGAGCGAAGTAACTGCCGGAGCTTCCCTGGGAGATCATGCGGGGATGAGTTCCCTGGAGGATGGCCTGCCTAACGCTGCCGATGATCTCATCGAATTGAGCTTTTGTCATAACATCCTGCGGCACTGCCAGTCCCTCTGGTGTGATGGGCCGGACGCCCTCGGGAGCCTGAAAGACGGAGTGGTGAATCTCGAGACGCTCCTCTTCGCCGACCTTACCGCGACCCTTGGTGCGCTTGAAGCGACTGGCGATCTCGTCGGCCCAGCGCTCGAGGCGGGCGTTGATGGCTTTGAGGTCAACGCCCGAGTTGCTCCCGACGCGGCGCCGGTTTCTCGGTCTTGCAGAGGGGCCGGAGGCGGAGATGGAGACGGGTTTCGGGGTCGTCATGCCCGAGCGGGGGCGCGGCTGGGAGATGGGGGCGAAGCGAGGGGCAGCGGGCGGCTGGAGGGAGGCATAAGACTGGGTCAAAGGGTCATCGTCTTCGGAGTCGGAGGAGAGAGCATCGGCCTGAGCCAGACGCTCATATCCCGTCGTTGCCGGCCTGGAACGGGGCATCGTGGGCGGTCGGTTGGCGGAAGAGCGAGGAAAGGGAGGCTATCGTCGTGACAAGGCTATGTTGAGAGAGGGCTGGGCCATGTGTGTGTGTGGTGTAGCAATTGTAGTATTCCTCGTATTGCACGATGGACAAAATTGGGAATCACGCTTTCTTGATGGGTCTCCGGTCTGATGCGAACGCGAAGCTCTACCGAGCAAGAGAGCGCGAGAACTTGAAAGACGACGAAAGAAGACACGCAAAAAATCTAAGTGAAAGGGAGGTGTAACGAAGAAAAATAGTTATACAATAACCAAGCTCGTGGCAAAGAAACCGAATTTGACGGTGAACCAGAGATGGTCAATGAGGACAGGTGGTTGTTGTGGACAGGCAATGCAACAGGGTTTCGCGGCGAATGTCGCGTCGTCTTCGACATCCCCCAAGAGCATGTGTCGTCAGGTTTCGGTAGACCACGATGCTGTCATTGGGGTGCAATCCGTGCTGCTGCCATCCTGGTCCAATCCAGAGCGCCGAGGCAAGCCTGGTTTGCATAGTCTTGGGTCTGGCCACAGCACTCCCAATGTAGTACCCAGAGCCACTTTAGTTGCTGCTGGCTAGGCGTTCCATGGTTCCAGGCACCCAGCGGACGCCGCATTTACCCGACCTGACTAAGACAAGGGCACTGAACCTCTCTCCCTTTCAAACCGCCAGTCCCCCGTGGTACTGTGGCCCGCTGTGAGTGGTTAGTACATGCACCACTGTCTACGACGTACATACTGCTGGTAGTAGTACGCAAGGGTACCTGATAGCCTCTGGACTATGGGTCGTGCGTACGCAAAGCTCCTCCAGTGACAATTTGGTTTTACCTTTTCTGAACTATTCGGTCGCCTGCTGCAAACCAAACCACACTTTCTGAGTGCATCACCCTCTAATTGTTTATGAATCTAGCACCAAATGGCGGCTTCAACTGAGCGGCATCTGTCTGGTTGAAACGGCTTTCGCACCAGTATTGTCTGGTTAGTGATGGCCAAACGCCCTTTGGTTGGTGCTCGTTCTCTAGACACTTTCCGGATCAGTCTACTTTGCGGCAGCTGGCCGATGGCAGTGATAGAGAGAGAGCGCGTGGTCCAAACATTTGCTCACAGACATACGAGCGTAGCAGTAAAGTATTGAACTGTTACCGTTGACGCTTGCGATATCCGAGAAAGCTCGTGTACTATGTAAGGAACGACGATACAAGGCAGTCAGCGGACTTTGTGTCTCCATGCACTACCTCCAAAAGTATCCAAACATCATTGTATCTCAACGGCGATGCAGAATAAGAGATGCCGCCCCTCGACAGCACCATCACTTCGACATCCGCTGGCTCTCTCGTTGGTACAGGCACCGAATAAGATGCCGCCGCGGACGCCCCAGAATCCCCAGACTTCCGGGTCGCAGCCGTGGGCCCACTCACACCGAACGTCGTTCTCTTCATCCTCAAATTGGCTCGATTCATCAGGCGACCTCTGACGCTCGATCATCCTGGAAAGCTTCCGTTTTCATCGTCAAGACCAATCCTGCACTGAGCCTGCCTCGACAAAGTGTGCAATCTTATTCGCGCCAACGTCCAACTCAGGAGTACCGTGTGTCCCCCTCCTGTACTTAGTGACAGGTCCAGCATCATCGTTTGCAGTAAATGGCTGAGCATCCAGCCGACCCGAAGTGATCTTCCCACCCCCAAGCTTCCCCAACTCCTTGCGAGATCCCGATCAGGTCAATCTTCCTGCAACGCCGGCCAATCCTTTAACGTAACCTATCGCTCTAATCCCCCTAACATCTTCTGAGCGGTATTCAACTTTCCTTTATTATCCCCTCGCCCTCTCCACCTTTTGTCCCCCAACTCTCTATAGACAGCAACGACTTCTGCCAATAGGCGTACTGTCAATCGAGAGCCGCAAATATTAGCTTCAAACCTATTTGTCCCTTGACTCAATCATATTCCACCATGACATCTCAATTCGAGACTAGCATAAGATTCCGGGAGGTGACGTCAAGGCCCTTTTCACCTGACCCAGATACTCACAGAGGCCGTAAGAGGCACCGGAGCCTTACAAGAAGTGAAATGACGGCCATCCACTACGGCGGGACGGGCGAGTCCAGCACCTTCCGCGGCCGTCCCCGACGTCGATCGACCTCGCCGATGCTACTATCGTCTAGAGCCTCTTCACGAGCCATCTTGAATTCTTCCGTATCGCCTATAAGGAAGCGCCTTCTCCGCGTTGTCCTGATTGACCGACGACGAAGCCAGAGCCCGTCTCGATCCCGGTCACCTAATCATCAGCAGGCACCGCCTCGACGCCGTCAGAGGACTCGGAGCCGAAGCCGAACCCATACGAAGGAGGTTTACCAGAAGAAGGAACAGCTTCCTCGACTGTTCACGGAAAAACTATTCAAGGCGTCTGGCAAACCATGCCAAGATTGACACGGCTGGCAATGGCGGCACTGAAGATAAACAACACAATGGATGTTGCTTGAAAAAGAGAGAAGAAAAGATGGCGAAAACAGCATCACCAGTCAACAGGCACACACTCACATGACATAATGCGGTGAGCTCAAAAACACACAAGGAATAAGGCACCCCGCCGCTAGTGGGATGGGCCCGAGGGCAGTGATAATAACTGTCGAAAGGGTTTCTTTCTTTCCTTTTTTTTTTTTTTTTTTAATTTAGAGAGAGAGTTGATGTGTTGGGGACTCAGATAATGCAAGGCAAACTACCCAGATCCCCGGAGTCACGGGCTACAATGAATGGGTGTGCAGACCCGGAAGCAATCAAGTTGGCGTGGGGAGATGGTGGGTAAGACTGAAAAAGCCGGACAAGAATCGTAGCAACTAGTAGGGCAGAACAACCTAGATAGGCTACGACTGAGGACTTAATGGTGGTAAGGGTGGTCTTCGTCGTCGCCCGAAAAAAAGGGAGCGAAAAAAGGCAGAGATACGGGTTGTCGTAGGGGTAGTGTATGAATTTCTCAGAACAGAAAGGGGAGCAATTGAAGGGGACCATATCATGCATGAATATCTGCAATAGTATTCTAACACGGTAAACTAGGGTTGCACGTTATTAGGAATTGAGGAGTCAAATACGACGCATTTGGACAGAGCAGTGATGCCTTGGGTCGGGATACATCATGAGAAAAATGTCGTCTGGTCAAGTGACCACGCGGGCTTTCTCAGATTGCCTTGGACGAGCTACTAATAAGGTCTAAAGTGACACAGAGAAGTGGGATGTTGGCTGGGACAAGATGGGTTGATGTGGGGCGCACAGACCAGGCTCCCTCTGAAATGGGTGGCCACGTGAGGAAGATGAACTTTCCAGGTAGCTAATCGGAATCGGGAATCAACGGGTCCCCACTGCAGATGCCCCGCTGCAAGAGGCGGAGGGAGTGACCTCAGCTGCAGCCAACGCCGCACCGCATTCCATGTGCCGCGCCTACCTCTTGCCTGGGCTAGACACCTGCGCTTGCCATATTGCCATCACTTTTTTATTTTCTGGCTGTTGCGCCAGTCTTCAACAAGCTTCTTCTTTACATCCGTCCCTCTCCAAAAGGTAACGACGGCGGCATGGAACCAAGCTCGCTTTGATTCAGTGTCGATTCGACTCGACCGCCATCTCCCGGATCTCGTTTTCCTGTCGGCCTTGTGCTTCAACAACCATCATATTCGGAGGCTTGGTCCTGGGCTATAGGTTCACATCTTTGACTTGAAACGACGACGACAACGACGCACCACGCCCCTGTGACTCCCCTACGTTGTCGGCCAACCTTCTCTCCATTCACCGTGACGGTTCGCGCTTCACTGCAACATCGCGCCTGCTTGGACATCACTGGCTGCGGCTGGTCGTTACTCCCGATCTGTACCAGATATTCAGCGCTCACTGCCAGTGGACCAGTGGCTACTTATTTATCGCATACCTTTTCTCAACTTTTGACTGCATTTCAAGCTACATAATCTCGACGTCGGCGTCACCAACTCTCACTGCCAGCAAGATATCCAGTATCTTCTTCACATACCTGTGATGATCGCAACCACTCTTCCCAGACTGCCCATTCAAAGCCCATTGGTGTGAGACCTCCACCGCTAAATAATCGTCAAGGTCTATAGCACCAGCCTGGTAACAAGTCGTTGCCATGGAGTCTTCCAACGGTACAAATGGTTAGTCTACTCGTTGCCACCTTCAACATCCCTTTCACACTTCTGGAAGCAGGGAGTGCCTCGCTCCTGCCTGCCTATCTTACTTCTACTTCAACCTGCATATACGTCGCTCAAAACTATGTCGATTTACTGACGAAATCTCCTCTTTAGGCCGAGCAACCTTGGCAACCAACGCCCAGCCGCAAACGTGGAACGCGCAAGCGTTGCTAGCCCCTCGTTCGTACGCAGCTTCCTCAACAGGCGTGAGGCGAAACTCTCCCAAATCACAATCATTAGCGAGTCGAACGGCCCCGACAAACCACAACAACACCAACAACGCGGTTGTTTTCCAGTTTGCGAGTCCGAATGATACACCCAGCGAATCTATGACACCCGTTATGGCTTCAGGCGCGTCAACGCCAGGCTACGATGGCGGTGTTCCACCTTACGGCATGGGTAATGTTATTGAGCGAATGAACAACGTCCAGGATCGCGCCTCCGCGCCTCAGCCTAAACGCAGAAAATTCGATACGCCGGAGTCTGATGCTGACAACAAGAAGGTCATGTCAGCTGGGGGCAGCGGCATGCTTGGCGCTTATGTCAAGGAAAGACAAGAACAAGGCAAGAGCGAGAATTCAAAAGTCTCCACCCAGACCGTCGACCTGACAGGAGGTGACGATGATGTGGTCATGGTTGAGAACCCTGGCAACGAAGAGGTTTGCTACGGCATGCTCACCGGTCACCTGGATTGCCACAAGGTACCATCTGCGAAGCCAGGCACTCAGAGTATTTTCGGAGCGGACTACATGCCACCGGTGAAGATTGTTCTTAAGAGGATGACCGGAGACTCGACCAAACGAGTCCAGGCCTACGACCATACTAGAGATATTATTGGAAATGTGGACGCCGCGACAGCCAGTGGTCTAGTCCCCTTGTTGGATTCCAACGTACGCCTCAGAACAGACTGCAAAATCCCCGCGCGGAGAAAGCTGCCCGACGAACAGCCGGGCAAGCCAATTTCACGATCATATCCTGTGGAGATGACACTCTACGGCCAGTATAAATTCGCCAGAGCTGTCGGCAAGCACTTCCAGAGATTCAACATCACCCTTCGTCACCCTAACAGAGTTGACAAGGGCATTCGTTATGAAAATGTTCATGCCGAAGCCAAGCCAGCTACGACTGCCCCTAGATCTCTTTCGGGAGCGCTGGCTCACTATAACCCACAGTCATCCACCACTTACTACACAAATGCGACTCCTCGTACCGTGGAAGAGATCCGATCAGATGTCATGGGTGTCTTTGATTCTATGGGCAACAGCGACGAGCTTCCAGAGCTCGATCCATCCCCTATTGTCACCACTGAACTTCTCAAGCACCAAAAACAAGGTCTTTACTTCATGACAACGAGGGAGAAGACATCAAGTGCCGAGGAGAGAACCAAAGGCACCATGTGGCAGGTCCGAATCGGACCTAATGGTCAAAAGTCCTATTACAATGTTATTACAGGTCACGCAGAGCGACAGCTTCCAAGCGATACTCATGGCGGCATCCTTGCCGACATGATGGGCTTGGGTAAAACGTTGAGTGTCCTCTCGCTCATTGCTTCTTCTTTGGGCCAGGCCAGCGAATGGGCAGGTCGAACACCTGTCCAGCCTGAGATGCCACCTCAGAAGGCAGGAGGTAAAGCGGCTGCCTCAAGCACTTTGCCGCTGACCAACATCTCGAAAAATTCAAGGGCGACGCTGTTAGTTTGCCCCCTGAGCACAGTCACAAACTGGGAGGAGCAGATTAAACAGCATATCGCCCCGGGCAAATTGACTTATTACATATACCATGGTTCAAATAGAATCAAAGAGGTTGAAAAGCTGGCCGATTTTGACCTTGTCATCACCACCTACGGCTCTGTTTCGAGCGAACTTGGCGCCCGCAGCAAACGCAAGTCCGGCAAATACCCCCTGGAGGAAATAGGCTGGTTTCGCATCGTTCTCGATGAGGCGCACATGATTCGTGAAGTGGCAACTCTTCAGTTCAAGGCCATCGTTCGTCTCCAGGCTTCCCGGCGTTGGGCAGTCACGGGAACTCCTGTTCAGAACCGCCTGGAGGATTTGGCTGCCCTGCTTCAGTTCATCCGACTCAAACCCTTTGATGACCGCAACAAGTTTAACCGATTCATCGTAGACCCATTCAAGGCGTGTGATACAGAAATTGTGCCGAAACTTCGGGTTCTGGTAGACAGTGTCACGCTCCGCCGTCTTAAGGACAAAATTAACCTTCCCCCACGGAGCGATCACATTGTCAAGCTTGACTTCACGCCGGAGGAGCGGGAGGTTTATGATCTTTTTGAAAAGAACGCTCAAGATCGTGTCAAGGTTCTAGCAGGAAACGGCGTGCAGCGAGCGCTGGGAGGGCACACTTACATCCACATTCTGCGATCCATCTTGCGGCTCCGACTTCTCTGTGCCCACGGCAAAGACCTACTCAATGAAGAGGATCTGGAGGCTCTTCAAGGAATGACTGCTGACATGGCTATTGACCTGGACAGCGACGATGAAGACAAGAAGCCTGGGCTGTCGGATCGTAAGGCATACGAAATGTTCGAGCTTATGCAGGAGACCAACTCAGACACGTGCAGCGCATGTTCTAAGAAGTTGGGCACCAACGACGACGCCAGCATCGAGTCAGAGGGACAAGAGGACATTCTTGGCTACATGACGCCTTGCTTCCACATCATCTGCGGTTCCTGCATTAAGGGTGTCAAGGAGCAAGCCAAGCGGTTGCTGCCTCCTGGTCAGGCTATGGGACCGTGCCCTATCTGCTCTACCGTCATCAAGCCTGCTTACGTGGACATTCGTCGATCACGAATCAAGGTAGAGCACGAGGGTCCGGCGAAGGACAAGACCGCAACGAATGGCCGCAAGAGCTTTGGAAAGTATACCGGGCCGCATACCAAGACGAGGGCGCTCGTCGAAGACCTGCTCAAATCAAGAGCCGACAGTGATGCGAACCCAGAAGAGCCGCCGTACAAATCTGTTGTCTTCTCGACGTGGACCTCACATCTTGACCTAATCCAAATGGCTCTCGACGCTCTCGGTATCACGTATGTCCGACTCGATGGCAGCATGTCGCGCGTGGCACGCACTCAGGCGATGGATACATTCCGTGAGGATGATAGTGTTCATGTCATACTGGTGTCAATTACGGCCGGCGGCCTTGGACTCAATCTGACAGCCGGCAATAACGTTTATGTTATGGAGCCTCAGTACAACCCGGCAGCGGAAGCCCAAGCCGTTGATCGAGTCCACCGTCTTGGTCAGAAACGTCCGGTCCGCACGGTCAGATACATCATGCGGAACAGTTTTGAGGAGAAGATGCTTGAGTTGCAGGAAAAGAAGAACAAGCTTGCAAGTCTAAGCATGGACAGAAAGGACAGAGTCTTTGACAAGAGTGAGGCAGCCCGGCAGCGGCTGATGGACCTCCGAAGTCTCTTCAAGTAGGGCATAAAGATGATGGGCAAATCACCTTGAGGATTACGACGGCTGATTTGCATTATATTGCGCAAGCATTGCAGGAGGGCGTTTGGGTGTTTTCGGGTAAAGCAACTCGGATTGATGTGGCGGGAAGCACTCGGCCTCATCATGACTATTCTTTTTTCCTTGCTCCGTTTTTGTTACCATCTAAGGATGGGCTTATGGGTATATCATTTGCCCAGAGCTAGGTAGCTGCATTGTTGGTGTAGGGATTGGGGAGGCATTTCTCACTTTTCAACGTCCAATGACGTGACGATACCACACCGCTTCATGTTTCTTGAGAGTGAGGGCGGCAAGCATGGGATCGGTTGAGGGCGGAGTCAGGCGGCAGCTTTGAGCTTTGGTTTCATTGATTTTATTCTCTCCGTGTCGTGGTACTAGATTTGCATTAGACCTGCCAAGGCAGTCACATCTCACCTTCGGTCACAATTGGCTTTCAAGGGGGGGCTGGCATCTTTCTTACATTGCGGGCAGGATTTCATGTTGTTGGTGGCGTGGTAGTGATGTCCACTAGGTAATTCACACAAAAGTCAACCCACATGCTTAATAGTCAACCGCCGAGGGCCAGCATCGATCGTGATGACGCTTGTAGTCACCGTAGCAACAGCCACGCTGTAAAGAGTGCACTGCTGCTCTTGAATTGCGATATTGATATCAGAGGGGCGGATAGGGAAGCGCGGGGATATGGTGACCATAATCATCCTTGTCTCAAGAGTTTGTTGATAGCCAGCCAGCCAACCAACCCAGCCATCAAGTCCTGATGCAACCAAACTTGGGTCAGTGGCTTTCATTAGAGCATGCGTTCATCATGAAGTGTGCTTGCATGTGTTTCAAATCACCTGCCGCCTACGAAGCAACTCTCTCTCTCTCTCTCTCTCTCTCTCTCTCTCTCACCCGCCCATCCTCCCACCAGCGTTGTAGTTGTGTGTGTGTGTGTGTGTGTGTGTGTGAGTCCGCTGTCCGTCCCTCGGACAATTTTTTGCCTTGTTTTATTTTTTGTTGGGAAGGTCACAGTGTACTTACGGGTAAGTCGGGGGGTGTGGAGGCGGGGGGGAGGTATGATTCACTCCTTTTTTTAGTTAGTTTCCTCCTTTACACTACCTACTCTACAAACACATACGGACCACACACACACACACATACACACCCCCCGGGACAGGCGGCGGCCGAGCCGTTCGCCCGGCTCTCCGCCCCAACACCGATTTTTTTTTTTTTGTGGGCGGTTCGCGCCAAGAAGACACACACAAACAGACACACGTACCACACGTCCCCATGTCCCACACAGGCAGGCCCCTTCCCCAAGACAAGCCTTTAAACACTCATCCCGTCAAACCAACCATCCCCTTGTCTGCCGGGCGCGGGACGATGCCAAGCGAGCTTTTCAACGACAGGTAAAGAGGACGGACGGGATGAAAGGGAAAGCATGTGATTGCGGCTCTAGAGATGGGCGGAATGGAGGGTCAATCTGTTCGACGTCGACGTGGTCCAGCGTAGCGCTTTAAGCTTAGTCCTTGTTATGGGAGGTCGGCAGGACTTACGACGCGCCATACAATGCATATTTGATCCGACCTGATGCCATATAGTACAGTCTCACGAGTATCAAGTACGATGGTAAGGACATATGAGGATGAAGTGAAGTTTCTTGTCATTCCAATTCGCTCCCTGACGAGCCTTTTGTTTTCTAATATAAGCAACAGTTTTGGTACTGTAAGTGAACGCCTTCTTGCAATGCCCGACCCCGCAAACGCCATAAAAGATGAAACCACAACTATGAGGTCGGCTGTTGCTTTAACTCCTCCCGAGCTCATTCAGTCGAGAGCAGTGTAAAAGAAGAACCACCAAATACGGCTTGATAGCCGCAGAAAGCAAACCCCGAATATTCGCATACCTTGCATTGCGAGTAGTATCTGGGCCGATGCTTGAAGTGAAAGTTTAGAGCTCCCACATCACCTTCCTGGTTGTTTGGTTCGAAGCAAGCCTCCCATAATCATTAATTTTAAGCCAGTCCTCATCTCATTCATGCAGCGTCGGCGCTAGCGACGGGTGGTTGAACGCGGGTGACCTGATCGCCAGCGCGGGTGATACGCTGGCCGTTAGAGTCGGTAATGTAGGTCATGTCCTTGTTTTCGAACTGAGCCCGCTTCCAGATCTCAACCTCGCAGCCACCACGAAGAACACCGACGCGCATGGTGGAAAGCAGGTTGTGGGCAGCGTTGGAGTGAAGGTAGACACCGCCGTTGAAGATAGCGGTGGCGTCCTTTCCGATGGCGGAAGAAATGAGCGCCTTGCCACCGGGGTGGTCCTTGATGAAATCGGTTACATCATGAATAACACCAGCAATGGCAACGAGACCGCGGCCGTTCTTAGCCTGGGAAACAAAGTCATCCCAGTCGATGACGGGCAATTGCTCAAGAGGGACACCCCAGTCAAGGAGAGCACGCTTCTGGTCAAGCTTCTTTTGGAGCTGCTGAACACGACCTTTCTCGATCTCGTTCTGGCGGAACTGCTTGAGGTCGGAGGCGAGGCCAAGCTGCTTCCAGGTCCAGATGCACCACTTAGTAGGGTCGTACTGCCACCACTGAATAGCGTTGCGGTAGTCGGAGGGAAACTCATGGTGGAAGTTGTGGTATCCCTCACCGAGAGTGACGAGAGCAGTGATGACGTGGTCACGAGGAGAGTTGCGGTCATCGAAGGGCTGCTCACCGAGCCAGTGAGCCAGGGAGTTAACGCAGAAAGTAGCCTGCTGGACGAAGAAGATGCGAAGAATACCGCCGTAGACGTAACCGCCCATCCAATCACCCCAGCCAAGGCCACAAACAAGGGTAGGGAAGACAACGCCCATGCCAATGACACACTTGATGAAGTGAATGTGCTGCCACATGACGACGGGATCCTCGTTGAGATCGGAGATATCGGTTCGGCCCATGCGCTTGGGGTCCTGCTTCATAACCATCCAACCAATGTGGCTGTACAGAAGTCCCTTGCGAACGGAGTAGGGGTCCTTGTCGGTGTCGGTGTATCGGTGGTGAGCGCGGTGGCCGTGGGACCACCATCGGATAGAGCCCTCAACGGCACCGGCGCCAACAGCGGCGAGGTAAATTCTGAGGGGAAGGCTGGCCTTGTACGAGCGGTGAGCCCAGAGACGGTGGTAGCCGGCGGTGATGCCAAGACCAGTGTTGAAGTAGTAGACGACGGCGAAAATGGCCGTCTTCCACTGAAGAGGAACCCAGTAGGAGGAGATGAGACCAATCATGGGGATGATCAGGATGAAAGTCGTGTTCAACCAGTTCACATGTTTGTACCAGTTGCCCCAAGTGATTGGCTGGGTGGAACTGTTCTAAGGGTTAGCAAGTGGTTGAGGATTGTATAAAGCATAATACAAGACATACATATGAGGTTTCTTGTTGTCATAGGCCTTGTTGACACGGGCGGGGACGTAATCGGTAGTTCCGTCGGGAAAGTGGTCGGCCTTCTTGGCCGTTGCGGCCGAGGACGAAGTCGTCGCCATATTGAAGAATAAAGGCCAACGGGCTTCAGATGTGAGGTCGGCGGTTGTGTTCACTAGACGAGGTACTCCGGGGGCTGCCTGAGCCGGAGACAACTCTAACGATGCTTGTTGCCTTTGGGAGGAAGCAACGTCCACGGTAAGGTTGATGTCCAAGGACCGAGAGGGACGGTGTGGACTCTTGAGGTGAAGTAAAGAAGTCTGAGGACGAGAATCTTAAAGTGAAGGGGGAAAATGAAGAGTTGTGAGTTATATAAAGGGAAACGGATAGGTTAAACAGACCCCAGCAAGGAGGAAAAGGTAGGGAGTACGGAGGCCGGGGTACCTTTGGGCGAGGTGTCCGCCACCCACCAGCATCAAAAAAAAATCCCAGCAAACGAGTTGAGTGGGAAGTGGAAGGGTGGGAGGGGTGGTGGGGAGGGGGGTGTCAGTGAAGTAATCAGGCCAGGTCCGGTCAGTCACCATCACCCAAAAATGCAAAAACAGATGTACCGTGGGTCGTGGGTCGTGGGGTTCAACTTGACTTGCTGGAAAGGAATGGGCGGGACCTCGATCTGGCCGGGATTTGCAAGGAAAATGGGCAGATTGGAAGGGGGAAGAAGAAGCTTCCTGGTTAATTACTACCAACGTAGTGTACGTCGTGGAGAGTGGGCACTAGCTATAGCCTCGTCTCGCTTCCGAAAGGTACCGGACGACGCGTGTATCCGAAGGGGGAGGGGCCATATTGCTGCTACTCACCTACCTATCCGGCGGGAAATGCTGGCCGAAAGGAATTGGCATGCAGTTACCAGTATAGAGTACAAAAGTAGGTTGGCAGGGCACAATGCTGTCTGTACTTCCTCAACCTCCAAGCGCAGGGAAGGTACCAGGTGTGAGTTCCCTTGCAGATATACCAAATGGTGGTGTAAAGAGCTCGTAATAGGAAGTGACCTTCTTCACTTGCTTTACATCACAGCAACTGCCATGCATAATGGTGGTTTTGCCGGTACCCTACCCACCCCATTGCCAATTCACCAACCGACGAGTGACATGGAAGGTTAAACTGGGAAACAAGGCATTCCTTTCCTCTCTCCCATCTCTCCGTCGGTCCGTCTCTTGCCTGACTTAGCTTCGGCCTTAACCTCACGCCCATGTATACTACTACACAGAGCATCGTCTAAGGTGTGTTTACGCATCTCTCTTCGTTGGGGATCAAGGTGGGCAGATTTGCTATCTAGATATCTTTTTTGAGAACCAACTCCCAAGGAGCCAACAAAAAGCGCTCGAATGTCATCCAACACAACGAAAGCGGCAAATAAAACATGCCATCAACGACTCGGGTGCTGGGAATCAGAAGTAAATTCAGTGCCATTTAACATATAGGAACCCTCCGCACAGCCGAGGATAAGACGATTGACGGCCCCAGATCAGGTCACACCTTCGTTGGCTTTTTCCTTCCCTGTCAGGATCTGGGGTTGCGCACGCATTTTCTCTTAGGGTGGGAGGTTGTCAATCTGCATTGAATAACTGGCAAGCACTCACGGGATGTGGTCCAAAGGAAAAAAAAAGGCCCCGGCTCCCAACAACTTCCCCAACGCTTTTCAATATGACGGGTACCTGATTGGATAGAGCAGGGGGTACTCCCTGCCATGTGGTCGCCGCTGGGGCGGGGCGGATGGGCGGCTGGATTTGGCCTTACCTGTTCTGGACATAGTATCCACATCTAACTTGCTCTTCCCACGACTCCTCAGGGCTGAGCTGCCTCTCCACGAGAAACAAAGCACAGCACGAGGCCTAACTGTCTACTGCCGTAGACCTAGTCTTACGGAGTATACTTCATGCAAACACCGAATTGCAGTTTCTTTTTTTTTTTATGCATATTCATATGCCGTCTCTTTGCGGGTTTCATAAGTGGCAAAATCTGAGGAACATACTCGTTAGCATTCACCGCGGCTCCTGTTTTGCAAAGCCTGCAGTGTGAATTCTTCCTCCGCCTTACCACATGCAGTAGCTCTGTTCCTGCAGCAAATCTGTCTTCCTTCTGATCTGGGCGTTTCCATCAACAAACTGCTTACCGCTTCATCAGACGAGAACTGGCCATGCTTATCCCCCAAGTCGGCTAGAATGGGTGAAATCGGAACCCCTCAAAAGTAACTGAGGCGACCTTTTGTCGCAAACTTCGAATCATTGTCTCAGACAAGACCAACCTCTTCTGAGCTCCGCTGTATCATGCGTGACAGCACACAGTTCAATAACGAAGGACAAGCGCGCCAACATAGTTGAATCGGCGGTGGCGGTTCGTTCTGTGTCCTCCCTCAACATGTTCCCCACTCAAGCTCCATCGAATGACGGAGGTCTCACGTTGCCTTCGAGCTTTACAGTGGTAGGGTTCCTCCACCGACAGGGAACTTATCGCTCTTCCTTATCGCCGCGACAACCATTTCGTGGAACTCAAAATTATGCCAGCTGCCTCATTCATTCCCATTCGTGATCTCAGGACCACCCACCCGTTGATGACAACGGGCGGCGCCTGCGTTGAGGATCTGAAGAAGCCCTATCAGTGATGGGAACCATCTACCCCCACCCATCTTTACCTCGGCATCTGGACTTGCCATCTTGTGATACTCACGTTTGAATCGAGCCCGTTCTGCCCATGACCTCGCTTTTCCCCGACCGGCGATCTTTTTAGAGAAAAAAGACGACATCTGCGATCCCACTTTGGTATCCCGGTCCATCCCCAACAGAAACAGGACCCTGCCCCGCAATCCTCCGCCCCAGAGCTGCAGGTAACGGCAAGGATCGTAGGTTTCCTTGCTGCCCGCCGCCCCAGCGACGTTCTTCTCTGGTGGATTTTTTTGTTGCTCCTTGCCATTCCTTTTGCACTCTGGGTAGCGGTGGCAGGTAATTACTCACGTGGAGATTAGATAACTGCAACACCTCACGACAGCATCCATGAGGGAGCGATTCACTGAGGCTTGCCTCACGCCCCTTTTCATCCGAGGAAAATACGGATAAAAGAAATGGTTTTGCCATTCTGGAACCTTTCCGTGCTAACCCAATACGGTAAGGCGCTCTCTTTCTCACCTCGCCGCCGCCGCCACACCCGACCCGCCCTGTCAATCCAAAACTCTTTTCATCCAAACTTGTTCGCCACGGGAGCTAGCCGATCATGACTTGATGCACCCAAGCTCCAAGAAGCTCCAAGAAGCTCCAAGCTGGAAGCTCCGAGCTCCCTCACTCGTCATACAACATCTGGCCTCGATTCTGGGACTGACCTCTCGCTTTCTCGCCGCAATTTCGCAAGATTAGAACTGCTACGTGAAGCAAATGTATCCCTCGACACCTTTCTGGAATTGATACGACGACTCCTATTCGACCTCTTACCGTTTCCTTCTTTCAGCTCTCAACTTCATATTCTCCTCCAGGACACACAAAGTTCTTCCGAAGGAGAAGAGCTTGTAGTGTAGAGAAAAATTTGGGCAAGTCCTAGTTCTCAATCTTGCCACTCCACTTTGAATAGGTCGATTTTGTACCAATCACCATCTATTACACTTACATGGTTCCTGAATATTTACACCGATGCTATGCTCGAAAATCCGTTGCCATGGCCAAAACAAAACAAAACAAAACAATTTCCTCCTATACTCTGATAACAAAGGTGTTCGCATGCAAAGTCGCCTGGAAATGCGTAGCCCTCCTCTCCTTTGTAATGTTACACCCGTCATTTCTGAGCATCTGTCGATATCGTTGGCGCTGTCTTTGCCACTGCTAAATCATCATCAAAGGACATCTTCTCCCGCATCATCCGTTCATTCGTTTCCAAGTATGCCGCTCCAACTCCCTTGAGTTCAAGTGCTTCTACCTTGTGGGTGCCAGTGGATTCATCTGGTACTAGCTGGAAAGCCGGCTGGGAGACTCGCTGTTTGGCCTCCTCCTCAGTATTTGGAAGCTGTATCTCAACTAAAGATTCTGCTGGCCACACTGTGGAACCCGGTGCAGTCGTCGTCGGCGATTTCACAGATCCGGCCACGGTCTCAGCCGTGGGCTCCGGCTTGGCTTCGGCTGTTGGTGGGGTATCCCGGGTAGGTGGTAAGACAAGACTCTCTGCCGCCGTATCCTTGTGCTCGGTGTCCAGAGCCCCGATCACCGCATCTGCTCCCTCGCTCGAAATGGTGTTCTTCCTGTCCGTTTGGTCTCTGGGTTCTGTATCCCCCTTTGCTACGGGCGCTGATTGCCCTGCTGTCTCTTTTTCCTCGGCCAGCATCTCTCTTCCTACACTCGCTTTAGTGCCACCATTTACTCCCGCTGTTCCTTCATCGATAGTGACGTTTTTAATCGTCATGGGGCTTGCCATTGTGGGCCGCGTGTCGACAGGGTCGACTGAGGAGCATGGTTCAGCGTGCTGGTCCCTAGTCAAGACCCTCGCAAGTTCTTCGCCCACAAGCCTGGTGTTCTCCTGCATAGGTGTGTGGTCCATGTCAGCTTCGTCCAAAGGTGACAGATCATTGGACATATGCAGATCCTCCAGTTTCCGCTGCATAGCCTTACTCGCTTCCTCCAGAGGCTCTGGCGTCGCGATAGAATCCTTGCTTGTTGTCGGCGTTGCACTCTTCGGCTCCTCGATTTCGTCCACCCCGATGTCGCTGTATGACGGCGCAATATTCTTAGCGCCCGCCCACGCTGAGATGTTCCGGCCCATGTTGGGAGAGTCGCAGCGTCCGTAATGACTTGGCAGTGGACTTGGGGGCGATCGGCCTCTGGTGTAGTAGTAGGGATCTTGCGAGTATCCCATGTTGGGGTTGACGTACGTATGTCCCATGTTCACATATGACCAGTCCTGGGACGGCTGGACAGTCCTGACCCTCGCCTGGCCATTGCCTTGATATCCGTCCACGAAGTATTCTTGCATGGAATAGCCGTCGTCCACTGATATGGAAGGAGGAATATCATGGACATCATCCGTTTCAGGGAACAGTGTTAAGATCGAAGAAGCTTGTGGCCGTGACCGTGGATCTTCGCTAAGGCAAATATCCACAACCTCGCGGTACCAGGCTGGAACAATGCATTCCTCTCCCAGCTGCAGAGGACGCCCTTGAGCTTCAGGCTCATCGTCTTGTGTTGCCAGCGCCCACAGAACCATGCCGAGCTGATAAAGGTCAGATTTGACCCCGATATACATTGAAATACGCTGGTTGCTCTCAATGAGCGGGGTTGCTTCTGGAGGCTCCCAGCCCATAGGGCACCCCCGCCTGTTAATATCGATGATCTTGGCGTCATCATCATAGTCAATGACAATATTCGAGAGGGTGAAGTCGCCTTGGACAAAACCGGCCTCATGGATGTCTGCCAGGCCTTGTACGATTTGACGTGCCCACTTCTCACGGATTGGCCAGGGCAGACCGAGCTCTGACTCTTGCCGGTTATCATAAATCACATCAATGAGCGCACCGTGGACGGCGTAACTGATGAGTAGCCCTTTAACGTGTTCATCGTCGTCGTCGACAACGACACCGTAGAACTGAATGATGTTGCGCGAGTACCGTAGTCGATTCAAGGCGTTGATTTCATAGAGGAATTCGTCGATAGTATCAGGTCCCGGGATTTCTTTCTTAATAAGTACTTCGCCCCCAACGCAGACCTTGTACACAAAGCCAGACATATGGGAGTCGAATTCAATGTCTCGTTCTTTAATCCTTCGGCACCCTAGATGCTGCACTTGACGGACGGTGGGGTATTGAATGATTTCCTGTCACGAATTAGCAAGTACATGGCTTTGTTAGGTTTTGGAACGCACATTTACGTCTTCCACCACATGAACATGAAGCCGGCCATCGGTAGTTTGTAGTTTGAGGTTGGTGACGGATGGGTAAAACTGTATATCCTGTAGGCTATCCCTGATCGCTTCATAAATCTTGGAGCTTTTGTCGCGTTGCGACTTGTTGTGTAGTAAGTCCTTCTCAAGTGAGCCGTCGGGAGCATTACGGTAGTCCAGTGAGATAGTCACCCGACGCCACAGGGTAGGTGTTTCTCGATAGGTAACGAAGAACTTTTCTCGTTTGGACTTGTCCCGGAAATGCATGCTGAGGTTGAGAATCCAAGTAGTCTCGAGTTCTTCATGAATCATGGCGTCGTACTGGGATTGGGATGTCGTTACTGAATGCGCGTCGGAGTTTGACTGGATGTCAGGCCCTTGATACTCTTCAACTGCGGGCTCTGCCACTTGAGCTACCATCTGACTTAGACTTCCGTCGGTCCTGCCCTCAATAGGGCTAGCCGGAACAGACGGAGCTGACTGAACCTCGAAAGAGGCATTCTGGAAGAAGTCCGGAGCGCTGGCCCGGGGAAACGTCTGAGATTGAGACGCTGTTCGTGACGGCTGCACGCGTCTATCTACTGACAGGGCCCGCCTCTCTGCCGGCGAGGGCTCAACGGGTGCAAGGTTGTTTCTACGTTCCGACTGTTGACGTTTGAAGGTCTGTACGCGAGGAAGTCCGGGCACGACCTGTCTTGAGACTCGGCGCCCGAGCTCAGCGTGTTGCGGGTCGTCAGAGTCAGGTTCGGGTTCGGGCTCGGGCTCATTAGCGTGGGACGGGCCGACGGCACCTAAAGCCGGAGACCCATTGTTTCGTCCGAAGAGTTTACGAAGAAAGCTCGTGTTGGCGGGTTGGTTCGCCGACGACGGCGGTGGCTCCATGGAGGAGACGCTCGTTTGCGCCATGAGGAATTGCGCTGATGTCAGATCTTTGTCGGATCCTTGAAGAACTTGACAGGACGGTGAGAGATGAGGCTCTGGGCGGTATAGTTATGGGGGAAGTATAGTAGTTATGGATGGGCTTGCGAACCACGTCCCGGAGCTATCAGGCGGGGGGACAAGGATAAGCCTTGAAGGGAAAGACGGTCAACCTCAAGCCTGGTTTGGGCCAGTCTCGGTACCGGGTCTGAGCTAAATTGGGCTTGCAGCGACTGGGAAGTGGTGAAGCGCGGGGAAGGCGAGACAAGAATGACGGCGGGTGTCTTTTTGCGGACGTTTAGTTGCAACTCGAGGGTGGCGGGCAATGCGCAGATAGCCACGGGGCAAATCAGGACATCAGATGCTGCAACGAAAGACGACGGGTATGCGCAAAGAAATGTCGAAGAAGTCGACCATGGTCAGACGAGAGGGACAGGGACGAATAAACAACGACGCATCGGCCAGGACTCGCAATGCCTTTTTGAGGAATTGGGAGAATCAAGTCGGAGGCTATTGACAGATAATTGGTGCAGGCGAGGCTAGCTGCGAAGTATGCGTTGTCATCCAGGGGCGTTCTGAGAGAGCTGGGTGGTGGTTCTCAAATATCGAGAACCCCGGATGGGCTCACTTTGGACAATAGTCAGGCAGTCGAGAATGGCGGCGTGTGCCTGGGGCTGTATTGGCGACAGATCGACTTGGCGGAGAGATATGATTTGCCTGACCTCTAGACGGGGGCTATGCAGTGCGGTGCTTGAGTCGAGCTTTGTCGCTCTAGGTTTCGGCCAGAGAGGAATGGTTTGGAATTGAATAAATACAGTTGATGTCGACAGTCGAGCTATGTACCGATGTAGGGTATATACAGCTGGATCAGATCGAAAGTCGGGCCTCACTGGGCTTGCCTGGAAGAGACGTAAGTGCGAACGTGAGGGCGTGATGGCTACGCGTGGTAGACTAGATGAGGCGAGCGTCCGTCTGATTTGTATAGAAAACAAGAGACAAATGACCGGGGGGTTCCGAGAGGAGGGGGAGGGGCACCGTTGCCCTGGACGGCTGTCTCGTGGGGTTCAGCTTCAGCTTCTGGAACCGTTTTCCTTTTCCCGCAGCGGAATATCCCAAGTTGTGCATGCATGCAGGAGGAGCGACTGAGGCGAAGAGGGAGCAGAAGCTGGAGATTGGAGCTGGAGCTAAGACAAAGTCATGTTTCTTGTGCTGCAAGAAACCGGGTGCCGCATGAGGCCTTGTCGAAAGAACCACAGACCAATAGAAATGTCAGGCGGGGACGGCGATCTTCGTGAGCCTTTCAAATGGATGGAGCGGGCGGAAGAGTACGAGGATGAATGAGAGAATTGAGCTCCTTTCGGAAAGAAGAAAAAAAAAAGAACGGAACGGCCAGTGAGTGCAGAGTTTACGGCTGACAAGAGGAAAACAGCGGACGCTAAGGCACCTTAACCGGTGCGTATATTGCAACATGTACATTCCCTTGCAACTATACTTGGGCACTGATGGCTGTACCTGACCCTGCCCTATGATACCCCCATCCCAAGGTGAGGTGAGGTTGGGTCAGGTCCCACTAGTCGAACGGCTTTACCTTCTTTGCTGTGTCGTACTGTAGCTGTAAGCAACTCGCGCTAAGCGGGAGGGTGCGACCTTAGGAGCTTGACCGTTTATGGAGGTGGGGCTTTCCTAACTTCGATGCGCTGTCCCTCTCCTTTCCCATCTGTGTGGGCGTTTAGTGGCCGCTCTTCTTTTTTGTTTGGAGTTGTGGGCCTGTCGGGGAAGAGTGAGGGGGGTTTAAGGACTAATCACAGTGTGTGTCTCCTATACATTGACAGGTACACTCCTTCTCTATCTGTCTTGAGGAGAGGCATCCGCAAGGCACGTTTCTCTTTTGGGCTGCAACGGCCCGTTCATCTTCAACATTCATTGGGTGAATGCCATGAGGCCTTTAGCAACACAATGCCTCCAGCGCTGTTATCCTCCCCCTGCCCGAGGCCGCCCACCTTCACGACAATGGATACGTCTTCTTCTCCATACACCTTTAGCGGCTTCCTGTTCATGTATGGAGTACAACAACCTGAAAAATTCAAACCTCCCCTCGCAATTGGACATTGACTTTTGTGGGAATTGGGTTCGTTGGGCTCTCATCCAGACATTCTTACAAACCTGCCAACATCCACCTCGTGGCTGCAAAGCCCCCTTTACATTAATCAACTCCAGAACTGGCAACTGACCGCCCTTTTGTTGTCATCTTTGATCCACACGTCAAGATAGGTCGTGACATGGGTGGCTAGAAGATGATCAGAGGCAGACAGTGGTTTCGAGATGCCCCGTGACAGGGGCATGTCATAATGGGTCCCCAAGCCCGGTGCCCACCAATTAGTGACTCAATTGCTCAGGGGCCCGCGGCATATCTGGGAGATCTGGGCTTGGGGCCTGTTGTCCGATTGCGCACCTGCTGCTCCTATTTTCGTAGGTGACGGCGGCCAAAGCCGGGTCCCCGAGGCGCCAGTTTTACTCCTTCGAGGAGTCACGAACTGTCCAAATAGGTATGTTGAGGTTTTGCCAGTTCGCTATTTTTTGTCCGCCAGTCGCTGGTGTCAGTCATGTCAAAACCGACTCTGATAACTTCTCTAAAGCCGAATGGAGGGCACTAACAGCCTGAATCCTCCTATTCTGACATAAATATCTCACAAATGATGGCGCCTAACAGTCCTCTTCCGCTCACCAGCCTCCGGCCAAGGACATGCTCTGCGCGAAGTCTACACAAGTGATGAGCCTTCTTCGCCTTTCGACGTCGAAGGCTGCTCTAGAGGTACAAACAGAAACGAAGGGATGGAATACCCACGTGCTTACTATTCTTATGCGGAAAGGCCGTCATCTGCACGACCCAAAAATTCCACCCACAGCTGGGAAGCCAACACATCGCCATCAGCACTCCACCATCAGCCACCCTTTAACCGTCCACAGCCTAACGCTACGCAAGGTTCAAGGTAACAACTGTAGCTAGTTGTTGCGTCACAGATGATGGAACGGCAACATCGCACCTTCATGCATAGACGAAACGAACTGGTCCCGTCTCACTAAGAATCACCTTGCTGGAGGTTGGTGCCCTCGGCTGCAATACAGCGTCTCCTCCACGGGTTCAGGCTCCGAAGGCTGTTTGCTTACCCCCGACCCCTGCTCGTCCTAGAAACAGCTCCCCGGCATAATTAGTATCCAGTGCAGCTAAACCGCTGTTGCTTTTTTTTTTTTTTTTTTCAGAATGGAATATGTCGTTCAGGACTGTATGCCTCAGGTTGTCAGCCCTGCCTACCTGTCAACGTCAATGGCCGGGCTTAGGGGACACTATCCCACGCTGGCTGCATTTAGGCATCGACGCAGCCCAAATAGTGAGGCTGCCTTGTCAGTGACAGGCTCTCCTGTACGCATGGCTTGCATATACATTATGCTCACTAGGATACCAGGCGAACTCTCGCTTTATTGGCGCTGGGATGGATACCATAGCAGGGCCTTGCTGTTTCCAGCAGGCTGCGGTTTCCTAAGAGCATAAACGCTGCAATACCTTCTTCCAATCTCGACCACGTTTAACGGTTGCTTCAAGCTTTAGAAGCAGGCATAGCCATCCTTCGATAGGCGATAGCTCCAATTACAAGTCTGGTGATCTCCCGTCTTCAACATGGTAATAGCATACGGCTTGAGAGATTCGAGATCGATGATCAGTGGCGAGACAAAACGGCACAGAAAGATATTGGTGTGTTGATGCTAGGGTCTTCCCGCCTGCCCCTATGACAGATCCCAGCCGACCCGAGTGTCTTCCCGCAAACCCCACCGATCCCGCGGGGGTGGATGGGCCTGCTACCGGATTAGACCCTGAAGAATAGCGTCAGAAAAACCCCACCATCTCGTTATCACCTTGACTTCCAACACCAAGCGTCAGCAACCGCACAAATTTGTGTACGTCTCGATATCGAAACAGCCGACTATGACTTATTGGTTTACAGTCAGGCACACGGCATATGTAACCATGTATCAGACTTGTGTTGAACAACAAAGCTTGTCATATATCACAAATGGCGGCCGTCGTGTACTCCAGCACCCAGAAGACGGCCATCTCACCATTGGATCGTCTCGGGGCTCCAGTCCCATTACGGCGAATTGGCTTATAAACAATGCGTGCACCAGCCCGGCATGACAACGACGTCAAATTGCAGTGGCCCTAGAAACCCAAGAGTGGCCAGGCCGACTCCATCTGCAGGCGTCAGCATTTACGGTAAGTTGGTCTATGTCTGGTATATTGGGCCTTCCTTCCTTATTCCACTTTGCTCGCCTCGGATGGCATCGACTGGAGGTCACGCCGCTCCCTCGATCGGAAAACTAATCGAAACTGCAATGCTACTGACGCAATTGTTTATGCACCACAAGATTTCTTTTCTACGAACCGCGTCTTGGAACAAGCCTCGATATGTGGTTATTCGCCGAGTGCCCTATGCACGGCTCACGACCATAATGTACAACAGTGTCTCTCTGCCCAATAGCTATCCTATGCAAACATGTCGCCCTGTTCGAATCCCTCTCAGCCACCACCACCACTACTACTGCTCCTCCTGTTGCTGCGCGGGCTATGCTATTGGTTGTTTGTTTGCAACCCTACTCTTACAGGGGCCGGTCCCGGCCATCTTCCACACCTTACTTCCCCTACACCAATCAAGCCAACCAAATAAAAACGAGATGCAAAAAAAAAAAGATAATCATCTAGAGTAGAGATGCTGTGTTGTTGAAAGTGTGTCAGCACGCGCGTGACAGCTTTATGCGGGTTCGTCTAATCGTTTTGTGTGAAGACAAAAAACTCTTTTCTTTGCCCAGAACGTCCATCCAGTCATCCGCGCCTGCGCCGCAACCTCTCTCGCCTGGCCCTTCCCCCTTCAGAGGACCTCCGGGCACAAAACCCTTGTCCGGAGCCGCCATGGCTGGCGGGATCGTCGTCAAAGGGTGCAAAGAGGCCGGTCGGGTCGAGTCGTCGGAGTAAGCATGAGGCCTAGAAAGGAGACGGGGGATTGTTTGGGCGGGATGTAACGGAGGTAGTCCTATCGACCACCATTATTCTGGAATCTAATCGTCATCCTCATCGTCAGAGTCGTCCTTCTTGTTCTTCTTTTCCTTCTTCTTCTTTTCGTCCTGCTCCTTCTTCCACTCGCAGACCTTGCACTTGTTGGCGGCCTCGCGGTCGACTTGGGGAAAGATGAGCTCAAAGACGTCCGAGTACCAGCCGACGGGCTTGCCCTCGATGCCCTCCTTGATGTTCTGTAGTCTAATGTCAGCTTGCTGTTCGGGCCACGTGAATGATTCTCTTGATGTCTTGTACTTACCTCTGGGAGCTCGAGCCAGTCCGACATGTTATCCTTGGGGAAAATGATCATTTTGCATCCGGCACGGCGCGCGGCGACAGTCTTCTCACGGAGACCACCGATGCGGAGCACCTTGCCGGTGAGGGTCAACTCACCCGTCATAGCGACGGTGGGGTTGACAGGGGTATCGAGAGCAAGAGAGAGAAGAGAAGTGGCCATGGTGATACCGGCCGAAGGTCCGTCCTTGGAGACGGCGCCGTCAGGCACATGCAGGTGAAGCTTGGCCTTGTCGAAAAAGTGGTTGTCAGGGAACTCCTTGACCATGAGGGCCTTGGCGAATGAGTAGGCGATGGTCGACGACTCCTTCATGACGGACTTGAGGTTACCTGTAATCTCGAGGCCGGGCCTGCTGCTGGGCCGCAGAGGGGCTTGGAGAATGGACTCGACGTACATGGCGGCACCGCCCATCTGAGTCCAGGCAAGACCCATAGAAACACCGGGAGGGTTGACCTCATAGAGCCGGTCAGAGGTGAAGACGGGGGGGCCGACGTAGTCGACGAGGTTCTCCTTGCCAATGGTAACGTGAACAGTGTCCGGGACATTGAGAGCGACACGAGGCTTCTCGGTGGCGGCGGTCTCGGCCGGCTGCTCACCAGTCTCACGAGCGGCTTCAGTCTTCTTCTCCGACTCCTCGAGGGCCTCCTTGCCGTCCTCAGTCAAAGCCTCCTTCTCGGGGAGTACCTCCTCGCCGAGGTCCTGCACGATCTTGAGAGCGGACTTCCGGTAAACCTTCTCGATTTGCTTCTTGAGGTTCCGAACACCAGACTCACGAGCGTAAGACTTGATGAGCTCCTCAATGGCCTCCTCGCTAAGCTTGACGTCGGCGTTCTTCAGACCCGCGGCCTCCTTGGCGGCAGGGGCGAGATATCTATCGGCGATGGCCTTCTTCTCGTCGGCAACGTAGCCAGACAGCTGGATCAACTCCATGCGGTCAAGAAGGGGTCTCGGAATAGTGTCGGTCATGTTGGCTGTGCAGACGAAGAGGACCTTGGACAGGTCGACGGGAACATCCATGTAGTGATCCAGGAAGGAGCTGTTCTGCTCAGGGTCGAGCAACTCAAGCAGGGCAGAAGACGGGTCACCCTGGTAGCCGCGGCCAATCTTGTCGATTTCATCAATCAAGATCAAGGGGTTCTCGGTCTGGCACTTCTTCAGGGCTTGGATGATACGACCCGGCAGAGCTCCCACGTAAGTACGTCGGTGACCCTTGATCTCAGCCACGTCAGTGAGACCACCTACACTGAATCTGTAGTATTGGCGGTTCAGGGCGCGGGCGATAGACTTTCCGATAGATGTTTTTCCAACACCGGGAGGACCGACAAAGCAGATAATCTTGCCCTCAACGGTACCGCGGAGCTTGCCCACTGCAATGAACTCCAGGATACGGTCCTTGACATCCTTCAATCCATAGTGATCCTCATCCAGGACCGTCATGGCGTTTTTGATACCAAAGTTCTCGGCACTGCGCTGTCCCCAGGGAATCTGCGTAAGCCAGTCCAAGTAGTTCCGAGTCACGTTGAACTCAGAGGCAGCAGGTTCGAGGTGTGCAAGCTTGTTGATCTCGTCGTCAAACACCTTGCGTACAGCCTCGGGCATCGCAAGCTTATCAGCCTTCTCCTTGAACCTCTCGACCAACTTATCCTTTCCGTCAGACTCCAAGCCCAGCTCACGCCGGATGCCCTTCATCTGTTCCATCAGCCAATACTCGCGCTGGCGCTTAGTAATCTTGCTTTCAACATCCTTGGTAATCTTGGACTGCAGCTGGGCGTTCATGAGTTCCTTCTTCAGAACAATCAGGGCCTTCTGCATTCTCTCCTCGACGTTAAGGCTGGAAAGAACTTCCTGTAGTTCACCCTGCTCGCCCGAAGACACTGCGGCAGCAAAGTCGGCAAGCTTAGCGGGCTCGGAGGTGACATTGCCGGTCGACTGGCTCATGGAAAATGTCGAGATCTGGTCCCGGAAGAGGCTGTTCATGGTTGCAACCTCCTTGAAGACATTGACAATCTCGTTGGTCACGGCTCGGATGACGGCGCTCTTGGGGTCGTAAGGCTCTTCGGTCAGGTTCTCGACATTAACGAGACTGACGGGGTATCTCTTAAGGAAGGCGGTGGGCTCGTACTTCTCGGCGGCCTGGTCCGGCTTGGGTGCTACGGCACTCTCCTCAAAGCTTGCAACGACATCGCCCTTCTTATCTGCCTGCGCCTCTTCTTCTGTGGGCTTCGGGGGTATCGGCTCGGGGACGGGCTCGATCTTGGCCTCGCTTGCCTTCTTTTCCTCGGTTCCAGGAGGCAATAGGCTGGACAAACGGATACGGCGGTGAGGGTACAGAATTGCTGTCAGACTGCCCTGCTCCCCATGCATGGGGAAGGCGCTCGTGATTTGTGCGAATACACCAACGTCGTAGACGTCATCCACATTACGGATAACGTCCTCGTCCTGGTTCTCGTCCTTGAAGAGGAACGCGCCAACGTACGGCTGGCCTCTCTTGATCATCTCGGTGATGGCAGCGGCTACATTGGGATCCTTAATTGTGATAGCCTTGTAGAATCCGGGGAACAGCGGTCGCTTCGCGATGGGGATGGCCAGAACCTGGGGGTACACGTCCGGCACGACGGGCTTCTGCAAGCTCTTGTCCGAGGACTTGCGTCCCCTACGGCCGCTGCCGTCGCCCTTGTCGTCACCACCTCCAGAGCCCGCCGATGAGCCGCCCGCCGCACTGCCGGCCTTTCCATCTTGTGCTCCTCCCGAGCCTTCATTTTTGGCGGATGACTCGGAGCTAGAGCTCTTCGCCTCGGTCAGCTCCTTCTCCTCGAGCTCGCGTTGGTGCTTAAGGTTGGCCTTTTGTTCCTCCTCGGACAATGGCTCAACAGCACGGTCGAAGAAGCTGTTGTCTTCGTCCTTTAGGCGGTATGTCGAGGTCGAGAACTGGGCAGCGGCTCGCTGGGTCCGGGGGGCGGAGAGGAGAAGGCGGTCGAAGGTTGACGCGGAACACCTCGGAGCACTCGCGGGCGATAGCCTGCTCGGGGTCGAGTAGGATCGTCTGAGGAAATTGGCCGAGCGACCGAGGTTAAGGCGCCTCGGAAGGCTCGATCGCATCACCATCCTGCTGGCGAACGAGGTTGAGAGTCAACAGTGAGGAAGCTCCGGTCGCGGGCACGTGTAGTCGGGTAATACAGGGCCGAAGGCGAATTGAAGGTTCGGCCGCTATATGTGGGAGGGGGAAAAAAAAAGCTACTGATTGGAAAAAAGGGACGGGCTATAATAACAATTGAGACGTTCTGATGATTTATTTGTGCAAGAGTACAGGACCTTTCGTCCTAGATCGCGGTGCGCATCGCCTCCTGACGCCTTACAAATACAAAGTGGCAGAAGAGAGTCAAGAGGAGCCTTTTTAGCTATTATGGAGAACGCCGGGGGGCTAAAGAGTAAACGACATCACCAGAAAAATCATTGCTTAGCCAGCCGAGCACTGACGTTGCCGCTTGCTTGGCCACTGACAGGAGGTGTCACGGCCCCACCTGACTGGTGGCTCTGGAACCTGGAAGAACATCGGCCCCGGAATCCGGCGGGGCGGCGTGTTTTTTTGCATTACCAGCGGCCAGCCAGCCAGCGCATCGCGGAAAGGGTTCTCCACAGATGCATGGCCGGCGACCTGGAGAGTGGTATAGTGTGGTAGTCGTACCGCAGTGGTTGGGCATGAAGCTAAGCTGCGTCCGCTTGGTGAGGGGCAGCTAACCATCCGCGAGCCTACGGAAATGGTTTTTCGTACTGTCCGTCTACACTGCAATCTCTGCAAACAGTACCGTGCTTTTATTCAGCAGAACAGTACTTCGTGGCGCTCTAGCCCTGACACTGTCCCAACTCCAGTCTCGTAGTCTGGCAACACAGACTGACTCGCTGTGGGGAAGGAAGGAAACACCCCGCATTAAGGAGAGTTCAGGCTCTTCCATCAGTCCATCCCGTCTAATGTTGGAGCCGTTACTTAGCCTGTTAGCACAGCTGAACTCCAACTTCAAATCCCATAACCTGCTTTAGGAATTCAAATTCACCCCTCTCCTTTTTCGTCCTTTTCTCTTGGCATCCCGATATTCAAGAGCTTTATCCAACAAAGCCTCATCAACTCATTCACCCTTTTATCTTCACTCAAACTTGAGTCCCAGCTGCAAGCTGCACCTTCACATTACTAGCGCTTCACCCTGTTGATCCTTCCTATCTCCCCCCTGACGTGACGTTACGGAGGCTCGTACCCCCGTTACCCGTTGATCTGCTCTTCCCTGCTCCCGGGACTATCCACCCACCCTCGCGTTCCGACGGGACCGCATCCAGGGTCTTTACACCTCGTCGTCTTGTTCTTTCCAAGCAGCACCTTGCTAGGACATCTACATCAACCTAAATCTCACGCACTCACACACATACTTCAATCTCGTCTCGCACGTATCAAATCATCATGCCTTCCGGTCTCAAGTCAGACGTCGCGTCCTCTCTCTCCAAGCTCTCAATCGATAGTGAGAAGAAGTCTACGCCCCCCTCTGCAAAGACGACCAAGGCCAAGACCAAGAAGCCAGTTGTGGACTCCTGGGAAGATGAGGACCTTGACGACGATGAGGATGAAGAGGAAGTCAAATCCCAAGATGATGGCTCAAAGGCCCCTCCTCCAACCCCAATCTCTCCCACCTACAACTCGGCATCTCAGTCTTTCCCTCCTTATGGCAACACGGATGCCACAGGTGCGACTATTCCAAGTGGTGCCGGCAGCGCCGGCCCACGCCGGCCTGAAAAGACAGACGCTGTTGCTAGACGTATGATTGCCAGCGCCCTTGGCGTGAAGGTGCCGAAGCAGACGGAGGAGCAGAAGGCCTACGACAAAGCCATTCGGGAGAAAGAGCGCAAGCGCAGGGAAGAAGAGAAGGCGGCGGAGAGGAAGAGGCAGGAGGAGACGGAGAGAGCGAAAGTGGCTATTTGGGAGGATTAGTTGGCCGGCAGACGGCCGTGCTTGCCGGGTGGCACCCTGGCGCTTATTCTTTTCAATCTCGGAATAGAGATCTTGCGCTGGATTGTTGCCGGTGGCATAATGTGGCATGTATATATGAAGGGAGCCGTGTCTTAGCGGTAATTGACAATGTGTTATGACGCAGGGAAGAAATTACATACATGTTCTTTCAACCTTGGGAAAAGGAAATTCATTTCTGCAGAGAGCTTACTTGCAACGATGTTGTTAACCGCTTACCCGAGGTATGTCTGAATATTATGTGATCGGGATATATGAGGATGAATTTGCCGAGTAGGTAAAGCTACCATATTCGGCATGTTTGCTTACTTTCGAATGTCACCTTCCAATGCTTGCACTGCGCTTTCAAGAAGCCACCACTAGCAACGAGGCACGAGGAGTCAAGACACCTAACCACTCCTCTCCTTCAACCTCTCCGACTCCATAACCTCCACCATCTTAGCTACGGCTGGCCGAGCCCTAATTCGCTCCACCCATGCGGCGTAGTCGGGGTATTTGGAGTTGATGGCATACTTTTCGTTCCACGCCTCTCCGAGCAAGAGCCGGGCCACGTAGTCCCAGGACATGAAGGCGATGTCAGCGTATGTCCTAGATTTGTCGGTTGTTAGACGTCATGGAAACCTCAGACGGGCGAGGCACGGCAACATACGCCTTGTCTCCAACGAGATACTTCTTTCCCTTCAGCACGAAATCCAGGACATGTAAAACTCTTACAGTCTGCCCCTCGTACCTCTCCTTGGCGCTCGGCACGTCTTCTGGATGGTACATCTTGAACCAACCTAGCTGGCCAAAGTATGGCCCCTGTTCCACCACAACTCATCAGTACAAGAGCTTGTGTGCTCACATGGTACGACGAGATGCCTAGGAGTGACACGACCAAATTGAACGTACCTGTCCCGACATTTGAAAGTGCAAAAATTGCTTGAGCAGGAACTTTTCGGGTGTTGATGAATACGTGAGCTTATGGTCGGTGTCGTACTGCTCGACAAGGTACTCGATGATGGCGCCCGACTCCCACAGAGTAATGCCCGTGTTAGGATCTTTGATGGCAGGGAGCCGGCCGTTGGGGTTGATGGAGATGTAGGGCTCTTCTTTCACTTTGGTAAGATCGACCGTGACCTGCCCGGTGAATCAGTCAGCGGCCTTTCATGATTGATTGTCATACTGAAGGGTACGTATGTAGAGATGAAAAACGACAGCCACGCACCGTCTCATAAGGGATTTCTAGCTCTTCAAGGATCATGGCCACTTTCACCGGTTTGGGAGCGAAACCTGAGACTCACGTTAGCTACATAGTGGCTCAATTAATGGTGTGAAAGTATACTATGGCCGTATAGAACGATTGGCTCGAGGGTCGACATGATGAAAGGTATTTTCACAGAAACTCCTGGTTACAATATAGTTGATAAATGTGCTCGATGATGCTGTCTGTTTGTCTCTCTGTCGTGGAGGGCAATTACGTCGGAGAAGCTACATATTTATAGCTTTTTAATCTACACTGATCTCAAGATATCCTAACCAAAGGAACACATGCGATCCCACCCCATGTATCGAAGGATCGCCTGCATGATATCCTGCCCATTCCCTGACAACAGCAGCCCACCGGTCTTTAAAGACCACCACGGCGTTAACATCCGTGAACCGAACACCTACAGATCCAAGAGGCCGTCAACAGTTCAGAGATAGTAAGCATCCCTAATTAGGCAAGCGACCCGGTTATTCGTGCTGGGGTGGTCGAAATCGAGTAAGGGTCAAGCACCGCTGGTGCGAGATTCCGCACATCTTCGGCCGGAGGCCGGACGAATGGCCCGGGTCCCATGTCGTACCGGCCGGATAGTCTCGCCGAATTGTCTCCGGACATTAGTACCAAATGTCCGGAAGCCGACATTGAACGTCATTTAAATGCCTTCCAAGATTTCTCCTCCTCAACCTCTCCTCACTATTCTTCTCTTGCATCCGGTTCATTGCCTTTCTTCCCAAGTCGCTTGCCTCGGAATATACATACCCCTGTATTTTAACTCTCCGTGCTACACATCCCACTTCTGAGAGAACAGACTAAACCTGGAGCCGCGCGTCAAAGAAGAGCAACATCCTGCCCACCCACAAGTGGAAAAACGTGAAGCGCTTCTAGATTGCCCAACACAATTCATTACCATCCCAATGGTTAAAAAACAACAAAAATAAAAAACGTTGTTTACAGGCCAGGCCAGGCCAAACCCCCAGACCTTGCACGTGTTTTGAGAGCACGTGGCTAGAAAGCTTGACTGAATCATTGGCCGAGTCGCCATAACTTTGACCAGCCCGGACACACTCCCCAATAAGCTTTTCCTCAGCTCCAGACGGTACGGGCTGAATCGTGTGACAAGTTCTCTGTTCGTCCCAGACACAGTTTCCATGTTTCTCATTCCTGTGCGTGGTTTCTTTTTGCGGGAGGGAACGCACACATATACTGCATACCGAACAATGCAGGCGAACTCTGCCGGCCATCACTAGTCAGACTGGCTTCGCCCGTTGAAGACGGACTTGAAGGTTCGTGAAACACTGCGACGGGATGCGTGATTCCAAGAGCGTGTTCCGGTCTAATTAAGCGTCAATTCTCGCGAAAACCTGCTCATTTCAGGTGAATTTGCCTGTTTGGCTGTAGTTGGTTGAGCGGCTCATTCACTCAGCACGTAATCCTGCGATGGCCGATCCCCGGGTTCAAAAGGCAGTGATCGAGTGCTCATTGTGCCCCGGTGGTTTCTAGACATCAAATACGAACGCTTGGCTTTGCACGGGCCCTCTTTTGCACAGGTGCGTCGCGGTTCAGCTATTCTGGGAGCCGTTATTGCTCGTGAGTTGAAGCATTGCAGAACGTCACCCTATCTCCAACGTTTGTATTGTGTGTCCCCCCGTCCAAGCCTTGGCTGAATGGCTGCGGGAGCTTCCTTCGTGCTGTCAGGATGCCCCTCTGTGGGTGAGTTTGATGGTTGGTTGACCAGGCCAGAAAAGTATTTGCACAGATGTTGCGGCTACCATACTCTCTAGTACCGACCTGTTTGTCCGAGTGAAACAAAAGAGGGACGACCAGCTGGGCTGGAAGATCGAAAGCCAACGATTTCTTCGAGTCGCGTCGGGCCTTTCCTCGTTCAGGAAACTCATTAGGGTAATATTGCAGGGGGGGGATGACAACAGTGAGGGTACTGCCCGCAAATAGCAGCATGCCATCTGCCTTTTTTTGAAGAATCTCGTTTTCGGATCCTATTTGATAGCTTTGCCTGCCCGGATTGACTTTGCAAGGCGCCCGGAGTCAAGTCATTGATGCCGGCGCTCTACTACAGAACAGTCTATCTAAGTGTAGAGTGCATTGCCATTGTCGACATTTAGTTCCCGTTGCATGATGCTACTCGCAAGCACATCGGCCCAGGGTATCCAGGGCGAAGGGGCGACAGCCTCCAGTGCTCGGCCATGCCTAGGTCTGTGTGGTGTGTCTCTCAAACTGGTCGGAGAGAGAGATGAGACTTGATGTCTCCCTCTGCCCACGTGTGCTCCCTGCCAATAGTGCTCCGAGAGCTACTGGACCACCAGGCAGATTACGCTAGCCGATTGGGCGAGGTGCTCCAGGGGCACAGACCTGATGGGTGCTAGGTATCTGACGAAAACGTGTGAAGGAAGACAAGGGAGGGTATTCAGTCATAAAACTTGGCAAAGCACTTGAGGCCTCTCCTCGCCGGAATTTGCACGATAGCAACCAGTAAACACTCACGCAGAGGCCGGGCTGGAAGCCGGGATGCTGTCAAAAGAAAATCCCTTGTGGAGTCAGACGTTGTCTGAACCCTCTTACGGCCACACGACGTCTGAACTAGGCTCTGAGTCCAACATAGAGCAGCAGCAGGGTCCGCTAGACTTTACGCGCAAACAACCCCTGAACGGTCAAAATTACGAATGTGAGGGTCGACGACGCAGCTGCTAAGCATCCATATCCCCTGCCTTAGTAAGAACCCCGAGTTCAAATGAGGATTGAATAAGGTGAAGGTGGCAGGCAGCCCGAAGCTCATGATCATAATTAAAAAAAAAAAAAAAAAAAAGGGACGGCACTAGGATGAAGATATGACAGGTTGGAATTAAATGGCGAACACAGAGCAAGTACAAAGTTTCCATGGTGGTCGAGATAACATGTGTTTCAAACTGGTATATACACCCAATCGCCGACCTTTAAACATACTGCTGTTGGGTCATGGATGCCTTTGGCAGAAATCGGGATATGAGAACGTCCTTTTAGTGGCAGCAGCAGCAGCTGGGGATAGCGCAAATGAGTGATGCGAAATGGTGCCATCGACTTGCTTGTACTGTGAGAGCAAAAGGAATGCTGCAATGAGGTGACATGATTGGTAGGCTGGGCAGCAAAAGCAAAAGTTTCTTTATGTGCATCTGCAACCACACTGCAGTCGCATTGGAACCGCAGCACTCCCCGGCGTCCCAACCACATAATAATGTAATTACCTCATCTCTCGCTCCCCTGGATACGATGTTGAGATGAGATTGCTCACGCTTTAGGTGTGATGCTGGGGGTAATTGTGTCTGTTCGAAAGAGTTACGGCCAAACCAACCGTAAATGGCAAATGACGATCCTGGATGGGCAGATCTTTGCAGACAATTGTAACAGAAGGAGGGCCGGTTGCAAGCCACGGACATGCAACTACTACGTAGTAGACGACGGCTCAGAAGCTGTCCACCTTGTCCTGCTCTGTCCCAACTGTAGCGTCGAACTGAAGGCTGCGACCGACTTGGTTCATTAAAGCTGGTCATATTTAGCTTGTCAGGTTGATATGTGGTGATCCGCTGACAATATGAGTATGGTTGTCAGTGAAGAATCTCTCAGGACTCGCACCGATATGGTCATAGTCGTCGTCACGGTCGGTTGCCCTCATCGCGTCTGATCTGGGCATTCCAATCCCTGGGTTCAGCGTCTACGGATTTGAATTTTGTCTTCCCAGACTTGCTACCTGTACACTGTAGCTGGCGTCCGAGCCTAAAGTTGGGCCGGAGCTACCAGGTCAATTGGTCTGGGCTGGGCTGGGCTTATGGCAGACTAAAATCGACCTCAGTGGTCTTTGGGGGCTGGAGGGTCATTACTCGGGAGTGTTGACTGAAACAGTTGTTACATTGTCTGGTTCCCCCCCTCTATAGCCAAATGCCGCGCTCGCTCATCGGAGACGTCTGAGGCTGCCGAATGCAGCGGCGTATTGCTGGGCGCGGTCAAACTGGTGTGGCTCGTGGGCAGGCTGGAATTTTCGGGGCCTGAGAACAGACATTGAGGATCCAAACATCAAAGATGGTCGACAGGGGAGGCTTGAAATGGTGACTACTCTGGGAACAAGCAAAGACAGAGAGGGGAGGGAAAAAAAGCGGGATAGGAATAAGAAATGAAACGAGTGGAAAGTAGATGGGTTCCGCCGCTCTGGGATTGGAGGATACCGTCACGTACCTTGCTTCGTGCCTTACAGACTGGGGTGCACGACAGATTGAGTAAGTATGGGGACGAGTAGGGGTGAAAAATAAAAGATGAAGAAAAAAATAATTTAAAAAATCGACACTAAAGGAAAATGAAAAGGAAGATAAAACAGGCCATTAATGTGTTGATCGATATGAAAAGCTGCAAGACGGGGGTGTGAGTTCTCTTGGACACGGGTTTCCTTGTTTGGGTCTGATAGAGAATTTCATTCAGAGACGCTGTGGGGACTAGAAAGCGGCACGTGTGAGAGAAGCTTCGTAGGAAGGTGCCTTGGAGCCCGTCATCCATCAAACTCTGATCTTGAGGTGGCCCTCCTTCTGACCTGGATGCCCCGTTGTCTAGTCGCCATATGCCTCAAGTAGAATAAAAACGTTGGTTCGCGTTATGGGATCTCTTCTATGCAGGAAACAGCAGTGAAGTTGAAGGACCGGGATGGTGATGAAAATAGAATGCACCACTGGTTGAGCTAGGATTAACAGGACCACAAGCAACAGGAATGCTCCAACAGGGCCTGGAGACATAGGGACGGAGTGCCAGGCCCTGATACTCAAATGCCATGCATGCGGTGGAGGGACAACACACTAAAACAAGTGGAGGTCGCCCGTACCTTACCCAGTTGGGAGAGCTTTGAGGACTAGACAGGCCGAGTGTGGCGTTCTCCAGCCAAGGCCAGTGCAGGTACGTACCGCACTTGCCTGAGATGGGAGCCTCTCACCCACGGCATTTCATGGTCCATCGCAGACTCTCGCTGTCGAACCTTGTATGACGATACTGCCTTCCTGGGCCTCATGAACCCAGCTCATATAGGAAGGCGCCCAACGCTAGATCAATACTCCGTATACTAGTAGGCCACCCCCCCTTGCCTTTGATGTTCAGAGAAAGCATCGGCATCAATTTCACCAGCAGTTGAAGCAGCAGAAGCAGACGCAGTAGTAGTAATATTCACAACAGCGGTTGGTGCTTCCTACCTTTGGTGTAATTACCCCGGCCGCCCATGTGCGAGATGGAGTAGGCCCCCAAGTATCCCAACCACCAGCCAGCTTCAATCGCTCACCTTCCATTCATCAATCGTCTTTCCCAATCCATTCCGTGCCTCAATTCCACCTGCTGCCTTCTGTTTTCCGTCCCCGTCACCGTCTTGCTTACTCTCCCTTTTCTTCCTCCGGCAAAGCCAAGCCCGGCCAGGGTCCATTGAAGAAGCTGAGAAACGTAAAGAGAGAGAGAGAGAGAGAGAGTCCCAGTCCGTCCGCAGACAATCCAAGACCCATACATATCCGATCCACACACCACACGTACCACACACGCCCGCCCTGCTGTCCAGTCAAGGTACGTTGCGCCCGAGGGGACCGAAGACTGCCTGGAGACTGGACCCCACGCATTGCTGCTGCAGCTATGCAGCGAACAGCGACAGTGGTGCAAAGGTTACCGCTTACGCTCTGTCTGACTCTGCCACTAGCATCAACTTTACACTTGCCGCACGATTGAATTCCCTTTTCCTTACCCACACACTCCTCGCTCGCCGATTCTTTTTCTCCATCTCTCTTCCATTTTACATTGTCCTGCCCTCTATCTACCTTTTCCGGCTTCAACCACGCCCTTGCTCTCTTGGTGCCACATCAGATCCGAACAAGACGGCCTGATCTCTGTCGCAACAGCTCCCTGCCTGCCTGTGACAGCTACCGACGACCCTGATCCTGAAATTGAATTGCCCATTGCCTGCCCTGCAAGGCTCGGCTCCTCACTCGTCCACGTCCACGCCTACGGCCCACTCCTACGCCCACTCGCTCGCTCGCCCACTAAAGACGGACGCCTTAGCTTGGGCGCTGTGCCAATTACCCGCCCGCCAGCGCTGTCGACCACCTTGTGATACCCACATTTATTCCTCCGACACTGTCCTTGCCCGCCTTCCAGGTCGCACTCACGTCTTCCGTCCTTCGCTACCCATCTCCCTCGACAGCTTCCGCTCTCCCCGACCCCAAGGGCTACCGCTCATCATCTCATCCATCGTCGCTTTTTCCGATTATTCGATTCTCGTTGCCGGCCACCACCGTACACCATTGCCGCCGACCGTCATCGCCGCCTCCTCATCAACCCACACCCATCTCGGGCCCCCGACGCTTGTTCTTTACCGCCGAATCCTCCGTCGATTGAGCGACATCAAAACTCGCGACCAGCCTACCTGTGCCGCCGCTTTCATCCTTGCGACTCATCAAAGATCCTTCGTTTTCTTCTAATACTACTATGGGCATTTAAAGTGCGGTCTTTCGGCGATCACACACGGCTGCACCTCGGACGTTTCGAGTCTTCGCTCGAGTACCGATATTTACGTATCCCAATATTCACCCCGGTCACCGGCTTATCCTAAGCCTCATCGCATCGTCAAGATGGGTGCCTGTATGAGTTCGAACAATGAGGAGGTGGAGCAGAAGAAGAAGAGCCAGGCCATCGACAGACAGCTAGAGGAGGACTCTAAGAGGTTACGGAGAGAATGCAAGATTCTCCTACTTGGTACGTGCTGGCTGATATGGATTTGATCTGTCTCCCGGCTGCACGCAAGAATGCTGACGAGCGTCCAGGTTCTGGTGAAAGTGGCAAGTCGACTATTGTCAAGCAGATGAAGATTATTCATTTGAAAGGCTACTCCGAAGACGAGCTTTACAACTACCGACCGACCGTCTTCAAAAACTTGGTGGAATGCGCGAAAGCCGTCATACAAGCAATGCGACAGTTCGATATCGAACCCGTCGTCGAAGAAAATAAGGCCTATGCCACCTTTTTGATGGAGTATACTGCCGAGTCTGGACCTCAAGCACATATCGATCCGCAAATTGGCATCGCCATCCAATCAATATGGAGCGATCCGGCAAGGGAACAGCTTATGGAAAGACAAACAGAATTTTACTTGATGGACTCTGCAGAGTAGTGAGTGGCTGCTCACAACTCATTGTAATATTTGGCCGTCGCTAACGAGTGTCACAGCTTCTTCCAAGAGGTCATGCGAATTGTTGCACCCGATTACCTGCCGAACGAGATGGATGTTCTTCGCGCAAGAACAAAGACTACCGGTATCTATGAGACGAGATTCCAGATGGGCCAGCTTAGTATACAGTAAGTCGGTGCTGAAAGGTCCAGAACTTGTGAAGCTAATACTCGCGATTAGTATGTTTGACGTCGGCGGTCAAAGAAGTGAAAGGAAAAAGTGGATTCATTGCTTCGAGAACGTCACGTCCATCATTTTTTGCGTTGCTTTGAGCGAGTACGATCAGGTTTTGCTCGAAGAGAGCAGTCAAGTAAGCTTGAAATTGGGTTTCTTGGTACGCCACACAATTTGACACTAACTGTCGCAGAACCGAATGATGGAAAGTTTGCTCCTATTCGATTCCGTAGTGAACTCAAGGTGGTTCATGCGGACAAGTATCATTTTGTTCTTGAACAAGGTGGACATTTTCAAGCAAAAACTAGGGCGCTCGCCGTTGGGCAACTACTTCCCGGACTATTCGGGAGGCAACGATGTCAACAAGGCAGCGAAATACTTACTCTGGCGCTTTAACCAAGTGAACAGAGCCCATCTCAATCTATATCCCCAGTAAGTATAGCGTCATGGTTTCGGTGAGCGGGGGGGGCTAATCGGACTGCAGCCTGACTCAAGCAACCGATACTTCGAATATCCGACTAGTATTCGCGGCAGTCAAAGAGACGATCCTTAACAACGCTCTTCGAGACTCAGGAATTCTATGAGAAACCATCGATCGGCTTGGTCAGCCTTTTCCTTAATGTTTAGAATCATCTCCTCTGTTGCAGGTCAGCGTTTTACAGCATTGCCGGGCGTTGTGGGCGGCACTTCGTTTGGACGGCGTTCACTCTGGTTTTCACGCTCGCTTTTCCTTAAGATACGGTCGGAACGAGCGATCGTCGGTTGGAGTCCCAAACCGGTAGCGGCAGTTTCGTTCATTTGCATTACAGAACAAATTGCTTTTCAGTCGGGGCATTCGCAACCGGTGTACCGCAGCCCCGAGCGAGAGAACCGGGGAAAAGAAAGGTTGGCGCGAAACTTTGGGGTGGCGAATTATAAAAACAAAAACAAATGAGCCGTCATCTGGAGTACGGGAAAGGAAAGTTTGAAAGACGAAGTGATGAATGGACCAATCGTTCGGGACGATGCTTGGGACTTGGTAAAGCAACAGCATCCATCATTTCACAAGAGGCTGGGTATGGGACTGATGGTGGGCTGTGGGAGAGCCGCGGCAGCTAAACGATGCGGTGCTTTATTTTTTTTTTTTTGTCTTATGTGAGAAGCATGAAGTCATTTACTGGGATTTTCTTACCTGTACGACGATGTGCGGCTCAAGTGACGTTGGTGGCATTGCTCAAGAAAACGTGGCCATGAGCAAGGCCCGACTCAGGCTGGACCGACACTGAGATGAGGCTGGCCGGGAAGGCTTGAGGGGGCGAAGAGGCTGGGTAGGGGGGAATAGGCGGCGAGGCGTCGTTTAGACATGGTCGGCTTGAGGCTGGGCACATTTTATTTGTATACTATATTGTCTTAATTACGCAAGGCTGTATGCTCTGCTGGAAGCAGCGCATTTTGTTTCTCAGCTTAAACATGGTTTTTTCCCCCGTCACTCGAATTGCTTGCTTCTAAATGTGTCCATGTGAGAAAATGTGTGTTGGCGACGCTTTCTTCATGCAAGTCAACTTGGATGGGTATCGTTTATTATCACGTATGTAAGTGATATCATGGGAAGAACCTTGGCCGAGCCGGACAATTAGCGGGAGGGAAAACGTGAATGGCATTGTCATGTCTGAATCACGACGCATCCATTGACATCAGGTGATGCCTGAGTGGATTGCAGGACATTGGATCGCATTCCGACTGATATGTCCGGCGTGTGCCGTGCTCTCACACTCTCTCACTCTTTTCCCCTCTGCGACTGTCTGCTGGACGACAGAAAAGGCGGGGACGCTGATTGTCGGGAATAGACATCTCGGCCAATGACGTGCTCGAAGCTGATTAGTATCAATGGAGAGACGCAGGCGGATGGGGACGGGGAGGCCGTGTCGTTACGTTTGGCGGTGCCCACTACCAGAATAGAACAGCTCAAAAGGACATGGGGTAGAAGAGAAGAATAGTATCCATCAAGTAGCGACGGGATGTTCGGAGCCTCCAACTACCAGTCTTCAGCGTCCCGCGTAGTTCTCCAGCATTCTACGCCTTGTGTCTTTTCCACCTACCTACAGGGCTGGTCTTTCTATCCCTGGCGAGCAGGCTATAAACCTGTGCTGTGTCTAGGTGAGTCGTTGTGGGACTCGGTGCATGGCCATGGGATTGGTACGTCGCTCCCCAATTAACCAAAGCCAGCCTGGCCTAGCTTGTCACTGGGGTTGAGTTGTGGGATGGGGAGGGGCCTGGAATTCTCGCCGTGGATGGGCTTGTTGCTGGGAAGCAGCAGGTATGGCACAATAGCGACTTGGTAACCGGAGCTGTAGAGGTTGTTTGGAATTCGAGGGCTTGGCTAGTTCCTTGGACGATGATTTTCTGCTTTGGTAAGTTATTATGGCTTAGCTTCCCAGAATGCATACGAGGAGGTGGCTTACACATACGAGAGAGGGCGTAAAGTAAGCCATGTTTGAGTGTGCTGGGGTATTTCTTCAGAAGTGCTGCTGCTGGGCGGTGAATGCTACGTGCCGACCCCCCGATTGTCAGGCAGGTAGACAGGTAGGCATTCACCGGGTTGCCGTTCCAGGTTGTCCCGTCACCCAAGATGAAAGCACATTGGCCTTGTTCTTGTTCTTGGCTGGCAGACGACGGGGGGCCAAAGTGGTGGGAGGCACGACATGGTCTCTCGACTGGCTGAGAGTTATCTTGAGTTGCGAGGTTCCATTGTTATAGCGCCTCAAGATGCACCACTATACTAGATTGGCGGCTGGCGCATTTATTCCGCGCTACTGCACGAACGAGGAAAGGGCCATTGTGTTCTTCGAACGCGGCAAGTACACTCATGACATATCTTGACATAAATTGATCACTGCAGTTGAATGTGTATGTAGGCGTGCGCCTTCCTCTCCGTGTAGTCGCTGTCGTCCAATCCCGCCTACGTTCTTCCCGTAGCCACCCCCCTTCCCCCTGCGATTTCTTCTGTCACTGATGCGGCTGTTCCTACCATCAGCGCGTCACCCCGCATTGTTTGTTGCACGATGCAGCAGCAACGAACAGTTGCTGCACCTGCCCGGCGCGGTCTCACACAAGGATGCTGAGGATGCTGCATGTTGGCTGTCTTCCACGATTCGGCATAGTGAGGTCATATCAGGCGGTTTTCTACTTCGGTGCTGTTCCAGGCCAGACCGGGCCCAGACAAACAATCTTGATGGAGACAGAAACGGGGTCAGATCCATCGCGCTTGGGTCTGGGTGTGCGGGTTGTCAGATCAGACCAGTCTGTCACTCAGTCACTCAGTCAGTAAATACCAGGCCGCTTAGCAGAGCTACAGGGTGCGGCATTACTTTCTGTGCAAAGAGCAAGTGCGCGCTGGTGGATGCGTGCCTGTATTGTACGCCCATGTCCCATGCCCATGCCCATGCTCATACTAATGCTCGAGTCCATGCCTGCCATACCATCCATCTCGAACAAGGTAGCTTTGTAGCTTTCCATCGCCTCCTCTACCCTTCAGACCGTTGTCCAAACATGCCATGGCTTACTACCTAGCTCTTGTGTGATACCTCCCATCTCTTTCTTAAGCTCCCGATGTCCCCCTCCTTCTCCCCGTCATGACTTTTTGACCTCTCTTCTGTTCTACCCCTCACCCGTTCCCCCCTTCTTTGCTCTCAGTTGAAAAGCTTCTGCTGGCCTCTGGTTTTCCATCCATCCCTCCACTTCATCTCCCACATCTGGTCTTGTCTGCCTGGCTGCTCTTGTTATAAGCTCCGTCTAAGACACCAGTTTGCAGTCCAATCGCCGTCACTATCGCTAGAACTTCTGCTCTACTGCTCTCCAAGCAATAGCACGCCCGTCATCTTAACCGAAAACGCTGTATTGGCGTTCTGCTGAATACGAATCCCGGCCACAGGTGGACTGAGCTTCAGGCACCGCCCAGCACCCCGCTCTCCTCTCCACCGACATCCTGGGCTTATCCTGACGTACGTCCCGTTCGGTCCGCTGCCACTCAAGCCTGGACCTGTCCCTCCGCCTCGTCTCACCTACCCCGCCCCTCACTGCTCGCTCATCATAGAGCCTATGTCGCGACTCTCACCTTAATAGCGTCCCTGGAGAGTTCGGAGAGGCTAACACGGCGCTGACAGTTTCCGAATCATTCGAGGCTATACTCGAGCCAATTGAGTGTTTTTTCTATTTTAGTAGAGCCCAAGTACGGTTACACACATAGCAAAAATGGCGGACACCAAGGATCAGCGCATTCCTGTGCGAGAGCGCCGCCCGTCCATGGGTGCTCCCATTGTTGACATCCAGGGCTCTGTTGGCCCGGCTGGCATCTCCCGCCCTAAGCATAAGAGAACCTTTACTGGTTTTGGTGCTGGTGAGATCAAGAGCGTCGAAGGTAAGAATTGCATTCCGTTTTTCTGTTCATTTACATGTGTTACTGGGGGTGGATTGTGTACCCGGAGCTTCATGGTGAGAGCTCTGGCAGCTGTCGTGGAGCTTGGAGGGGCAGCTCTTCAGTACAGACCCAAAATACCCCGCACCGATCAGCACAAGCTCCATCACACCACACCCACAACCCCAGTAGCTTCAGTGCCCCAGTACCACAACGTGCCTATCACAGCGGACTACATCTGAGTCTCTTCGCTGACTGTCTCTGAATAGCTTCAATTCCAGAGCCACAGCGCGAAGCGTGGAACAAGGCCCAGTCTGGTCCCTTTAAGAGCAAGGAGGAGTTTGAGAAGGAGGTTGTGCGCCATGTCGAGACTACTCTCGCTCGAAGCATGTTCAACTGCGATGAAACGGCCGCATACTCCGCCGCAAGCTTGGCTTTCCGTGACCGCCTGGTCAAGGAATGGAACAAAACCCAGCAGCGTCAGACGCTGGTTGATGGAAAGCGTGTCTACTACCTTTCTCTCGAGTTTCTCATGGGCCGGGCTCTCGACAACGCCATGCTCAACGTCGGCCTGAAGGATGTGGCCAAGGGTGAGAGAAGATAAAACCATCTTACACGTATTAGGGGAGCTAATAATGTGATTTAGCTGGTCTTGATGATCTCGGATTCCGCATCGAGGATGTCATTGAGCAGGAGCACGACGCTGCCCTTGGAAACGGTGGCCTGGGTCGATTGGCTGCTTGCTTCCTTGACAGTCTTGCTTCCCTCAACTTCCCTGCCTGGGGCTACGGATTGAGATACCGATATGGTATCTTCAAGCAGGAGATTATTGACGGTTACCAAGTTGAAGTCCCCGACTACTGGCTTGATTTCAACCCTTGGGAGTTCCCTCGTCATGATGTGACGGTCGATGTAAGCCAAGTAAGACAAATAAAGTATCTAGGTTAAGGCTGACCCCCTATTAGATCCAATTCTATGGCCACGTCCAAAAGTCAACGGACTCTAATGGCAAGACGGTTGCCAGCTGGGAGGGTGGTGAGACGGTCACTGCCGTGGCCTACGACGTGCCGATTCCGGGTTACGCGACTCCTTCTACCAACAACCTGCGTCTTTGGTCTAGCAAGGCTGCAAGTGGAGAGTTCGACTTCCAAAAGTTCAATAGCGGCGACTACGAGAACTCTGTCGCTGACCAGCAGCGGGCTGAAACTATCAGCGCCGTCCTGTACCCCAATGACAACCTCGAGCGAGGAAAGGAGCTTCGTCTGAAGCAACAGTACTTCTGGGTGGCCGCGTCTCTCTACGACATCGTCCGCCGCTTCAAGAAGTCGAGACGTCCCTGGAGGGAGTTCCCTGACCAGGTTGCTATCCAGCTCAACGATACCCACCCCACTCTCGCCATTGTCGAGCTTCAGCGCATTCTGGTAGATCTCGAGAAGTTGGACTGGGATGAGGCGTGGAATCTGGTTACCGCCACGTTCGGCTACACCAACCACACTGTCCTTCCTGAGGCTCTGGAGAAGTGGCCGGTTGGCCTCGTTCAGCACCTACTTCCTCGACACTTGCAGATTATTTATGACATCAATCTGTTCTTCCTCCAGAGTGTCGAGAAGATGTTCCCCAACGACCGTGACATTCTCAGTAGGGTTTCGATCATTGAGGAGTCGCAGCCTAAGATGGTACGCATGGCATTCTTGGCCATTGTCGGCTCTCACAAGGTCAATGGTGTTGCCGAGCTGCACTCGGATCTCATCAAGACCACGATTTTCAAGGACTTTGTCAACATCTACGGCCCTGACAAGTTCACCAACGTTACCAACGGCATCACGCCAAGACGTTGGCTGCACCAGGCCAACCCCCGCCTGTCCGATCTCATCGCTTCCAAGACCAACGGCCACGGTTTCTTGAAGGACCTGACACAGCTGAACCAGCTCGAGCACAGCATCAACGACAAGGAATTCCGCAAGGAGTGGGCCGAGATCAAGTACGCGAACAAGGTCCGCCTGGCCAAGTACATTAAGAACACTACAAGTGTCAGCGTCAACCCCGCCGCTCTCTTTGACGTCCAAGTCAAGAGAATCCACGAGTACAAGCGTCAGCAGATGAATATCTTTGGTGTCATCCACCGTTACCTGACGCTCAAGGCCATGTCGCCCGAGGACCGCAAGAAGGTGACGCCCCGCGTCTCCATCTTTGGTGGAAAGGCTGCTCCTGGCTACTGGATGGCCAAACAAATCATCCACTTGGTCAACAACGTTGGATCAGTCGTCAACAAGGACGAAGACATTGGCGACCTCCTGAAGGTCATCTTCCTCGAGGACTACAACGTTAGCAAGGCCGAGATGATCATCCCCGCCTCCGACCTCAGCGAGCATATCTCGACTGCCGGAACCGAGTGAGTATATTACGAAACAACTAGCTAAGCCGCATTTAATCTAACATGGACTAGGGCTTCTGGTACCAGTAACATGAAGTTTGTGCTCAACGGCGGTCTGATTATCGGCACGTGCGACGGCGCCAACGTAAGTAACTCCGACTGAATGATAACTGCTGGTGATCGGTTGCTAAAACTAGATTAGATCGAGATCACCCGCGAGATTGGCGAGAACAACATCTTCCTTTTCGGCAACCTGGCCGAAGACGTCGAGGATCTCCGCCACGCTCACACGTACGGATCCCACACGATCGACGAGAACCTCGCCAAGGTCTTTTCCGAGATTGAAAAGGGAACGTTCGGTTCACCATCTGATTTCCAAGCCCTTATCTCGGCGGTTCGTGACCACGGTGACTACTATCTGGTTTCGGACGACTTCAACAGTTATATCGAGACCCACCACCTCGTTGACGAGGCATACAAGAACCAGGAGGAGTGGATCACCAAGTCTATCACCAGCGTGGCTCGTATGGGATTCTTCAGCAGCGATCGCTGCATCAACGAATATGCTGAGGAGATTTGGAACATTGAGCCTCTCAAGGTTGAGGAATAGACCAAGACGGCATCGGATAAATCAGATGAAGACGGGGGTTTACAAGATGCGGTGACTGGTTGAGCATGGACAGAGCCGAATACCTAGTGCATTGCACTTTCTAACACCTAGGAAAGCGCTGTAAAAAATAGCAGTGCTAGATAATATCTTCTTTGTGTAGGCTATGCGAGTATTCAAAGATCGAATACAAAGTATGAAAGCAGATGCAAGCAAAGCAACTCATGACTTGTGATGTGTGTGTGTGGGTGTGTGTAACGACTCGACAACCGTCACTGTGAAGCGACTCAGTCAAGTGGGCGGAGAAACGGAACAAGGTTCTCGGTAACGGGACGACATGAACGTTTGACGGTGTTTGCGCAGGGGTTAGCAGCAGCGGGGCACACTCCGGGCCTCAATGACGTAATTATGCGGAAAGTCGGACGTCGTTTGTGATGACGAACAATCCACAGATGGAACAGAAACGACAAGCGGCGGGTACCGGAAGACGGTTGGTTGGGGGAGTCGTCTCCCATTGCTCTAGTCCTCCTCAGGTGACCATGGCGAAAGGCGGTCAACTTGAAGGCATCACTTGTTTTATTCCTTTCTGTTCGAGAAGGGAACGCAAGAGGGAATCACTCATTGGGCGACATGCACATGTTCTGCAGGAAACTAGACTCTTTGGACCGCGGCATTGAAGGGGATACTTAGGGTGAGAGGGGAGGGGGGAAGAAAGACGACATGGTCTAGTATTCACCCCCTTCCGCAAAAAAAAAGAAAAAAAAAGCAGAACCTAATTACCTACCAAACTCACATACACTACTACGATTCTTGCCGCTGCTGCAGCCCGGGGGACATGGTCCGGAAGCAGGCGTGGTCTGGATTCCCTCCTCTTCCTACACATGTATACTACTCGCCCCCTCCCCTCCCTCCTCAAACAGGGTCGTCGTGAAAGGGTTGGAAGGGGAAAAAAAACAAGTGTGACGAAAGACACCCGGGAAAAAAAAAGGGACCAAGCTGCGCAACGCGTTCCAGCCCCCCAGCCCTGTCAGACGCATAATGACATCAGAGGAACGGGATTACAGCTTGGGGAGATTAAGGGACCCTTGAAAAAGGATTAGAGTCAAAAGCGAAAAAAAAAAAAAAAAGGGCCTCACTAGTACGTAGTATATACCGTGTACGTGAACCGGGCAGGGCAGGGCATGGCAGGGCATGGCAAGTTGGTGATACAGTGCTGCCCATTTCCCAACCCCCCGGGCCGACTGGTAAACGGTAATGGGAGGGTTTTGCTTCAGGGTGCTTGTTCCGAGTGGAGGAAAGGGGGGGTACCGTACACTGAGTTTTTTTGTTTTGAGGTCTATCTGTCCTTGGTATGATTCGTGCGTCGAGATGAAGCTTAAGCTGGTTTTTTTCATTTTTATGCTTGCCCTGCTTTTTGGTCTTTTGTCTACCGGGGAGGGGGGGGGAAGAGTCAGTCAGGTCTAGTCGGGTATTACTGGGGCGGTGGTGGGATGGGATGATGCCTTTTTGGCGATTTCGTTTTTGATAAGTGTGCCGAGGTGAGGCTTTTCGTATTTCCATCCATTCTACGCTATTCCGGCGCAACGGTCGTGGAAGCCCATGGGGATTTTCAGATACGCAGGCGACGGCACCCCCTTTTCCCCATCAAACCCTTGAATATCGCCATCATAGGGAAAAGGGCAGTCGAGTGATAAGATTGATCGTCAGGACATACAGCAAAGTTCAGGGTCCATTGGAAGAAGGGGTCTCTTTTGGACAAAAAAGGTGGATGGACGGAGCTCTGGGCTGTGGTCGGAGTTTGTTACGGATGGGTGGCTAAACGGGGTTGATGGATTGGATGGGATGCTTCCGCTGCTACAGCAATCAGCAGTTAAGGAAAAAAGTCTGGACCCCACTGGGTTGGTGTATTTCCATGCACGATTGTCTGGTCCCTTTCTTTTCCTGGTCGTGATCATCCGGGATAACATCACCAGAAACGATTACTTACAGGCTGACCCCGGGGAACCATTTGAAGCTCCATCGGCCAGGCCATGCTGGCTGGGCTGGACGACCCCTTCCTTGCTGGGCATCCAGGGCAGAATGCCACGACTCTGGACTCCATGATGACGGGCGTTGAACGCAAGTATTATCTCTTTCTTCCCACCTCCCCCTTGGAATGGAAGATGGAAGTGGTAGACGGCAGGCAGGTGGATGCGCCCATGGGACGGAACATGCATGCGGCATCTGGGTCTTGGATACCCAGGGGCCCTCCGAGAACCCAGATGGTCATATTTTGCTCTAGACGGAACAATTAAACGCTCGCGGAACGGTATACCGTCTGATAATCGGGGCCAAGCATTTTCGAACCTGCCCAACAAACTGGTCCATGATTTGATACATTCTTTCCGCGATCGACAACTTTGACTCGACTGGGTTGAATCGGGCTTAGAAAGCAAGCATGGAATATACGGCAACTAATCATTGTAGTAGTCAAATCAGGAATGGGGGGAGAGTCGTTCGAGCGAGGCGGCTCTAAACCAAGAGTACTCGGTCAAGGGGGGGTGCATGGTTCAAAAAATTTGCCCGTCAAACCCTCTCATGGGATTCGGCCGGCCTGAGCCTCTGCATGGCGTATCAGATGCCCCGTCGGACGCCTCAGAGAGAGAGAGAACCTGCGGAGATATGTCCAGCTACAGCAGGTAATGCGCTGAATTGGCAGAATTAGGCCGGCCTAGAACATGCGGCTGTTGGGTTCACAGCTGGGGCTCGTGACGGGATTTCTGGGGACGTAGTGTGTGTAGTAGCATGAGCACGTAGGAAGAAACTGTTGTGCTGCGACTGTACATAGTAGAGACGGTAGCGGTTCAGACACACACGCACACACCCCTGATGGGCCGTTGCCCTAAATTTTCGATCCTCGCCTGCGGTGTCGATGTGCGGTTAAAGAGGAGACGGGGGGTCTGGAACATCGATCGGGCGGGCTTATTATAGACCAGGTGTCTTTCTTAGTGTAGAAAGGGCAAGAGATACTTACACAACGTTAGTGCCGTGGGATGTCTGATGTTCGGGAGGAGGAGGGGGTGCTAAGAAAGATACTCGGACAGTGAGCCGCTAGTTAACTGAGAGGAATTAAAAAGGGAAACGCTGGAGAACGCCAGAGCAGGGGCTGGACGGGAGGACACACGCCCCCCCCCCCCTTTCCGCCTCCCCTCTCTGCGACGACGACAAATCAGAGATCCTAGCATGCTGGCCATCTCGATGCGATCGTGACATGACGTCACAGGTGAGAGTGGGTTTTATCCCTTCTCACAAGTGGTTTTTTGGTCTTCCACTAGCCCCCTTGGGCTTCTTTGGTAGCAGAAGCTTGTAGGGCACGCAACGCACGCACGACGCACAAACCATGGGACCTTAGGAACCCCAGGCGCAGCCCCGGAAAGAGCTATGGGATTTATGGCTGGGCAGTTGGTCAGTCTGGGAGTGAATCTGGGTTCTGGTCCACCGACTACTCAAGAGGGATAGAATGTCGAGATGCGTCCATTAGCGGTGAGTGGGATGAGAGGAGAAACGGGGTGGGGGGAGCGTTGGTCGCATCTACATGCACATGAATAGCAAGGTTGAGCTACGACAAAGGTGCCGCAAAAGATGGGTAAAAGTGATCGGCCATGGGAATTACACTCCGACACGCTCAAGATAGAGTCAAGCCGAGGGGAGAACGACGTGAGGGAAAGTACAGAAATTTAAGAAGAAGGTTTGTCGTGCTTGTGCTTCCCTCATCCATGATGCTGGGAAAGAGAGTTGATCGACCGGCGTAGTGCAAGGGGATAACCCTGAAGTTGGTTTATGGAGGGGGTGTGCGTGGGAATCCCGAAAAAGATGGTAAAGTAATGGGAAGGGGACCGTAACGTTGAAACGGTGAACCGTCTGTTTTCTATGTGCGCTACAGTAGCATCGGCACCAGTAACGGATGGGACAGGGGGGCTGGTGCCTGGGTTTTAGGTGACAATGGGCAGGAAGCGGCAAAAGTGCGTTGAGCAAAACATGGCATTTCAGAGAACAAAAGGTGGACATTTGGGCTGTCATGACCTTAGGGGCCTGTAATAGGGTGGCATAGTGGGAAAAAGGGTGGAAAGGGGAAGGGGGGTGACCTGGCTGCCAGGTATGCTGTCACGATGCAAGGCCGTCATCGTCGATTCCGATCTTTTTCATTGATGTATTGGATGCCTACCGTATCCAGAAGGATTCCAAAACACCATGTCTCTGATTCCTGCCTTCCCGTTTTTGGGTTTGTTTTGTAATTGTCTGCTGTTAAACCACACTAGCAACTATACTATGTGAACGTGAGCGGGAACGGACTGACATGATAGCTGGCGGACACAAAACAGGGGGAACAGTTCCCGGACCGACCCCATACCATCCGTCTGAACCCGCGCGCATGATAGAAGACGAAGGGGGTTATGGCATTGTTGCAAATTCCCACCCTTCATGACCGTGGCGGGCTGGGGTGAGATGGTTTGCGGTGCCGCTGATGCTCAGACCATTCCAAGCCACCCGTTTTTGTGACACGTCTGTTTGGTGTTTCTCGGCCATGTTAGTGGCCCTGTCTGCCCATCGTATCGTCTATCCATCCATCTCATCTTGATGCTAATTTCCCCTTTACTCCAAAACCAAACATATCAAGGCACGGAAGCTGGGCGAGGAACAGGAAGCACAACTTCAGACTCATCTCATTCTCCTTTGGTCGGACGTTTCTCTCCTCTGAACTTACTCGGAACCACTTTCAGCTGCCGCCTCTGTAATGGCGGGTGCTACTGCTTGGAGGCAGGAACCACTAACCTCCCCTCCCTGCCTATCCGATACGTTTTTTGGTCCGTTTAAGAGCTGCTATGCAAGGCCCCATAGCTGCTGACCTGAGCTTACCTGTACTGTGGCCTATCTTAGACAAGCCACCGTTCCAGCTCCGTTCCAATAACACTCCCCCCCGCCAGCCTGTACCACTAAATGAGTGCATGTACCAACCAGCCTGCTAGCCCCCCGGCTCTCTCGATGAGCCGGGAGCGGGGCAGCCTTCACTCCTATGCTCCAGCACATCTCAGTAACCCGTCACGGTTTCCCGCTCCGCAAGGCACTCGCCTAGCGTCTTTTTCCCTTCCTTGCGCTCACCCCCCTCCCTTTCACCTCTTCCCCCTCCTCCTCAATCCGCATCGCTGTGGTATCCCAGGCCAGGCCTCTTTCTGGAACGATTAAAAAGTACTTTCCCCCCTCCATATTGATGCTGCTGGCCCCGGGTTTGTCCTGTTTCTACTTGATCTCTTCACTCTTCCATATTCACTCACAACAATATCTCTAGCTGTCGCCCTGTCTGCGGATACACCCATCATCACCCTTGGTGCCCCTTCCAAAAGACCACTCCGCAAGCCGCAAGGGAAGAACTACACCCCCAAGCTTGACCACCGACGACGCTCATAAGGGCAAACTCTCGACGGCATCTCGATAAACTCGTTTTCCCTAAAACCCTGTCAACGAGCTTGCTGTAGATCCACCCTCCAACAGTGATTCTTCTTCACCGCGCCCACGAACAAGAAAAGGGCCACGACGGCGACTGCTGATCGACATTTCGTGCTGATTTGCTACCTGCATTCTCCACGTGCGTCCACCACTCGTACCTCCCCGTCACTCCGGTCACCTTTTGGCTTAAGCGCCTACGCCCGGACTTGAGCCCGAAGGACAAAAGTCTCTCTGTACCTTTGGGAAAGGAGGAAGACGAGAAAGACTGAAAAATAGAGAGACTTTTCGAACACGGCAACTCTGCAGGTAAGCTTCTCGATTATCAGCGTCAAGCCTGTCATGTCATTCTATCGACCCCCCGTCCATTTCCCCAAATCAGCCCCAACTGGTCCTGCGCCCTGCGCCCTCTACGTATTGCCATGCAGGAATTGGCTTCTTTGAGTAAAAGGCGGCCAAGGAGAACAAGGCAAAACGCAAGGGGAAAACGTCACTATCGAAAAAGAGGTCGATGGGGGGAAATGAAATAGAACCAAAACCAGATTTCGGATCTGGTTTCCTTCGCTACACTCCTCGCCCTCCCATCCTAGTCGCTCTTCGCTTCCTTGGAGGCTCGCTAATACTGTTGCCACTTTGCATAGGTTACTTCAGACCCCAGCAAAACGCCAGAGCAAAATCCCGCCAGTCAGTCCAATCCGGAGACGTGCGTGCACTTTGCTGCCACTTTCGTTACCCCGCCGCTTTTTGCACGCCCTCTCGACCTGTCGCCCTGGGCGCCCCGCCGAACAACCGCCCCCCTCCAGCGAAACAATTCCTGAGCTCGCTCCCCGCCGTCACTGGTTCTTTTTTCAAACCCAGCCCGACTCCTCCGCCAACCATCCCTCCAACCTGACGGTCCATTTGCTCATTACACTTCAACGCAAATCTCTTTGCCAATACTTCTCAGCGCAATCATCTCGCCCGTTTATTCCCTCCTCGCCATCGGAAGTCATAGTGGAAGGATAATTTGATAGGCCCTTCTACCAACAGCCGTCATTTTACCGCAACGCACGCACGCACCCTTCATCTTTCTTGGACGCCGCCCATCGTCATCCTCCTACACGACCGATCAAATCTGCTTTTTGTTTGGTCAAACCCCTCTTAAAACAACCTCAGCTAAAACACTTACCCTTTCGATCGGGAAGATCGTCCGTCGCACATAATGGCCGAATTCATCAGAGCACAAATTTTCGGCACGACCTTCGAGATTACCTCAAGATACTCGGACTTGCAACCCGTAGGCATGGGTGCTTTTGGTCTTGTTTGGTTAGTCTGAAGAGCTTCCATCGCAACTGCTGTTGCGACCATTCTTATCCTCCTGCTGACGTCCTTTCCCACTGCTAGCTCCGCCCGCGACCAGCTCACCAACCAGAACGTTGCCGTCAAGAAGATTATGAAGCCTTTTAGCACCCCAGTGCTTGCCAAGCGGACATACCGAGAGCTTAAGCTGCTGAAGCACTTGAGACACGAGAACGTACGTTTTGCGGGCTGCGGCCAACGCCGTGACAGGCATACCAAGTATTAACATCCGCCAGGTCATTTCCCTTAGCGACATTTTCATTTCTCCCCTCGAGGATATCTACTTCGTCACAGAGCTGCTGGGCACCGATCTGCACAGGCTACTTACTTCTAGACCTCTCGAGAAGCAGTTCATCCAGTACTTCTTGTATCAGATTATGGTATAATCCACCCACTGCCAGAGTTCATCCCGGCACAGATGCTAACAGTATCAAAGCGCGGTCTGAAGTACGTTCACTCGGCCGGTGTTGTCCACCGTGACCTGAAGCCCAGCAACATCCTCGTCAACGAAAACTGCGACTTGAAGATTTGCGACTTCGGACTTGCTCGTATCCAGGACCCCCAGATGACCGGTTACGTCTCGACGAGATACTACCGTGCCCCCGAGATCATGCTCACGTGGCAAAAGTACGATGTCGAGGTTGATATCTGGAGTGCGGGTTGCATCTTTGCTGAGATGCTTGAGGGCAAGCCTCTGTTCCCCGGCAAGGACCATGTCAACCAATTTTCAATCATCACGGAATTGCTTGGCACTCCTCCCGATGATGTCATCAACACCATTGCCAGCGAAAATGTGAGTGGAGGTGATATTTTGTGCAGCATTCTTCGTTCTAACACCCCAATAGACCCTTCGCTTCGTTAAGTCGCTGCCCAAGCGCGAGAGGCAACCCCTGAAGAATAAGTTCAAGAATGCCGACCCTTCGGCGATTGATCTCTTGGAGAGGATGCTCGTCTTTGACCCCAAGAAGCGGATAACGGCCACCGAGGCCCTGTCCCACGACTACCTTGCCCCCTACCACGACCCCACCGACGAGCCCGTCGCAGAAGAGAAGTTCGACTGGAGCTTCAACGACGCTGACCTGCCAGTGGACACGTGGAAGATTATGATGTTAGTGGAGTACACTGTAGGCCGGTACACACGCAATGCTAACAGACAGTTTGCAGGTACTCAGAGATTCTTGACTACCACAATGTGGACGCGTCAACGACGCAGATGGAGGAGCAGTTCGGCGGACAATAGACGGCGGCGTAAGGAGCGAAGCGAGGATAAATTGGGGCGGGGAGGCTATGATACCACGCAAAACCAGATGGGACGTGTTTCCAGTATATTCACACACACACACACACACACACACACACTCTCACACACACAAACAAACAAACAAACACTGCCTAGGTGTTCGGAAGACGGGTTCGGTTTTTGTAACGTTGACATTATGCAGAGGGCCAGCAGTATACGCGATAAAGGAAAATGGCATGCATCTCGGAGGTGTTTTTCTTTTTTTCCCTATCCTTTTCAAACTATGTTTCAACGGCAATCTTTCTTATTTTTGGGTCATATCGACTATGTTAGATCAATGCTCGCGGCATGAGGACGGTGGTGAGGCAACAAAGAGGGTTTTCAGACCCTGTATATGGTCATTTCACGATTGCATACTGGACGACGTCAACAACCATTACGGAGAGTTGGCAGCCAGGGAGGGTTCCTGTTTAGGATGGAGCACAGTGTCCTGGTGGAGTCATGGCGCGCGCAGCAGTTGTAGAGAATAATGAGGAAAATAGAAGAACTAGTGAAAACGGTCTTGAGGGGGTTGCATTACATCGTAACGTGAAGAGCGAGTCTTGGTCGCATATTGGTATGCAACGTTGGGATGTTGATGTTCTGGTGACATGATGTGAAGGCCGTCGGCCGGTCGGACTTTAATAGAAAGGTGTAGGAAGTCTGGACAAGGTTGCACGGCATGTGCATCGCAGGCCGCAGACCGCCTCAAGCACGACTTACTGTACATGGGCTGCCGAACGGCCACCTACGTTTTGGTTTTGAGCGCGATGGTTGCAGGTGATTGATGGTCAATCTGGCGTATCTTGCTGGCTGAGACGTTCATACTGCAGTTATTGGCATGAGCCAGTCACGAAGCAACCCGAGAGGGACATGAGAAAGGGGGGGGAGGGGTTCGAATGGTGCGGTGAAGGAAGGGATGTGCGTTTTGCTTGCGGTCATGACGATGAGGTAACGAAGGTGAGGTGAGATGGGACGGCACGGGAGACGGGAGACAGGATTCAATGGGCGAATTCTAGGAATCGCATCCCAAAACTTATGCAATGCAGGACACGCTGGCGGTGCTTTGTAGGCGGGTGTGTGTGTGTGTGTATGTGGTTTCATTTGCCTCTCTCTCCTCTCTCTCCTTCTCTTTCTTTTTCTCATTCTGCTAGAGGAAGTCTCTCTGGCTGCTAGAGAGACATGGACACTGTCGAACTCTTTGCAAATGGTGGCTTAAAAATGCCACTTTGTTTGGGGGGTTGATCACATTCAAAGGCGTGCAGTCTTTACGGGTATTCTCGAAAGTCCATGATGATTCCTGCCGGGGGTTTGTTTCTGAATGCCTCCGGCCTTTTTCCAAAGAAGCTAGTTCTAGCGGAGGATAGCTAAGCAATTTACTGGACGACGGGCTGGAGCGGGAGGAGGTAGATAGCATGCATCTAAGATTGGAACTGGTGACGGACGTGGTCGGTGCCCTGTGCATGGTTGACGTGTCTCTGGGGTGGACCATGTACTATGTATCCGTAGCCCGGCCGGCTCTTGGCGCTACGCCGGTTGAGGGCATGAGCTACTTGGAGCGGCCGATGTTAGCTGCTTGTGATTCCCGTCTGCTTAGGCTGCTGATTGCAGGTCACGCTATAGTGAGAGTGGCTCCATTGTTTGGGGAGGCGATATCGTGAAAGGTTGAGAGTTGAACCCTGCTTCTTTTTGGGGTTCTTGTGAAAAAAAAAAAAAAAAAAAGACGAGAGGTCCAGCCACTGGTACCGGGCATACGTACGAATGAACCAACCCCTGACGACTGCGTCAGAAAGCTGAAGCGGTTCTCGAACGGTACTTTGATACTTGACTTCCCCGAGTTCCCTTTCCCCCAAGACTCCCAAGTGGCAGCGGCCGGGCCGTGCCAAGTGACCCTGAGCTGGTCTTACCACACGTGATTTCTAGACGTATCATGTCACCATTCGGGGGGCGCTCCCCGGCACTTGTTGCCCATCTTCCTTCGAGCCTAGAATTTTTTGAAGAAAGATTGCGCGGGGTTCATGGGCCTTTGGTTGATTGGAATTTCCCCTTTTGAAATCCCTGACCCCGTGCCTTCAAGTGGAACGAGCATATCGTGGTAATAGAAAGGAAATTTTCCCTCCCTCTTTAGAAATTGGTCTCAAAGAGGGTTTTTCGCAAGCGGAGGGCATGGTGGGAAAAAAAAATTAGAGTAAAATAACAAGTGGACGTGGTAATAAAGTATTACTCTACGGATATCCTTAGTGCATTAGCACTAATTCAACAACTCATCAACACTCCTCCCCCCCGGCGAACCATCGTTCATTTCAACATCCAATCTCGATTCAAATCGAAACCACCCCCAAGACTAACAAGGTACATAACTTTACCCACCACGAACCTCCATTTCTCGAGTCCTTCACCTCCCCATCTTGTCCTCCTCCGCGGCCTTCTCCTCCTCCTGTTCCCTCCCTTTCCCCAGTCTGCTTGGAAGAGGCGAATTATTTACTTTTCAGCTCTGCGCTTCTGTCCTGCTATTCGGCTCTCGTCTAAGCCAGCTGCCGCTTATTCTTCCTTCTTCATTCCCTAATTCGTTTATACACCTGCGAGGCCACCCGGCGAATCAACGACGTGGTACTCCGACTTTACAGCGTATCGACACAAACACGCCCACCCACATGCGCTTTGAGAAAAAGGGAGACGATTGCTGTCGCCGTCCCTACGAGCTTGCTGTCCTGCGCTGACCGACTCTGCACCGGCTACCCCCATTCTCTGCAGGGACACAAGAGACGGTATAAGAGGACGCTTCCTATTAATTCACGAGGAAACGACCTTTGCCGCCAATTCACCCTTGCGAAACAGCACTCCCCACCAATTTGTCTTTAATTACCACCACGATTGTCTCCTACCCGCGGTAGCTGTGTCTCACTGCCGCCCCTCCTCTTAGTGGACAACACTCGACACTACGTCAGAACAAAGCCATCCAAAGTAGCCCCTCACATTTGGGGAATTTTCTTTGGAGGGGGAAAACACCTGATAGCCTGCCACCACCCCCCCCAACGGACGAACAGCTCACCGCGCGAGAAGCTGCCTGCGGCACGAACCCGAAAAACTTCGAACCCTGACTTGCGACGAAATCTGCGACGGATTTCGGAAAAGGGAAAATCGACCCGTAAGCGATTAGAGAAGCCACAGAAAAAGACAACCCGGGGGCAATACATGGCAAAGTCATAAGGAAGTGGGCCGGTTTGCGCCAAGGAAATTCTTAAAAAAAAAATCAAAGAGAGAGGAACACGTTAATTAGAACACATTCGGGAGTTCAGTGGCCGATTCAGAAAACAATACTCGACGACATTGGTGACTCGGCGCAAGCTGCGTCGTGGATCAGAGAGCGGGAGCGAGTAATAGACTTGAGCAGAGGAAGAGGAGGGATTCGATATGGATACCCCCGAGGTCGCGACGCCCACGTCCGGCGTCGCTACGCCGCTGACTGTGCCATCGACCCCGGCGAAACCGGGCTTCATACCGCTGGTGACCGTCGTCGACTTTCACCATGCCCGTGGGCCCGAGGTTGAGTTGTGGTTTGGCGCGCCAGAGGGCACCGACCCGGCTGTAGAGTATGATTGGGGCCTGCTCCCCTTCATGGCACTGAGTGACGGCGCACATCTGTGAGTAGACGATGCTGTGGCTCTGGGGGCTAGCTTCGAGCTTCCCTGGACCGCGGTACACACAAGTGATTGAAGAACGAAGACAGGAAGCTCACAACTGGCCAGGTCAAGCGAGGACTTCTCCTACTTCACCCTCCTACGACCCGCGACCGCCACGGGCCCAGCGACGTCCCTCTTTGGCATCTCCTGCACGCGACAGCTCGACGCCTCGCAGCTCTTGAACCGCCCCGCCGACGTGACCCGTTCGACGGTCCAGAAAGCCGTCGTCGTCATCGCCGACACCCCGCAACACTTTGGCATGATGCGCGAGCGCCTTAGCGTCGTCACCCAGGCTTGGTTTGCCCAGCGCGAGTTTACCGATACGGAGATCCTGCGCCGCTTCCAGGAGAGCCTAGCGGAGGAGAAGGAGCGCGGTCTGCTGACCGAGGAGGAAAGTCGCGACCAGTACCTCGGCATGAGTCTGAGAGAGCTGGTGCGTGAGTTCAGGTGGCAGACATTGGTATTGTTCAAGTGCTGTTTGTTGCAACCAAAGGTTTGTTGCTCTCGCTGGCTGCGCTGGTGAAAAGGGTTCATGTACTGACTGGCATCACTCGCAGATGTTGTTTTTCGGATCGCGATGCGAACGGTTATGCATGATGCAGTTTTCTCTTATATCTCTGATACCCGGTCTTATTCGTAATCTCATTGACTGCGCTGATCCGGAGCTGAACAATTATGAGAAGAAGCTTACAAGGCCCACGAGCCTGCGGACAAGCGACCGCAACTCGTTGCTCACCTACATGGGTCTGCCGCTTCAAATATTCGGCAAGGTGAGCTCAGCAAGCCTCCTCAAGAGGTTGCTCTAGACTGACAAACCTACAGGGTAGCTTGTTCGGCCCTTATACGCCCCTCCAGCAGCTCGACATCCTCGCCGACTTCGGTACCAAGTCGTACATCGTCGGTAGCACAAATTCCCTGCTCCTTCAGCAAAAGGATCGCTACAGCGACATCCTAATCAACCTTGACGAGCACACCGTCAACGTTACCTCCACATCCCTCCGCAACGCCCTTACCCTCTCTGCGGCCGACCGCCGCTGGATCGACTATCTTACTCAAGAGGTCAACGACACCTGGGACGACGCCAACCCTGGGCGTCCAAAGACGATGGGCTACGTCGGCAGTGAGGAGTTTATCCGCCTCCAGTTCGAGGAGTACATCCTCTCGCTGGTCTCCTCGGTCAAGTACCACAGCCATCTGCTCGCGAACCCGAATAACCCCCGCGCCCTCCTCCCGCACATTGAGGGTGACCCCTCGCTCGACTTCGGCAGCGACTTCATCGAGGCCTGGATCCGCACCGAGAATCACCGCATCTGGAACGGCAACACTGACTCCCACCTTTTCGATGTCGTCGAGCCGCGGCACCCCTGCGCCGGTGGACTCACCATGGACGACGTGCAGAGGCGTATCGCCCAGCAGGTCCAGGACATGCATCTCGACGAGCGGTTCGCTGTCGGCCGTGAGGTGCTGGGGCGCAATTTTGCCGCCGGCAAGGAGAAGGCCTCAACCATGTTCAACAAGTTCTACGCCGACATGGAGGCGTTCCGCGAGGCACAGCGCAAGAAGGCAGAGGAGCAGCGCATCGCGCAGGAAGCTGCAGCAGCACAGGCCGAGAAGACCGGCGGTTCGGCAGCGGCATCAGCTGCGGCGGCAGGTGTCGCGGCGGAGGCGAACAAGACGCAGACGAGTGCCCAGTCCACAGGTAATAAGGCCAGCGCGTATGTGAGTTCCTGGGTGACGTGGGCGGGCGAGAAGCGCAAGGCCGGATGGGGCGGCGGCAGCACCAGCACCAGCACCAACAGTAATAGCCCAAGCACGAACAACGGCGGCGGCGGAGGATACGGAGGTTGGGGCCGTGGATGGGGCAAGTCCAAGACGGACGTCAGCAAGTCGGGCGGAAGCGAGAAGGAGTCGAGGCTATCCAGCTCCTCGACAGGCACGGATGCTGACGACAAGAAGGCTCGACAGTATTCGGATAAGAACAGCGGCAACAACCATGACTTTCGCCCACTGACACAAGACTCGTATGCTGAGTCCTTGTTCTCGGCGGGCACGGTTGACTCGGCGCCCAACAGCCCCACGGCGGAGCGCCGGCCGCAGTCCAAGGATGGTTCTGGTCCTCCTGCTGCTGCCCCTACTCCTACAGCAGCCACGCCTACTCCCACTGCGGCCGTGGCTTCCGCCCCCGCCCCCGCCCCCGCCCCCGGCGTCAACGGCGGAGAAAGCACCGTCAAGCCAGTTACACCCGAACCTGAAAAAGAGGCCGCGACCCCTACGACGACCATCAGCAAAGACAAACCGGAAGAGAAACACGAGACATCAGACGAAGAGGACGTAGAACCCGTCCAGGACACGAAAGCAATTACAGAAGCAGCCGAGGCAGCAAAGGCATGGGGAAGCGAAGGCATCTGAAAACCAAGCGATACACCCGAGTTCATGTTGTGTTTTTAATTTTTTATGTTTTATTTTTGGCTAGCCATACACACCCCTCTTACCTTTATATCGAATGGGTTTGGTTTTTTTCTCTAGTTGATTATTTGGTGGTTTCCCCCCCCCCCTTTTCTTCCATATTTCGGCGTTGCTCGTAATTTGCATCATAACACGCGAAACCATGGTTCGGCATCAATTCAGTAAGTCAGACGATAAGATGTGATTGGAAACAGCGAGATGAGATGAGACGGGTTTGAGAACCAAAGGGGGAAGAGAAAAGAAGGCAAAATTCACAGCATAGCAATGATATTTTGTGCTACAGCACGCTTGCTTGCTTGCTTGCCTGTGAATTGGGAGATGTAACAAAGAAAGTAGGTGGGTTGGATAGGGAGAGATGTCAGGGGAAGAGGGGGGGGGGGGGGGGGGGGGGGGGGGGAAACAAAAAGATGAACTGTATCTGGCAGGCGACGATGGTTTACTGCTTTTTTTTCCCCTTTCTTTTGCAATCCTTTTCTTTTTTGCATATTTATACATCATCATATTATATACATGTAACGCGGAAAGGAGATCAAGTCCGTTACGGCCATGGTTTGGTTAGAAAGACACCCATAGGGAAGAGGTGGCTGAGAAGGGGGGGGGGGGGTTAGTTAATTCGCTCGACGGGAATACAGAGAGGTTTGAACTACAATTCGCTTTCAAGTCTGGTGTGATTGTCGACCTGGAACCCGGGAAGTGACGAGGTATTGCGCTCATGGCAATTCTGTTGCGGCCAAGGGCTAATTTAACCAACGCCTTCCGTCCGTTGAGAAGTTGCATCATGATCATTCATCTATTCGGGGAGCCGTGACTCGCACCTATCTCGGCGTACCTATTTGCGTCTCTTTCCTTTTCTTTGCCAACTTAACACTCTCCGGCTTCAACCCACCACGACCCCTCGCGGTGCCGTTATATCCCTCTGCATTCACGGCCATATGTCCATCCTAGCGACGGAAAGCGAACAATTCCCAAGACTCCAGGTCCATGCACGACTCGCTTGCGTAATGCCTATCTTGGCGGGTGTCTAGATGCTGATTCCTCATCTCACCTTGACTCTTCCGATCCGATGCGCGGCCACCAATCCTCGTGGCAACGTTTGTCGGGACCTTTATTTCCAGTTGTTCAAGCCAGCCCAAGGATCGCTGTTCTGTTGCGGCTGCGCAGAACGGGGGTGTGCGCTTGATGGGTAGGCACTGTGCGGGTTTTGCTGTGGGTAGTTTTGCTGCTGCTGCTGTTGCTGTTGCTGTTGTTGGTAGTCCTGCTGGCCGTAGAATGTCTGCTGAGGGCCCAGAGGCGGCGGTCCTGGTGGTGGCGGCGGAGGCACGAAACCGGGAGGCATCTGTTGCTGTTGTGCTGGGAAGCTGCCGTACGGTTGGCCCTGGTTGAACGAGGTCTGCGTTGGGGGAGGAGAGGCTGGGCCCCGTAGTACGGTTGGCCCAAAGGTAGACTGATGCGGCGGCGGCGAAGTCGGGCCCGGTGTGCGTCCGTATTGGCTGGGGTTGTACGCCGGCTGACCGTACGTGTTAGCCGGTTGAGGCGTGTAGGATTGCGTGGTCGGAGGCGCGGCAAAGCTTGGGTAAGGCTGTTGAGTCGCCGGAGGGGATTGAGGAACTTGGTATTGCCCCTGAAAGTTGGTCTGGGGGTACCGCTGCGTCGTGTTGGCAAAATTGAGCGGCGATGGCGTCGGACGGTTCGAGGGAGGCTTGGGTGACGTTGCGGACGGCTCCATGGACATACGTTCCATCAGACCCCTAAGACGTTCGCGCTCCAGCTCGGCATGGGAGTCTTTGCGGGTGGATCGCTCTTGCTCGATAGTGTTCAGTAGCTGAGCTCCCTCCGAACGCCTGTTGTTGACAAAGCTCTCAACGTTCTTCTCAAGACTCTGCACCGTCTCCTTCATCTCGGCATACCACGTCTTGGCACCCTGAAGACCAGCCTCCAAGTCAAGGAACTCCTGGTATGCCCGCTTGTACTTGTTCATGACTGCTGTGCGTTGCCTTTGCACCGCCTCATACTTGCTCTGCTCCGATCTGACTCTTTTATCCTGCAAAAGTGTGTTGAAGCTGGTGGTAAGCTCCTTCATCAGTGCGGACTGCTTGTGATTTGCTTGGAGGAGCCTGTTCTGATACGGCCGGAACTTTTCCAACTCTGACTGGAAAAGCTGGGACTCGTAGTTTGAGATTGACTTCTTGTTGAGGATGAGAATCTCCGAGATGTCGTCGTTATGGACCTGTCGTGTCATGTTAGTCTTTGTCTTGCGTTATTCTCCCAAGATCTTGTACTTGCCTTCTCCTTGAGGTCCTTCAGCACTTGATTGCGTTCCCTCTTGATCAGGTTCAGCTTCTTCATGATCTCTTCCACTTTGTGGATCTGATCAACAACACTCGGGCCACCCTCGTCAAAATCCATGTCCAGGAGGTTGGGCTCGTTGCCCGACGGACTGGCAGCGTTGCTCGTCTTACCGCGTACCTTGCTGACTGCACGCTGGAATAGGGCGTCTATACTCCCATGTTGTGCTGCTGCTCTCATCTCCTCGAACTCGGCCTCGTTCTGTCTCAGCTTGGCTGCCAACTGGTTGTCGCTGCGTGCAGCCTCCTCCAAAGCTTCTCGGTAATTTCTGATGTCGCTTCGAAGAGTTGTAGTTAACCTTGAACTCGGTTGTTGCGTCCACTCATTTTCGTACTTCGACCGCATCTTCTCACACACGCTTTCCTCCATGTCCAGCTGTTTCGAGTTCTTATCCAACGTACTCAGAATGTACTCCTTCTCAGCTCGAAGAGTATCAAAGATGGATGCCGGATCCTCATGCCCTGCAACGTCTTCGCACCATGTCCTGAACTCGTCATCTGGCAAGATATCTTGGTCGAAACCACCCTTCAGAACTTGAAGAGCACCCGGTAACCTTAAATAATCCAGGCTGGCGGCCATCTCACTGTTGGCGATATCAACTCTCTCCGTCTCTGCTCTGATCAGCTTGGCCTTTTCCTCATCGTAGAGACTAGCTGATTCCGTCACCGCCAATGGCACAATCTTGGAGAACAGGTCCGGCCCCGTGATGCGCTGAATATCCTGACCGGCATAAAGCTCGTTGACGGGAATTGGTTTCGATGCTGGCAGCTTGGCGACCGGCGTGAGACTCGCCTCCGCGGGTACACTTTGGTGGTAGATGAAGTCGTTTTCCTTACTAAGCTCTTTGAGCTTGTCCTGCACGGTCGACAAATGCCGTTTCGTGAGCTCGACTAGTATGCCGCCCGTTTCGGCACCAAGGTTGGAATTGGGTGGAACTGAGTTGGGGAAGTTGGTGGCAATGCGGTTGGCCTCCTTGCCGTGTGTCTCGGCGACCTGCAACCTGGCAACGGCAGTTCCGTGCTGGCCTGCTTCGTCGTCGGCGAGTGCCTGGTAGTACTGCGACATGGAGCTCATGAGGTTGGATTTTACCTGCAAAGTGTCAGCTAATCCCAAATCGCCGCCAAGCACGAGTGGGGTGACGACCACATGACAAGTCTTACCTGAACCATGAGAAGCCAGACCTTCTCGAATATCGCCCTGTTGAAGTTATCTTGGACGCCCTCTACCGCCTGCCCGTACAAGTACGCGGCTTGGCTGGCAAGCTTGGCCAACAACGCCACTTTCTTCTTGTCCGCCACTTGTTTCTCCAGAAACACCTCTTGAGCCTGGGCCAGCATGATGGATATGAGTGTCTTGACGGTCTCGCGGCTAAGATCGGACGAGGGCGCATGCAGGAAGTTCTCGTTTATGTAAGTGAACATGCCAGCAGAGGCCTGGAACGAGTGGTATGCGGCCTTGAGGCCTGACTCCTCGGATCTCGTCTGGTGGGCGGCATGGCATGACAGGACGGCGGAGATATTAAAGATTATGGAGGCTTTTTCGAAGGCGAGGGAGTACTGCGCTGTCGACTTGTGGGTGAAGGCATCGAACCTGGAGAAAGATTGGTCGTCAGTCTGAAATCAGTGGCCATGTGGGGTTGGAGGGGTTGGTGCGCATGTACCATGTGAATGAGATCTTGATATGTTGCTCGTCGACGGGGAAGCGCAAATCGAGCAGCTCAAGCTGGCCGTAATATCTGTAGAGCATGTCACGCCCCGAGGTGCTGTCCTTGCCGGCGCCCCTCACGTCCTGTCGCAGGCGATTGAGGGTGGCGCACTCCTCGGCATAGCGCTCAGGGTCATCACCATATGTGTTCCTGATGTAGTCCTTCAGCGGGGTGACCCAGTCGATCTCGTTTGTGGCCTTGAGAGGCGACGATATCATAGGGGACTGCGTCATTTTGAAAGGCGAGAGCGAGCTATCGGCCCGGACGACGGTCGGGGACAATGGTTTCGCAGTCGAGAAGGTGTTTGCTCTGGAGGGGCAGCCTTGTTTAGATGTTGTGGTAACTGGATGGCATACGGGGCCTCGTCAGAGGGGGGGGCTAGCTTGGGAGAGAACTCGTAGCTAAGGTGGACGGATGCAGCTCGCCGGGTCAGGACAGTCAGTGGTTGCTGTCTTGCGTTGCTGTTGCGTGCGGAGTGCGGGGTGGGGGCGGGAAACGGCGATTGAAGGAGAGCAGTGCCCAGTGGACTTTGGGAGCCGTCACGAAGCAGTACGTACTCTGTAAGGTACAGCAAGGTGCCTTGTCAGAGGTGGATGTTATTTTCTGCTTAGTGATAGCTGGGCTGCCTGGTCGGTGGTTCTGATGGAGAACCCAAGGATACGGTGGTTCTTCTCGGCGACGAGCACGGGCGGCGTCGGCGTCGGCGGGCTGCTGTTTCTGCGACCGACCTTAAAAGTCTTAATTTTTGGGGGGAGGGGAGGGTTGTTGGTGTGGTTCAGCAGGTAGGTGGCACGATCTGCTGGATACAAAGGCCCTTATCAGGTGGGAGGATGGGAAGCGGGAGAATGCAGGTGGCTTTGTGTGTGAGTGTATGTTTGGTTATTGCTTGTGAGATGCCCCGAACTCGTGTTCCTGTGAGGTCATAGTGCTGAGGGGCCCGGGGAGATGAGGGACGGGCAATTAGATGGAGGCCTGACGGGGGGCGGGGCGGAGCAAACAGATACTGGGCTGTCGGCGGTGGTGCTCGGCGTCGTCAGGGTGTCTCGACTGTCGCTACTCTGTGACTGTTGTCGTCTCCGAGCGGTACCAAGCGTCAGTGATATATGTTTGGTGGACGAAGCGCTCGAAAGACGGGATCGCCAAGAAAAGAGCAGGGCACGGAGATTGGAGGCAATGTAAAGCGGGAAAAGGCAGACTTAGCAGGTCAGGTCAAACAATGTTCTTTGTGCGTGGTGTTGACGTTGGCGCATAACGTGTTCTGCGGAGAGTACGTTAGGCTGCTGTCGTACGTAGCCGCCAGGCAGTGATGATAGTCCACCAAGGAGCCGGGGGCCTTCCTGGCTTTTTTGGCGGGGGCCTGGCCAGATGGTGGGTGCTGCCGTAGGGGACTAAAGCATGAAGGATGGAGCCAGGAACTCGGCTCTGATGAAGACATGTAAGGTACAAGTCGCCAACAGTCTTTCCTCTAGCCAAGTACGTCCCTTCTTTTTGTGCGATTTGACGACGGTTCAACAGTCAAGTTGATTTCAGTCAGATGTATTAGGTATAACAAGCACAGTTCAGACGTAATCCCAACCCTAGCCATCTGAAAAGCCCAACACCTTGACAGCTTACGGTTGATTGAAGCTCACTCTCTTTTCCTGCGGCAACCCAGGTGCCGGGCAATCCTAACACCAACCGATTCGTCGGGCAGCCATCCTACCTTGCTCTCCTGGCATTGTAACCCATCACACAATATCGGTGTAAAGCCGGAAGCCCAATTCATTAGTATTGAATAAGACAATAGGCGCAGCACAGCACCACCACCGCACATTCACACCCGGCCGGCAGCATCCTGAGGTCCATCACCTTACCTTAATCACTCTTGTCGACAGGGCCGCTGAACCTATCACTCGATTCTCGCTGGAGCAGAGTGAGACAACCCGATGCGACGCTTCCCCATCTCTGCATGCTCCCACACCCCACCTAGGTTAGATGTTATGGCTGTGAGGCCTGTGTGGTTTAGCCCAGTCAGCTCGACCCGTAATGCTAAGCATCTTGTCACAACTAATCATGTTGAAGAAAAGTATCAATTGGGATAGTGAATCTAGGCTTTCTTTCCGTTGTCCTAATACAATAAGTGATCTCAGATAATGCGAGCCACGGTCTTCCCTCCAGCTTGACTGTTAACTGCAAACGGGATAGGTTGGATATGAAGTAAGTTCTAACCATTTCGTTTGTTAGCTCCTGTGAGCTATTCAGATCGCATGGTTGCAATACCTGGAACTTGGGCCTTTTTCTCATACACAAGCCCCGAACCTCCAGCACAGCTACTTCTTCTCGTGGTCGAGGCAATACGAGCCCGTACTCGACACTTTTCTTCGACCACATTTATCGACCGTACAAGTATGAGGCGTGCAGAAACCACCATCGGGTCCCTTGTCGCTAGTGCAGTCGGGCCAAAGGCAGGTCGCCATTTTTATTCGTGTGTTGGTTAAAGTGTCTTTTTTCAGTAAGAAGAAGGAAGAAGCGATGAGAGATGTAGAAATCCAATAACACCGGCACAATAAGAGAGAGGCTTTATATATCCATAAAATGGTATCTGTAGCCTTGTGAGTTTGCCAAGTAGATATAAATGCGCCTCACATGTGTACCCCTAAGAAAATGCATTTTTGCACTAGAAAGACCAGCAGAGCCCATGTGAGCATCGCCTTGTCTCTCTTATTAGTCAAACATCAAACCTCGCCTCACTTTCGAGAGAATGTCACAGGCCACGGTGGCAGGCTGCAGACACGTATTCCCAAGATTCTGTCCAGCAATGACAAACGTGTGTTATGCTATATCGCCGACAAGCCTTGGGTCTACAGCTAGAATCTCTGTGGTAGTATATTCGGAAACTGTGTATAGGCAACTCAAAAACCTCCCATATCTGTCTTTTTGTCGGATATCTTGAATCACCACGTCGAAACTTGATATTTTGATGTGGCCCGCCACCTGCCCCTCGTTGCTTTTGAACCAGACTAGACAGGACTACACTACTACCTCGTTACGGTGTCATCGCTGCTTACACCATGTACCTCTGGTGCAGTAAGCACGAAGCAAGTCACACTGCATTTCGCATGAGGACCTCCGTCTTGCTCGAACTTGGGTCGTTTTTTTTCTTCTTCTTTTCTTTCGGTTGCTTCACCACTTACATAGTACCGTGCCGATTCCCTTTTTGCCATACATTGTGACCCATTCGACAGGAACATCCTCAAACACTGGTATACTAGTCCACCGTGAATCCCACTATCATCTCCCCCAAATCCTTAACAACCCCCCGTCTGAGCAACGACATTGGTTCCTCGTCCTTTCCATCCTCATGCAGGTGACGGGCCACGCGAAGAAGCTGCCCCTCCTCTACTACCCCTCATTGGTCGGCGCTTCGCGACCCCACCATCTAGCTAGGGGGGAGGGGGGCCAGAACTTGCCCTTCTCCTCACCCCCCCAGGACAGCAGCAACGACGACCCCTCCTCATATTGAGGGTGTAGTAAGGTAACTGGGCCTTGACGGCCCGCCGTGCAGGGTTGAGAGCTCTATGTGGCATTTTGGGCCGTATTCCTGCGGCAACCGCTCTTCCTCGGCAGAGCAATTTTTGTGTGTGCCAGCCATCATCTTTTGGAAAACTTTCAGCCACGAATGGGCACGAGATAAACCGGTTCTGTGTGAAGTCAACGGTAGTACGCCGGACTCCTACGACCCGACGATCTTAATATCATTGTGAGACAAAGAATCCGATCTGTATTGGGGGGGGGGGCTGTAAGGCCGATTCTGCGGCCTAGGACGCCCGGCATTCTGCGCATCATCAGTATTTGTACTGGGGTACATGAGCGTAACGAAATACATTATATGACATGACTGTTACCCAGGTGGGCATGGGGAATGAATATCAGCAGTGTGGCCCAACCGCGCGTTTTCAATACTACACCCACTACGGCGGCTCACCAGAACTTCAAAGAGCGCGCGCGCAAAAAAAAAAAAAAAACAATCACGTTTTTAAGCGCTCCCAGCCCTTCTCGTTCATTGCACCAACAACATCCGAAACTACCAAGACGTTTATGAAATTTTTCTTTCGTAATATTGATTGGGTGATTCTCTTCTTTGTAAGTTTGTCTGAGGTGAGTGGCCTCCGCGGGAGCTGGCTTTCCCTGCTTCTCCTTCGGTCTATACTACATTGTACATTGTGATGGGATAATACACAAGCAACGACTGGCTTCTCCAAACAAGCAAGGTGGGGGCTTCAATCTCTAGACAGCCCTCATTTCTGTCGACGCCGGGGGGGACAAAACTCTTTCGCGTGCGTGCTGTTGTAAAAATTAAAAAACAAAAGGGGGAGGGGGAAAAAAAGGACAAGATAGAAGCTTTAAAAAATTTAACGAAAAAGCCAATAATAATCAACCGTTTTGAACACCTTCCATGCAGACACCCACCGCCGTCTATGATTACCGTAAGTTTTCTGCGCGTAAAGCCCGCTTGCCCGTCGGAGGCCGATATGGTGCAGCGACGACCTCAAACCTGCTTTAGGCCGAGCCGGAGCCGGAATCCTTCTTGGAATCGTCCTTCTTCTCCCCGTTCTTGTTGGTGTCATTAGACGGCTTGCCGGCGTCCGTCTCGGATCCCTTCTGATGAGCAGGATGGTTCGTCAGGGTGTGCCACATTGACTTGAGGAAACCCTCGTTCTTGTGAGACTCTGGGTCGTCCGGAGAGATTGGCTGGGATCTGTGCCGTGGCGTCAGCAAAATTTAGTGTCAGGGAGAGACGGGAGGAAGGGGGAGGAGGAAGGAGAAGAGGAGCAGAGACTGCTGGGCCTCCCATCCCCACCTCCACCCCCGGGCACGGAAGAACTCACCCCTGGGGAGTGACGTTCATGATCCTCTTGGCCGTCTTGTCTCCCATCTCGTTCGCCAGCATCTCCACCAGCGTGCGCTGGTTCGCGCTCAGGTACTTGGGCATGTTGACCCTGAACTCCACTTTCAGGTCACCCGAGCCACCCCTCCGGCCGTTCAGCTTCTTCATGCCCATGCCCGAGAGCGTCAACTTGTCGCCCGTGTTGGTGCCCGTGGCCACCTTGACGTTGACCTGCCCGTCGAGCGTCGGCACAGTAACCTCGCCGCCGAGCATAGCCGTCGTGATGGGAATCGTCGCCGTGTAGAGGATGTCGGAGCCCGCGCGCTTGAACTTGGGGTCCGAAGCAACGCGCACAAAGACGTAGAGGTCGCCCTTTTGCGTGCGTACGTTGGGCTCTGCGTTCTTGCCGGTGATGGGCGCGTCACCCGCGCCGTCGACCCGCAGCCTCATGCCATCCTCGATACCCGCGGGGATGTCGACCGTGATGGTCTTGCGCTCCCTCACGACACCGTTACCCGCGCAGGACCTGCACTCCGAGCCCCGCGGGATCGTCGTTCCCGTTCCACCGCATGTTCCGCATGTCGACGCCATCTGGAAGCCGCCGTTCATGAAGTGCACCCGCGTTCCCGTTCCGTCGCAGGTGCCGCAAGCCGATCTCTTGGTGCCCTGCTTCAGACCGCTACCCGTACACGTACCGCACTCCGTCAGGGGTGTAACTGTGATGGTCTTGCTCGTTCCCTTGGCCGCTTCCATGAAGGATATGCTCGATTGCACCTCGATGTTGTCTCCAACGAGTATCTCCTGCTGGAACGGGTTTCGGCCGCCACGGCGTCCGAAGGGCGAGCCCTGACCGCCGGTGAACGCAGAGAAGATATCGTCAAAGTTGAAGCCGCCGCCGAAGCCGCCCTGTCCACCAAAACCGCCGCCGAATGGGTTGCCGGCACCTCCAAACGGGTCACCGCCCGCTCCGCCGCTGGGGTCGAAGCCGGCGGCGCCGAACTGATCGAATTGTTGCTTCTTCTTGGGGTCGGAAAGGATCTCGTATGCGCTCTGGATCTCGCCAAAAGTCTCCTTCGCGGAAGGGTCCTTGTTCGTGTCGGGGTGATACTTCTTCGCGAGGCCATAGTACGCCTTCTTGATGTCGCCTGCGGAAGCCGACTTGTCGACGCCCAAGGTCTTGTAAGGGTCACTCGGGGCTAGGGCAGTAGAAGTTGCGTGGAATGCCTATCACGTAACTGATGAGCAAGCTGTAGAAATGAATGCTTCAATGCAGGAAGATACTTACGCGCTTCGTTGAGGGAGCTTGGCATGTCACCCGAGGAGCTTGAGACTTGGTGGTCCTGACCGTAAAGGTACCGGTGTGGATGCTGGCACGCCTGCAGACGGAATCCTTGAGCTTGGATTGCCGAGTGATGCGGCTGGACAACAAACGGCCTGGGGCCGCGGCCTTTGTGACAATGCTTGCATTCATTGTGAACTGTGACGACTCATCTGAAGCAGTGTGTCGGAGAGAGTTTAAGGGGTTAAATTGGCTGGGGGATGCGGATAAGCATCAACGCGCAAGTGGAACTCTCCCGCAAATTCTTTGCCCTTCGATGCCATTGACAGACGGGATGATATCAACTTTTTTTTGGCCCGATGCTAAGCCGAACACCGGGGCCTGCCTGAGGCACTTGCCGCGCCGGATCTTGGCACGGACACACTAGGGGCGTCCGGGGGGCTGCTTTGAAGGGAAGTTTTTTTTTTTTTTTTTTTTGCTGTAGGCCGAACGTAAGCAGTTTGCGATGACTTTAAGTGGTTCGCGAGCCGCCCCACAGCCCGAGGTGGAAATTCGCGGGTAAATGCGCGTTGTGTGCGTTCTGCTTTAGCGCCGTGAGTCGGAGTCGTAACCGATTGTAGTTCTTAAGAGAAACAGAAATTAATGTGTCCAAACCATAACTCCGAAATATCATTAATCTGTATCGTAAAAAAATAGCTATGTAAATGGCATGCGACAGAGGGTCATGCCTCTGTCATTTTCTGCCGTACGTTTCCCGCCAAGGGTGAGGTATCATTATGCAGTCCGAAGTCGCCCACACAGCCTGCCAAGGCTGCCCTCTGAAAGCACAAATCCCATGTCAATCAGCTCCAGTTCGATGCAACTGTTCCCAAAAACAATGTTGTGGATATCATGTAATGTCGTCAAGCGTCGTGAGATGTTGAATTTGGCCTTCTGTTTCGGTCGGCTTTGGTGATGGCCTGACTCCGAACTTTGTGGATAAAGTCCACGATAACGTCGTTCTCTTGGACTCCGAGGCCGTTGAAGTGCTTACGCACAGCCATGGCAAGTTGCTCTTTACTCTGTCTTCGGTTGTCTCTCTTCCGAGCCATTGTGGGAGAATGCAGTCCAATGCCACCAGGCCGTGACAAGACCAATTGGCGGTAGGAGCAGGAGAAGGAGGTTGGTGTGTTGAGGTGGTGCTCGCGACGGTAAGCATGGAGTATTTCTCGATCGAAAGCGTTCCACTGGAGCTGGGGGGGTAGAAGAGTTAGCCGTGTGTCTTTGCGGCCGACCCCGCGGTTGGAAAAAGGGTAAAGGGTAGCCTTACTCCTGGGTTTTGGATCTCCTCCTTTGCAGGCGTGGTGTCCACGGCTGCACTGGCATTTGTGACTTCCCGCAAGTTGGAGCCAGTCGAACTGGCCACCCGTCTCAGTTTGCCATTCGAGTGGTGGCTACCAGAGCCGGACGAGTGTTTTTCTTTCGTGTTTGTGCCCTCGGCCTTGGAGTCGTCGTGACCAGCCTTGGAGGATTTGGCTGGTGCCATGACGAAGGTGGACTGTGACTAGGTTGGGGGAAATCGCCGAGGCCGTCTTTAGAGGTTCGGTCGAGGTCGCAAGGATGGGAAATGGGTGTGAGTCGGTATCACATCGTATTCGAGACAGCGATTGAGGAGAAAATGGTGTGAGAGGGAGGAGGAAAGGGCCGGGGGGAGGAGAAGGGGATTTTTTCTCACGTCATGGCCGGCTCTCTGTTGGTTGCTGCTCCGGTTGCCCAGGGCCCTGCCTGCCTTGAAGAGAGCAAGCTGCGGGGCGCTGGCGGCATTCGGGGACTGACCAGCGAGCGGTGCCTGGGACCCGTTGCTTGTAAGTGGTGCGACAAGATACGTACAGTGAGGCGGGCAACTAATCCCAATGCGTAGGGTGGTTTCTTGGTACTGACTGCTTACCTAACGCTATCTCAGGTCAAACCAGACACTTCAATTTTTCAGCTCCAACTGTTGTTGGGATAGCGTGACCCACAACCCCACTTTATCTATACAAATGTCCCTTCACTTGGCCCTCGGCCCCTCCCCCATTCATCCCGCCGCATGCTCAATCTTTTTATGCCAGGCATATGAGCAATGATGTGCAGACAATCCAGCCAACAGTATCTAGATACCTGTCAGAACTGCAACTATCATGACGGTATCGATTTATTCGTCTCGCCCGTATGAAATAAGAGCCATGACGAGGTTTCTAGACACGCAACAATGTTGTGGCGGCAAGAGCACGAGAGCTTCGCTGGAATCCATGAGCGAAGACTCATGGCCTTACAGCTTAGACATTTCTCGCATGATGCGAAGAATGTAAGCGCCAGCTTCGCGTTGCAAACGTGGGAATAACAAGGGAAAAAAGGGGGGGAAAAGGACAGAGATACCGGTAGTGGCACTGACGATACTGGCTGCCGAAACATGCCAAACGCAATGGCGGGAGCTCCCATTGTTGTCGCACGGCATTGATGGAGACAAAGAACCCGAAGCACGCCGTTGCATCCTGCCCAAGGTAATGGATAAAGTCAAGAAAAATTCCGTCCAGTCTTACGGGTCTCCCACACGGGCTGAAGCGATCTCCGGCTTACCTCATACGGCTCGACCTGCAGCAGATGCACCTCTTCCCCACGTCACACAAAAGCATCTTGGACCCCCCAGGTGGGAAAACCTCGAGGTCCCTTGCGACTACGGTCTAAACCGCTACATTGACAGCAAATAGGAATGAAATGCCAAATAATCCGGAGTCAGCAAAAGAGGAGAAGGGTTACACACGCATTTGGAGCACACAGTTGCCCAGCTCAGGTTCTCTGCGCTCAAGAGATGTGGCCTCAGGCTTGCATACGAACACGTCCATCTCGCTGTGTCAGAATCCAGCCACATTGGGGCTTCCGCATTGTTGCCGACTCACACTCCCTTGGGCAAATTTTCAAGCATCGTGTATCGAAACATTGGCAGTATACCTGGATCTATTCACAGTTTAAACATAGTGGAATGTGGCAAGAATGAGAGTGGACTTTCTTCTCCCCACTGAGGGGGACAGGCGTGGCTGGCCCGGCGGTCTGGTTCACCATCGCGGCGCACGTAATTGATATTCCACACACCTGAGGGTCATCCCACGTCCAGACGCAGGTGGACCAAGAGACCCCCAAACTTTCTTTCAACGCCAGTCCTGGATTTACTCAACTTATCTCGAATGCATCTTTTGCAATATTGATCTCATCACCAACATCGGAACATGGCATACCGAAGTCTCCCATGACCAGTTCAAAGTGCTCGTGAAACACCCCAACGCCACCATGTCAGTGGTCAATAAATGGCGCACACTCCCCTTCTTCCTCCTCCTCCTCCTCCTCAACAGCCTGCGAGCACAACAACAGGTGGGGCGCTTTTCTTTTTTTTGTCTACCGAGAGGCTGGTGACGAATTCCTCTGCAATACATTGGTCAGAATCTCTGTGGCCGCGTTGAAACCCAGTTGAGCATCCTCTTCTGACAGAGGCACTTCAACCCTAACATCGCCGTAGAGTCAACCGAAAACGATGCGACCAGCGGGGTAATCGTCAGAACGATTGATAAACATTGAAGAACGCAAAGTTCCGGTCATCGCTTGCTGGTAGCCGAGGAGAAGCAATTCATACACAGATGTGCGCCGGAGAGACATCTCTCGCCCTGTCGAGCTAACAGTGCAAGGGAGGTCATTTGATGTCCATCCTGGCACCTGGGAGCTCAGTGTCGAACTCCCCATGTCCCTGATCAAGGCTTACCTTTAGTGGGGACCGTTGTCAGTGAGTTTTACTCGCGAATGCTGACTGGCGATCTGTTAAGGACTAGGAAATATACCCCTGTCTCCTCTGACCAGGATTCTAGAAATTCGCCTTGGGTGCCGAGCCAGATGACACCTCTAAACTGCTGTATTTCGACGTGTCTATCGACAGCTATGTCTCAAAGCACATTCACGTTGCTGTTCGTAACCCCAGGAGAAAATCACTCCCTCGCATGTCGCTGCCCCAGGGTCAGCCACATTCACGGTCGTGCGACTATACTAGTCAGGTCTAGCGAGATGACTACATGCGCGAAAAGAAATGTCAATTTCAACACTGAGCGAACATGCCGACCTAACACGGTGATCCAAGCAGAGAACTCTTTTCTATCATGTACCTTTTCTTGGTTTTACACAATAGCATCCCCGAAGCTGTCATTGGCTCGCCAGACACATAGTTGCGAGACATTTCAATTGTCGATTCACCGACATGGAGAGCCTCTGTGTGTCAACCTTGTGATAGGACACCCACTCTAAGTTGGTTGGTTGGGTGGGGGTTGTTCTCCACTTGATGCAGGGTGGGATCGTCAGAGGGGCCTTCAGGATGAGCGAGCACTGCCAGAGGTGACTAGACTGCACGGTTTCGCCAATCTTGAACAGCAGAATGGCGGCCTTTTGCGACTAGTGAGGGTCGTGTGCTGCCATGCCTATTTGAAACCACGCCCATTCCCCATGAGCAACCCATTACGAGATGGGATGGGTCATGAAGACGACAGGGTCCGAGGTCATGGGCGACCTGCTGCGTAGAACATCTTTCACAAACGCTCGTGTGTCGGCACAGATCGTGCCCACGTCCAACCCTGACCCGGCAATGTGGTATTTGTGCCTGATGTGTGCTGTACATCTCAGCCTCAAGGCGTGGGGTATTGGTGACCGACTGGCAACAAAGTGACAGCTGCCCGTGAACAAAGTTGTCTGCGGGTGCAGCTGGCTAGTGACACCACATGGTTGTCAATGGACGGTGATTCCTAAGCTGAGTACTTAGGCACTGGCCCAAGACTCAGACTTACAAAGTAGACGCGATAGCCGGAGAAGTCGACGGGACCGTTTAGTACGACTGATACCAGATGAGCTGTGTGTGGGGACATGACAATGTGAGACGGTCAAATGAATTGCGAAAGGTAGTACAGTCTAACGTGAGTTGTAGCCCACAGGCTTTAACCACCTGATCCTGCACGGTTTTTCTCTGTTATCCGCCCTCTGACTTCCCCTTACCCCAGCTCTTATAATGTCTTCACGTCATTCTCAGACGCCACCAACTCTACTCAATATTGGCACCAGCACAGTTTACGATGGCCAAAGGTACCAGGAAGTGCGCGGCCCAGCACACTAGTGAGGACGATCCTTTGTCGAAATAAGCTGTATTGTCTGTGGGCAGCGCTTTTCCAAACCAGCAGAAGAGATTCGACGCAACAACCCTCCAGAAACCTGATGGTGACACCACGCAACCTATTCCACAGGTCGGGGGAATAGCGCCCCGGATGGGAAATGTCCAAGCTCCAGACCGTGCTCGTCCCCACACGTCTCGTCTTCTTCAAGTGGACATCTCACACCCAGCATCCCTGCAGACCTACCCACGCCGGTCACTGGGGGCATGGGCATGCTTGTCGTAGGGCGATATTGGAGGGATTCAGGGTTCTCTGGAGGGGGAGTCACCCTCAGGCCCCCGAGGAAACGAGGTCCCTGACGGTCTTGGTCCGTGTTGCCTGTCACATACAGTCAGTCAATCTGGGCTTGCACAGTATCTCTACTAGTAGCTCCTTTCGCAACTCTTCGCATCGCCATCGTACGAGGGCGACGAAAGACGACTCAATTTGTCATGAGAGTAGAGTTTAGGTGACCTCCACCACATCCTGCTGCCTCACGAGTATGTGGATCCATAATGAGGAGCAGACGTCATTAGTCTAAGAAGTCGAGGGGCTGACTTTTGGCGCGTCTCCAACTATTCAGTAAAGGGTGAGGCAGGCGATGTGACAGGGCCGTCGGTCACCGATACCCTAGCCATCCATCTGTACAGCTCAAATGCACGTCGACTTGCTTGGGCACAACTAATTGTCGAATGCAGCCAGAGCCAATGATTGCATCCATGTCTGACAGTTCTCTCTTGACCGGCCACCCGACAAGTCACCGAGACCGGTCCCCCTGCTTCTTAGGGGAAACTAACAAGCGGACGACACATCAAGGATCTCTGGCCCCGACGGACATATCACTCATCTTTGACAGAGGTAAATGACACGGCGCAGATATGTACATGCAGTCTTGATCACTTGTCGACTTTCCCGCGAACGGTACCGAACACTAGCTGAATACTCACCTCTCTTGGTTTGCCAACCTTCGGCGATGGCTTGCATACGGATAACGGACATAAGCAGGCCGCTGACGGATGCCGCAGCCAAGGGCGGATGAAATCTTGACGGCGTAAACAGTCAAAGATCCATCGTATGTGGGCACCAGGAGGCTCCGGGTTTGATGTCAGATACGCCCTGAATCACCATTAACTGCATACGCCATAAACAGCTTTTTTCGAGATGATGTCGTCGGCTGATAGTCCGATTACACCGGTTCGCTGGGAACATATCGTCTCACGTCGGACTCACAGTGCGAGCGGCTACCCATCTTTCGGCGTGTGCCGCCAGTTAGGGTAAACTTGGTAATTAATGACTGTTCATGTCGCCTCCCCCCCTCTCCGAGTGCACCCCCAAAGGCAGTCCCAGAGGATGAGGAGAGGGGGGGGGGGGGGCCGCCGCAAGATGTCCCTAATCGCACTCCAACCGCCTTTCCCATATTATTTGGAGACACTAAGGGACCCCCATGGCGTGGCCCACCACACCTTTTGGCAGGTTGCGACCTTTCATCGCTCCTGTGGGAGCTTAGCTGCTGCCACTGCTGCTTCGGGACAGGTCAAGAGTGGACTGGCACTGTCACTGGCAGGGCGTCGCATCGCATCGCGTCGCATCACGCCGCGGGCCTCACACCTAGACTTTGACCCTGGGCTCACTCCGGCCGGCTCATTTGGGATGTGGGAGGAGAAGGAGGAGCGGAGGGCGAGGGCGAGGGAGAGGGGGGAGTGGGAGTGGCATAAGACCCCCCACACTCCCACCCTGCGTCTCCTTACCTCTACCTACCGACCTTAGATGGCCAAGTGCTCTCTTTCTCTACCCACTTCCCCAGGACCTGGACCCGACGACTTGTGCCATTGAGGGTTGATCAGTGAGACTCGGACGCATCACGATATCGAACCAGCACCACACGCTCACGCACGATCATAGCAGCGCAGCCCCGAGGCCAGTCTTGCCCCCCAGCTGCGGTTTATCTTCAAGCTTCAAGAAACCCTCCGAGATTTCGGCTTTACATTTGTATACTCTCCTGTCTGACTCGCCCTTGTATTGATCAACTTGGCAAGGCCAATCAATCATCAGGTAAGGCGATTCCGTCTCTCCCGTATGTCAATCTTCCCCTCCCGTCTTTCCGCTTGTTTGATTTCGTACTCTCATTTCCCCATCCCCTCCACGGCACAACGGCGGACTGGTCGAGAGTATCGTGGTTGACCAGATACGGCCCGCCACACAACCTCATTTCAATATCAACCAGATCTGGGTCGTAGTGGATTAGACCCTTCGGGATAGCATACGACCAAATTCCCTCAGGTCATTGCAACTGCACTTATTGGATTCGCGGGCCACCAACACTACTACGGGTGTGCCCCCCGACAAACGAACCCTCCCTCGCCTTGGACCTACATGGAGGTGCCATGCCTGCCTTGCCTAAGCTATTTCTCAACCTAAGGTTAGCTGGGTATGCCACTGGCGGACATCAACGGTTCGCTTCGGTTCGCTTCGCTCCAGGGGACTACGGCGAGCCCGGCTAGAGGTTCACCGAAGCTCAAGGTACTTTGTACCCCCCAACAAACACAGGCACCAATGCCACGAGTCTTGGTACCGGTACATTTGCCCACTTCATCTGGTCTACCACGACACTTCCGCCCAAGGTTCCCTGTCTTGCTTCTTAGGGGCTGGACCGCCTCGGACACAGCGCCTGCGACCTGAACGGCGGCGGCGCCTCCCCCAGGAATAACGAGACTCGCTGTTGTGGTTTCTCCCCTTCCCCCCCTCTTCGTCTTCTCTTCTCCCACTCCCGCGCTTCTCCAACTGGCCGATTCCTGGTATCGGGGCTAGTCCTCTTTTTCGACCGTGTCCTAGCAATAGTACACCGGGCTACCCTGCCCAGCTTCACAGCTTTGGGGCTGCCCTCACCTCACAGGGCTTGTTAGCCACAAGTGCCTTGCTGTTATCGTTACACCCCGGAACGCAACGCTTGGTCCACTGTCCTTGACCCTTGGTCAATGGTCCACTCCATCCGCAACCTCCAACCTTGCCGTCCTTCTTTTTTTTTTTTTTTTTTATGACGCCCACCCCCTCCTCCTGCTCTGCCATGCAGCGCTCGTCCTTTTTACCGCAACTGGCGGCATGTCCATCATTAATACCACGAACTCCACCAAAAATCCACTTGCTAACCCACCCCCAGCACCAACAGCTTACCTTGCTTTACCTTACCTTGCCTTGCCCTGCCTGATCTCGCCGCCGTAAGGTACTTTCACTTAGGGAACCTCGTCTTTCTCGCAGATTACTCTCTTCACTTTCCGATTCTCATCCTCGCGCATCGCGTCTACGTCTTGCCGCACTATTATCGTCCTCAACTGTGCTGGCGAGAGAGCTTCCTCCTAGTCATGTTTTGAAGAACCCTCTCCAATTGGCTTTGGAGAGGCCAAAACTAATAACCACGAGTGCGAATTCACACACGCCATTGTACAACACGCAAGAAGAGGAGGACCACGGGAAACGCCTGGTGGACTGATCTGATTCTCAGTCGCTGTACCATATTCGCCGCGCCACTTCGTCTGAGCTACATAACCCTCATTTGAGTCCCTTTTCGTGGACCCTTTTTATTATTCTTTTTTTTTATATAATAACGATACGATTTGTCCTGCAGCAAAACGCCGCCTGCACCCCGCCAGCCGACGTCCCAGGCTTCGGTGCGCTTTGTTTACGGGAGCTCGCGTCGCATACCATCTTACTCCGTTCACCTTATTTTTGAGAAGTCGTCTGCTTTCAAAACATGACTTCAGTATTAGCTGCACATCCCGCCGAGTTCAACAGTTCGATGTCTCTCTCTGGCGGTTCTGCGACCATGCCATCCGGTCACGATCCACGGACGAGCCCGCAGCACTTTATTAAACAGGAACACGATTTGGGGAGGGGCAGGCCGCGGGAGGGCTCCGAAGACAAGGATGCCGACCTGATGGACGATGATGGAGCCGACGGCGACGATGGCAAAGCCGGCTCGTCCAACTCGGACGGCCCCGCACGGAAGAGGCGAAGGAGTCGCAAAGGCCTAGACAAAAAGTTCGAGTGCCCACAAGAAGGTTGTGGAAAGAGTTACTCGAGGGCCGAGCATTTGTACGTTCTTAATACGCTTATACACGTGAGCCCTGATCGCGTCCACAACTAACATCTATCCAGGTACCGGCACCAGTTGAACCATACGCCCAAGCAGATTTATGCCTGCGACTTTCCTGACTGCAGTCGCACCTTTGTACGACTAGATCTGTGTAACCGCCACAGGGACCGTCATACAGCCAAGGGCTCAGCCTTGAATCGCAAGGACTCGATGATGAGCCACATATCTCCCACTACCGACCGCCCTCCTTATCCGCCGCCTGGATCTGCTTCTCCTGAACTAAGTCGGCCAGGAACTGCCTTTGCCAACATGCGGCAGGCTCAGATGCAATACCAGTCGCCCAAGGATGCTGCTGCCAGCCCGTTTGTCCAGGCAGCAAATACACCTCCCACAGGATATCCTATTAGCGCACCACCGGGAATGGACGGCTACATGCATCACGAGAATGGCTATGGAAACGTCCAGGCGCAGCGGCCTCCTCATCAGTCACCAAATACCGCACCACGGCCGACTGTACAGACGAACGGGCCGTACATGTCTCCAGTTTCCAACCAACAGGCATATCATGGACAGCAGCACAACACCCCACAGTCTGCGACCTACACAACCCAGCAAAACTTTCCGCCTTTCAACCTACCGCCTTCCGACTTCTCCAACGGACCCGACAACGTTCCCCGCGGAAGCGGCCAAGCATACGCACCTACCACTTCGGCCGAATACACGGAACAGGGTCACCCCCAGCAATCAGGCGAGATGATGTTGCTCGATCAGATGTCTATGCCCGGGACGATTCCCGTCTTCGGCACCGACAGCATTCTAAGCAAGTCACCATACGTTACGATTCCGGAAGACTTCGTCGCCTATCTTTTCAATACCCAGCAAGGCGGCGAGGGGTCGCCTATGGGGCAGATGGTGCCGCCTGCATACACGAACAAGTAAGCCAATCCGATTGCTATACATGAGCTCCGCTGACAAGTCACAGTTACGGCGAGTATCAAAACTCGTACAGCGTTCCGTATGTGGGCACTGAGGGCGTACCCATGGGCTACTTCCCCTCTGGCTCTCACCAGGTCATGGCAGTGAATAACCTGCTTGATCAGAACCTTCCGGAGGCGACGATCTCGGAAGAAAAAAGTCAGGAGATTTACGAGTTCATCAACCAGAGGTTCCATGAGAACGACCAGGCTCCCGCGCTGCGGCAACGCGAGAGCATTCTGGAAGGTGACCGTACTGACGGAGACCACATGCTTAGCAAGCGGATGATGCAGGCCTACATCGGGTCGTACTGGGTGCATTTCAGCGATCAGATCCCCATCCTCCACAAGCCGACCTTCTCTCCTGACCGAACACCGAATCTGCTGCTTCTCGCCATGATGACGATCGGCGCCGCCTGTCTTGACAAGACGCACGGACAGAAGGTCACCAAGGCCGGTGCGCAACTGTCCAACTTCCTGGCCTGGCATCTGCGTTGGGAGATCTTTATGGATCCCAATTTCCGGCCGCCGGCCAAATTATGGGTGTTCCAGACGCTCCTGCTACTTGAGTTGTACGAGAAAATGTACTCGACGAGAGAATTGCACGAGCGAGCCCATATTCATCACGCCACGACGATTACTCTCATGCGCCGAGGGCGGTCTCTCATCGGCAAGTCGGCTCTTGATTCGCCGCCTAACCCTCGCGATGACAAGAACAGCTCGCGTCATTCTTCGACATCAGGCGTTGCTCATACCGCGGATGAATGGTGGAATCACTGGATCACCAATGAATCGACCCGACGGGCGGCGTTTGCGGCTTTTGTAATTGATTCGATCCACGCGACCATGTTTGGCCACTCTACCGTGATGGTGACGCACGAGATGAGGCTTCCGTTGCCTTGCGATGAGGCCCTGTGGAAAGCCAACAGTGGTGCGGAGGTCGGCCGGATCGAATCCAACATCATGTCCAACGGCATCAAGCCAATTTCCTTCTTGGAGGGGCTTAAGCGGACACTCAGCGGTCAGGGGGTTCAGACCAACCCCTTTGGTCGTATGGTCTTGATGGCTGGGCTCCTGAGCGTGAGTTGGCATATGAACCAGAGGGATCTCCAAGTCAATGTGCTCGGCGGCGGCGTCTCGCAGGCGCTGGGCGGCAGGGACAAGTGGAGAGGGACACTGACGAGAGCCTTCGACGCCTGGAAGGAGGATTTTGACAAATCACTAACGAGAAGCGAAGGATCTTCGGATCCGTACCGCTATGACTCCGCGAAGAAGAACGAGGCCAACATCGTCTTTGAAAGCCGTACGGTTCTGCACCACCTTGCCCACATGGCCATGCATGTCGATATCGTCGACTGTCAAATTTTTGCCCGAGCAAAGAGGCTGTTGGGAAGAGCAATCGGACAACAGGATCTCAACAGCGCTCAAAGGCGGATGAGAGATCTGTGGGCACCATCGGCAAAGGCGCGGGATGCGACTTACTACGCCCTCAAATTCCTTTGCTCTGTTTTGTTGCCTGGCGGGGGTGTTTCGCCCCAGTCGAACGGCTACAAATACAACGAGCCGTACACGGCGCGGGATGATGTGCTTCTCAACAGACCCTGGGTGTTGTACTTTGCGGTACTTGTGGTATGGTGCTATGGGTTCGCCCTCGAGGGGCCGTGCCCTGGAGTCCCGATCCCGACTACGAAACAGGAACAGGTACGGCAAATGCGGGAATATTTGGCCAAGTACGGCGGCGTGTCTTCTCCAGAGGAGCTCAAGGCTCTGAAGGGTATCAACACCAACAGCGCACTGTTGCTTGTGCTCAAAGATTCCTTCGGCACTACACGTTGGGAGCTGCTTCACGAAGGAGCCAACCTACTTAACAATTGCCTCCAGCTGAATTCAGGAGCTACAACGACATAATCACGAACCAAGCTAAACCGGTACCAGTCGCCTCGCGCTGGTGCCTGATACAAAGAACGAACTTGATGTTGGAATGGGACATGGCGGCAGTATTATGACGGGAGGACTCTGCTTCGATATATACCACATATTTTTTTGCGAGTTGTTTGTGTGGGGTTTATAGGGCGTTGGAACGATAATTTGGCATGACAGGCCTTTTTGGCCGAACACCTTTTACATTTTCTATCTGCAGTATTGTATCTATACCCCAGCGACGCGGACTTGGACAAAGGCGTGTCGCTATTTTTTGTGACATACGAATAGCATGACAGCCGGGACAAAAGAACACTGAGCCCCGGAGAGTACATTGGCGAACAAGTCTTTTTCTGATCACATATCACATTTTTATTTATTCCTGTGGTTGTCACTTCATTGCTGACACGAGCGTGGGGCGAGTGAGGACCGAGAACGGGGCATCCCGCTTATCCGGACCCAAAGGAGCAGGAGAGACCGGGGGGCGTTGATGTGACTAGGGATAGGTGGTACGCCCTGGGAAATCTTCGCGGCAGGACCGGATTCATCCGCCATACAGAAATGGCGGTTTCATTTGGAAGTTTAAAAAAAAAAGTTGAGTCTGCTGTAGCGAGTTGGGTGGGTGGTTGCATATGGGCGTGCGAGATGACAGGGCCTTGATGGGTGGCACACACTATTTATTTGATGCCTCTGTCTTAGCTACGGCTTATCGCCTTTAGACAAATCCACGTGTTAAGGGGTACCGCAGTCTCCCCCCCCCCCCCCTTCTCAGCGGTTAATCTAAATTCAAAAGTAGCAGTGCCTGGCTTTGAAGGGTATCCTTGGGGGATCTGAAATAGGTCGTCAGCTGCTGGACCACGGCGGAAGGGGCCGAGAATGCCGGGGGGATAAGACAAGTTAACTAATTTTGGCTTTGGAAAAATTCCCCATGATGAAATATATCCCTTATTTTTTACTCGCCATGCGTAGTTATTTTCCTTTTTCTCTCCTGCTTCTTGCTGACTTTAGTCGGATTGCAATGCCGGTATGCCTCCCGGTATCCATATGCTATTGTGGGTCTATCTTCCGCCGTTCGGCCTCCGAAAAGAACGGAACTCTCGGTGTGGGGCGATGACTTGAAGAAAGACACCTTACGTCATGATTATCAGTGCAAACATCCGGAGTCGAACCCGTGATGAAGTGCTAAACGCTAGAAAATCAGGAATAAAGTGAACCCGTTGCGTTCTTCTTCCGATAAATGTTTGAGACATTTTCGTTTTTGTTTTGTTTTTGGAGAAAGTACGGCGTAAAGGGGAGCAGATCTCAGCAGGTGAACCGTGATAGCGCGAACTTGCCTCATTCAGTCGTAGTCTCCACTACGCTGATACGTCGGAACTTGCCTGCCACCGCCGGCGCAATCACCCCGTCTCTTGTCCCCGCATAATGAGTTTGGGGCGTGGTCGTGGTGGTGGACCAACGAGATGGACGACGTAAGCTTAAGCTTCCATTCTCCGATGTCCATCCCCCCTCCCAATCTCAGCCACGCGTTTTCATTCCATCCTTTCCACTCACGAGTAGGAAGAAGACCACAAAAAAAAAAAATCCTTGTTTCACGCCGATTGTGCATCCGTGACACCTTGTTCTGTAGGAAACCGCCGCCGCCGCCGCCGCCGCATCCCCCGCCGAACGTGATGGGTCACACCGACGGGGCATCGCCCAACATGTTACGTCTAGATCTGCTACCGCCGGAGATCCTCCATCACATCTTCTCCGGCCTGGGCCCCCGCGACCTCGGCCGCCTGCCCCGCACGTGTCGCGTATTCCACAACCATGTCAAGGGAAACCAACAACTCTGCAAGGACATCTATCTGAAAACCTTTGTAGGACTATCCTGTCGTTTTCTTGTGATGAAAAGCCGGTCTGACTTCAATGACAGGATACGCCGGCAGTCTCGGACTTGGATTGGGAGAGGGAGTTACATGACTTTGTGAGACTCAGCACTCTCTGTGCCGATGCCAAAGTGAAGGAAAAGGTAAGGTTGCTTCATTAATCGACCTGTAGAGACTGCAGACGCAAGGCTCACTTCTCACATCTCAAGAGTCACGAGCTGCCTTTCGTCTGCGAAACGGTAGACAGGCTTCTCAAGCACGCGTCGCCGACGGGAGAGACGCAGAACGATTCCGGAACTCACGCTTCATCCCGCAATGCGGCGGCCGTGGCTCGTCTGTTCCGCGAGGAGCCAGCGCGCCTGGCCTTCTTGTGCCGCTCCTTCATCTTTGAATGCGCGCAACACAGGGAGCGGCCCAAAATCATGCCGCTCCCGCCCAGCGAGTCGCACCAGATGAGCGCGAAGCTGCATTGTCTGTACGGCAGGCCGATTTTCAACTGCGGGCGCACACGGTCGACGCGGCTGTACCCGTTTGCGTGGTCCAAAGTGTACGACATGCGACAGTACACGCGGCGGACGAAATGGGGCCCGTTCATGGACGACGACACCGGACGCGTGGACTGGGAAAAGGTCGAGGCCATCATGATTGTGATTGGGAGCAACATCCGTTCGCAGAACTTGGTGGCCAAGGTGTTTAGTGATTTGTGGGAACGGTCGTTTGCGGGTTCGTGGTCGGGGAGCTATATCCCGGCTCCGAACCGGGGGATACGGGACCTGGATTTACAGGATCCGTATGGTGTTGCCGGAACGTGGTTGAGAGTAAGTTTTGTTTTCTTTCTTTTTTTTTTTTTTTTCCTTCCTCTTTTCTTGAGTAGGCCGAGAAATGTCACTGGCGACTGACAAAGGCAGGTGGTATGTTTCATTGACTACAATGACTTTTGGCGCTTCAACGACCTCGACGGCGCCGACTTACATCCGGTGCCAAGGGAGGTTGCTCGTCCTCCTCTTGACGTAGGGGAGGCCACGCGCGTCATCATCGTCAAGGTCCACGTGACGAGCGTACAGCCTCCAGGCGACGATGACGGGAAGGATCTCCCCGTGGTGCACTTTGAAGGCATTTCGCGGTCGATTGATGATACGTGGGACGCGAACACCAGTTCTGATATCCGAGGTATGTGAAATCTATTTACATTTGCTCTATTTGTCCTGTGAGTCCTCATCTAATCTTAGATCAAGGCACGGTGCGTCTGACCAAAGAGGGCGATGTCCGATGGACGACGTTTTCCATCTTCAACGGCCAACCACGATGGCGGAGCGAGGGGATCCAGATTGGCGGCGTGGGTTCCGCTCGTGGTGTTTTAGGAAACTGGTTTGCAGAGTATGTTTTATAAACTATTCCACCCACTCACACATATACACACCCCCCAAAATGGGGAACAAGCTGGCTGACCTGGAAAAAGGGATTACAATCGCGCGGGACCCTGCGGCCCCACCGCGTACTTCAAGGTATCTGACCGGGCGTCGAACCCAGAGAGCGACGACAGACAGATTAGTTTCCACGACTTTTTGCCGATCATGGACTTTCACGCGAACTTGGCCAGCGACGAAGACGACGATGAGGACTTTGTAGTGGGTGAATGGGGCGAGGACGAGGAGGACGAGGACATGGAGGACGAAGATGAGCGGGAAGCCATAGCGCAGGACCTGGCGGCGCTGGCGGCTGCAGAGGTTGATATGATTGATGCCGTGCTGAGCGGCTAGCATGTAGCACAACACTGTCTTTCTTTGTCTCTCTCTCTCTCTTCTTCTTCTTTTTTCGTCTTTGGGTATCTCACATTGTACTATTCTATTCAGGTAGAGGTCTACTACATCTTGTACAGTAATCTAGGATCCACACTCGACCACACGTCGTACTTGCCAACCACTACAACTTGCTCGGGGGCGGATCGGTGTTGTACTTGTGATGCTCACACGTAGCCAGAATAGTGCCGTCGCTCTTACGACGCAACACCCCCTTGAGCTGGCACAGCGTGCGGCCAATCTGGACAATCTCACATTCGACGATGCACTCGGTGCCGCAGGGGGCCGGGCGCAGGTAACTGCAGTTCAACGTGCGGGAAACGCCCAGGAACTGCCAGAATCCAGGCTTGTCGTTGACCAGCGCCAGGGGCAAGGTGGTGAGCAGGTCGAAGAGGGTCGCCGCGCAGCCGCCGTGGAGGTTGTTGCCCCTGTTGCAGTGGTCCGGTTGGACGGTGAACGAGAAGGTTGCCGAGGGATGGGGACCTTCGGGGGACGTTGAGAGGAGTTTTACGTGCGGCATTACCTCGCGCATCCAGTTCTGCTCATTGTTAGTTTTGGCTGCTTTTTTTATGCTTGTTCCGAGGGGAACGGGGGTTGGGGGGGGGGGGTGAAAGCTTACGCCGGATTTGAGGGAGCCGTCTTCGTTCATCTCGAGATTAATCCAGGCTCTTATGCGATCATCTGGGGTTTTCGCATCGAAAATTGGTCTGAATTGAGGCGGGATATGCATGTTGGCGCCCTTGGAATCGTTCTTGGCCATGGCGGTGGTGGTGGTGATGGTGGTGAGTATATCTCGATGAGATGACGACGTAAGTAAGAGCCAGGCAGCAACGACTGCTTATCTTATACTGGATGAACTGGATGTAAACGGCCTTCTATACGAACTTTATTTGAGTGATACTGGGATGTCGCAAAGTAATGAGTCCGTAAAGTGTTGTTGTACAGATCTGATCGGGGCTAATTCCCGAGGTTGTCGAGAAACGGGACAGCCGGGCTGGCGTCTACCGGCCCCCCCTGGAGCCCGCTAAAGTCAACGCCCCGCTAATCGTAGACTTCCCCGGGTTTCTTGGCCCCAATTTCGGCACGCTAGTGTAGAGTGCCTCGGCAAATCCCTTTACCATCTTTCAACTCTCCTTCTGACAAAACGTCAGGTTCCCCAACAACCTCATCGCCAGCAGCAATGCGTAGGTAGCGGACTCGTCCATCAACGCCAACGCCCTCGAAATCTACACCAGTTCAATGACACACCGTGATCGCCCGCCATGGAGTTCATGACCGCCCTCCGGGGCTCCTTTGACGATCAGAAACCGTCCCTCTTTGAATTGCTGTCGGAGCAGCAGCTCAACTCCCTCCTCCCGCCGACGATCCGCTACCTCCTTACCGTCGCAACACAGCGTTACCCGCGTTACCTGCTCCGCGCCCTCAACTCTTTCGACGAGCTCTACGCGCTGTGCATGCTCGTCGTCGAACGCCACTACCTAAAGACTCGCGGCGGCAGCTTCACCGAGCACTTCTACGGCCTCAAGCGCGAAAAGGCCTTGCACGCCGAGATCCCGCGCGCCAGTGCCTCCGCCCCGGATATCGTCCGAGACACGCTGAAGCTGTCGACGAAGGATGTGTGGATGAACCTTGCCGTCATGGTGGGCATTCCTTACCTCCGCCGCAAGCTTGACGAGGGCTACGAGGTCAACGCCCCGCGCGCCCTGCTGGGTGCCGCATACACCCAGATGCCGCCGAACCCGACGCTGAAGCAGCGCTTCCTGCACTACTACCGCTGGTTTCTGAGGAACATCTACCCTAGCGTCAACGCAGCATATTACTTTGCGCTGCTGTCTTTCAACCTCGCGTACCTATTCGACAACAGCAAATACCACAACCCCTTCATGTGGCTCATCGGCTCGCGAGTGAGGAGGATGACAGGCGCAGATTACCAGGCCATCGATGCGCTGACCAGCGGCAAGCCCACCGGCAAGGGCGGCGCGCCTCCCGGCTGGCGGTCGTTGTTCTCGCCGCGGGAGATGGGACCGCGTGTCCTGTCCAGTCTGTCGCTGCTGCTACCGATGAGCATCTTTGCCCTCAAGTTTCTAGAGTGGTGGCACGCGTCAGACTTTGCAAAGCAGCTGTCACGCAAGGCGACGGAGACGCTGGATCTCCCGCCACCCGTGGTCTCGGGGCTGACGGGCAAGGGAGGAGCGAGGGCTGCCAAGGGCGGCGCCGAGAAGGGCAAGGGCAAGGAGAAGGTTTCTGGTGGCGACGACGACAACGGCGATGAGGCAGCGGCTGTTCCGGCCGCGGAGACGGCGCCCATCGCGACGCCCTCCTTGTTGCCTATTTACACGGTCCCTGTCCCCGAGGATTCTGCAATGTGTCCCGTCTGCGAAGAGCCCATTGTCACCCCGACGGCGTGCCAGACTGGCATTGTCTTCTGCTACTCGTGCATTCACCGCTGGGTTGAGGGCGTACATCCGAAGCAGGAAGAGTTTATGGCGGATAAAGAGGGCAAGTGGGAGAGCGGCCAGGGACGATGCGCGGTGACAGGCCGACGCGTCCTGGGTGGCACGGAGGGGTTGCGGAGGATCATGGTGTAAGAATAACACGGGCAACGAAGGATATACTGATTTCCATGGGGCGGCTTCGGGGGTGTGAGCGAACCATTGACGAAAGGGATTGTCTAGATAAGACGGGTGTGCATAGGCCGAGAAAGGCCAGGGCGTTTTGGGGGGGGTTCACGATGCTAGCTGTCATAAATACATACATACATACACACATATACAATGAATAATATACCCCACCCTAACTTACCCCCTTGATCTGGATATGTGTATAGTTTGAGGGTTTTTTTTTTTTTTTTTTTTTTTTTTTTTTTTCAACAAACATCAGAAGCGATTAAGCAAGGGCTTTCTAAAGAAGAACGTTGGAATGTTTACATCCGTCGTATTTTAATGGAATGGACAGAGCCTCGTCTCACGCGTTTAAGCTGTCTCAGTCGTACACCCCTCCCCAATTCCTCCCTCTCTTCGAGTGCTTCCAGGCACCGCATCGGCATTTGATACGAGCCCTCCCGGGACATGTATTGGTTTTTTTTTGGCTTCCCGGTATCCGTTGTAGTATGTGTCAGATAGGAAGGTCTTGAGCTCGAACGGTGCCGGCTACCCCTCCGTCACGTCAGGATGTCTGAGGTTTTCTATGGTCTAGTTCTCCTGCGAGGAGGCAACTCTCTTTTTCTTCCCACGCCGTCGATGCGGCACATTCCATCTGTTTCTCGGCTTGCCCACCTGTTCTAGGTCTCCACGCTTGAATGGGATAGTCGGTATTGAATTCTACGTGTCTGCCTTTGGACGAGTCTGGCTCTTTCAGCTACACCTAGCCTCTGCGCCAGCCAACGAAATGTGTTGTTAGTGAAGAGGAGATGACCAGGGTCAACACTGGCGGCTCTTTCTTTCTTTCTCTCTTGGGGACGGCGCCTGCGTGGCATTCCTCGATGAATGGGGCGGTGACGGTAGTGTGGAGGCGAGAGGGTCCTGGGTTTCTTTTGTAGGCTTGGTGATGGTGATGCGGTTCCTGGATCGGTGCAAGGGAGACGGAGGGAAGGGTGGTATAAGGACGCGGTCGCGAGACTCCTGGTCTGCGAAGGTGAGCGGCAAGGTTGTAACGTACTCTCTCTCTCTTCTCTGTCTTCGACACACGTATTCACACACACTATTGCGAGTCATTCGTTGTCTGTCTCTCCCATCATCTCTCCTTCCTCTCATTTGTGTTTCACTCAGAGGTGGTGTCTGTCACTGTGTCACTTTATACACTCTTTCTGGGACTGTCAAGAGTGAGTCGGGGCATAGAAAGAAAAAGAAGAAAGACGAAAAGTAGGAGGAGGAAACATGGCTTACAACCTATCGCATTCGTACTTTGGCACCAACTTCGTCTCCGGCTTCAACTGGATCAACTATCCAGATCCATCGAATGGTTTCGTTAGGTGCGCCCAGCATACACTTCTCCATGGTCCATTTTCAAGCGTGAAGGAAGGCTTGCTAAGTTGTTGGAAACAGATACCAGAACCAGACAGACGCGCTCTCCAAGGGGCTGTATTCGATCAATCCTGTCAACCAGGCCGTGACGCTCCGCGTCGACAGCACCAATGTCTACGGCCTCGATGAGGGGCGACCGAGCGTGAGGCTTGAGAGCAAGAAGGCGTATAACCACGGGTTGTTCATTGGTGATTTCGCGCACATGCCGCCGTCGGTGTGTGGATTGTGGCCTGCGTGTAAGTCGACTCCTCTGCCGCTTCTGTTTGATTCGTTTGCGCCTTGCTGTTTGGTTATGCGGTGAACTTGAAGACTAAGGTTTGCAGTTTGGATGTATGGCCCGGACTGGCCTGCTAGCGGAGAGATTGATATCATCGAGGGCGCGAACCAGGCCACTAGAAACATCATCTCCGGACACACGTGAGTCTCAGTCCCAAGGATTCGTCGACACCCGGTCTAATTCTACGCAGAACACAGGGCTGTCGTCTTCCAGATGCCCCACTGGCCAACGGAGAACCTCTGCTCAGCGATTGCCAGAGCCCAGGAGTAAGTTATACGGTCCTGAAATCCGCGCACATGATCTTTGACTTACACTCGGCCAATCGTTGTAGACCAACAACAATGCTGGATGCAACTATCTGCCGCCGTCCTCTTACCAGGCCACCTACGGCGACTCTTTCAACGCCGTCGGCGGCGGTGTGTACGCTCTTGAATGGACCTCAGACGCCATCCGCATATGGCACTGGACACGACAATGCATCCCTCCTGATGTCGTATCCAAGAAGCCTGATCCGTCGACATGGGGCCTGCCTATAGCGCTGTTTGGCACGTCGACTTGCGAAGTGGACAAGTACTTCAAGAACATGAGCATTGTGTTACAAACGGTGAGCTTGACGGAGAACTAACGATAATTTTCTCTCTCTCTTTTTCGAGCACGAGAAAAAAAGTGTTCAGAGTAAGACTCGAAAGCATTCAATGCTAACTGGAGATTCTAGAACTTCTGCGGTGACTACGCTGCCAATATCTGGGGCAGAGGCGACGACACCTGCAACCAGCGAGCGCCGACCTGCGTTGAATACGTTGCAAGAAACCCCAGCGCCTTCAGAAACGCGTAAATCTCCCAAGGCAGACTTGTATGACCACGCAGGGCTAACGGAATCAGGTTCTGGGAAGTCAACTACATTGACGTCTACGAACGCGGCCTGGCCAACCCCACCAGCACGCCCGAACCGACGACGACAACAACAGTCAAAATCACATCCACCATCTTCACAACTGTACCAAACCCCGCCACCATGCGCACCCAGTCCAGCACCGTACTTAATCCAACCACCGTCCAGGCCGTCGCCCCGCCGGTCTCCACCACCGATCCGATCGTGCCCGGACGCGAACCGGCCACCATCGGCGAGTACGCCTTCTTGGGTTGTTACGGCTCCGCGACCGGGTTCCGTACCTTTGGTCTCAAAGTGTCGGCCACGGACATGACGCTGCAGAAGTGCGTTGATATCTGCAGACCGGGCAAGTATGCCGGTGTCCGTGAGAAGTACGTCCCCCCCCCCCCCCCCCCCCCCCCCCCCCTTTTTTTCAACTAGTGAAGTTCCCGATGATCCCCCTCGCGGTTGCTGATGCCACTTCCTGCAGCGAATGTTACTGCGCAGATACCCTCGACCCCGATACCAGGGCGGAAGCGGACCGCTCGCTGTGCAACATTCCCTGCCCCGGTAACAGCACGCAATTCTGCGGCGGAAACGCCAACATCTCTCCAGCTCCCGGCCGTCTTATGCATCTACATCTCCACCGCCGCGCCGCACCTGCAAACTACCTCCTCACGATTTACGGCCGCGTCACAGACGAGACACCCCCGCCGGCGCCGCCCCTGGGTGATCCCGAGCCGCGTCCGCAGTCGACGTTCACCGTCGTGACGACCGTGACCTATACGACCATGATCGGCAACTCGATGATCCCCACGCAGCACGCCACAACGATCCTAATCCCCGGGTGTAACAAGTACTGCGGCCTCGGCGGGCAGCCGGACGCCGTGAACGTGCCGATGAGTTTCACGGTGGTCCCGTGCAACGCCTGCGGCCCCAACGGCGAGAATCAGGTCACGCTCACCGTCCCGCTGCAGACTACTGGAACCTTGATGACCACGCCTCCGCCGGTGTACTGGCCTACCGGCGGACCGGTCGCTCCGGCCCCTCCTGCGGGTGGAGCAACGTCCTCTCCTCCCACGGTGTCCATCAACGCTGCGCCTGACCTGCATCTCGGCTGGCCCGTGTGCGTGGGAGTTGCCATCGCCATGTTCCGCTTCGTGTTGATGTTTGTTTAAGGGGTATGTGACATCAAAATCGGACAGGCGGTGTTGGGCTGGTTCCCGGTGCATCTGGCGGAGCATTTGTCTCTTTATCTGATTTTCAGATTGTTTACTATACCACATTCATTAGCATAGACATCACCATGATACCACACCAGCGCAACGGGCGCACATACTGCTAGTATACAAAACAAATAGCAAAAAGATGTAAAAGTTGTTCGTTTTTTTTTTTTCCGGTCATAGATCTACCACCTCCACCGGGTTCCCGAGACGCCCTGTATTTCCGTACATCTGAGCCGCGTTTACCATAAGGCTGCTGGTGTTGCCACCGGGCCCAACCATCAGCCACTTCCACACGACGCCGTGCACACCGTAGCCCAATACTTTGAGGCCATCTAGCCAGCCGGAATGGGGGAAAAAGTCGCGGATGAGGCCACGCGGGGGTTGAGATAGAAGAGTTTCATAGGCGCGCTGGCAGTCGTCGAAGTGCACTGTCTGGCGACCGTGGCCCCAGTGAACATGGCCAAAGACATGGAGCTTTGGGCGCACCCGCCAAACTTCTCTCAGAAGACCAGGGCAGCCTAAGCCCAAGTCCATGTGGTTTTTCTGCAACATATTAGATGAAGCCAAGAGATGAGACGACGGGGGGAACAAACGGGTGGTGTGTGAGTGATGAGAATATCGGTATCAATGGGTACTGTGTTAGCCCAAGGCGGCGAGGAGCGGTGATACTGAAACGCATTGTCGGAGCCGCCACAGGCTGGAATATCAGGGGCTCCATAGATCTTGAGATGGCGGCCGCCCTTAAAATCCAATGTCACAGTATCGCGGACGAGATAGCGGATGCCCTTGAAGTCGAGGGTCTTACCGCGGTCTTCGGGGAGGCGAGCGCTGGGGTCGAAGTAGCTATCGTGGTTGCCACAGACGAGAACCTTGTGCTGATGGGGGAATGAGGCTAGCCAGTCAAGCTGCTTTTGAATGTCTTCTACAGAGCCAGTGCTGGTCAGGTCTCCGGCGTGGATGAGCAGGTCACCTCGGGGAACGTCGACATTGGTGTGGTCGTGGGTATCAGAGAGACAGACAACGCGTATGGCGGGCTTATCGCGAGGTGGAATAAACGGTCGGCCGCGCAGAAACAGGAGGATATTGTAGACTATCGTGACGACGAAGTGGAGAGGCGAGTTGAGGAGGGAGTCGAGGAGTGTTGGAGGCTCCCACTTGTTTTTGCGGCGCAGGCCGAGAGCCGTAAGTAGTGTCATTAGAGGCGGCAGGCGATCCTATACTCAGATGCCTTGCCTACTAGGTCGGAGATTGATTGATTGGGGCTATACAAGATCCATACGGCTGCGGATTGTGAGAGGTAGGTGGGATGGGTGGAATCGAGGTATACGGTGAGATTGAGGTTGGGATCTTCACATGGAATGGAAGAGCTCCTATCAGCTAGCTGCCCAAGCTGAGACCCCACCTATGACAGCACCACCACCAGCGCCTTTGGCTCTGGCAGCATGCTCCGGCGTACAGGGGCATGAGGGGTCCAGACTAGGTCTACGGACGAGACCGAGCAGCAGGTAGCACATACCCTACGCTGGCCCCAGCTGGCTGAGTATTGCCGGGGTAGCACGAGCCACCCACCATCTATCCCAAACTTGGAAATGGCGCTGCCGTGCCACTGGTTATCTGATGTAGAGGCGCTGGGGACTGGAGCTCGTTCCCTGAAAAGCTCCCCCCGTCGAGGTCGGCTTCTGCGCGGTGACGTGACGTTTTCTTAACCTTCCCTCGCCCAAGCTGTCTCTCCGCCAAAAACCTGCCAAGGGAGACATCGTCCCGTCATTGCTTCAGCCACCGTGCTGTATTTTTAAGAAAGCACTTCGATTTTTCAAGACAAGAACAACCTCACGTCGAGAATCCATTTCAAACTCAGTGCTCGAAGCTCCCCTCAACGAGCTTGGGTCGAATTTTCTGACGTAGCTATGGCGAGCCTCAAAAGCCTTTACAGCGACAAAGACACTGCGGGTTTAGACTCGAATTTTGGTGTCGACTATGTGATTAACTACAAGATTCCTCAAGAAGGTGAGGATTTGGCAACATCTTCTTAAGGAGATCCCGTGGATCAACGAACGTATTAACTGAAGGACACTTCTCAGACAGGGCCGATGCCGAAGCTGTTTTCATTCAGCTCATCGAAGCCTTGACCAGTGTTGGTTTGACCACCGAGGTTCGAAGGGGAGACAAAAGTTCTCTCCTCGTCTTTGTCAAGATCGCCTCCGACAAATTCCTTGCCGACCAGGTCTACCGATCCCGACTGCAAGACTGGCTGCAGGGCGCTCGTACTGCCAGTCCGGATTCCGATCTCTCCCAGGCCCTCCGTGACGAGCCTGTCTCCGATGCCGAGCGTCTGCGGCTGGTATATCTTCTCATAGTGAAGCCCAAGAACGAGGGCGGTGCAGGCATCACTCCCCGATCCGGCCGCTGGAAGCACGTGGATTGCGTCTTTCCCCTCCACAACCACACCTTCAATAAGCAATGGATCAAGAAGATGAGCACCAAGGGCCAGACAGATGAGGCTGACCTGGACGAGATTCGCGACAAGTTTGGCGAGAATGTCGCCTTCTACTTCGCCTTCATGCAGTCTTACTTCAAGTTCCTCGTATTCCCTGCCGCTGCCGGTTTTGGCGCTTGGATGTTCCTCGGCCAGTTTTCCTGGCTCTACGCCCTGGTCAGCAGCCTCTGGTCTGTTGTGTTCTTCGAGTACTGGAAGAAAAAGGAGGTTGATCTTGCAGTGGAGTGGGGCGTCCGCGGTGTTTCCAACATCCAACACCCCCGGCCGCAGTTTGAGTATGAGAGCCAGGTCGAGGACCCCATTACTGGGGAGCCTGTCAAGGTTTACTCGCCCATAAAGCGCCTGCAGACGCAGCTACTGCAGATCCCATTTGCTGCGGCCTGTATCGTGGTGCTTGGAACCCTCATTGTGACGTGCAACTCCCTGGAGATTTTCATCAACGAGGTCTACAACGGGCCCTTCCAGGCGTATCTTGTAAGTAATGTGAATGCACGATGGCGTCCTTATCTGACCGTTCTAGGGGTTCCTCCCAACGATCATACTGGTTATTCTTACTCCTACATTATCTACTGTGCTTACAAAGTTCGCCAACCGCCTGACGGAAATGGAGAACTATGAGACGATTGACGGTGGGTGTCCTATTTTGAGCTTGCAGGGATGTAACTAACCACTCTTAGCACACCATGCTGCCTTGGTCCAAAAGGAGTTTGTCCTCAACTTCCTCACCTCATACATGGCATTGTTCTTCACAAGTTTCGTCTACTTGCCATTCGGAGACCGTCTCACCCCCTACCTCGACTTTTGGCGCGCTACCGCACAGAAGCTCACCCCCAAGGATGTCAACTTCCAGACTCAGGAATTTGTCGTCAACCCTGACCGTATTAGCAAGCAGATGTTCTACTTCACTGTGACCGCGCAGGTCGTTAACTTCGCCACTGAGGTCATTGTGCCCTACGTCAAGCGTCAAGTGTTCCAGGAGGTTCGCGATGTACAATCAAAGATAGCGAGGGAGGAAGATGCTGCTAAGATCAAGGATCATGAGGAGGAAGCCGCCTTCTTGGAGCGGGTGAGGAACGAAGTCGAGCTCGAGACGTACGATGTGACAGGCGACTACCGCGAGATGGTCATCCAGTTTGGATACCTTTCTCTGTTCTCCGTCGCGTGGCCCTTGACGGCTTGTTGCTTCCTGGTCAACAACTGGATTGAGATGAGATCTGATGCTGTCAAGATCGCCATCAGCAGCAGGCGACCTATCCCCTGGCGAGCTGACTCTATCGGCCCTTGGCTTAATGCTCTTGGATTTCTGTCCTGGCTCGGCAGCATCACCAGCGCCTCGGTCGTCTTCCTCTGCAGTTCCACCGGTACCGGACCCCGTGGAACCCCCTCTGATATCAAGGGCTGGGGTTTGCTGCTCAGCATCCTCCTTGCAGAGCACCTGTACTTTGCGGTACAATTTGTTGTTCGTCTGGCTTTTAAGAAACTGGACAGCCCCGGACTGCAGAAAGAGAGAAAGGAAAGATTCTTGATGAAGAAGAGGCTTCTAGAACAGACTCTCGGCCAGGCTGTATCGGACCAGGCTGCCACTCCCGGCATCGAGAAGACTGAGGAAATCACTCTCCAGGCTTTGGAGGAGGAGGCTCGTAGGATCTCAACCCAAGGTCATGGAAGCCCTGAGGAAGCGTGAGTGACATCTGATTAAATATTTCAGCAGGTATGCTAACCCCGAGAAAGGTTCTGGCGTCGGCAGAGAGGCATGGCCGAGACTATTCAGATCGGCCGTAGTCTGATTGCGCAGGTAAGCTTGATGGCCCATGTTCCTTCTACTATGCGCTAACAACTTGAGACAGAGCACGTCAGGAAACACAACAAAGGCATGAAGCGGCCACTAGACGAGACAAGAATACGCGAGAGCACCAGACGGAGAAAGGTAAATGGCCCTTGAATCACGAGAACACGAGTTACGTCTATTTTGGTGTATCGTTAGCGAACATGAGTACTAGGAAATATTTGAAGACCACAGGCATATCGGAAACAAAATGGTGTTTGGTTATACTGGAATAACAAGGCAACAAGTCGATTTCCTTGGGTACGTGGATCAATGTGAGCAGTTTCGGTGAGGAAGGCTCGGTTGTAAGTGGACCATATGCAGAAGAATGAGTTTACTGTCGGTGACTGGAAAGGTCGACCGACGGTCAAATTGAGCACTATTCAGCCATTTAACAGGTGACTGGTTTTCATTGGCATGCGCTGGCGAGGCGTATTGACGGGTTAAAAAGGGTGTGAAGACTTACTTGTTCGACTTCGTTCTGAATGTTGGGGCCTGATGAGGGGAAGGAGGAAATCCATCTGGGCGGAATATTGGGCTGCGCCTCTCGCTAGTCGCCCGCAACTATCGTCCGATGTGCCTAAGCGGGTACGTACCGGGCTTTTTTGGAGCTCTGGGCAGCTCAAGGGACCTCATCTTAGCTGCAGCTTGCCCCCTCTTACACCAAGACATTCCCTATCACTCCAATGCACCAATCGCGGCTGCTTGTCCAGAAATGTGCCACGCCGATGAATTCAAACGGGTCTCCCCCGGAACACGCCAATGCCTATTTACCGTCATCAACCAAGATACGAACAGCTAGACAGCCCTACCTCGGGCCTAGGATTCTTGTCTACTTCCGTGCCACTCCAAGTAGATTTACTCTCTCCCACCGCCCTCCTTACCAAGTTCGTCCAAAGCTAGTCTACTCCCGGGCGACCGTTCACGCACATTCGCTTGCAAGCCTGGGCACTGCCTGGTCGCCTGCCTATTCTTTGAAAAGCAATGTCGAGTGGCTCGAGGCGTTCTGAGTGATCGTGTGTGTCTCGGGAGCCGTCTGACACCAAGGAATGCCCTGCATATCGCCCACCATGTGCAACCATGCTGTGCCATCCTGCGGCTTAGAGCTGTCCTTGTTTGTGACTCTGAGCTAACCGCCTAACTATGTTGTCTTCGCAGCCTCGTTCTGCTAAAGTCCATCTGTCTTTTCTTCATCTTCCTCAGTCTGATCGCCGGTGCTACCAGTTTTCCTTTCAGTTAATTCCAGTTGACCGAGGCGCGATATTTTCTGGCATCAGAGGATCTCACTTTCGAATGACTTATTTGCGCAGTCATCGCACTACTGTATCCTCCGGTGCTAAGTAGTCACAATACCTGCCAAGCCAAACCGAGGCGACCGACCGACCGTCAACTGCAGCCATGGATGAGGTGGCTGACTTGGTAACGGATCCTTTCAGGGAGATTATTGAGAAGGGAAACATTGCGGCCGAGAATGCGGGTGACAACAAAGAGATGCGCTCTGAGAGCCAGAGGTTGGTCCGGGGCGCCGAGCGTTGCCTTAAGATTATCGAACCACTGTGCGCGCGTCACCTGAAGGAGTCGGAGGCCAGCTTCATCAACACTCTGAAGGACGACAGTATGAGATTCAGACCGAAGAAACTTGTTGCTGGGGTGCTGACTCGAAACAGACGAGATCGCCTCGTACAGGTTGCAGCTGAACGACATGCTGTGGGACTTCGATGAATTCACGGAAGCGGACACTTTTGATAAGGAGAAGTACACCGAGTTATGGGAGCTGTGTAAAAAATCCGGCGTAAGGATCGGAGAGATATTGAAAAGAATGAAGTTGGAAGCGGCGCCTGTAATTCCGATTATCGCGACATCCCCGCCCGCTGCGACTGGTAAGTAATACCGAAGCCACCACATTGCGGTAGGCGCTTATAGTTTGTCATCTCCAGGAAGCCAGAATCATCCCCCGGTTGTTGTGGTAGATCCTGGAACACAATCCCAAGAGAAGCCTCCGGTGGTCGAGCCCGAACCCAAGATCGAAGTGGTAGAACTGGAGCCCCCGCCCCCGCCGCCGATGAACCCGTGGGATCTTAACACAAGTGTCATTATCGAAGCAGGAACGGAGGTAACACTAGGCGAAAACATAGAGCGTCGTCCACCTGTGTCTACCATGAGTTCTCCGACTTCAGAACCGAACAGCCCTTTGTATGAGAGAAGGCTATCGCAAAGTTCTAACCGCCGCTTGGACACTAGTGTCGATCGTATGCTGACTGAAGAGGAGCGATATCATATGAGCCCGCAGGATTTTCGGCCCTCGATGTCGCCGCTGGGTGGTGGCGGCCCTGTCTTGCCGCGAGGACGGACATCATCGACAACTTTGAGTGCTCCCATCCCTGAGGATCAGGCGGTTCACCCAAGCCACGTCTCCGCGCCTCATCGGTACTCGCAGGCCAGCTCTGTCCACTCACACCCCTCAAGGCAACGGTCGCAAGAGTCGTTGCACAGCTCCATCTTTGATGGAAGGAAGAATGACGGTACCGCCAGTCCTATCATGATAGAGCACCGCGGTTCAACCGCGTCTGGCTATGATCCAATGAGTCCGACGTCTCGCGGGCCAATTATACCTGCAAATTTCCCGCCAGGCGTCCATGAAGGTATTGAAAGGGTTCCGTTGGCCGTCAACGACAGCGAGGGGCCTATACCGGTCGAGTCTGAGGCTTCGCAGAGCACCGCGAGAACCCCATCGACGCCCCCAACACGGCCAAAAGACTGCAGCATCGGGTTGAGCAGCTCCTTCTACCTGTATAAGGGGTTCTGCGATGGTGCGAAAGAAGTGGTCCGTGGAGGCACTGGTATCAAGAAGATAAAAAAACCGGTACGTAGTTCCCTCGCAAGCCTTTACTGCTATGAGCTCCGGCTGACACTTTCAAGGGGTTTTCGGGGGCGCACGTAGTCGCTAAGTGCGAGAGCTGCTTTTATGAGCTTGATTTCCAACAAATAGAGCAGGACATAAACTATTCTGGTACGTGTTAGCATTCGGATTCAAAAGTATATGTTACTGACATGACATAGAGGAAGCAAACTACACGCTAAACAAGATTGGCTTCCGCCTCCGTTTCCTACAAAAGAGTCATATTGCCACGAAACGCGCAGACGAGGTTCTTTACGGCTGCGTCTTCTGTGTTCATTCCCAACATACCCTCGAGGAATGCGATGCAACGGTCTTCTTCAGCCAGAGGAAGCTCTTTGAGCATCTCATGCGACACCCGCGCCCCCTTCCGCAAGTCCCAGGTATAACCGTAGTGGAAGAAGCGGAGGTTCCCTTCAACCTCAGAAACAACTATGATCTTCACTTTCGCGCCCCCCCAAAACCGTCGCCACTGGAAGGCAAACATCTAGAGATTGCGCAGCTGCCGCACGCGACGGCGACGCAGACTGTGAAGCGAATGTACGGTATGCGGTTGCTATACGACCAGACACCCGGCTTTGAGCTTGCCAACGGTGCGAGACTCAGTGGCATCGAGTTCCCGACCAAGTACAATGGGGAATGGGTCATGGGATGGCATGAGGGACACTACGCCTCCGTACCGGCAGACGTGTTGAAGCTCGAGCCGCCACCCAGGGCCGAGATTCGAATGAACACGACGAGCAACATCTCTGCTGTGGCTAGATGGAGGTTCGCGCCCAAATCGAAGGACGGAGGCGATTGGCTCAAGTTTGACCAGGGTGAGAGGATCACCAATATTAGCTGTGAGTTTACTCCCCTTTCCACTCTTCCTATGAGAGAAGAAGAAGCTAACGTTGAGATAGGGGCGTGGCAGGATCACTGGTGCTGGTCAGGTACTAATGCCAAGGGTACGTGGGGGATCTTCCCGCAAACGCACCTTGACAGCAACACCATTCGGGAGAGCTCAGATCGGTCGAGCGTTTCAAGTAACGAGAAGAAGTGGTCTGATGGGCTCTTGGGAAGACTGACGACCCGAAAGAACTCACAGAGACCGTCGAGTGTTGCGGAGGTAATGGTATCGTCGGGGCCGCGGCCTTCTGTATTTTAGAGTGCTACGCATGGTGGGCTCATGAGACTATGACAAGGAATTGATTTGGTTAGGCAACAGGGAGATTTAGTTTGGGAGTTTTGTCGTATAGGGGCGGTCTGGAGCTTTATACCCAGCGTGTTTGATGAGCATATGACTTCAACCATTCCTATAATGCGCCGTTTGTATCTCTGAGGTCTTACGGTTAATTTCATGACGATAATCATGGTTGGCCCCAAGACTCATGTTCACCACATTGACTAAGCCTGTGCCAATTCGAATGAGAGCATGCATGAGGCTTCTGACACTTGCAGATCGCGCAATTGATAAAAAAAGAAATCGGTCGAGACCCTTGATGTGGATCAAGAACTACAGGGAAGACGCAAGGGTTGCGGTGATATTCATCAGAACAAGAATTAACTAGGTGTTCCCAAGAACATCGAAACCTAGATCCCGCGTGGCAGAGACAATGATATCCGGCCCGTCTCTATCCGCCACCTGCAAATCATACGGTACCTCCCCGCGATTATCCGTAAGAGTTTTGTACTACCCAAGGTTTACAGAGTGCTCCCCGTTGGAATGAACGCGTGGGAGGCGGCTGGTGTTCGGTTCGGGGATAGCCCGGGCTGGCCCGGTGCTTTTACACCGACCTACAGAACGTCACCGACAAATTACCCCGCACCCCATTGACCCGAGGTGGACCGCTAGTGCAGCACAGGGTCCACAGTGGAGCGCGGCAGTGTCTGACGGTACAATGAAGAGCGAGCTGATGACCTTTCAACGGATTTGCCCCCTGCCCGGCTTCTCCAAGCGCCTCCCAAAGGCCCCTCGAGACGATGGCATTTCGCGCCGAACTTTTTTTTTGGAGACCGGTTCTCGGCCCCCCCCAAGGTTGACGGACACCTAGAACATTTTCTGTCGCGTGTGAGCGACTTCTTCCTTTCTTTTCCTTCACTTTCGTCCCGTCATCAGTGTTGCGAAGATCTCGTTCCCGGTCTGCTAGATTTGAGATTGCCTGGATTTTGAGCGAGGAATTAGCCAATTAGCGTTTCTCCTTTATTCACTTTCTTGCCCCCCGTGGAGAACCGATCTGCGGATTGCTGGCCTTTATTACCCCGGATTTCCAGCTCTAGTCAATTCAACCTCAACCGTTTTTCCCCTTTCGTCCGAAATAGCGAGATACCCAACCTCAGCAGGCAAGATGGGCTTGAAGGGCGAAGATATTGCGAAGCACAGCACTGCTGACTCTTGCTGGGTCATTGTTCACGTAAGTTGCAATTGGGCATTGCCGCTCGATTGAGAACGTTGGGTTAACCTGCGTCATTACAGGGCAAAGCCTATGATGTGACGGAATTCCTGCCGGGTGAGTCCTACCGCCGCCGCCGCCGCCACCAAAACTTGGACCAGAGCTGACGATAGACCGTAGAGCACCCTGGTGGCGCCAAGATCATCCTCAAGTACGGTGGAAAGGATGCAACGGAGGAGTTCGACCCCATTCACCCCCCAGACACGCTGGACAAGTACCTCGACCCCTCTAAGCACTTGGGTCCCGTCGACATGGCCTCCGTGATAGTGGAGGAGAAGGAGGAAGACCCCGAGGAGGCAGAGCGTCTGGAGAGAGTCCAGCAAAAACCGCTGCTGTCTCAATGCTACAACCTGATGGACTTTGAGGCTGTTGCGCGCAGAGTCATGAAGAAGACGGCATGGGGATACTACTCCAGCGCTGCTGACGACGAGATTGTAAGCTACCTGGCTGTGCCCTCCCCGAGTAGGAGGAAATGGTTACTAACCGAAGCTTCATAGACACTGCGGGAAAACCACGGAGCCTTCCACCGCATCTGGTTCCGCCCTCAAATCCTCGTCGACGTCGAGAAGGTCGATTTCAGCACCACCATGCTCGGCGCAAAGGTCGATATGCCGTACTACGTCACGGCAACCGCCCTCGGCAAGCTTGGTCACCCCGAGGGTGAGGTCCTCCTCACCCGCGCCTCCGCGAAGCACAACGTCATCCAGATGATTCCCACTCTGGCGTCTTGCGCCTTCGACGAGATGATCGACGCCGCCGAGGCCGACCAGGTGCAGTGGCTGCAGCTGTACGTCAACAAGGACCGCGAAATCACCAAGAAGATCGTCCAGCACGCCGAGAAGCGCGGATGCAAGGGTCTCTTCATCACCGTCGACGCGCCCCAGCTCGGCCGTCGTGAGAAGGACATGCGCTCCAAGTTCACCGACCCCGGCGCCAACGTGCAGTCCGGCCAGGCGACCGACCAGAGCCAGGGCGCCGCCCGCGCCATTTCGACCTTTATTGACCCCGCGCTGTCGTGGAAGGACATTCCCTGGTTCAAGTCGATCACCAACATGCCCATCATCCTCAAGGGTGTGCAGCGTGTTGAGGACGTCATCAAGGCCATCGAGGCGGGCGTCCAGGGTGTCGTCCTCTCGAACCACGGTGGCCGTCAGCTCGACTTTGCGCGCTCTGCTGTCGAGGTGCTGGCTGAGACTATGCCGGTGCTGAGACGCATGGGACTGGAGAACGCCATTGAGATTTACATTGACGGCGGTGTCCGCCGTGCTACGGATATCATCAAGGCGCTCTGCCTGGGCGCCAAGGGTGTCGGTATCGGCAGGCCTTTCCTGTACGCCATGGCCGGCTACGGATTCGAAGGTGTCGATCGCGCCATGCAGCTGCTCCGCGACGAGATGGAGATGAACATGCGCCTCATCGGTTGCACGAGCATCGACCAGCTCAACCCCTCGCTCCTCGACACCCGCAGCCTGTTCAACCACGGATCCACGCCGGCGGACAACCTTGGCCTCGCCATCTATGACCCGCTCGCGACGCCGACGCAGAGGCCCAAGCCGCCCAAGTCTTCCAAGTTGTAAGTCGGGGCGTTTTCGTTTTGTTCAGGACAGAGGAGGAGTATATGCTGGGTACATGGTTCTTTGGAGCAAGCATGGAATGTTGCTAGGCATCAGATGTATGATATTATACACTATATAACACATGGCGCTACACTCACGAATATCTGTTTCTATATATATTACGCACACTACACACTCAGGGTCGTTCTACGTGTCTGCTCGTAAAAAAACTGCACATTGTATAACGAGAGTCTAATATCTGTTGATGTGTTTCCGGTCTTGTGCTGCCAGCCTCTCATTCTTTATTGTAAACCTACACTGTAAAAAAAAAAAAAAAAAAAAAAAAAAAACCAAGGTTATGTGCTCGTAAGCAGCAGCCGTAAAACCAGGCCGCAACTTAACTCTCGAAGCGGGCTATCCTTGACTGCGTCCATATTCCTAGGGCTTGAAGAAATTCGGTGGAAAGCTAGGGGGATGTTCAGCAGCCGTCGAATTCTGCATGGTGTCCATCCAGCTTGAGGCCGTAGAGCGACGAGACGATCATCCCCGCTTTCGAAGCGGGTTCAGGACTCATTGGCGTTGTGGCAGAGTGGTCTAATGCGCAAGACTAGAAATCTTGTTCCTTCGGGAGCGTCTGTTCGAATCAGGCCAACGTCGATTCTTTTTCGTTTTTTATTCGTCTATTTTAATTGCATTTTCTTTTGTTTACAACAAAAAAAAAAAAAAAAAGGAAGAAAACAAATCCCACACACACATACACATACACAGAATAGCCACCAAAGTTGGTTATTAACACGCTGCGCTGGAACATGATCTGCGGCTCTATCATGAAGACTGGATGTCTATTTCCCAGCAACCATTCTTCCACCCAGGCTCAGAGTGGGTGAAATGACAGAGGTAGGAACATGAATCATGTCACCGACATTCAAAGTTACAAAGGAGACTCTGGGGCCGTCACAGACGGCGCAGTACCAACCGCACATTGGTATCTTGTTCGCGGCGCCAATGCCACCATCTCACAATCGGCCGCAGGGCGATAGGAGTTCCCTCAAATAAATGAACAAGAGGTGGTCTTAACGATACCCCTGGGTAATTACCTCAGGGGTGAAAGTGACAACGGCGTAGGGCGGGTGTAGGGCAAACCCGGGGGGGAGTAGGCCAAGGCTGAACCGGTCCTGCCTCATGAACAAGTGGGACTTTGCCATATTGCAAGTTCCTCGGGCTCAGTATAGGAATCATCCCACTTGCCGTAGCTATCGCCCCTGAGAAGTAGGAATTCAACCGCCAGCCAAATTCGTCTCCCGCTGCTACCGGCTACGGCTGGCGGCGCCTTCAGAGGAGTTGCTTGGCATAGCAAAGCCTTCCGGTGGGATCGTGCTAGGTTTATGAAAGTCATGTCATTAAAACCAGTGCCAGGAGTTGGTATACTTCCTACCGCGCCAAGCATGCCCACAGGATCCTTCGATGTTCAGAACCACATCATGCTAGGGTGTTCAATGAGTTCTCACAACCAAGGTCGATGACCGGAAAAGAGGCTCCGCTGCGTTCAGCCGCCTATTGCCCTCTACTGGGGATCTCACCTTCCAATCGTGAATGGCACCGAAGGTACGTTCGTTCGAGAGCAGCCCGAAACGTCGAGTATGGTACCTCGTTGAGACAGTTTGCCCTAACATAATACACATTTAGTCAATAGACGAGAGATGTGTCTGAAACGCATGATGAAGTGATCCAGACGCAGTTGTCAAGCTCGAGTAATACATGCATGTGGTTGCCGCGCTGCGAAGCCGGCTGCTGTCCGGCAAATGGGGGCGACGGCGACGGCCTGTTCACCTCTCCCTTTAGATACTGGGCGTGAAGGTCCACACGTATATATTGAGGTCCGGGGAGCAGACTTGCTATATCTGTGCCATCCTTGTGCCTCTACTGGGCCCGAGGACTGGGTGAAGGGGCCTCGAGGCGGTTGAGGTTGCGTACGATTTCGATCCGGATTGTGATGGCGCATTATGTTCACGTTTCGTCATAAAAGGGATAATACTTGGGATAATACTTCGTGCAGCGACCAAATCGATCCACGGACCCATATGAGGCCCTCATCGCCCGGAGACCCTGAGCTACACCCCAGCTCGAGTGTTAACCTCAAAGGTTGGTGCTTCCGAGTTGGTTGCTTTTGGTTCGGGAATCATCCGAAAGCACCCTGGACTGAAACCGCCCACGTGGTCCAGTCCTCTAGATTCAACTTCACTTTTTAGGGCGCGGAACCGAGAACTTTGACCGTTGGCTGCATTTTCGTTCCTTTTCCTCTGGAGCCAAGTCACCGCAACGCTAATATGCTCGCCGCGTCCTCAGGGGAGGGCACACCGATTAAGGCAACGCCCGGCTTACTTTTGCGAATTCAATACTCCTTTCGGACTTCCCAAGGAAAAAAAAGTACTCGGCTCCGGCTAGGCGCAGTTCAGATCAAGACTAGTGCTCCTCACTCACGGTAGCCGAAAGTGGAGGATTGCAATCGCGTGGGTTCGCAATCTCACCAATCGGTGATACTCCGACGAACTCTCAGAGATTCGAGGCCATGTTGCTCGTGATGCTAGTGGAAGTTCCATTGCCAAGGCTTCGATTATACAAAGTGAGACTGGTATGTGTGAGGCGCATGGCGAGGTGGTACGTCCAATTCTGCTACGAGTGTCGACATGTTATGTAGTCACAGACACGCTAGGACCTACTAACTTCAGTTGCACAAAACTTTAATCTGGTAGCGTTTAGTATGGACTGGCTGCTTGTCAGCAAACCCACCAGACATCGAGTCCAAGTTGCAGAGCCGCAGTGACCTGCATGTCAACTGCCGAGTGGTAATTAGCTACAAGTTAACTCGGTCGATGGACTCGTATCTCAACATGACCAAGCCCCGCGGTACCATCAGCAGGCTTAACAAACACAGAGAGACGTACGAGGATTGAAGCCAGAAGGAGAAATGTAGGCGTGAGTATAGGGCTTTTTTTTTTTTTCCTTCTCTTTTTTGGCCAAGTCTCCTACCCCCCGAGAAGGATTTGCTCGGCGGATTTTGTAATCAGGTTCGCGGCGATAAACAAACCGACAGAGGTTGGTAAGGGGATGCTGTTCGACAAAGTCTATGTGTTGCTTCCCGGCCAGGATGGAAGCCGAATCCTCGTGCCGACTAATCCGGCTTAGGATGACGTCAAAACAGCACATACTATGATAGGCAACGCATTGTGAACGGAGATTTCTCCCCCCAGACTGTCCGAATGTGTACACGATGTCTATGTGCACAAGCATCCGCTGTACAGTAATGAGCGTGTGGGGTTATGATATGCAGGAATGCGTGTCGTGCAAGCTCGTCTACATAGTAAGTAGCCCCAGCGAACCTGGACTAAGTGAATACGAGTCATAGGCGTTGGCAACGATATAAAAGATATTACGCTTCGGAAAAAGGGGAACTGGAGAGCCCCACGATCTCTTGGCTTCGGCCTGATCTGGGTTAGTGTGGACCCGAAAAGGCAAGGGAATGCAGGTAAGGACGGGAAAGATCGACACACTGTATTTCTTGTTTCAAAATCCGGTCAGTGGAACCCTAACCTCTTTCTCCCCAAGATCTCAAGAGCCCTGCCATTGAGTTTGTCTACGGCGTACGCTTTACCAAGTAGCAGAGGGAGAATTTCTCTCCCAATCTCGGTATCGCTCTCCCACTCGGGTTCTATTTTCGTTGCATGCGCTTTTGGACCTGATGGTCAGCGTTCAACCATGTTTCGACGCAGATTACCGGCATGACGCTCTGGTAAGGCTGTGTCTGTACCGGCTCATTATCGGCAGCCGTTCTCCTTCGTGCAAAAGTTTCAATCCCCAGTGTACTCTCGAGTGTCGATCAACCACCTCTTTCGTTTACCCTGTGGTGATTGTTTGAAAAGGTTATTCTGGTATGAAGAAACACTCCATAACTCGCTTGCCGATGACGGAACCCGTCGGGGCCGCAGAGATTTATGTCGCGTGACAAGCGCCCAATATACTTCGGAGACGCTTTGTGCGCGTTGAGTCTCCAGCAGCAGCAGCAACAGCAGTAGCATCAGCAATGGCACCAGCAGCAGTATTGCTCGGTGTTTTCTGTACACCCTCCTTGTTGGCCGTGGAAAAACTCCCTGCTCTCTAGTGACTGACAGCATGGCTAACTAGATGATGTTGACAGCAGCATTGTCTGCTGACAGGATGATGCTGACAAGGCCCACAGTCTGTGTCAACCATCCCTTCAAAATATCAGATGACAGTAACCTTAGTTGACAGCCTCACGGCAGGGAAGCTTGTTATCGCGGAGTTCAGATGAAACTTTTTTTCTCTTTATTCCCGAGCTTTTCTCGACGACGGCGTCGATGATCCGTCATGCATTCCCGTCGCGAGTGCCCCGGACAGGCCTCAGCAACCAAACATGATGGGATCTGCCTGCAAGTCCGTGCTTGGGATATCAAGGGGGAGGCGTGAGGGTTCAGGTTGGCCGCATTGTCACCTTGCCTCGCCGCCAACTGTCTTTTTCATAAGCGTAGTTGACCTTGGCCGTGCGTGCGGTGAACCCTCCAATGTTGCTGTTGTTGTTACTTTTTCCCACATCATACTTTTTCCTTTCCCACATGACGTGCCCCGTAGACGGCGTTGCTTGGACCTCTACACGCCGTTCTAAGTAGCACTGAGCACCAGAACGCCGTTTCCACCTTATCCTTTTCTAGGATGGGGTCGTATTACTCAACATGTTCCCCATTCGCCAACGTCGACTCGGCGTCAACGATGCATTCAGACCCCTGGCAGACTCTATCGGGCCACCTACCTGCGGGATGGCGCAGTCAGCATGGGCTCCAACATCTCCACCTTGAAGATGGATCTTGTTGGAGCCTTCTCTCCTGGCGGAACCGCCTTAGCGGAGGAGAAGTTCTCGGCATCTTCTATTAGGTGTGTTTTTATATACATCTCTGGTGTCTCTCCCAGTGCCCCTGTTCTCTCTTTCGAGATTCATTCTCAGCGTCACTTTCGCGGAAACTCTGAAAGCCGCGTATTGTTCTTTTTTTTTTCCTTCTTATCCTTTCCAATGCGTTATACCTAATACCATATGCGCGCCTCTCGTTCTTCTTTGTTTTTTTGTTCATCTCACTCGCTCACTCACTCATTCGCTCATAACCACTCTTACTGAGTACCGCCACATTCATTCTCCTACGAGCATATCCGCTCAAAACACATACCAAACAATATCCAAATGGTTCGGCCACTTGCCTACAAGGCACTTGCTGCCGCCACTTTCTTTTCAAAACTTTCCTTTGCGGCCATCACCGCCTGCCCCAACGAAGAGGCCGTCTGGGAGACCCCCATTGGCGTCAAGTACACCGTCTGTCCGGGCTCCGACTACCAGTATGGCGGCGTGAGCTTCCAGTTCGTTAACAATGTCAACACAACCAAGGAGTGTGTTCAGATCTGTGACACAGATGCTCGTTGCTACCGGGCCGTCTACGATAAACAGGACAGGGTCTGCCACGTCAAGAACAACAATAACGAGATGAACTGGGTCGCCGACGACCGTTTCGACTCTATCCGCATGACGAACGACATGCCTGAGGGCACCTTCGTCTCCGTCTGCCCCTTCGACGAGGCGTCTTACACAGAACCCAAGACCAAAGCCGAGTACCGGGTCTGCCTCAACACCGACTATGTCGGCGCCAGTGCAAAGATGGTCAAAGATGTCACCACCATCCAGGCCTGCGCCGAGCTCTGCTCCAATACTCCGAACTGCAAGAAGTCCGTCTTTGACAACATCGAAAACGTCTGCCACATCAAGGCCGCAGAGCCTGACAACTCTCTTTTCCACGTCCAGAACAAGCGGTTCGCCACCATTCGTGTTCCCGATATCTCCAACCCGGCCGTCGAGGGCAGGTGGGGAGACATCATTCGCCTGCCCCTGATTCCCGTCGCTGCCTACATTGTTCCGGCATACCCTCAGCCAGACCGGCTGTTGTTTTTCTCCTCCTGGGGCAAGGATGCCTTTGGTGGCGCATCCGGCAAGACGCAATACGGTGACTTCAACTTCGGAACCGGCGAGATCTCCGACCGCACCGTCACTAACACCCATCACGACATGTTCTGTCCCGGCATCAGCCAGCTGCAGGACGGCCGTATCGTCGTCCAGGGTGGTTCCGATGCTGAGGCTGTCAGTATCTACGACCCTGCTACTAACAACTTCACCCGTGGCCCTGACATGAAGATGGCCCGTGGCTACCAGACCTCGACCACTCTCTCCAACGGCAAGATCTTCACTATCGGCGGCGCCTACTCCGGCAAACGTGAGGGAAAGAACGGTGAGATGTACGACCCCGTCGCCAACGAGTGGACCATGCTCAACGGAGCCGACGTCAAGCCCATTCTGACCACGGACCACGAGGGTATCTGGCGCGAGGACAACCATGCCTGGCTCGTCGGATGGAAGAACGGCAGCGTTTTCCAGGCCGGCCCCGGCAAGGACCAGCACTGGTTCGGCACTGATGGTGACGGATCCGTTATGAAGGCCGCCACTCGCGACACTGACGACGCCATGTGCGGTATCTGGGTCCTGTACGATGCCATCGCCGGCAAGCTCCTTTCCGCCGGCGGCAGCCCCGACTATACCGACAGTGACGCCAACAAGCACGCGCACATCACCACCATTGGCGACCCTAACACGCCCTCCGAAGTCGAGCGCGTCGCCGATATGGCATTCCCCCGCGGCTTCGCCAACGCCGTTGTTCTCCCCGACGGCACCGTCCTCGTCACTGGCGGCCAGCGCAAGTCTCTCGTCTTCACCAACACAGACAGCATCCTCATCCCCGAGCTCTTCAACCCCGAGACCAAAGAGTGGAAGCAGATGGCTCCCATGGCCGTCCCTCGTAACTACCACTCAGTCTCCATTCTCCTGCCCGACGCGACCGTTTTCTCTGGCGGTGGCGGCCTCTGCTACGTCTCGACCATCGGCGGCTCCACTGCCAAGTGCGACAAGACGGTCGACCACGCTGACGGCGAGATTTTCCAGCCCCCTTACCTCTTCAACGAGGATGGCACCGCGGCGGTGCGACCCGTCATCTCGGCCATCGGCACAGAGTCCCTCAAGGCCGGTGCGACGCTCAACTTCACCGTCGAGGGCGTCGATGGCCAGGGCAAGGTTGTTTTGATTCGTACTGGTTCTGTGACCCACTCGGTCAACAGCGACCAGCGCCGCATCCCTCTAAACGACGTCCAGGTTAACGGTCAGGAATACTCGGCGAAGCTGCCCGAGGATTACGGCATTATGCTTCCTGGCTACTACTACCTGTTCGTCTCTACGCCGCAGGGTACGCCCAGCGTTGCCAAGACTGTACACATTATCTTGTAAAACAAAATAGGAAGAAACAACAGTTTGTCAAGAGATGGTAAAAACACGGCTAGATTATAGACAAAAGCGTGCTACTTATGATAAGACTATTTAATGTATATTATGAAGCCGTTCACTTGTGGTGTTTCTTTGGTGATGAAAGTGATGAAGTCAAGACTGAGTTCAAGCGTCTTGTATTACAGTAGCAATTGTACGTTGGAGCTGCAATCCATGGTGGTTAAATGCTGGGTGCTAAGAGCTTGGCAACGGGTTGATGTTGCATTTGAGGCTGAGCGGAGGATATTTCGGGCTTTACATTGGCAGGGTAGTCTATGGTGGAGAGTGTCCAATCATGTTGAGAGGAAACACGATGTACATGAGGAAGTAGAGCGAGGCATGGTGATTGTTAGCCCTATGTATGCATGTGTACGTATGCCCTGGCTTTTTATGTGTTGGCCATTTGACGGTGTCATGAGTGGTATCCCGACAAAGGAACTAAGAAAAATAAGGACGACGATTGTTGGCTGCATCAATGAGGAGTTGACGGACTCGGGCGCGGGGGGAAGAAGCTCAACCGATCGGACTGGATGCCGCCGAGGACAGCCAATGGTTAGATTCACACGTGCATATGGATGGATACTGGTCGTTTCGGCCGATGTTCGTCTCAATGGTCAGCAAAGCTCCGGGGCGCGTTGCAGGAAGAAACAGCAAGCGCGCTAGCGTAGTGTTAGTACTTTGCGAGTGTATTGAGTTGGCCGATGTTGCTGATTCAAACATGAACGATGACGCCATTCTGCGTCTGCTGGACCCGCCTTTACAGCGAACGGTGGGGAACGACCTTCACCACGCGACCTGTTGTTCCCACAATGCGCCGAACATTCAACGGTAAAGTTGAAGCCCCCTTACCATAGTAGACCACCCCCCCCTAGCGTCGTCTCGCCAGAGATACAGCACCTGTTTCAGCGGTCGACGGCGCTGAGCCACCTCCACATCCACAGACCTCAGGTCAATCAGTCTTCACCGAGGTTTCGATGGAAGGCTGCAGCGAGAATCCTACCTTTTTTCTCTCCTCTACTGGCATCATACTACTACATTTTTTTTGGGTCGGTTTTCTCACCATTACCGCAGTTTCCCCCCCTTCATGCATGCATATGACAGATTCCCCATCCATGCAACCCTCCCCATTCCATCCCACGCCGAGTCTCTTACAAAAGCATCCCGCACTATCCGTCAGCTGTCTTTGCACAGACGGACACACAAGAGATATGGAAACAGCATCATCCCGCATACCTCCCCACGCAGATCACTAAATCACATACCTCTGGTGCAATCCAAAAAAGAAACGACAAACTAAGAAGGCGCAACTCCAATCTCCTCCTTCTGCGTGTGTATGTGCACTATCAATTTCGCCGTTCGCCCCGCAAAATAAGCCCAGGCATTACCATCTCTTCAAACCCCCATCCCCCCAGTCCGTGATCACCGATCCCTTTCATCCCCCCATGTTACGGAGACGAACAAAAATAAAACAAGAAGAAAAAAAAAATAACAATACAAAACATCAACAAAAACACCAGCCCACCCCCTCTTCCCTACCTCACCAAACGCACTATCTTTTTTTGCTCCCCTCTTTACTCGCCTCTTTTCTCTTTGTGGCCGCCTTGGGAAACATTCCAACGCATACTCGCACTAAGCCTTCTCTCGTTCCCCCCCAAATCGTCCGCCAGCTCTTCGAGGCCACGCGCCGCATCGGCCGATCACTGATCTCGTGGGTGCTTACATCAAACTTGGCGCAGCGTGACTGTTCTTAGATTAAGCCGATTCGGTATCTGAGAAAAGGGCTTTCTGCATGCTGTCCACCAAAAATATTTGCCCGTATTAGAATAGACGAAGCCACAACCGATCGTACGCGCTACGTACCAGGCATCGGTCGTATCGTACCAGCACTGGCTTTTGAGGACTCGGACCACAGCATCACAAAAGCCCCTCCCCCTTCCAACCAAGACTAGTACAACAGCCACAACCGAAGCGAAACCCATTTTCTTCAACGACTCACCCTCGGAACTCTCACCAACATTCCCCGTTTTGCAAAAAATCCCTCCTCGGTTGTCCATCACCGACTGCTAGATCGAACGACCGAACGATACAACATCAGCGCGCGCCTGCGCTCCCTACCCCCCTCCCCCCCCGTTCTTGAGAATGTCGTCCCTCGAGGCCAAGATTGTCGTCCTCGGCTCTCAGAATGTCGGCAAGACAAGCCTCGTCATGCGTTACTGCAAGGGCTCCTTCAACCCGGCACAAACGACATCGACCGTAGGCGCCAGCTTCATGACCAAGCGTGTAGTCGACACCGACACCGATACAATGGTGCGCCTACAGATCTGGGATACAGGTATGTCCACTTTCTACACCTCCCAGCCTCTCTTGAGGCTCTTGATCTGCTCATCCCATGTATCTTGTGGCGTCGACTGACAACTCCCAGCCGGCCAGGAACGCTTCCGCTCTATATCCCGCCTGTACTACCGCGGCGCCAACGCCTGTATCCTCTGCTACTCCATCACCGACGCCCAGTCCTTCACCGAGATGGGCATCTGGCTGACCGAGCTCCGCCGCAACCTCCCAGGCGACGTTGTTCTGCACGTCGTCGGCACCAAGGCAGACATCGTCGCCCGCGATCCCTCCCGTCGCGAGGTCCCTTTCGAGCGCTGTATAGCCTACGTCGCTGAGAACCTCGCCCCAGGCCTCGCCTCCACCCCGCCACCCACCGCCACTCCCAACGGGATGCCCTCCTTCCTTTCTTCGTCCGATCCGCGCCAGTCCTCCTCGCAGGTACAAGGCAGTTTTGGTGGCGGCGGAGAACCCAGGAGCCCTAGTTCGAAACGGAGCTCTGGGTTCTGGGGTCAGGAAGTCGGCTGGGATGCATGCCACGAGATCAGCGCTGAGAGCGGTGAGGGTGTTGAGGAGGTGTTCCGGGTCGTGACGCGGAAACTAGTCGAGCAGAATCGCAAGATGCAGCAGGCACTTCTTATGGCCACCGCCACACCCGGCACGCCAGGTTACGAGACTGGTATGGACGGCGGATACTTTGATGGTATGAACCCGCGCGGTAGCTTCCGTGTTGGGCGGGACCGTAGGAGCTGGCTCTTCTCGCCAGCCTTCTCGCCTGCTGTTACGGTCGAACCGGCGGGAACGGAGCAGAACGCCGACGAGGCTGCTGCCAAAGCGAGAAGGAAGTGCTGTTAAACCTCCGAGACGAGCACACGGGGTTACTTGAGACATTGGTCATGACAGACAGAAAAAGAAGGAAAAAAAAAGAGAACGAGAAGACGACGATTCCGAGCATGGATCATGCTGCATCGAAGCGCCACGAAGAGACGGATTCAGACACAAATAATGGGATACCCGATGGCGCGTGCATACTTCGATTTTCGACATACCAGCACCTGCACCTAGCACACCTCCTCCCTTACCTGAGCGTAGGAGGCGATGGAGACGACCTCACGGCGGGGAGCGCATCATCCGGACTGGTTCTGAGGTATAATCATGTGCTTTCACAACCCACGCAAACAGCATACGAACAGGATAACCAACATTATGTTATTTTTCGTCGAATTCAAGCACGGTGTGAGGCGTTTTGTTTATTTTGAGCTTTTAAATCAGGATATGGGGATCTTGGTTTTGTTCTGCTTGCGAACAGGATAAAGGGATATGGGAATGGAATTTGGGTTTGGGTCTTTTTCCTTTTCCTCTCACTCGATACTTTACGCATACGACGACGCGAGGCCCTCGTTTTTTTTTTTTTATTGCATCATACGCATTGGTTCTCTTCTTCTTCGTCTTCTTCTTGACATAAGGGGGGTGTACAGAGGGAAGGGGTGGTCTCTCGCGAGAAAGCATTGTTTTTGGGACGGCTTATTACGGTTCGTTTTCAAGAGTGGGTAGAGAGGGGGGTTTTCTTTCCATTTCTTGTCCATGTATTTCTTTCCAAGCATTTTTTTTTTTATTAGGGGGGGCTAGGCGCCGTGATGCACTCACTCGTCCACATCGTCATAGCGTATGCTGGCTTTTTACTCTAATTCACATCCATCTCATGGAAAAAATGCATCCAGGCCTTTTTTATATCTCATATCTCTCCTTTAAGCCCGTGAAGCTCCACTCCCCTGCTGCTGCTGCTGGACCTGAGCCTTCTTAGACTTATCTACATCGTCGTCCACCACGGGAGCAGCAGGGATATCGATGCCGGCGACCCTGTACTCGAGCCCGACGTAGGCGTCGCTGACGACGATGACGTCGAGTTTGCGGCCCTGCGCGGGCTCGGGGATCTTGAAGATTGCGCGGGCAGACGGCTTGGAGCCGACGGCGACCGTTTTCCCGGCCCCCTGGGACCACCCCGCGCGCTTGACGGCGACGACCTCGTCGCGGGAGGGGTCGGCGAGGACGACGAACCAGCCCTCGTTCTGGGGCTTGGGGAAGCGCGGCGCGTAGACGTGGGCGTCGCGCTCCGTCAGCGGGTTGATGCGGCGGAGGTCCACGGACAAGGAGAGAGCCGTGGTCTCGCCGACGGAGACGGCGAGGTTGGGCAGCTGGGCTACGGCCCGCGCGAACTTGGGTTGCTGGTGAGGCGGCACCGAGAGCTTTTTGGCCAGCTGGGTGATCTTGCCCGGGGACCCGTTCAGGGCGCCGATCTTGGCGAGGGAGAGGTTGGAGGTGTCGTTCTTGAGGGTGTCGACGCCGACGCTCGGGAGGATGGAGGCCGGGTGGTCGGTGGGCCAGCGCGCGGACTTGATGCACTGCAGCAGCTTGATGAACTCGAGGCAGCTGGAGAGGTGGCCCAGCTCGGTGAGGACGTCGATGGACGCCTGGATGATACGGATGGCCTGGTCGAGCACGCTGGTCTGGTCGCCGACGTAATCGGTGATGGGGAGGCTGATGCGCGACATGTGAGCCTGCAGAAGGAGGAAGGCCTTGACGTGGGGGTCCCACATGGGCAGGCCGAAGGAGCTGCCGGGGAAGAGAAGGTTGCGAGAGAGCTCGTCGTTGATGAGGTCTTCGTTGTGGCGGACGGGGAGCTCGTCGTACTCGGTGGCGCGCGACATCCAAGACAGCACGTCGAGGAAGGAGGCCTGGGGCTTGGCGTGCTTGACGAGGTGGCGGATGGTCTTGTGGGAGAGGTAGTAGTAACTCATGATCTTGCCGAACGGAGTGGGGTCGACGTCCCCGTTGGGGAAGACCTCCACGCAGCTGGACTTTGCGAGCTCGTCGAGCGACTTGTCGATCATGTCGATCATGAAGTCGTTGGCGAGCGTCTGCGCGGCGATGCTGTTGTGCTCCTCGGCCGAGATCTCGAGGCCGTAGTACGACGGATTCTTGTGCAAACGGCGGAAGAAGAAGGTCCAGGTCAGGTAGTCCAGGGCGTCCTGCTTCGTCACAATGGTCTCGGCGGAGACCTCGGCGCAAAGATGGTTGTCTAGCACCGTATGGAGGGACGACTCGACGGGGAAGCCCGTGTGTAAGAAGTGCTTGTAAAAGTCCTTCTTGGCGTCCTGGGTGAAGATGCGCGCCACACCCGAGTTATCGAACTGCGGACGGCCCGCTCGTCCCAGCATCTGGAGCACGTCGGTCAGGTCCATGTCCTTGTAGCCCTCGATCTTGGCGTCGTAGAACTGCGTGCCCTTGACGACGACGAGATGGGCTGGTAAGTTGACACCCCAGGCGAGGGTACTGGTTGCCACCAGGATCTGGATCTTGTTGTTGAGGAACAGCTCCTCCGCCAGCTGGCGATCAGACTCGACGAGACCAGCGTGGTGAAGGCCGATACCGAAACTGATGGCTTCCTTGAGAGCGTCATCCTTGACTCTAGCGAGGTTGAGCTGCAAGTCGTCTTCGTCCATGTGGAGGAACCGCCTGGGGTTGTCCTCCATGCCACAGTAGTTGATGAGGTCCTTGGCCGTCAGGCGGGTTTGTCTTCGAGAGGGTACGAAGACGATCACGGGCTTGTCAGGGCTGTGCGTCTTGACAGCCAGGAAAGTCGGCCTGTTCATAGACTGCATCAACGGGCAGAAGCCCCTAGTTTCCGGGAATCCATCAATATATAGCTCCAAGGGCACGGGGCGGACAGAGTGTCTGAAGTTGAACAGACCCTCCTTTACGCCGAGCCAGTTGCCTAGATCCGTGGCATTGGCGCATGCGGTTGACATTCCAAGCAGGCGGACAGAGTTCTTGATGGATGCCGCAATGTAGTTCATACGTGAGACAATAATTTCCAAAATAGGTCCTCGGTCTCCAGCGAGCAAATGAATCTCGTCGATAATGACAAGACTGACTTGGCGGACGTAGCCTCTCGTCTGCCAACTACGAGAAATACCGTCCCACTTCTCGGGGGTAGTGATGATCACGTCTGCGTCTTTGATCGTGCGGGTGTCCGGGGTGTTGTCACCAGTCAATTCAACCAACTTCAGGCCAAGAGGTCGAGCAAGTCTGGCTCCCCAGTCCTTGACACGCTCGCGAACCAGGGCCTTCATGGGCGCAATGTAGACGACCTTGGATCCGGGCCGCTCCTTGAAAGCCCACCACATTGCCAGCTCTGCCGCGACTGTCTTGCCACTGCCTGTCGGCGAACCGAGAAGGACGTTCGCTGGCGTGTGGTAGAGCGTGTGGAAGATCTGCGTTTGCATGGGGTTGAAGAACTGGAAACGTTGAGCGTAAATTTCCTCGAGGGCTGGGTTCTTGAGAGCGCTAATGGGCAGCGGCTGCAGATTCAATAGATCGGTGTACACGCTCTCGGTGTCAGGCCGGATGAGATGCTGGAAGGAGACGGGAGTCACCGTCTCAGCGCCGAGCCATCGATCAGAAACCGCTCGTACGTAAATTTGAGTCGGCAGGGGATCCGAAAGGGGAATTGTAAAGTTCAGCTCATGATCATCGTGGATCTTTCTCCTGTTAAGGATGAAGAACTCGTGATGATAGATCTCTGACGTCTCGGAGTTCTCGACCCAGATATAGTACGATTCAGATGTTCCGTGGGTGTGGTCGTTCCATCTAAAGTCGGGGTAGATGAACAGCTTGATCCGAAGAACATCGCGGTTGAGAGGCGCAATCTCAGCTTCAACACTAACCGTCGGGAAGTTGTTGAGAATATAGGCGATCTTCTTTCCGGCGCTTTGGTTATGAACGAGGCTGCCAATCTCTGCGGGTTCCATATCCCTCATCGCCTCGATCGACAGATTGTCTTTGGTATCAAGCTGGTTAAACACCGACTTGGGGAAGTCAAATTGATGCAGAGGATGCTGGAACGGCCAGATACGTTTTTCAATCGACTTGGCAAGGGTGAGCAGAACCAAGCACTGGTGTCCCCATCTCCTATTCAGGGCAATCATGAACAGTGCTCTGCAGATACGGCCAGCCTGTTGAGCAACATAATTAAGATCATTGCCCAGAGCAAAGTCCTCTGGCTGAGCCCTGGAGATATACGCCTGAAGCAGGATGTTTGTCTTTGCTTGGGGTGTATCGATGCCGCCGTCGACATCGCAGGGTACGACGTCGTGTCTCAAACGCGATAGCTCCTTCTCTTCGGAGTCTCGTGACTGAATGTTGTCAAACTCTCCACTCATGCTGATCATCTTGAGAATGTCGGCTTCCGTGGCCTGGGGCTGCATCATGGTGTTGAAGATCTGGATGCTAGTGTGCAGGATGTAGTACTGGCTAGCAATACGTCCAATATCTTTGCTACGAAGCTCCTCGGTTACCTCGTTGAAAATAATCATCTGGCTCTGCTGCAGAGTTCGAGCTGCTTGAATGGCCAACTGGCGACGTCTTTGAACGAGCGTCGGGTCGTCCCTGATTTCGGCCCATTCAATACCGTAATTCATGGGGCTCCGTTGCATACGGACAAAGAGATAGGAATATCCGATCCACTGAACGGCTTCTGGAATGGATGTCACAGTACCCAGCGCAATCTCGGCGTTGAGGTTGTCCACGAGTTTCGTGGAGAACTTAGACTCAATCGGCTGTTGTTCGGTGACGGTGGTCAAGTAATGATGGAGTCTGTCCTGCGTGGTACAAATCATACCAATACCGGTGTCTTCGAACTGGGGACGACCAGCACGACCAAAGATTTGCAGGACATCGAGAATACCGAGATCAACGAATTTACCATCTTGGGCACTGTAAACTTGGGTTCCCTTGATGACGACGGCGGCTGCAGGCAAGTTGACACCCCAAGCGAGAGTCGCTGTACAGCAAAGGACTTTGATGACACCTTCTCCAAAGAGTCTCTCCATCAAGTTCCTGTCAGAGCGTGCCATACCAGCATGGTGAACACCCAATCCCTTGGGAATCAGCTCGCGCAGATCTCGCGCCTTGGATTGCTTCATGTCTCGCACTGCATTCTCATAGTTCGGGTGACCAGTTGGATCAAACAAGTCCACGCAAAAGTCCTCCACGGCCTTTTCATGAAGCATCTTAGCCGTGAGAAGGGTATCTCTGCGGGAGTGGACAAACACCATGACTTGGTGACCCTTCTGGAGCATGTCCCTGACTTTCTCGAAAGCGACCTGATCCAAATTTTCCTTGGACTGCTTCGAACCAGCCTTGCCCTTGACACCGATGAAGTGCTGTTCCAGAGGAACAGGGCGGAAGGACGCATCGAAATAGAACAGACCCTGGTATCGGTTGACTTTGAGGAAGTCGGCCACATCGATATAGTTGGGAAGAGTAGCACTGAGGCCGACGATGCGGATCAGGGATTGGGTGCTTTCGACCTGCCGCTCTGTTCTGGCGACGAGAGACTCCAAAACGGCACCACGTTCATCGTGGAGCATGTGGACCTCGTCGATAATCAGCAGGCGAACCTTCTGAACCAACTCGGTGTCGCCAGTTCCCTTTCGCGTGACAACATCCCACTTCTCAGGCGTGGTGACAATGATTTGTGTCTGGACGATTTCGGCCTTGGTCAGATGCATATCTCCAGTGAATTCGCGGCACTTGATACCCAGCCATGCCAGCCGCTTGCCGAGCTTCTCGGTGACCTCAGCCGCGAGGGCCTTCATGGGAGCAACGTAGACAATCTTGAAATCTTGAGCATCAACAGCAAAGTCTGTAGCAGTAATATCCTCGATGGGATTCGGAGTACAGTAGTGACCAATTGTTTGCAAGATGGTCAGCATGGCAGCATCCGTTTTACCCTGCAAAGTGTCAGTACCTACTATACGGTGGTCATTGGAAGTAAGTGACTCACGGCACCGGTAGGGGCACAAATAAGCATGTTCTCATTTGTCTTGTATGCCACAGGATGTACAAGACTTTGCATGCGGTTGAGGGCCTTATAACCCTTAAAAGTGCCGCGGCAGAGGCCGTCCATTTCGGATATCTTGACCAGCCTCTGACCAGGACCAAGGACACCTTTCTTTCCTGCTGGTATGGCATACTCCTCATACTTTTCGAACTGGAGTCTCTCGCTGCCCTGGGGAAGCGCGTACTTCTTTCCGGAGTGGCTAAGGGAGTTTCCGGCGTTGTAAGCCTTGTAAACGTGAGGATATTGGACCTCTTTGGTCATAGCCGGAGCAAGCGCAGCATTTTTGTGTTCATAGTCCTGGCGTCTCAGAGCTTCTTCACGCTGAGACTTGGTCAGTAGCCGTCCGGTAGCCTCCTGGTTACCCTGAGACGCCATGGCTGATACAATCTTCTCGCGGTGACCGAGCAACTCGATGATGAAGTCGAAATCGTCAAAGCCAATGAGGTCGGCCAGTTGAGACTGGAGCTCCTCATCGCCTCGACCAGAGGTTAACACACTCATGATTTGGCTTTGGAAAACATCTTCAGCCAGTCCGTTTTTTGCAGCAATACCTGAGCACTTGCTTGCGAACCAAACAGCGCCATACGGATCGTCGCCATTGGTGGCGTCGGGGCCATCCAGCTGGTCGCTGCTGTAGTCGTCGTCCTCATCATCGTCAATGAAATCCCACACATCCTGGGCCGCATTTCCAGACGAGTACCCCTCGTAGTCGTCGTCAAAGTCCACCTCGGATGGTGGCTCGGAGGGGAGTTTAAGGCCGGCAAGGGCCGTCTTCATGGCTTCGAATTGAGCCCGCCATTGGGCTTCCGCACTATCAAGATCCGCAGGCGCCATTTTGTTCGGATGCGAGAGCACTGAAAGTCTCAAAATATTTCGGTAAGATGAGAATGTAGCAGGTGAAGGCTTCGTGCCCGATGCTCGCTGGTCGCCTGCAGTGATGAAATATCAATCCCACCCAAGGTGCACTGAGGCCTTAAAGAGTCACTCGCCGATTCGCCATCACGAAGTGGGGCAAGAGGATTACAGTACCATGCACTCCCGTCGTCACTGTAACTGTTGGCCAGTAGCGGTAGAAAAAAGTGATCCATCCAATGACGTCCTCCGTCTTCTAGTGGGGGTTCTGGTCCGTTCCCCGCCAGGCACTCGAGACAATGCCGCACCGCTTCTGATCTAGGCTCAATATACGGATACGGATACTGAGAGACAATCATCCGGAGAAGCGCCCTGACGCTGACCGCCACACAGCTGAGGACGGAGGAGGGGGCCGTCCGAGCCTCCGAAGCCGCTACAGACGGTCGACCTACCGCAATGCCCACTATCTCATGCACTACCCAGCCATTTCAATGCTGGGTGAGGTAAGGCACGTTCAACTATGCCGTAACTCTAGGCACCGCCCCCCTGTAGCGAACAAAGGGTACCTAGGCTGGCTTCTGCCGCAGGTGCCTCACCACCTTAATTATTCTGCAGCCTGGAGGGGCAGCCCGCTGATCCAAGCCAAGTTCCCTTACCTTAAGTGGGTGGGCATGTGATGTACGCCTGTCCGTAGTAGGCCGATTCCACCGTAAACCTTGACGTCGCAGAGACATTCTCCATCATCCTCCAACTTGGACAGTCCCCTTTCTCCATTTCTCATATCAATCCCTCCAACTCTAGTCCTCTACCCGCAACGATACCGCCTTTCCCTTCCCCTCGACGACAAAACCTCTAATTCTCGCGAGAAACAACTTCTACAGCGCATTACTTCACGCACGACCAACCACTTGTTACCCCTCGCCCCTGAAATTCCGTCGTAAGTCGCAACCAGTTCTCCCCCGCCAGACCGCCCAAACGAGAAAGACGACGACAAACTAACCAACGCAACCTCTCCAGAATATGAAGCTTCACTATATCGGCGTACGTTTGCTCGCTCTCCCCTTAGCCCGCCATTCGCCCAGTCCGCGACGTCACCCCGCGCGCTGCGCTGCACTTTCCGGCACATACCGCTGACGCCATACGCCCCATGTAGATCCTCCGCAACGACAGCAAGCCGGCCGTCGAGCTGTGCAGTGAGATGGAGCTGTCGGCATACTCAAGATTCACAAGAAGTAGGTTGACCTAGAGCGCATGCGACACCCAAGTCGCATGGGGTCGCGAACAGATTCACAGCCAACACACGCATGCTCGGTATCGGCTAACACCCGCGCGTCTCAGATAGTTACGCCGAGTTCATGACCCTTTTCTCCAAGAAGGTCGCAGAGTCCACCCGCCCCGGCCAGAGACAGGATATCGAGGAGGGCGACAACACTTTCCACTGCGTGGGCAGAAGCGAGGGCATCTGTGGCGTGTAAGACGACGACCACCCACCTCGGTTGTGCTGGAGATGCATGCGCCGCTTTTAAAAACAAGAATACTGATTGTCCATTGTAGTATCATCTCCGACCACCAATACCCCAGTCTGGTAGCTCACCAGCTTCTGTCAAAGATGTATGTGCCAAGACTTTAAGAGAAATCTCTCCCTCGAGATGGCTACAAGACAAGGCACTGACCAAGATTGCAGCGTCGACGAGTTTCTCACCAAGCACCCTCGCTCCACGTGGGCCACCGGCGAGCCCAAGCTCGCCCTCCCCGAGCTCAAGGAATACCTCACGAAGTACCAGGACCCCCAGCAGGCCGACTCCATCCTCAAGATCCAGAAGGAGCTCGACGAGACCAAGATCGTCTTGCACAAGACCATCCAGAGCGTGCTGGAGCGTGGCGAGAAGATTGATGATTTGGTCGCCAAGAGTGACGGTTTGAGCTCCCAAAGCAAGATGTTCTACCGTAAGTCACCCGCTTGCCATATCTCACCATCGTGCTGGGTCTCCTCAATGCGGCGGAAAAACCGCAGCTCTGACGGTTTTTGGTCAAACGTACTAACCCCTCTACAGAACAGGCAAAGAAGCAAAACTCGTGCTGCATCGTCATGTAAAGCCGGCCTTCCTATTTTCTCCTACCAATCTTGCTTCTCCTCCTTGGTTATTTCATGTCTGGCGTTGGACGTTTGGACTCGTTTCAGCATAAACACTCGCTCCCGGCCACGCTCGCTAGGTTTGCAAGGCATAAACAACATCTATTTTGCAAAGTTGGGCTTTTGAATCCCCTCACTTTTTTGTGGAATGGAAAGCCCGTGTTCATATTTTCCGCAACGGTTATGTAGTGAACATGAACGACAGTTCAGGAATAATACAAATTTTGGTGTGCTTACCTTTATGCGTAAGAAAACGAACGTTTGAGGATACGAATGCTTCCATCAATCGTCCGATGCGATTATCCACCAGGTCCCTAGCTCATCAAGACACCCTCACATTCCGCCACGTAATGTCTAGGTCCTTAGTCACACATTCCCAAAGACTACGAGTCTAAAATTAGGAGAAAAAGATATTCATATAAGTTTTAAGCTTTAGGATTATCTACTCCCAAAAGCTTCTTCCATCGATCATGGACGATGAAGACTCGGAAAACAATGGACAAATCGGCTTTCCCATCCATTATACACGCCACGCCCCCAAAAGAGAAATACGAAACGTTTCCCCCTCCCCCCTTTCCCCCTCGACAGTGGTATCGATGCGGCGACCCTCCAGGTCGCATTAGAGAGAACAAATGGGGTTAAAAAAAAATCCCCCTTTCTTGAATATTTGCCAAGTCGCTAGCAGACCTTTTTTTCTTTTGATCGAACTCACACACATACACACGCACACATACATCGCTCCAGAAAAGAAGCACATGAATGAAACAAGAAAAAGGCGGCCCGGCTCCAAGCATAATCGTAGCGACACAAAAAAAGTGGTCCTCCAGAGTAATAGGGTTTCGAGAATGTAATAGTCAAAAAGGAGTTGTTCGAAAAAGACGGCGGGCTTTGGCGCCATCTAAAGAGTGGACGAAGAGAAGGCTCAAAACAAATGTCCGTGGAAGTAGATACTCCAAAAGTCGTGAAAAAAGTAGTGTAACATAAGGGACACGTAAAGCAGGAGAGGCCAAGTTTATTCATCCTCAACAATGATGCGCTCACTTTTGCGGTTCTGCGCGATCTGTTGTTCGAAGGTCTCGCCAGGGCTGATGAGCGTCGGCGTTGAGCTCTTCGTCGAGGAAAGGCGCTCGTTTCTACCAACTGTAATAGCTGCGACAGGGCTCTTTATGCTGGGGCTTCCAGCCACGCGGGCGGTCTGTGTCTTGAGCGGCCGCAGCATCCGGCGTTGTTGTCTGGAGATGCTAATCTGTCTGGCGATAGAGATTTCAACAGCGGCGCGAAGGGCGTCATCGGGTTCGGACTCATCGAGTGACGGCTTTGTAACGTGTGTGTAGGCTGAAGACACCGATGCAGGCGAGCGGTCTTTTGCGCTAGGGGCTGCACTTGGTGCTCCGCTGGAAGGTGCGGTTGACTCGGAAGGAGTAATCATCTGCCACTCAGGCTCATAAATTGTTGGCTTCAACTGTTCCGTCAGGTGGATCTCTTCTGATTCTTGATCATCGGTGGGAGAGCCAAGAAGAAGGCCAGACTGTTCCGGGCCAAAGGCATGTGCGTTCGAGACATCATGCGACCGAGGAGCTCTCGGCTCGGGGGTTGCAGCATCGGCTCTGGCGGCCTCTAGGTAGAAACGGGGCCGTGGAGGTTCGAAACTCGACCTTGACGGGGAGGGGAGAAGTGCGGGTGAGGTATTTGAGCGGTGACGAGGTGATTGAGGCGGGTTATTTGCTGTCTCCGAGGGTGTGGCTGGGAATAGTGACAATGAAAAGGCGGGCGATTTGGTGGGCTGTGGTGACGTCGCCCTCCTACCCCTAACACGCTCCTTCTCTTCCTCTTCCTTCATGGTCTGGTCATTAATTGTCTTGAGCCTGTCCAAGGTAGCCTGTCGCCTCGCCAAGAGGGAAGATGCCCCTTGGTGCTGCTGCTGTCCCCCATTTGGACCCTGAGACCCCTGGGGCTGTCCCAAAACATTGCCGAACATGACGCTGTACCGCTCCAGCTTGATGTCTGGGATTTCAACATTCAAAAAGTTTCCTGCCGGCTTGGTGGGTAGCGCGGGTACCTGCATGGAAACATGCACCGGCGCTGAGATGTCTGATTTCTTAACTCTCTCGCCTCGAGTTGAGCGCGTTGATGCCATCCTGCTTAGTAGTTTGGGAGGTTTCGATTCTTTAGGGCTAGGGGGAGCGGCCAGCGGTCCTGCTGTTTGTGAGCGGATCATGGGTGGTTTGCTTTCCCCAGGTCTTCGTTCGGTATTTCGTCTTCCCAGGTCAGTAGCTTGGCTGCTCTGTGGTATACTCTCAGCTTCTGCCCTACTACCCACTGGCTGTTGAAGATTCATGGGAGAAGAGATGGCGATGGGAGATGCAAGTCTCTTGCTCTTTGACCGCCCAAACAACTTCCACCTTCCTGACTTCTGCTTCGCCGGTGGTGGAGCGGGTTCCGCAACGCCCTGCTGCGTGGGTTCTGGTGATGCTCTAATCATGCTGGTGCTCATGTTCGACGCTTGCGGTTGCCACTCATTTCTCGGCGGGGGTACGGGCGATGTGAACTCGCGAGGGGGGTGAGTTGGACTTCCTATCGCCATTCCTATCGCAATCGTTCCCATATTGCTATCCATAGAGTCTGGAGTTTGTGTCCTGACCGTAAACGTCCGCGCCGGGGAAAAGTCGCCGGGACTCTCTACCGGGGATGCTGGGTTGTCCCGTATCGGAATGTGATACGACTTGTAACCTCCACGCGCCGACGACTGAGGCCTGATGTATAAATCATCCTTGGAAATTCGTCTATCCGCAAAAGATTTGAAGCTGACGGTGCTGGCATTATGAGGTGCCGGCCCTCCACTGGTGCTCGGCCGTTCAGCCATGGTTGAGGATGCTTTAGAGCGAGGAGGTGTAGGTAGCGGGCGATGACGGTATGTGTTGCGAGCTTCGACGGCGGCGACGGCGTCGGCGGCGGCAGCAGCCTCTGAGGAGGAGGAGGAGGGCACGCTCTCGTTTTGAGAGAGGCTTGAGTCTTCCTTGGTCAGTTGGAAACTTGACACAACGCCCGGCTCCCCCAGAACGGGGGACTCTGGGCCGTGCGTGTGCGCACCACCGGGGGCCCCTCCACCAACCCTCATGCTCTTCATAGATCTGGAACGATTGACCAAATTGAACATGCTCCTCTAATGGTGCGTAGCAGGACTTCACTATGCTAGCGCCTGGCCGATTCTTGTTGACAGGGCTAGAAAGCAAGCAACTGGGCCGGCTGCCCAGAAAGCGAGCGGGGTGTTGGGTTTCGAAAAAGGAGATAATGAGAACCAGTTACAAAACTAGCGGGTGGAAGGCTTGGGCTGTTGCTTCACGGTCTCTGTAGCCTCAGAAATGAATTTTTAAAAAAAAAAAACAAAGGGAAAGAAATGGTTGGTAGAAAAGGTAATTGAATGGCAACAACCGGAGACCTGATGAAGAGAAGAGACCTGGTCCCCGATATTGTACCCATAAGGTATGCAGAGAACAGGAGATGACACTGACGGGGGTCCCCTTCGACTTAACTTTACTTTGATATCGTTCACCTTGGAAGTCACCTCTCCCCACGGCCAGCAGACCCAGAGGCCATAGCCCAGAGCCCAGAAGCCCTCGTTCACCCACCCCAGCACGCGACTCGCAACTTTGTCGCCTGTTTGAGATTGAAAGGGCGGATATTTTAGGGGGGGCTGATCAGCGCAAGGATGACGCATCTTCCATCCTGACCATGGGGTGGTCTGTGGATCAAGGGTCCCGGTCGTTTGCGAGCGATAAGTCGCGTATCTTCTGCGGTCGAGTGGAGGTTGTGTGGTTTCGTGTGTCAGACTAGTGAGAACTGTAGGGAAGACGGCGGCGAAAGCATGATTAACGGAGTCATCAGCTGCATGGCCACTGCATGGCTTGGGCGGCCGAGAAGTCCAGAAACTCTGGACAGTCTGATTTGTTTTGACAATGCCGTGCGTCCAAGGCTGAAAGGGGCTTGCTAATAGTGGCTGCAGTTGGTCTCGAAGCTTGAGGTGTGGCTCTTGTTGAATAGCCTCATCTCGTAAGTTGCCGTGTCGTCACTCATCTCCCGCTTTCTCCAGCCCCTCGGTAGTCTCCATCAAATCAGTACCAATCTGGGTCTTCTCATCACAGCCCTCATCAGAGGCAATTTGAGTTCAAATTGACGACGCCCACTTGCCCTGATGGCGCCCTTGTGCTATATGCCACCAGAGGGGGAGGGATTCGAGAAGGATGGAAGAAGAGGAGGGTCGCATCCGTGCTCGGTCTGCGGGACATCCTTGGAAGACTGGGTTACCCCGGCCTGGGGAGAAAAGCCTCAGGGTCGTCCCTGTCAGGCCGCACGTCCACTGTGGTTACGCCCCGGCCGCTCAAGCCCAAGCCTCGATGAAATCGATCCGCAACGTTGGAGAGCAGAGCGCCACAGCGTTGCGAAGCTGGTTGCTGACTTTGCCGAGTGGCCCCCATGGCAAACTGGACTGCCGGGATCCGGGAGATGTATTACAAACTAAGAGATGGGACTGGCCGGCCATGAAGTCGGGCTGATTTCTCCGTGCCTACCGGCTGAGTCCAGATGTCGTCTGTCGCTCGTTGTGTCGCTCAACGGCTACAAGCTGAAAATTGCTTCATTTGAAGTCCAATTTTACAGCCGATGCTGCCAGCGAATGAGATTTGCATGACGTTGCAGTCGCGGATCCTCTCCGCGCCAAAGACATATTAACGGTGCCCTGCTCACACATATTCCGATCCCCCACTCTGACATCAAACGGGTCTCTGGTTTAAAATGAAAGGGTCAGAAACATCGTCGCCCAGCCGGCTTCCCACCAACCACGGCCCACATTGAAGGAAATAACCTTCTCACACAAGCTGTACCTGCCCAGCGTGACACCAGCGTAAGTAGTGTAATCTCTCAAAACTTGGAGGTTTCCTGGCAGCCTTTTCCCACCGCTTGTTGTGTTGGACATTACCCTGCATGCCTGCAATTTTCTTGATTTCCTGGACGGGCATAATAACCCGTTATGTTCCTGCGCCGTCAATCTCGCAAACTAATGCAATCGATACTGCAGCGGTAATGTGACCTTGCGATGCTGACAACAGTACCGTAATGTCAGTTCACGACTTGATGGGGCACCGCCATGGCTGAAGAAGTTCATAACTAGACGAAACGAAGCGTGTCAGCACCGCGACGACGTATTTGTGCATCACAGCCCTCGTATTACATGCGACCGGATATTCTTAGGTGGCAGGTATAACGTCTCAAAGAAAAAATCCCCCCCCCCCCAAAAAAAAACACCCTGACCACGTCGCATTAAAACGGGTGTCGTATTGAAACAGTGACCCGGGACACGAAGCGCTATTACCAGGCATCATCGAATATGAGGGGGTTTGATCTCGGTCCTTTTTTAGTGTTTGGCTGTGTGCTGCACGCTCATATTCCAGTGCTGACAAGCAGCCCGTTTTCTCTCAGCCCACTATAGTCTCATCGTCAGATGATGCCTGGGGCCCTAGAATGACATCACGAGTCGCTCTGTGTCAACAGGTTCTGTGCGACAAGGCTGGTCGAGCTTCGAGGTCAATATGGAGCTGGAACAAGACTGTAAGACGCGGCGAGGCTGCCCAGTGACGGGGTTTCATATACCTCTCCTAGGGCCATTAGCCGGCAGATCGTCTCAAGATTGCAAATCCGAGGGATCTGGTGTGGCCAGAGCGTTGAAGCAGGCCTTAGGTTTTGTCGATAAGGAAAAGCCCCATTGTTCCAATCGCATCTGATATCGTTTATCAGTGGTGATGAAGTCGCTAAAAGCAGGCCCTGGCTCAGGGCCGCCATGCACCCCGGTCGCTATAAGGAGACCGAGGAACACCGGGAGGGCCAAACTTGTTTGATAATAAAGTCGCATTCCCAAAGTTCATCTGAAGTAGTGACTCGGATCCTCATCGCTTTGGCGGTGGAAGCGGTGTTATGTTTAGTAAATTTCACTCATTTGTGCACATGTCGCTCATTCCCAACTTGCAACCGGTCCCAAAGAGCCTAAGACGGGCTGTCTGAGAGTCGACTTGCGCCTGCTTTGACCGATGCGAATGGGAACGGGCCGATGTTTGCTAATGGGTTGGTTCGAAAGCTTCCCTCTACCGACATACTTTCAGAAACCTAGACGCATTATCCCACAAATCTTCAGGCTAGTGTACTAGTCATCTGGCTGTGCAGGACGCAAGCCCAAACACCGATGAGATGACATGATGAGCGTGTGGATGAGGTGCCAAAAATGAGCGTAAAGCGGTGTCACTGCCAACAACCCATGGACAAAATTGCACTCGTGCCGCTATGTCGGTAGAGGAGCTTACGTAGTAGAAAATGATCAATCCGGGCGATTGGACACAGATATTGCGAATGTCTGTGAAGGAAAACGCAGGTTCTCAGAAGACAATCCAAAGCTGGTACTTGGAACCTATTATAATTGCAGAAATGAAGGAACTGTGAAAAGCCTTGCTGGGATGGCTGAGAAGTAGAACGGGGCCGAGCTTGATGCGGAAATCATTCCATCCAACCGAGAACAAATTGTGCTGCGACAGGGCGTTTTCGTCGTCGAGGCCCCGATGTGTTGCAGACCGACTGAAGTAGCCTTGATCCTCAGCGGGCGTTTGATTTTCTGCAACTGCAGGCTTAGGGAAAATCTTGGCAGGAGATGGGATGCGATGACTGATGAGTGAATGTGGCTGGTGTGGTGGCGCAAGTTACCACTCTACAATGCAATTTCGGATGCACAGAATCGCCGAGCAACAAGTGCCGTCACCGCCTGCAGTGCTGCTGTACAGTGTCTGAACCAACCGTCTAACACGGTCACCCCGCTATCACGTGATTTTTCATGTTTGGCGGGGCAAGTTCCGGAAGTTGGACGAAGGACTTCCTTGCTGACGGGCGCTAATTACCTAGCAGCTCATCTAAAGTAGGGAACCGTGTTGCGGTACAATATTGGCCCCAAAGGCGATGATGGGAAGGCCCGGCGGATCATGGAGACCAACCGAGCTCAATTTGTGTGGGTTGGCCAAGGGGTCGTAGATAGACAACAGGCGATGAGGCTGACGATGTGGTGATCCGACCCTGTCCTGCAAGATAAAAACAAAGGGCAGAATTGTCGGATCGGGTACAAGCTTTCCCACTGTTTGGACGCTTATCCCTAAGGTATCCAGCTGCATGAAGTCTGGACAAAGCAGCGGTGCCGGGAGTGGAAGGAACCAGAAACACAGGTACTCGCCTACTTGCAAACCATGCTGAAGAAAGTACCCCGCACCGCTCTTTTCGCCCCGGTGACGACCTTTCAATTCATAGCGGTGTACCCCGCCCGGCCCGCTGGACCTAAAAATTGATGTATCTCTGAGGGGCACGTCAGGCAGGAAGGAGAACAAGAAACATCAACAGTCACAAACCGAATTCCTCCCCATATCCCACACCGCGTCAAAGCTTGGGCACTACACCTTTCTGACAGAAGCTTCTTGTCTCTTTTTTCCGTCTTTACATCAGCGAGCACCCAGTTTCCTTCCACTCCTTCACTATGTCGTGGCAAGGTGAGTACTCTACATATGGCGGTGGCTGCACTGGCAGCTCGAACGAGGCCATCTCCGAAAACCCCACCTCGGAGGAACCAGAGAGCTAACTGTCTTGTCACAGCTTATGTTGACACCAGGTAGCCGCGCACCCATAGCTTTTTCCATCCCGCGCCCGTCGCGTTACTATGGCCTAAGGAGTTGTGTAGACAGATGACTGACAAGATCGCAGCCTCGTTGGCACTGGCCATATTGACAAGGCCGCCATTATCAGCATCGCTGGCGACAGCACGTGGGCATCGACCGCAGGCTTCACGGTATGTTGGACCACCGCTTTCAAAGTCAATTTACATACATGATACTGATCATGCCTCCTTTCCGCATGTAGCTTTCCGCCACCGAGATGAAGGCCATCTCCGACATTGTCAAGGGAGACCAGGCTGCCAAGGACAAGGCTTTTGCCGACGGCCTCTACGTCGCTGGCGACAGATTTGTCATGGCCCGCGCTGACGACGGCACCATCTACGCACGAAAGGTCAGTTCTCAATATGTATAGCATCCTCAAAGAGGGATCAAAAGGCTGACGGGATATCATACAGGGACGTGATGGTATCGCCGTTGCCAAGACCAACCAGGCCATTCTCATCGGTCACCACAACGAGAACCAGCAGGGCGGCAACGCAAACCAGTCGGTGCAGAAGCTGGCGGACTACCTGGTCGGTGTTAACTACTAAGTGTTGCGATTGCGGAAATGGCGCAGGGCAGGACGAAGAACGATCTCTAGGCGCCCCCTGAAGTTATACCGTGTGCGAGGCATGCTGGGCATCTCGCTCCTCCCACACACGACGAGGATTTGACATACGAATCGACGAATACTAGATTAGCAAGACTTACCAATGGCGGAATCTTTGCTTGGCCACGGCGACGTCCGAAAGAGACCCTGAAGCATGCATTCGTTCTTGAGCGGCCCAACGTCCAAATGAATGAGGTTCAAAGAGTAATTCCATGTGATAGTGCTTTCGTATAGTCGTTATCTTCGGCTTGGCTCTGTCGTAACACCTCTTCTTTACCCATCTTATCGAGTACATCTTCGCATATATTACATGCCTCTTGAGACCAATACACTCAACCCAACCTCATGAACCCAGTTGCGCCGTTATGTGGTATACAATCCGTCTATCCGCCGTCTCCATTCCGATTCTTGCGCCTAATGCCTCTTAAGGTACCGCAACATCCAGTTACAGCCTGTCCTGCAGTAAACTCTGGATTGGATTAGACAGGCAACTCGGCGTTCCGTCGACCAACTCCGGATCGGTCGACCGCCGCTCCAATATACGGCCCGATAACAGGAATATTCCGTGCGAATGCTGCGATGGTGCCAAGAAAGTCGCCAAACAAGACCATGATTCCGTAGAGCTCTACACAGAAACCGATGAGGGGCCACCTCAATAAAATCAGGGCCAGGCCGCCAAAGAAAGCCGCTGTTCCCTTAGCCTTCTGTTTCCGTGCAAAGAAGAGGAGAGTCTTTTGAGGTCCGATGATTATTGTCAGGCCTATGAGAAAGAGGATCTAAAGTTGTGTCGCGAGTGTCAGCTGGTCCTCGTGTCATCGCACCGTTTCAAAGGGGCATTCGTACGTTTCCCATTGCTAGCCTGCAAGTGACTGGTTAGCTTTCGTCATGAACTATCACGAAAGGGGAGCTTTGGGGAAAACAGAACGTACATGGCTCGGTCGAAGAAGAGCATAACTCCTCCAATGAGGAAGAAACCTCCTGTAGCGCGCAAACATCGGCGTCAGTTCCGATACCTGTCGCATCATGCGCCTAAGCTTTGGGCACGCGAGAACCTACCTCCAGAGCAGAAAATCACACCAATTTCTATAAAGCATGTCAGCAATTGTCGGTAATACGTAGCGGGGCTTCGACGGCCTTCTCGTGCGGTCGGCGTGGAGCTCCGGGGGTTAACGTACTTTGGGAATCGGACATCCACATCGACGCCATCTTGCACGGTTTCTGACAGTTGGGACGAAATCGAATTAAAGCGGGTTGACAGTGGCGTCTGTTCGGGACTTCGAGAAAATTGGTATTATAACCTGGTTGTTTTTGCGGTCTGATGCGTAGGTTGAACGTGGCTGAAAGGGGGGAATCTGTTGCTTCAATAGCTTGCTGTTGGTGGCAGCTGTTGCCTTTCTGTTTTAACAAAGAACAGATCGCCAGGGGGAAGCAGAGCAATGTTGCTGGCACGCGACAAGGGTATTGGCTGTCGCTACACTGCTGCCCGCGTTGTCACGGTATTTTGGGGGAGGTAGGACAGCCACTAACAATTAAGCTGGAGACGTTTGAACCAATGGTGGTGAGCTAAAGCTGCTTGAGTGGAGGCCGTGGATTCCCAGAGGCAGATTTAACTCACGTTAACTGGAAAAAATTCAGACGCTTCAACTTACAATCTCCTGTTCGTTCAATGGATTCTCAACAGCACTTGCTCGAATCGCCGACTGTCAATTCATGGTCTATACCATGACAGTGTCTCAATGTGCATCATTCTCGTAGCCTTGAGCGGTACATCAGGTACACAGAGCTTGAGCCAGGTCGAGAACGCCGATTGGTGCATGATGCCTGGCAAGGTCAGCCTGTGCTAACCAGAGCTTTTTCATCTATATTGTTTAGATTATCACGCATGGTAAGGGTTGTCATAACCTAAAGTCGAGTTGAATCAAACTCTATCACTGTCAAGACGACGTTTGTAGCGTTGAAGTTATGCCAGTGTCTGGCATGACAACATTCGGTAAGTAACAACACATTAGACAAACTGCATGCAGTTTCGCCGCGGCGGCTGTAGCTTCAAGCTATGGCAACTGAGTATCGTCTTCCATACGTTCTCGGTAATCTGTCGATTCACAGGCGGAGAACAATCCTGATCACGATTAAGCCGGAGTGTCATTTAGCACCCTATGCCGAGAGGCGCAGGGTTGTATAGTTGAGACTTGACTTTGTTGGTCGTACATATATCTGAGCTCTGAATACATTCCAAATTCCATTTGCACGCCTGTTCCTTTCCCTTTTCAATCCAGAACCATGATGCGATAACTCATTCAACGCCTTTCACCGTCACGCCGTCATCCAGTAGCTTTAGTAAACCATCCCAGGACCATCACCAAACTTGACTTCTTTATTTCAGTACAGTATGCGCGCCACGAGCCTCCAAGTACTGCTCCGCCGCGCCCTGTGGCAGAGTACGAATCAATCCAAACACCTCCTTGTCGTGATACCGCAACCTTGTCTTGGGATCGAGATACGGCGCAGGCAAGCCCGTGACATCACAGTATCGCTTCGTGTGCGCCAGTGAAGGTGCCGACTCGATGTTGGTGTAGGTAACACTCGGCGCTGATGCGCCACCGTTGGGCCGTAGGCTCTTCTCGAGGACTAGTTTCGAAAGACTACGCGATGCCTGTGCCAAGTTCGGGGGGAGACCCGACGTGGATGCCGCATCTTTGCCTCCGGCAGGCGTTGAGGTGCCGCTCGTGGAGAGGCCATCGTCCTGCTGGCCAGTAGCTGCGGGAGTGCCCGCACCGCTGTTGTCCTCTTGCTGCGGAGTCGCCATGGCCGAGGCCTCGCGACGTGATGCGTCGCCAAGGATGGTCTTGATATTCTTATTGCGGCGCTGGTTAGGGCGCCAGGACTGGTTGCGGAAGCTCTTGTGGATTGAGTGAATGTCGAGCTCGTCAAGGAGGGCTTGGTGGGCTATTTGCGCCTCTGTCTGTTCCTTTGGGGCAGCCATCTTGTAAATCTTGCGATTTGCTGGTTGTTGGGTGGTTTAACGCGGGTTTCGTGAGCATGACCGGCCAAACTAGAGACGAGTTGGATGCTGGTGCTCAGTGATCGAGGCAGTGGTCGGGGAGCTTATTTTGCCGGTACTTACCGCTTTCGGTGTGGTCGGTGTATTGGGGAAGGAACTTGGGTCCCACATCCCGTGGATTCCTCTTTGGAGTAAACAAACAGCCAGTATCGCAAGACGCATCAACAACCACAAAATGGTACGCCTAGTCAAGACGTCTAATCCATCGTTCTTTAGGGCTTTGGAACTGATTTTAATTATAGGAAAGCCCACACGAGCACCAGCAGAATCTTCTGCTATCTCGCATCATCACCAATGTTGTATGTTACACTCATCGAGACAGCATCATGGCACCGACTTACACGACGTATAGGAGAAACTCAACGAGGCTGTTATGGTCATGAACAGATCCTTACAGGTAGGCTTTTGATTTTGTATTTAGTCCGGACATGGCTGATTAAATTATCAGGAAATCAACATCCAGAACATGAACGTCGAGCTAGTTGCTCAAATGTTCAAGAACTACCAGTCCAATGTTCTATTTCATCTTGAGGGTAAGTTGCACGAACCGTTCGTTCAAACACAAAACTGACTGTGAGAAGCTACGGATAACTTGAAACCACCTTCTTGAGTTTACTGAAATTTAGTCTGTGTGGGCAAAGTTATCAATGAGCAATGAGACATGACACGCATGCGATTGTGGTGTAGGAAGGTCTTTAGAGGCTAATGTATATACCCCAATGAGAAGCTGCCAAAATCCCCGTAATTTGGGTAGCACATTTTTCTCGTATGAGCCTAATTACGTGAAATCGTTTCTAATTTGGCGGATTCAGCTTTTGTTTTGTAGGTGGTGAGGGATCGCTTACTGTCATTCTGAGTACCATACGGGAGACTACAGCGCGAGCGCTAGCATGATTGCGCTTGCAGCACTGTCCAGACCCACTAAATTTTACAGCCTCGTAGGTAGCCTCGCAACGCAGAGCATCGCGACTTCAACACCGCGATCTGAACAGATGCATTGAATAGGACGCACGTGACGTGAACCCTTTTTAAGTGCCCTCGGCGACTCTGACAATCGAACTCTACCTGCTTCGGCTCGACTCATAGTGTCCCCTGCTCAAACATGGTCGGTCGCATTGCGACAGCTTAAACCTCCCAAGAACCAACATCGCGATGGCGCCCTCAGCAACCGAGGAGCTTCCTCCTCTACCTGGACCTCCTGAGAGGACGTACCCGCCAGCGAAGATATTCCCGGTTAAAGAGTCAAAGTTTGAGAAACCGATTCCTGTACAGCACGATGGGCGAGAGAAAGCATTGGCGCAAGGTCCCGGAGGTGCGGCCATCGTTATTGACAATGGTTAGTTATCGAAGAATCGGAGCTATCGCAGATTCCATTTAGCTGATATCAATAGGCTCGTCGGCAGTCCGCGCAGGTTGGTCCTTTGAAGAAAAGCCACGATTGAACATTCCCCCGATCATGTCCAAGTATCGCGACCGAAAAGCCGGAAAGACCTATTCCTTTGCTGGCAGCGATTGCTACGCCGACACGACGGCGAGGAGCCACATTCGATACGCTTTTGAGCAGGGAACGGGAATAGTCAGTAATTGGGATGTCATGGAGCACGTGCTTGACTACATCTTTCTCAAGCTCGGCCTGAATGGCGAGGATTCGTCCATAGACATTCCTATCGTTATGACAGAAGCCGTCGCGAACCTGCCATATTCGCGGAAATGTAAGTTGTTTTCCCAAGGCTCACAAGACGGCACATCTGACACTCAACAGCAATGACCGAAATCGTTTTCGAATGTTACGGTGCGCCATCGCTGGCATACGGTATCGACTCCATGTTCTCATACAGACATAACAAAGGAAACACGGGCATCGTAGTCTCATCATCGTACACATCCACACACGTAATACCCGTCTACAACCACAAAGCCATGCTGAGCCAAGCCACGAGATTGAACTGGGGCGGTTGGCATGCGGCGGAGTACCTGCTAAAGCTGATCCGGCTTAAATACCCCTCCTTCACAGGGAAGCTTAACGTGTCGCAGGCGGAACATATGCTTCGCGACCATGCCTATGTTTCCACTGACTACGACAACGAGCTTCGAGGCTACCTTGACTGGACTGGGCTCGAAGACCGGGATATTGTTATTCAATATCCCTTCACCGAGGAAGTAGTCGTCCAAAAGACCGAGGAGGAGCTGGCTCGTATTGCTGAGCGTAAAAAGGAGAGCGGTAGACGTTTACAGGAACAAGCTGCGAAGATGAGGCTAGAAAAGCTCATGCGCAAGGAGAACGAGCTCGAGCACTACAAGAAACTGCAGGCCAAGATTGAGCAACAGACGAACAAGAAGGAAGTTCGGCGGCTCCTGGATAGTAACGACCTTAAGGATGAAAATGCTCTGGAGAAGGCCATAGCCGTTCTGGATAAGGCGGTCAAGAAGGCCCGTACGAAGGACGTCGGGGGAGACCCCGAGGAGGACCAGCAGGAGCCTGTGTTCGACCTGCTCGACGTCCCGGACGAGGAGTTGGACGACGCCGGTCTCAAAGCCAAACGTCAGCAGAAGCTCATGAAGTCTAACCATGACGCTCGCGCCCGCGCAAAGGCAGAGAAAGAAGCCGAAAAGGCCCGTATCGAGGAGGAGAAGCGCCTCGATCAAGAGCGCCGCGAGAATGATCTGGAAGGCTGGCTTGAAGAGAAGCGAGAGGCGCGCAACGTCACCCTCCAGAAGATGAAGGAGCGCGAGCGCCTCAAGCAGGACCTCGGCAACCGCAAGTCCCTTGCCTCGCAGATCCGCATGAAGAGTATCGCCAATCTTGCGTCGGACAACCCGACCAAGAAGCGTCGCCGCGGTGGTGACGATGACAACTTTGGTGCGAACGATGATGACTGGGGTGTGTACCGTCAGATCGTGGTCGGCGACAACAGTGACGATGAGCACGAGGAGGAGGACCTCAATGCCAACCTCAAGGCTTACGAGCAGGACCTTCTTCGCTACGACCCTGACTTCACGTATGAGCACACACACGAGGCTCAGACAGACTGGTCAAAGTCTATGCTGCACGCCTTCGCCCGTGGTCCCCGCCCCTTTGACGCCGGCTCCCAGGCCGAGCTGAACCAGATCCACCTTAACGTTGAGCGCATTCGCGTGCCTGAGGTCGTTTTCCAGCCCGCTATCGCTGGAGTGGACCAGTCAGGTCTCGTCGAGATTATCGGTGACATCCTCAACCAGCGTCTCAGCAACGTACCCAACCGCGAGGACTTCTTGCGTGACGTCTTCCTCACGGGAGGCAATACACTCTTCCAGGGCTTCGACGACCGCCTGCGTGAAGGTCTGAGGCCGCTGCTCCCCGCCGATTCGCCCCTAACCATCCGCCGCGCCCAAGATGCTCTGCTGGACGCATGGAAGGGCGCCGCAGGTTGGGCAGGCTCAGCCGCCTGGAAAGCTGCCACCATCACGCGCGAGGAGTACCAGGAGAAGGGATCAGAGTATATCAAGGTGAGTCTTTCACTCATGGCAACAATTACATGACATCATTTAACCCCCCTCTTATGTGCTATGCTGAACCCACGTCACACACACATCGAAAAAAAAAAACTGACAGTTTTACCGTAGGAGCACGATCTTGGCAACACTTCATATGTATGATTATTCAACTGAGCGCTTTTGCTGTTGTGCTGTACCCGGGGGAATATGGATAAGGGAAGTCGGGGAAAATGGTGGCAAGTCTTTCCGTAGTCATTTTCCTAGTGCTTTTTTTTTTTTTTCGCCCTTTCCCAAAATCAAAATGAAAAGCCAGCAATGGCAATTTACGTGGTATTGTACGGCTACCGTTTTGCAAACGTTGATGTGAAGCCTTTGGCGGAGGTAATCATGAGGATACGAATGCAAAGTGGTTCAGCCGAAAGACTATGCTAGCAGTACCTTGGATGTATGCACCCAACTGGCATGGATTTCTTCCTCCCCGATACACACATCACATACAGGTGGAAATAACCGAATACCGAATGCCCAAAATAAAATAAACAACACCGCCGCGCGGTTTCTGTGACTTCCTCCCACACACACACACACACACACACACACACACACAAACACACACATGCTCTACCTCCTCTCTGAATGTGTGTTTCTCCATCGCGCGCTCATTTCATACTCGCAACAACATCAACTTCTCTTTTGGTGAGCAGCTAAAGCCCGAAGCCGTAGCAGAAAGACCTGAGTAAGGTAGCTAGAAAAATTCATGCCGGTAACGCCTGCCCCCTGGTAATATCTTGATAAATCATTGTACCGCAAACGCCCGCGACGTGAAAACCATCAAGATTTAAAACGTGACGCGCCACTGCCTCTACGAGGACGCACATCACATGGACGCAGTCGGCGCGGCGGAAAGTCCGTCAGGCTGCAGCTGGCTGTCAATCTCCTCGCCGTCGCGACGCGTTTCGTCTTTGTCCTGGTCGGACTGGAAGCCCTTGTCCGTGAATTGTTGCCGGCCGGCAAGCTGTTCCTGGGCAGCCAAGCCAGCAACTGCCTGTGCAACAGCTTCGAGCGGCGTACCGGCGGCCGGATTGCTGGGCGCTGTCTCGGGAGCGCTCGTGGGAGCAGAAGGAGCCGGCATAGGGGGCTGCTGAAGGTTAACGTTGGGAGGGGGCTGAGGAATCTCGCCCTGAGCATCCAAAAGTCGCGACTGGAGGTGGATAACATATTCGCGCAGAGCGTAATTCTCCGACTGCATGGCCTTGTAGCTTTGTTCCATCTCCATGTAGTCCCGAACCTGCTGCTCCAACTTCTTGATGTAGTGTTCCTTTCGCTGTCGGAAGGCTCTCTGTGAAGACAAGGTATTAGCTCAGCTGTCTTCTCCACGATGACTGACAAGGGAATCAATGGGGCGGACGCGTCGGTGCGGCTGTTCGGTTGCATCAAACGGATTACAGTCAGACGGCATGACCACCCAGGGAGGGAGCAAAGTGCCGTCAGCAGCGCAACAGCTTTCTTTGCGACATGTGCCATGCAGTCACGCGCCCATCGATCCAGTGCAGCCTGTTTGTAATTGGGTATCGTTTACCTGGGCAGCTCGATTCTGCGCTGCGCGCTTCGACTGTGAGAGTTCGCGCTTCGCCTTACGACCCTCAGCTCCCGCATCGTCCAGTGCCATAGCTGTCGAAGAAGGATGGGTTGGGGGAGGGGCAGTTGAGGGACCAGCAGTGGTCGCGGGAGGTGCGGTTTGCTGAGGCGGGGGGGGCACGCCAGCGGGCATCATATTCACGGCTGGCGCGTGGGTGCTGCGAGCGCGAAGATCGGGGTGGATATGCGCTTCAAGGTCGGTGTTGTTGTTGTTGTTGTTAACAATCGGCGGCAAGACGTCAGTGGGTGGCGAGTTCGTGCCGTTACTATAGCCATGAGCAGGCGACGCGCTTGATGGTTTAGAAGCTTGTGGACGAGCTCCACGAGAGGCAGCGGTCGCGTTGTCAGAAGAGCTAGGTGCGGTATGCTTGCTTAGTAGCTCAAGCTGCGCTCGCAAGTGGGCGTCTGTGGAGAGCACATATCATGTCAGCAAGAGGTGTCAAAGCTCTCAGCAAAGCGAAGATCAGTCGTAAACGGGTGATGGAGCAAGTGGCAGCCGAGGTTGTTCTTGGCCTAAGACAGTAATGCGGATTACAAGTTGATGAAGGAGTTGGGAAAGCGAAAAATGTTCCTGAGGGACAGTGGCATATGAGAGATACTTCGTGAGGCGAGTGCGAAGGTTGGGAGAATGCAAGCAACCAGCCGTAGCAGCCGCAACTCATTCCCTTAGCATTTCCCGTCCTTTTCTCGAAATAAACTCCGCAAAAGGCCAATGCAGCACTGGCTCAGCCGAAGCAACTGCCCGTTCAAGGGAATATCAAATGATAATAGGAGAGCTGCTAGAGATGGGAAATGAGGATAGGGACGGGGGTAGAGGTGATTACATATTACTGTTGGGCGAGGGAGGTAAGGAGAGAGGGAAAGGGCAACCTCTTTAAGGACGTGACAGGTATCGCTGATTGTAACGTAGTTTAAAGTGAAAATGAAAAAAGACTTCGTCTCACTTGGAGCATAGATCGGAGACAGGGACAATGGATGAGGTAAGGCGACCGATGAGCCAAGGTCAAGTCGGGGAGTAAGAGAAAAGATGAGAGGGCGCGACAGAGAACGAGGGCTGAGGGGTGGACGTGACGGGATCGACGGAAATTGAGAGAGCGCCAACTGACCGGACAAGACGGGGGCTTTTGGGAAGGGGATGATGGGATATGGTAATGGGAATCAGAATGCAGAGAAAAGGGAATCAAGAAAGGTAGGCCACTACTTACCTGTATTAGTGGTGGTATTCGCAGACGCAGAGGGCGAGGGTGAGGCGCTCTGCATCTTCAAGCTCCGGTTCTGACTCAGCATGAAGTGGACGGAGGATTGATTACTACAGGCACCCGGCAGAACTTATAAAGAGGGCCCGACGATGAGACTGGATGAGACCGGCGACCGATGCGGCAGTTCAGCGAATGTTTAGGTAATCGTCTGCGACCTTAGCGCGTCGTAGAGGAGGGGAACCTGACGGGGGGTGTGGGTAGTTGTGGTATCGTTGGACGCGGTAACGTAAGGTGAGGCAGGGAATGTATCCGTAAAGCGGGAAAAGTATCGGAAGGTACCTATTATGGTGAGGTAAGAACCAAGGCAGAATGGGTTGAGGGCAAAGAAGAGGCGAGGTAAGGTAGCGTGTGGTAGCGTGGCTTGGACCTTTTCTTGATCCGCGACAGCATGCGATGTGCGTCCCGTCCCTCTTTTTTCTTTTTTTTGTCCCTCTCACTCCCGTCCTTTTTTTTTTTTTTCTTGTTAACCCTTCGCCAGGTGGGACCAGGTGTAAGTAAACAGCTCTGAGCTTTGACTGGAGCTTGATGGAGGGTAGGAGAGGGGAAACCGACGAGTGGCTTGGGGAGTATTTTGACGCGTCGAGTGTGTCGGGTTGGCCTGTTTTTGTTCACCTAGTACAGTCAGGATATTTGTGATGGATGGGGGTGGTTGATTGAGATTCCGGGGGTTCTTTTCCAGTGCAAAAAATTGAATGGCTGGGACAGCAGGATTGATTAATTGGATTCTGAGGAAGACGCGACGAGACAAGGAAGAATCTCGGTAGGGCGGGTGCTTGTAACAGGTACCTCAGCCCAAATGGTACTCCTGTGTGCTATTCCGAGGCAGATGGAGGTACCTCGACGAATGGAAAGTACTCCTGGTGCCGACGGGGCAGCGCGCATGTCAGAGAGGTCAGGCAAAGAGTGGCGTGTGGGTGGCAGGTCAGGGAAAGGTAAACGAGATTCCCTCTTCCGGTCTCTGGAATTGTCATGCTCGACCAAGCGACTTCCGATATTCCAATTAACTAGCCGGTGCATAAGTAATAGTAATCACGGTCTAGGATTCCGTTAACACTTTTTTGGCAGCTAGGGATTCTCTCTACAAACGAGGCAGAACTCTTGAGCAGAGGAAATAGATGAAGACCTCCAAAATAGAAAAAGAAGCACGGCCGGCATTAGCCTCGTTACCCTATATCTTTAGAAGAATTAAAATAAAGCACTCATCCCGGTCTCTACTCTCACATCTATAAAAGTCTCAGCTGTATATAAGCTGAGTTGTTCCAAAAGCTGAAATCAAGCGTCAGGCTCTATTCGTCACGTGTGCAGATACCGCGCAGTACTTCTGACGCTGTGTCGCCTTGGGCGCTCCCTTGGCTGTCGGAGGAGCTGTTGTGTCAGGCAGCACAGCTAGGCCACGTGATTGAGGTTGTTTCATTTGGGCCGACGCGCTGTCGACTTGTGTAAATTGGTCCCTCGCAATCGCATTGCTGCTGACTGGCAAGGCCGCCATCGACAGAGGGCAGTGGCCGGCGAATCTGTTGATGGTTCACCGACGTACCCCGTACGGTACCTTGATACGAAGTTGTACCTCGCGTTCCACAGTCGGGGCATGACAGTCAGCAAAACCTGGTTTGTCAGCACAGGCCTGGGCGGCGTAAAGAGCGAGCGAATAGGATCCCTTGGCTAGATTTCGTCTGGTACGACAAGGTGACGGCATTGGACGCGAATCCAAAGAAAACGATTAAGTGGGGAAAATTACCTCACACGAGGTGTCCCCACAGGGGCCAACCCAGCACTACCTGCCTGCGTCGAGACAATCTGGAAGGCAAGGCGACTGGAGGAGGCGGAGATATCGAAAGATCCGACGGGGAGAGAAACGCTAGGTCCTTCCAGGGCAGAGAGGCAAGGCAGCGGCACCCGATGATGCCCGGGCCGGGACAGAGCCTGAGAAATGGAAACCAGGCAAACAGGGCAGGTGCAGAGGTACCCTTGTACCCAACTCTGAAGCAATTTACCGAAGCCTCACCGAGGATTTTCCTATTTGGAAAAGAAGCGGCCATCAGCGCCATTGCACTGGGGGTTGGCTCTCGCCTTCTCCGCTATCTTAATCCCTCTCCCTTCAATATTACAGATACTTTCAGAAAAAAGCCGCACCTGCAGACGAGAATGGATGTCTCTCGGGCAACGGGCACCGCAGCTTCCGGGGCTTGGCTTATATAAGCCGATGGCTTGGAGTACCTGCATCCACCACGGTGCACCTAGTGGAGTCAAACCCGGCACTGAGCACCCTCACGTCTGCGGGCGGTTTCTGGCCAATGGCATGTTATTGACTCGATTACGAGATCATGCACAGCTGAGGTCCTCGAATACCCCATACCTTTGAACATCTGCTAGGCATAAGTCACCGATCAATCGATGAGGAGTTCGCCTGTCCACATTTCGACCTAACAGAAAGTGGAGGAAATGTATGTGTTGTAAGTGGTGCTGATGGTTCTCAAGTTCGGTCTTGCTCGCACAGCTCTCAAGGACGACATTGGTATCCTCCTAATAGCTTATCGAGGCGTGTGACACGAATCTTATTCATGGATCCTTCACCCGTCCTGTACTCAGTAAGTCAAGACGACAAAAGATGCAAAGAAGTCCAACGACCGCGTTGATGGCGAGGCAGGCCACGGATATTATTTTGGATGCAGACTCTTCAGTCAACAACTCCAATGGAATCAACGCCCAATATTAGGTAATGATGTTTGCCTATCATTTTTCCATCTTTGGAAGTATGTCTCGCCTGTCGAATTTCGGAGAGTTTGTTTAGGCTATCTTCTAATGCAGGCTTTCTCCGACACCCATGACCGTGTGTCCCTTCGTTGCCTGCCTCGAGCTCATAGCCGCTTTCCCTGTGAGGCCAACCTGGTACCATGCTAAAACATGCACACTTGCTATCCAAGCCATGTATGGTAACGATCTTTCCAAGCTATCAAACTGTCGAATGTGGAAAGTGCCAAACTTTGCTTGCTTATCAACCGCCGGCGCTATTCCTGCGTGCTTTTGGACGCCTCTGCCACCACTTTCGACGCAGCACTGGGGCACCAATCCTTGCTTCCAATCCTCAAGCAAAAATAGTACACGCCATGGTTTTCTTCGTGTTGTGGGAGAAATCCCCGTCGAACGGAACAGAACGACCTGCTTACCATCGAATAGCTCAGCATGCTAGCTTCGTCTGTACGGAAAGGCGTACTGGACTAGAGCTAATAACACCTGGGCCTGTCGTTGACAGCTCGCTAATGCATCTATATGGCCATTCCATATTATTGGACATGCAGTGTGCACAGTCAGCGTTGCGGCTACTGGCCAGCCCCGCTCCGGGGAACTGCATCGGGGAAGGACCTTGTCCAACGTTAACTGTACCGAGATTCGAGAAGGGGTTGGCGCTGTTTTGGTGGCTTCAGGAGTTCCGCAGACCATTGCTCAAAGAGTTGAGTTGCGTCAAGCCGTGGCCCGCACATCCAGATCTCCTGGCGGCTCAAGTGATGGCTCGCAGAAAACGCGGACAATTTGGCATAATGTCTAAATGGCCGCTGAAGCCCGGCGCTGACTGAGTGTACGCGGACTACCGCTTTGTGCTATTGATAGAATTCTTTGGCCATATATTCTTTTCTACGCTCTTAGCACCCGATTACCCGGTCAAACATCCAAACACATACACCTTGGAGGGAAACTGCTACCAGAAACTTCAAGGGGACTTGAACAACCGACCCTCTTTCCAGACGTGAGTAATGTTGTCCTGCTTTGTAAGGATTTCAATATCCTCGAGTGGATTCTTTGCCACGGCGATCAAATCCGCATCGTACCCTTCCTTGAGCTGGCCGCTGAGAGGCGCCATCCCGCCGAGAGTCTCGGGAGCATTAGCCGTGCTGGCTTCGATAGCCTGCAGCGGCGTCATACCATTCTTCACTGCCCAGTACAGCTCTCTAGCATTCGTTCCATGGGCTAACTCTTTGGTGCGGTCGCTGCTGGCCGTATCGGTTCCCAGCGCAATCTTGACGCCTCTTTTGATAGCCAGCTGGTACGACTCCGAAGCTTTCTGAACCAGTCCTTCGATCTTGCGTGCTATCGGTGGTGGCAGCTGAGAGGTATCCTTGCTGACTGTGTTGACAATATGTTGGGTAGGTACAAAGATGGCACCTTTTTCCAGCATTATATCGGCAACCTCGTCATCCAGGTACATTCCATGTTCGATAGTCTTGACACCAGCCCTCAAGGCGGCCAGAATGCCTGCTTTACCGATGGCATGAGCTGCAACAGATCTTCGACTACGTGCGGCCTCATCTACGATGGCCTTGAGTTCTTCGTCCGAGAATTGTCTATCCTCTGGATCATCCAGTAAACTCAAGACTCCGCCACTTGAGCAGACCTTGATGCAACTCGCGCCTCGACGGACAAGCAATCTTACTTGTCTAATACACTCATCTGGGCCGTCAGCAATGGAGCAGGGCCCGCCACACTTGGCAAAGTTCAGAACCGTTTCGATAGGAAACGCGTGCTCGTCGCCATGTCCGCCGCTGATCGACATGGCGGCAATGGAGGAGTACACATTCGGCCCGAGAAGACGACCCTTTTTGATGCCCGGAACCAAGTCGCCAGCATAGCCACCGAGCTCACGTATCGAGGTATAACCAGCCATCAGTGTCCTTTCGAGATCGTCGACGGTGATGGCACCAACAAGAGCGTTGGAGCCGGGCAGGAAGTTGAAAAGGCCTCCCGAGATGCTAGTGGCAATATCCATACCAACAAAATGCACGTGTACGTCCCAGAGGCCCGGCATAATGACGGGGACGTGTACAGCTTCGATTGAACGATACTTCTCTGGCAACTCCTTGCTTAACCCGACAAAAGCAATCTTGTCGTTCTCAACGGCGACAACAGCGTTCTTAAGCGGATCACCGCGACCGGGAATTAGTAGATCGGCTGAAATGACGGTAACGTGCTGTTTCATGATTGCATCCGAGTTCTGGGAAGACGACAATGCCTGAGCCTGGCTGACAGTCATGGTTGGTGCACTAAGTTGGGCTGTTGGCTGCGATGTTGCCTCGGCTGGCGAAGACCGGTAAGGGACACGCATCGTTTTATTCTCAATCTCCAGTCGCGTACAGCCGGTCCGATGTCTTGTGAGTTTGTGTTTTTCAGCTCAAATGCCTTCTGACCGGCAGTTATTGACTTTGATCAGCGGCAACTGCGACGAGAGCTCAGACGAACTTTGATATTACCTCACGTACTACGTAGAGCGGTGTGAAAAGGCTAGATAATACATAGCTAAAATCAACTTTCTGAAAGCTTGCTAACCCCTCAGTCAACCTCATAGCTACGCGCGGGGTATCTGATGACGCTGACCACCCAATGGATGGCCGGGAAGAAGGATTCCTCACACATGAGCGTATCCTTCCCAATGATATGATGCCGCTTGAAGGGGCTTGGGTGCTGGTTCGCAAATTCACCTTCCGTAATTAGGCAAGAGCTTAAAGTGGGAACAATGCTGGTTCTTGCATACCTTAGCTTAAGGTACTTTGAGACGAGACGTGACATCAAGCTCACCTCAAATTCTTACCATCAAAACAAGGTGGCGTTATCGGTTGCTGCCTTCGAACATATTGCCGGTTGGGCACTTTGACAATAAGCCAGTCTGCCATGGCATGCCACGAGCTCCTGGCTCCATGAACAGAATAGGTGGTCGTGACAGGGCGAGTTGTCCCTAGCTCTGAGGTGTAAGCCTCTTGCTCTGGCTAGGACCACGCGCACAGCTACTGTAACTGTAGAAGCCCGGAAGATCTAATTTCTGGGAATTTTCAATTCCAAGACCCACTTCGAATTTATCTTTATATGAATTGTCCATTGGCTCAACGGCTAAGCTATTGTTCAGTAAGATCGAGGAGGTGCTGGGTGAGATAGATATGTTAGCGAAGAACCTCATCACACCCCGGTCTCTCCACCTAAGCTGAGGCCACGAGGAAACAGACAGGGGTACACCCCTAACACCACTGCCGCCTGCCTTCCCTCAACCGCAAAATCGGGTGCGGCTCGAACTGGTGAAAGACTTACATCACCTCGCTTCATCATCACCTACGCACCCTCACCTCACTTCCAACGCTCACCTCTCACACTTTCTCACCGGCAATGAGCGCCCCCACTCTCCTACGCCATCTTGCAGCAGCAGCACCACCACGATCATTCTCTGCAGCCTCTCAGTTCCTCAAGGCAGCTTCATCTCCGGCACGGCAGACTGCACGCTTCAACATGTCTACCACGACAGGTGCGCGGCAACAGGCCCGGTTCAGCCAGGGCTCGGATGAAACGTCACTATCTTCGACGCTAGAGACGCTTCTAAGTCAGGGTCGGTGGGCGCTCGTCAACGACGGCGAGGCCGTGGAACGTAGCTTCAAGTTTAAGAACTTTGCAAAGACTTGGGTGCGTGCGACTGCTTTGAATCCCGATCGCATTCTCAAGCCCGTCACAAAAAATTGCAATAGGAAGGGGGGGGTTTTAGATGCTAATGGCATGAAATACAGGACTTTATGACGGCAGTAAGCCTGCAGTGCAAAACGCACAACCACCACCCTGAGTGGTCTAACGTATGAGCCGCGCCTAAACTGAGAGTGAGACCGGTCTGGAGCTGACCACAGACAGGTCTACAACACAACCTTTATCCGTTGGACGACTCACAACCCCAAAGGTTTGTCAGGCAAGGACCTCAAGCTCGCCATGATCTGCGATGCGCTCGCAAAAGACTTTGGCGAGGTCGAGGCACCGCCGTCGCAGTCACAGCCGGCACCCGAAGAGCCCGCTAGCTGCGGTATCCGAGGCTTGGCCGATAGAGCAGCTGGCACAGCAGGAGACTGTTGCACGCCGAAGCCCAAGAACTGATTTGTGTAACCTGCACACCATCAACTACGGAACTATGCGGCAGTGGGGGGTACCGCTATTCATATGAGGGTGGTGGAGGCTTGAGATGGACGGTGCCGGGTAATGTGGCTGGCTCAATTGACATTGACACGCAGTCACAGAATAAGCTTCCGGCAGCCGAGACGCTGGCCCGGTCCGGCCGAGTGAGTGTACAATACTGTATCAAATGACTTCCATCATATGAGGAAAAGCTATGAACGATTGTTGTGCTACAAGATTAAGTACGTTACTACAATGCCAGTTTTCGGGTGGCCATCCCAATATATATGTACGTCAGAAATCGCCTCGGCGTTTTGCACATCAATCAGTTCCCTCTTCGAACGCCGCCCCAATAATGATTAACGTGACTACGTGACCTCGATCTCGGGCCATTTCATTCGCTTCCTTGCGGCTTCGTCTCTGCCGCGTCTATAATTCGTAATCAAAGGATACCCAACCGGTATCCAGAAACGTGCCGCGCAATGCTCGTGACCGCCCCAATCTCCTGGCGCGTCCGTCACTGACCCGGTCGTCCTTCGCCCAAAGTCTCTCTCAACGTCATGACCAAGTACAATTTACTGAGCCTTCTGGGCCTTCAATGCCTTAAGCTTACGCTCACGGCGCTTCTTGTGAGCCTCAACGCCGGCCTCGGTGTCAAGGCAGTAGTCCCACCAGCGGAAGCTGGAGGCGTAGTTGCCAATGAACTTCTCGTGGTGGAGATCGTGGTGGTCGGCGCCAGCCCAGAACGGCAGGAAGTGGCGCAAGCTCCAGGGGAAGTCGTAGCCGCTGTGGGCATCGATGGCCTGGAAGAGACGCAGGACGATCCAGGCGTACATAGTCAGAAGATGAAGATCGCCAGTAATGGAAACCCAGAAGATGGGAGAGCCGACAATGCCGATACCCAGCAGCATAACCTCAATGGGCGAGGCGTACTCAGCGGCGAGGCCGAAGGGGGCAGAGTAGTAGTGGTGAAGCTTGTGAATGGCCTTGTAGAGAGGGCCGTAGTGCAGAGCGCGGTGGAACCAGTAGTGCCAGGCATCCTCCATGACGAAGAAGATAGAAATTTGCATGGCCATCTTCCAGAGAGGAGGGAAAGGGACGCCGTACTGCATGCCGCACCAAGTGGCCAAGGGGTGGAATAGCCAGATCTGGGGGAGTTCGACGGTGAAGTGGCTGATGAGGACGACGACGGCGCAGTCCCATTGCTCCTTGAGTGTCGGCATTTTTTGCTATCGACAGTGTTAGATGTATGTGCGTATATCGCAAGTGATGAAGCGGGAGGCTTACAGGCTGAATCTTGTACTTGTGGAACCAGGGGATGAGGTCGAAGATGATGAAAGGCAGACTGCGACCGAAGTAGACGGCCTCGTGCATGACGAAGCTCATGATACCGGTAGCGAGGGTGTCGTTCTGCATCCAGAGATACCAAGCCTGCAGAAGGAAGCGTGTTAGTCGCGTTGAGTAAGGATAGGAACGGATTGGAGGGGACATACGGCCCAGAGGCGCTCAAAGTAGTTGAGCTGAACATTGTACTTGGAGACCTCCTCAAAGACACTGAAGTAAGGCTGAGTATGGTTGAAGGCCGTGTTGATAACGGTCGAGTTCCTAAATCAGAGACATGTTAGTGAATTTGACTCTTGACATGTTCTCTGGATAAGGGGGGCGTCGAAGGATGTGACGCGGTCTTAGGAGAACTCACACAAAAGCGGCCATGATGGCGGGGAGCGCAGGCTTGCGACTTTTGCTTTAGAAGAACAGAAAATTACCAGGACCGTATACGGGAAAAAAGGGAGACAGATGGGAAACCCAAGTCTGTGTTGAAGAATGGACGAAAGAAAGCGGTCTCCTTCAACGATACGCCGAGGCGAGGTCAAGCGGTAATGGGGGAAAAAAGACAGCGTGCAGCGAAGGCAAAGGGTCCTGGACCGGGTCTTGTTGAGGTTTTATCCATGGATCATTTCGGTTGACGGGGAAAGGAAATGGCAAGCACCAGAAAAATGCATGCCTTAGCTCGGTTTGTGCTCATTGCTATGAAAACGCCCCTGTGCATCTCTGGATGGGTTTCTGATGAAGTAGCCAATGGCGTATTGCGCCTGGACATGAGCCCATGCACATCGTGGGTCCTTCCGTCTTCCGTGACGGATCCAGCCAGTCAGAGGTCAGCTGGCCCTTGCGACTGGGTCGGGCGGTGTAGGAGCTTCGGGAGGCGAAAGGTGTGCTAATCAGTGGGGTGAAAGGGGGAAGTAGGGAGGAAGAGGCCGCTGAAGTACTGAAGCAGAAGCCATTAGGCGCAAACACCACGGTGCGCACGGGGCATGGAGCGTGGGACAGAGCTCCCTTCTTTGTCTGTGTCAATCATGTCTCTGGACGAACGTTGATGGCAGTAGCGGTTGTCTAGCGTAACTAATGATGAAAAAGGATAGAAGGCCAACTGAAGCTCACCAGGCCTCTTGTCAGCACTCAATTGATGACTTGGGTCGGATACGGATACGGATAACCATAACATACACTACACAGTAGGTGGCAGAACTGTGAAAAGGGGAGGACCAGGGAAGGAATTGTTGGTGTCCACTGTGCCCCATTGGCAGACAACGGGATGTTAGGATAGCCCTATCTTATCGGTCTGCATGGGGATGCCCTTTCTGAGGTGGTGACCTTTGCACCTCGATCATTCGTTGCAACGCCTCTCTCAGTGTGCGTAAACGATGCGCTAACTCAACTGGATCCTTCCATTGGCGTTGGGTTAGGTGAACCACACAGCAAAGGTACGTACTGCCTCTCTCAATCCGAATACGAAACAGGAGGGGTACGCGTTGAGTGTCGCACGTCCCAGGCTTTTAACGCTGCCTTACCTACTATGTACCTGTCTGTCTAGTCACTGTCATCACTCCCGGACATGGTACTAAAAGAGCCTCACAAGGCGACAAGCCATCCCACAGCCATACTCAATCCCCCCCAAGCTTCATCTGCTACATCAGATTGCCGATTTAAGATCCAGCTGACCTCTGCCGCGCCGCCTTCGTGCACCTGTCAGAAGGCCCGGTATATCCACTGCTTGGCTGTTGCCGCTGCCACTCTTGGCCACAAGTGCTGGACGCGGACATGGGCAGGCATGGGTAATACGTTGAAATGGCGTGTTCCGGTTACCTCTGTTCCGCTGCGGCGGCCCCAGGCTGCCGGGATGAGAGGTCACTTGGTGGTGTGCTTCTCGGACTGGAAGTTCCTATGTATCCGGATTCTAAACTTATTATAGCCGTTACCCAGGTTTTTGTCCATCCTCACGATTCGCCGGCAGGGACTTTCGAGGCTCTCCCAACTTCGTGATGTGCACCCACACATTATTTTTGTTGGTGTTTCCTGTGCATGTGTGAGCCGTCGAAGCATAAAATCAAATGACTGGCTTCCAGCCGCAATATATTTCTCTCTCCTAGAGTTCGGTAAAAGGCTGGAACCGTGACAACGCCTCTCTAGTCCTCTAAGACTTTTGTTATGCCCCGATGTCATTTTGAACAACAACAGCGCGAGTGCATCACTGTCCCAGCTGTCTTGCACTCTAATTGGCCGTTGACCACAGCTTTCCCAACAGTCCCTCTGGCGGTCTGGCTCCGTCAGTGGCGCCAGCTCACACTGCTGACTAAGGTTGTTCAGGCATCCACACCGTCATTCCACTCCCGCTCACACTCTCCAGGCCCCAGACCTTTGTAAAAGTGTTGCCCGGGGCAGTCGCTTACCGGATGACGTCTGGTTTAAACTTCTACTCGTTTCCGTTGAATCCAACCTCACGCGACTGCAATCTTCATAGCCTCGAGCAGGTCAAGGACCGACTCATGAATGTGGAGGAGGAGCGTTCTCTAAGTGAGAAGCAATAATGTCTGTTGTGGCCGAGTCAGTCTCCCGTCCCATCTTTTCCTTCCGTTCCCTTTCCCCCGTCGTCCCAAACAAAAACATTCGGCTGACATCAGGCTTCCCCTGCACGCAGCCAAGTCCGTCGCTTAGACGCACAGCTTGACCGGATCCCTTTGGGACTGAGCATCTCCCAAGATAATGGTGAGCTTACCGCTGAAGAGCATGGTATCTTCAATTCCACCACCGCAGACGCTCTTTCGTCGCCAAGGGTTGATGAGCTGCTACGTATCGTGAGAGCCTTGTCTACCACCTCGTCATCGCTTTCTTTGCTTCCCTCACAGAAGATTCGCTCCCTTCTGCATCAGTCAAAACTGGCAGAATGGGATTTCCAGGCTGAATTCAATGAGGGGGAAGGGCGAAATCACTATCAGTCAGAGATCGAGTGGCTACTTGTCAGCAAGGCCACCGTGCAAACTTATGGAGTCATCCTCAACACCCTCCTGGACCAGATTATTCCTTTGAGTGATGATATCTGGTACTGGGATGAGGTTCTGAGCTCCTATACTTATAGCAGTCTTTACACCATTCAGACCTCGCCGTTACGCCTCTGGGCTCTGTCCAAGGATGTATATCATGAAAGCAAGCATCGTATTCAACACCTTAGCCATGCGCCCGGTGAGTTCGTTGAGTCCACAAGGATGGGCTTGTCGCAGCAATGGCGGCAATTTTACGGTATCGTGCGAGACAGCATTCGGGACTCTTCGATCACGACTCTTCAGCGCCGAGTTCTTTCACCCGTTGCTCTCAGCCGGGGCGAGGCCAGGCGAAAGCTAGCCCACCTCAAACGACTACGAGAAATGACGGCGAGCGGCCTGGGAGTTCTTGTTGACGAAGGGTTGACTTTTGGAGTGGACGATGATGACGACAAGAGCGAGGCTGGTGTTAGCAGCCATGACTGGAAAGGTGTGGTGGAGAGGAGTGTGGCTCTCATGGACATGGTTCTCAAGGATGTCCTTACACTCGAGTCGGGTGTCGCTGAATTTGAGGACAAAGTGTTTGCTGGTGTTGAAGAGGACCCGGAGCTGTCTATTCACATTGAGGACGCCAACGCTCTGGAGAAGCCTTCTGTGCTTGCAAGACGTCTTTTGAACATTTTGGATTCCGGCCTTCCTAGCCATGTTGTCGCTGCGCAGATGCTCGTCCGTGAAAACGGTCGCCCGCCGTGGCTGATACGATACTGGCTTCCCGCAGCGGCAGTTCTGCTGTCATCAACAACTATTCTTCGACTTCTTGCTAACAGGCGTGCCGAGATCATCAGCTGGGTTCGGGATATCGGAGCTACGGTAAGGGATTTTTGGTTTAATTGGGTTGTCGAGCCCACACGCAAGATTGTTGGAACCATCAGGCACGACTCTAACAGCGAAATCGCCATCATGAGCCGAGACAGCCTGAAGGCTGACCGTGAGAGCTTGGAACGGATGGTTGTGGACTTCGCTCTGGATAAGCCTCATTTTGCGGGAGACGGTTCTTCACTTACGGATGCCCAAATTGCTGAAATCAGGACGAAGGTTAGTGAGGGAGACGTCACACCGGTCCTGCGCGCCTACGAAAAGGATTTGAGAAGCCCCTTTGTTGGCGCGGTCAAGGGCGACCTCGTTCGATCTCTCCTGATCCAGGTGCAGAAGACCAAGGTCGATTTGGAGGTGGCCATCAGCGGCATCGATTCTCTGCTGAAAAGCCAGGAACTTGTGTTCGGTTTTGTTGGATTGACTCCTGGCGTTCTGGTGTCAATCGGCATCGTGCAGTACCTTCGCGGCATCTTTGGCGCCCGCAAGGGAGCCCGGAGCAGCCGCAAAGCTGGCCAGAGCATCAGAGTGCTGCGCAACATTGACCGCATCTTCTCGGAAGCGACGCCATCGCAGAACAACCTGCTCTCGTATAAGGACCACGGTCTTCTGCTGTGCGAGGTGCACGTGTTACGCAACCTGATGCAGAAAGCGCTCCCTCGCAGTAGGCAGCGAGAGTTCCTAGAGGATCTGGACGACCTCGCCAACTTGAAGGGCATCCAGGTACAGGTCAGAGCATTGGATCGCATCCGCTGGGCATATGCACGGTGGTTGCAGTAAAGAGCACGATGGCATAAGAGCTTTTAATGATTCGCATGGATACATGGTCTTACGGGTTTCAGCATTCAGGTCACTACAGCACAGCGGATATGCCTTTTAGTTGATTTTGTACCATATCTGTACACTCACTAGAGGCATTATGAATTGTCAAGGGAGCATTGCAAACTGGTACCGGAGCTTAGCAGGCGGCATTGTTACTTAGGAAGGCGGTCAAACGAAAAGTTGTCTTGTTGTGCAATTGAACATCAATACTCATCGACTACACAGTAAAACAGGGTGTGCAAGTGAGTTACGGGAAAACCACGGCAGATTGCCAAGATATGATGATATAGTGGCAGCGACGGTATGAGAGGCCGGCTCCACCCCCTTGTGACCGTCGAATTGCCCATAATGAGGGGACCCGTGACCAAAGTCTAGACCTGGACCCTTAGGCACAACAGTGCGATGACGTTGATGTGGCTTTGCAGTTCCCTGTAAGCCCGGAGGCGGGAGACTGAGCACACTCAACTGATGAGGTGATGGGGGCGGACAACGCATTAACAGGGAAGTCAACTTCTGATGTGTGTGTGTGTGATGTAGTGGTGGTGGTGGTGGTGGTGTTGGTAAATGGCGTCGCACGGTCAAATTATTGCCTGTTGAAGACGGCTGAGACGAGCTCCCGTCTGATTTTCAATATTGAAGGCGCTGCATTCTTTATGGTTTTCAGGCGTCTTATGGTAGTATGTTCTATTTCCATGGCAAGATGGCATGCTTTTCCCCCAAATTTCAATGCATTTGATTGCATTTCTGCAGCGAGATGCTTCCCGTTTGACAAGGAAGTTTTGCTTCTTTCTGATCTTCTGCTACCCTCCGACGCTGATCCGACGCTACTTGGCGGGGGAGGAACACCACTGGAACAGCAGCAGATACCACTCACTGGCCAGTGACGTTGCAGTGCGAGATCAATCGGCCAGCCACGTCGAGTCCTGCGAAAAAGGCGGGAGGCGCTTCATCTCACTGCTGGGCGAAACCGACCGCCACTACACCGGTTTTCAGGCCTTTGCCTTCAGCACAGCGCAGCACAGCACAGGTCAGGCCGGGTCGGTCAAGCAAGAAGCCGGGCCCAGTGTCTTACCCCAGACGATAGGCGCCCACTCTTCCCGAAGGCAAGTGTAGCGATTCGACGCTACGTCCCTGCCTCCCGCCCTCACAGTAAAGTGGACTGTACAGCAGTGCCTCTCCTCGTCTGCAGCCCATTACTGCGTACCTACATACGCTACTACTACACGACAGACTACCCAAGCCGATTTCCTGCCTCATCCCAATCGAATTCCCCTGTTTCCCCGATCCGACGACACATCGCGACAACCTCTTCCCACACGCCGACAACCACGACTCGCTCCGCTGCCCACGTCGCCCGACAAGAATCCCGTTCCCCCCCCCTCAAATCGGCCCCCTCGGTTCAGTCCCTGACCATCCGCCGCCAAAATGTCCAACAACCGCAACTACGACTTCCTTGTACGTGTCGAATGCTTTGCCCCTCCTCGCACCCTTTCGCCCTTCCTTTGATACTCGTTTTCCTGTGCATCGCCGTTTTCCAAACTACCTCTTGAGTCGGCTTTACGGTCATCGACGAAATACAGGGCAAACATGACATCTGTTCACATATCGCTAACAAGCTCGCCAGATTAAGCTGCTGCTGATCGGCGACTCGGGCGTAGGCAAGTCCTGCTGCCTGCTGCGCTTCAGCGAAGACTCGTTCACGCCGTCCTTCATTACGACCATCGGCATCGACTTCAAGATCCGCACCATCGAGCTCGACGGCAAGCGTGTCAAGCTTCAGATTTGGGACACCGCCGGTCAGGAGCGCTTCCGTACCATCACCACCGCCTACTACCGCGGTGCCATGGGCATCCTCCTTGTCTACGACGTCACCGATGAGCGGTCATTTAACAGTATGTCGTCCTTCCTTGCTTAGATCACCTCTCTACACCGCAACTCGGCCTGGTCATCTACACCGCATACCACTCCAGATGAGAGCGGCCGACGGACTACACACACCCTCGAATGTGAAGACTAACAGGCAGTCCTTAGACATCCGCACCTGGTTCGCAAACGTCGAGCAGCACGCCACCGAGGGCGTCAACAAGATTCTCATCGGCAACAAGTGCGACTGGGAGGAGAAGCGCGTCGTTTCGACCGAGCGAGGTCAGCAGCTCGCCGATGAGCTCGGCATTCCCTTCCTCGAGGTCTCGGCCAAGAGCAACATCAACATCGACAAGGCCTTTTATTCGCTTGCTGCCGATATCAAGAAGCGCCTAATTGACAACCAGAAGAACGAGCAGCCCGCCGCCTCGGGCGTTAACGTTGGCGAGCAAGGCAGCGCCGGCGGAAAATGCTGTTAGATGGGCGCTTGATTCATGTTGTTTTTCTGAAGCAAGATTTTGATACTTTGGTCGATTTCTGCGCTGCCGCCGCCGCCACCACCACTGCTGGGTAACGTTGTCGGGGACTGCGGGAGTTATGGAAGAAGAGGTAGAGCCGGGCATTGCTTGGTACGACGGCCTAGAGGAACCTGACGGCCACAGAGAGTGTTATCGGAGAGAGGAAGCAAAGGAAGGGGGGACCTAGCAGCAGGCCCATGATTGTTCCGGCGAGGGAAATGGGACTTGGGGTAAACCTGCGCAAATATGGGGTTTCGCAGTAGGACCGGCAGGCGGGTGAGCCCGAGGCTGAGAAGGTGTAAAACGGCCGACACACTTTCCCCCCACCTATGTCCCCTTTTTTCTTTCCATTTCCCGGAAAGAGAGTTGCTGTGTGGTTTTTTTGTCATGTGGTTTTTTGTTGCCGACAACGCCTTTCGTCACTACCCCTAGAGAGCAAATATCTGGTCTGGAGTTTCGGTTTTCTATTTTGGGTTTGTCTAATACATCCTTCTTTTTTTTTCCAAACATCCCTTTTCCGTCGTAATCCTAAGCGATGGAGCTCGCTAGTCCTCCCAGAGTGAAATGTTTAGATTTTGACATATGTATGCCGGGTATTAAATATTGTTACATGGATTTTGTACAGGGTATTGTCTTTTTTTTTCCCTCCCCTTTCCACTTTACCAAACCAAGTGGGTGCTCACCAACACATTCTGGCCTCGTGGCCGGACGAGCTCCTTCCTATGCCACGCCCGTACGAATCGTCGCGCTTCGTGGACATCCGGGAACGACAGCACAAACAGCGCCGACCTGGCCGTGTCATCCAAGGAATCCTTGACACCCTGGCTGGGCACTATCGTCGGTGCCGTGTCTTCGTCCCACTCGTAGTTCTCCGGGGCATCCTCCGTCTCGTCGGCAAACGCCGCACGCTTCTGGTCTACCTTTGGCGGAAAATAGGGGCGCAGGTGTTGCACTGGCCAGCCCAGGTTCCTCTCTCGCGCATCACGCCGGATCCACTGTGACAAGGAGCGTTGGTCCAGCGTGCCGCCCTCGAGTGAAAGAATCACCTGAGAGCAGGCGCGCGGGGGTGGGTCGGGGGTCATGCTCAGCAGTCCCTGGATGCTGAAGGTCTCAAGGCGTGCTTCGGTCGCCTTGTTGACCTTGTAAAGGTGCAGGCTCAGCGGTGCTCTGGTCGGGGGCAGAAGCGTGAAGACCTGGTCCGCGTTCGGTTGAGCAGGGCCGAGAACGGATGATTGCTGGGCGCGGCGGGCGAGACTGTGGCGGCGCTGGGCTTCTTTCTGGTAGGATGCTGCGGCGGCGTGGGAGTCAAAGAGGATGAAGTACCGGCCTAGCGGTTGGAGGCTGTTGTAGTCGTAGGCTTGCATTACTACAGTCGCGTTAGCAGCGGTAAAAGTATGAAGGGGGTACAGAATGTATTTACCCTTGCTGATGGATGCACTCCAGCCATCCAGATGCTGGCCCTGCGGTCCCACACGGTAGAAGTCGCTCTCGGAAAGATTGGTACTGGCATTAGAGAGGATGAGCATCGCGGGCCGTTCCCTGTCCGTCTCACTGACCCCGTCTTCTTTGACGAGGGAGTCTATCCAGGCTTGCAAGTCACGGTGATTGACAGACCTGCTCTCGACTACCTGCTCTCCATCTTTGGCTATCTTTGGGGGATCTTCGCTCTTGAACAGCTCGTCAAAGAGGGACGGCCCCTCCTTCTTCGACGCGACTTGTCCAGATTTGCCCCAGTCTCCCTTTGGCGTGGGCAGCAGGAGATCCGGAATCTGGGAAATTGCCTGCTGCTTTTTATTGAAGTAGGCCTCCTTCTTGGCGGCTTTTTGGGCCGCTCTGTACACGCTTGCCTCAGACTTGTCGACGTGGATTGAGGTGACGAAGCGGACCTTGTCTGCATCATTGTCTACAGGTTCATTCTTCTTGTCGTCGCGGGTGGGCTGCCGACTAATCTGGTACTCATTGTCCGGGCGTCGCCGGTAAGGGAAGGACGAAGTGTCCTCGTCTGGGAATATCTCTTCGAATATCGACGGCGAGTTGTCCTTCTTCTTGTTTCTTTTTCCTTTATCGCCGGCAAGGGCCCGGGGACCCGTCCAGAACGCCCGATTGTTTCCTCCTGACCATCGCGACGACGAGACTGGGGTACGTAGTAATGGGAGCAGCAGCGGGAGCTGTCGTCGGGTCGCTGTCGTCGTGGTCATCCGTGCAACTCTTCGGGTCGAGCTGCTCAGCCCTCGCAGGTCAGCCCATTGCATGGATCTGGAGAGGAGCTGCCGCCGGTGCAGGTAACTAAATTGAAATTATTTCAGGCGGCGGTCGTTTTCGGCTGCTCCACGAGGGCACTGGCGGTTGTCAGAGAGGGGGCTTTTGGAAAGGTGAGAGGAAGTTTGAAGCTCTTGGACTTTCGCGATACAGTGCTGGTAGAGGTACTTTTTCGGATGTATCTTTTAGCTGTGGTGGGGCTGGTTGAACTAAAATTGTTAGGGAACTTGAATTTTTCACATTTCTACGAGCACTTACACGACGAGGGAGACTCGCTCATTGACAACGAGCACACTTCAGGTCAGAAAAAAACCTGTGAAGAGATCTTGAAAGAACTGAAGGGCTAAATCATCCGGTGCTCTTGTACATGTAAGACAGAATCCTTTTCGAAAGCATTTTTTGAGTTGTTGCAGTCTCCCCGCGTGCTTTGCTCCATACATATTTCAAGTCGTACTCGCAATGAAGGGTTTTCTCGGGCACCATCGGACTTTTTTTTTGTTTTTTGCCTTGCGCCGTTGGCGCGAGATCACACAACTTACAATGGTAGAAAGGGGTTCTACGGAAGGACATTCATAAACCTCAGCTCTACACATGATCAAACAATAGAAAGAGGCAGCAAGAGGTCTTATTGCAAAATTTCACATATAATCAGGCTTAGCCCCACTCGCTCAGCGTTGCAGTCTCTCAGTTCGCACACATCTAAGAGCATCCTCAAATCAAATATCTAACATTCTCCAGAATTATCCAAGAGACGTCACGCAGATACACCCGAGCTCAGGCTTGGTGAAAATCCACCATGGCCAAGACTATTGAAGGAAAGGTTCGCCCTCTGGCGCCTTTTGATAAGACCCTTGAGAAGTCGACTCTCAAAGGAGCGTCTCGTATTTATGTCAACCGAGATTCACTTATCCAACTTACCGGAAGTATTGACAACGGAAGACGTTGTATCGTGACCAGGGTCAGTCAAGATGACAGCAAGTCAACCACCGTCAGAGAAGCTGCGCTTTGGACGTTATCGGACAAGAACATCAGCCCCAACATTGTGCTCATGAGCGAAGCGTACCGCGAAGCCTGTGGGTTTGAGCTCGGGGACCATCTCACAATAACAATGCATGAGAAGACAGCAGTTCCCGATGCTGAAGCTGTCACTATTTTCCCTGTTACTACAACAGAGAAGGAAATGGCTGAGATTACCTCTTGGGAGGGCGCCTGGATTGGAGTAATCCGGTTTTACCTGGGTCAGTCACACAAAGACCGAACCATTCTAAGGACTTGATATTGACGTTGTCTAGGACGTGCTGAACATGTCTTCCCCGGTATGAAGTTTGAGTGTGTAGCACCAGGCGCTAAGCAAATTTTCAAGATTACCTCTGTCGACGGCCAAATAGACAATGTTGCAAAGTTTACCGTTTCAACGGTACCAAACATAACCTATGGCGAAGAAGAGGAGCCTGTTCAGGAGGTACGAGAGGTCACGAGGCTCGACGTAAAGGGAATTCCTGGACTTCATGCCGAAGAGAAGAGGTTGAGAAGCTTCCTTCGCGGATTTAATGCCAAGTTTTTCTACCAGGGACAGCACGAGTCCTGCGGCATTGTAATCCATGGCGGACGCGGCACTGGCAAGTCGTATATCCTCAACCGCATCGCGGCGACTGGGTGGGGCAGGGTGTTCAAGATTGAAGAAAACGACAAATCGTCAACTGTCGAGGAGGTCTTCAAGCAAGCTCGTTCCCAACAGCCCAGTATCATTCTCATTGACGGCCTACAAGCCTTAATCGGCAAGGACAGGGCCAATTCCACCGCCATCATTCACAGGCTGGGTCAGCAGCTCGACCAGCTGGCCGAAGACGCTTTCAGGGATGATATGCTCCCTAAGGTTGTCGTCGTAGCGACTTGCTTGGACTACATGACGGACGTGCCTCCCGAACTGCAGAAGAGTACCAGATTTGAGCTCAACATCCCTCTCTCAATACCCAACGCAGAAGGACGGCTGGAAATCCTCAAGGCGCTCGATATCCCCGTTCAGCCAGAGATTCAGGATGCTATGCTGGGCAGACTGTCGCAACAGACACACGCTTACAACGCAAATGACTTGTGCAGACTCATTGGGAATGCGAAGAGATTATCAGCAGAACGACTGGACCCCGACGGCAATGGCTTTGACGACGAGTCGATGGAGAGACCGAAACTCACCAGGGACGATTTGGAACAGGCGCTGCGGTGCACAAAACCGACAGCCATGCACGACGTCAACCTCAAGCCCCCGACGATTCACTGGCAGGACGTGGGCGGTCAGGAAAGCCTCAAGGAGGCCCTGCGCAACATGATCACTCTCACAACAACGAGCAACCCCTCCGTTCAGAAGTTGATCCTGACTCCGCCCAAGGGTCTCCTTCTCTACGGCCCGCCTGGCTGCTCCAAGACCCTTTCGGCGCAGGCCATGGCCACCGAATCTGGATTCAACTTCTTCGCCGTCAAGGGTGCCGAACTCCTCAACATGTACGTGGGAGAGTCGGAACGCGCCGTCCGTCAGCTCTTTGAGCGCGCCCGCGCCGCCAGTCCCAGCATCATTTTCTTCGACGAGATCGATTCGATTGGCGGCCAGCGTACAGGCAGCGGCGCTAAAAGCCAGGGCTCCGTCAACATGCTTACGACGCTCCTCACTGAGATGGATGGCTTCGAGGCCCTATCAGGCGTTCTCATTCTGGCAGCTACGAACCGGCCAGAGGCTATGGACCCAGCATTGTTGCGCCCCGGACGCTTCGACCGCATTGTGTACGTCGGTCCGCCAGACGACGCCGGGCGCGAGGCCGTCTTCAAACTGTACCTCCGCAAGTTGCCGACGGCGGCAGACGTCGACTTGGCAGAGCTCTCGCGACTGTCAGAGGGCTTCTCTGGAGCCGAAATCAAGCAAATTGTCAACGTGGCTACGGAGCCTGCTCTCAAGAAGGCCCTGGATAGCGGTGCGAACGGACCTGACGCGGAGCAGGCCCAGGTTTGCATGCAAGATATCGTGGCTGCGATCCAGTCGGTTCCAAAGGGCATCACGCAGCAGATGTTGGACGGCTATGAGAAGTGGTCCAAACAGTTCCTCAAACACCAAAACCAGAAATAGACATTCTAGATGTGCTGCGCCAAGTCTTCAGATCCCGTTGATTTTGTGTAGTTTTGTCATGGTGAAACCCGAAATACAACTCGCCGGCTCAAGCCCAGTTAGAAGTCGCCGGTCGAGTGCATGTAGGCATAACACCTGTATGGGTTCCGGTCCTCTGGAGACTAGTCAAACATGAAGCGCTTGGCACCTTGTCAATCTACGCACGGTTGGGGCACGCAAAGCCCAGATGTAAGGACAGAGTTTGTGGCTATTGGTTATTGGCACCTGCGCCGTCTGGTTGCTTTGCATTCTTTCGAGAGTGGTAGGTGGGCTGATGTTGATTCCGGATGAACGCCGGGCATTTTCGGAGATGGACTCGAAGACTCCAGGCTGATATGGGGGCAAATTGGGTCAGAGAGCAAGACTTTCACATGCTGAGAGGCGTCAATTGACGAATACAACAAGTACCTCGTGGAGTTGTGAATGGCTAGTGGTGCTACTCCGGTAGCTCAAAAGAGTAGTCGTGATTGGTTGCCATTGAAAGTGGCGCTGGAGCATCGCCCCTTTTTGCGTACCACAGCAACGTCGTCCGCCCCTCATTTTCGGGATGGATCTCACGTCGAGCATCTGGTGACAGCCAGAAAAAGATGGTGTACCTGAAAGCTGAAGAGGTGTGATTCAGGTACCGCTTATTGGTTGGTCAACACCGGTGCAGCCTTGGGGGGAGGGGCATCACCTTATTCAGGTGTTGTTGCTTGACTCTAAGAATGCTGGGGCCCTGTTGAGCAGTCCGGAAAGAGGCTCCAGACGCAACGCAGATCTGGGGGATCAAGCAAACGGTCGCCCGTCAAAAAAAACATACAGGCAGAGAGCATCGTCAGGGAAGAGTGCCTGATGGTTGGGCCGAGCGACAATCTATTACGCATGACCGTCGTTCGACACGTGAATGAAGCGGTGTGTGGGCACCAATTGGTGGTCCTCAATTGGCTGGTCACCAACGGCGGAAGCCGCTATGGCACGACTTGTCGCTGAGATCGCCTTGTGTAATTTTTTGGATCCTCTGTAAGCTCTTGACGGCACCAAAACATCATCTTTGACCCCCGCCGGCCTATTTTTTTTTCCCTCTCGACTTTCAGGGGTTCGCCAACAAGAGCAACAAACCTGCTGAAACGTAGTGTCCCGTACCTCCCGGGCTGTTTCTTGCTGTCCAGCTACTTGTCCCGCCTAAAAAGAAGATCCCAGAGCCTGCCAAGTTACTAGTAGCCACTCTTACCACTAGCAGCAACTACCCCCAGCAAGGGTCAATCACGCTGCAGGGGCCCCAGGAGCCTGAAATTGTCCACTCATCACGCTTCTTTTTTTTCTTCTGATCTGCCTTTCCTATCGTTCGAGGCCAGACGAACGACAATTACAACCGGCGGGCACTTTAATTCACCCCGATCTTCATAAAACCCGATCGCAGCAACAGTTCTCAACTTCCTCTTCCCCTCCCCCTCCCTCTTCGCCTAAGGTCAACCCTCACTCAACCGTTTCTGAGCGCATCCCCAACAGCAGCCTCCTAGGGCCAAACTGCGACTTTCAACTTCCTGGACCCCTATCAAGGCGTCATACACTTTGCAAGAACCAACGATTTCGCTGGACGACACTACGACCCCATTCACCTTCTTGGCTTCAACACCAACCTCCCAAAGTCAAACTGATCCCCTTCGATAACGACAATGATCGAAAGTCCAACAGCAGCTGCTGAAGCCCGTGCTGAGCGGCGCAGCAAGTACCATGAGGCCGATGTCGTCGTCGTCGGCGCTGGCGTTTTTGGTTGCGGTATCGCTTACGCCCTGGCCCAGCAGGGAAGAAGCGTTATTCTGCTCGAGAGGTGGATGAAGGAGCCCGACCGCATTGTCGGCGAGCTGATGCAGCCCGGCGGCATTGTCGCCCTGCGCCAACTTGGTCTGGCCGATACCCTCGAGGGTATCGATGCTGTGGCGTGCTACGGCTACAAAGTCAGCTTCCACGGCGTGGGAGTCGACATCCCTTACCCCTCGTTCGATGAGAATGGCCGCATGATCCCGGCCTCCAGCACCGAACAAGCTACCAGCGCGAAGCAGAAGGAGGGCAAGTGCTTTCACCACGGTCGCTTTATCATGAACCTCCGCAGGGCCTGCCAGAGGCAGGAGAATATCACGATTTTCGAGACCGAAGTCACTTCTACGATCCGCGGCGACGACAAAGATACTGTTCTGGGTGTCAGATCCAAGACGACGAATGCCGAGACTGGCGAGAAGAAGGATGACTACTTCTTTGGTCAATTGACTATCATCGCTGACGGCTACGCCTCCAAGTTCCGTAAGGAGTACCTCCCCAAGGCGCCCGAGGTCAAGTCCAAGTTTTACGCTCTTGAGCTCATTGACGCGCCCATGCCATCCCCCGGCTACGGCCATGTCGTCATTGGCAACGCCTTCCCCATTCTTCTGTACCAGATTGGTACCCACGAGACTCGCGCCCTTATCGATGTGCCTGCCAACATCCCTGAGGCCTCGCCCGCCGCTGGTGGTGTTCGCGGTTACATCAAGAACTGCGTCCTGCCGACGTTGCCGCCCGCAATGCGCCCCTGCTTTGAAGCCGCCCTGGCTGATGGCAAGATCCCACGCTCAATGCCCAACTCATATCTGCCCCCTACGCGCCAGACGGCCAAGGGCATGCTTATTCTCGGCGACGCTCTGAATATGCGCCATCCCCTGACGGGCGGTGGCATGACCGTTGCGTTCAACGACTGCGTCATCCTGGCGGATCTTCTTCAGCCCTCGCGTGTTCCTGATCTCGCCGACTACAAGGCCATGGACAACGTCTTGAAGGAATTCCACTGGCGCCGCAAGAGCTTGACCTCCATCATCAACGTGCTGGCTATGGCCTTGTACGCTCTTTTCGCCGCCAATGACCGCCAATTGCGGGCTCTTCAGAAGGGCTGCTTCGCCTACTTCAACCGGGGCCACGCCGCCGAGCCTATGGCGCTCATGGGTGGCCTCATCCACCAGCCGTTCAGGCTAGCCTACCACTTCTTCAGCGTTGCGTTCCTGGCCATCTGGGTTAATGCCTGTGAGATTGTGGGTGGTAGCATCTTTGGTTTCCTTAAGGCGCCTCTGGCGCTTATTGACGGCATTCTCATCCTCTGGAGGGCAAGTGTCGTCTTCTTGCCCGTCATGTGGCGTGAGCTTAGATAGAGCATGTTACACAAGCATGAGACATGTTTAGATACGAGCGAGCGGCGTTGGGTAGACGAGTGATGAATTAAGAAAGACCATAAAGAGTTTATTCCCCGGTCTTCTGTCAGGAGGACTTCGGCTGTATATATTACGCAACACGCATGCGACGCATATTCTGGGACGGAAGCGGATCATTGGATCAATGGGCGTCGGTACGGGAATATCACGCTATATAGTAATACTAATATCTTTACATTTAAGAAAAAGAAAGAAGGATCCGTGACGAATACCGTCGTGTGAGGCGCTTGCCTAGAGTCTTCTGTCTTTACGTCTTGGCCATGCACTTATTCGCGCTCGATGCTCATTCTTGCCCGTACTTGCCAAGCCAAGTGAGCTGTTATGAAGAAGCGGTGTGATATAGAAAGCTCACCGCATGCGAGAAATGTTTACAGTTGTAGCAGCGCATTTACAACCACCATCGATGGCGCTCCAGGAAAGCCACTCAGGGATCGGCAGCCAAGATTGCTTCTCCTAGAATTGGACGAATTCCCTGATCAAAAGTCAAGGCCGCGCCGCCCTCCTCTGAGACCAAGCCACTTACACGCTCAACCACCACCACCAACCGCCACATCAAAATATTCACTTGCACCCGTCCCATAGGGAAGAAAGCCTTTGTAAGGCACGCCATGCACCAACCACGTGGCTGGCCAGGGGGCCAACCTTTGCGAAGCCAGAACAGCTTCATCCACCGTTGTCAACATGGCATAGAATCGGGCCCGTTGTTTTGCTTCCTACTAGAGCACCCACAGAGCGCATTGCAGTCGTGAAAGCGCGCGTTTGTCTACTCACTTGTTCCGGTGTGTTCAACTTGGAGTACCAACTGGGCCAACAATGCCTCGCTGCTCAGCATTACTTGGAAGCAAGGGATCAAAGTGGAACGAAAATTCTTGGCTATACAAGTTTTGGGATGTAGACATATAAACACTCACTGTTATACATTCAGAAAGAAATCCATTGGTCCTGTTCATTCCCGTGCAGCTACAGTGCCGGCTGCATCTAAATTTTGAGCTATACTTTTTTGACGAAGTAAACATGTCAGGTATTCCACCCTGGCTCCTCGATGCAAGATCAACAAAGAAAGAAAAAAGAAAAAAAAAAGAATAGACAGCCGGAGATGTCTCTCTATGTCAGTCTTCGGCGGTAGACGCCCATCATCCAACTACCCCTTAGTACGGCGAGCCCAATGGCCATCTTAATACTGTCCGAGATGACGCTTAGCTTGCTCCCAGGGACCTCATGCCAGTCAACCGGCACCTCGGCAACGCGAATACCTGGGCTGGTGCCAATAACACTACCGTCTTCTCCAAGTACCGGTGCGGGAGGTGCCGACTCGGCAAGAAGTAGCATTTCAATGTCAAAGATCCAGCCCTCCGTGTGCATGTATGGGACAATATGTGGGAGGGCAGCGCGGGTGAAGAGCTTGAAGCCGCATTGAGTGTCGCGAAGACGAGAAGTGGCGGGTGGAGTAAGGATCATCAGGACGAGGTGGAAAGATCGCATGAGAAAGTTCCGAAGGGCGGAACGCTGATAAACGTTAGTATAGTCAGCCAACAGTGGCGATGGAATAGACGGCCTACCTTGACGACGGCCTCGCTGCCTACGAGATGGGCGCGGCTGCCAATAGCAACGCCACGATGTGATCCGTCGACAACCTCCTCACAGCCCTGGATCAGACGGCCGAGGTCGCTGAACTTTGTGGCGCCATCAGCATCCGCGAAGAGCACGTACTCACCGCGAGCGTGGCGGAAGCCGTGGGTGACGGCGCCGCCCTTGCCGCGGTTGCGTTCGAGCTTGACGACGCGGAGAATATCGTGCAGGCCCTGCTTCTGGGCGAAGTCGAGGCAGACGTCCACGGTGCTGTCCTTGCTTCCGTCGTCGACAATGATGATCTCGTAACCGGAAAGGACCTCGGAGGGCGGGTTCTTGGTACGGCGACGCGGGGCTGTTGGACTGACCAGGGGCTTACTGCCAGTCTTTGTGGACGAGGGGCGGCCAAAGTTGGAGTCCAAGTATTCCACTGCTTCCTCAAGGGTGGGAAGGATACGGGTTGCTTCATTATAGGCCGGGAGAACAACAGTCAGGCGTACATCGGCGGGGTCAATGGTTGCGCCCGAGTCTGGGACATCGCGAGGGTCGGTGAGGTGGGCGCGAGCTTCGGAAACACGGCGCTCGGCAAACCAGCGATCGAACCAACAAGGCGCCGTCACTTTGATCGGCTTGCCGGATGTGGACGAGGTAAAGTAGACTTTCTCTGAGGGCAGTACGGCGCGGGGCTTGGGTGCAACAAGATGGAGGGTGACAAAGACCTGTAATTCATGAGCTTGTCAGCGCCAATTGGCCTTATAAGAAAGGATTGAAGCATAGTCTGGAACTGCCTATAAAGATAAAAGACAGGACTTACAGCCAGAAGTCCGATGGCTGCTAGGACCAGCAACGCGACGCCAAGAGTTGGCCACGATGCTCGAGTTATGTTGTCCATTGCTCCGCGACAATTCTCACCAAGGACACGAATTGCCCTGGCAGTCGTTGAGAATGTTGCTAGCTGGCGAAATAGAGCGAAGAAACGTAAAACGTGTTCGTTGTATGCTTGAGAAGAAAGAAAGAAGGAAAAGGAAAAAAAGAAACACTGCGACTGCCGCAGTTGCAGCTCAGATTAGAGACGATGAGATGGACGCGGTGCACCTCAGCATCCCCCGTTCTGGGATACGTAATGCGGAACAGCTTCCAGCTCGTAGCAGCCCCCCTTTTGTGGCTTAACGAGGCTGGCCAATTGGACCTTGGGGTAGTGCGCGGAGGGGTAAGTCCCCTGCGGGACGCTGGGAATTGCCTTCTATTTTCGGCTTGTGGGGGACAGGTAGCCTTGCATTAGTGGGCAGGCCTGTCCTTTGTACAAATTTCAGATGGGTCTCTGTATGTAGCTCTGTGAATGCGATTGCCATGAATTGCATTCTTCAGGGGGAAAAGATCGACGTCGACAGGAGCACAATTTGGCGCCAGCCAGCTGGATTCACTAAGGCAGCTTTTCTTCAGCATAACTCTACGCCAAGCAAATACTCTAAAACTGCCACCTTTTATTCCAATGACAACCCAACAGCTGAATTTCGGTATGCAGCATGCTGCATCGAATATTCTGATGCCTATAGCTACCTCAGACCGTCCCACCATGCAGCCAGCCGCCAGATATTGAAAAACAATGCGATTGCCATAACTCTGTGATCGAGAGCTCTCGAAGACCATGTCCTGTGGGACACACCTCAACTTCCCGCCTTGTCCAAATGATCGCCTAGGATCGGCGGGTACCATGGAGTCGACGTTGCCATAGCCGAGTCAAACTCCCATGTCCTGTCAGTATCCGATTTAAGACAATACGATGCCGAGGTGCGGCCCGCGCATCCCACATTCCAGCAACTCTGTTCCGGCAGAGTGGCTCAACTACCATCCGAGAAGTGACATCAAAGGTACCGGCTACGCAATGGCCAGCCTCCTTCGTAAGACCAGATAGATTGCCTTGGTCGCCATTGTTCCAATACAACAATCTGACAACCTTGCATATAGTTATTTGGCCTTGGAGCATGTCATTGGCGTCCATGAACAGATATGCGTAACCGCCACGTTGGCTTTTTACAGTGCTCGGGTAAAGTACCCAGGCCTGCAGATTGTCTACTTAGGGGCAGATGCTGACAATTTCCATTCTGGTCATTACGGCCAATGGTATTAGCAACGGCCATTTCAGAGCTTGCCAATGCTCAACGTTTATGTTGCAGTCCCCTTGCGCAGCACGTAAGCCATCTAAGACGAGTCGCTACGGTTCACGTCTTCACACCCACTCGCAATAAGCTCAGGCAAGAATAAACTCTCAGTGAACCACCAATATTACCGGCCTCCTGTACGATCAATACACAACTCGCTCACACGTGGTCCGTCTCTTTTTCATCGAACTTTGCCCAATCATGGCTGATGTGATAAGCCACGGCGAGGGGGCACCCAGGCCAATTTGTGACTTTTGGGAGAGAAGCCTCAGCAAACGCCGCCCGAACTTTAACTCTCCACAGCCACTCAACTGGTCCCGCAAGCCACCAAACAATCCTTATCTATACGAATGTGTGTGTGTGTGCGTGTGGAAATTGCAGTGCAAACCTATTCCGACCACTACCCCCAGCATTCAATGGACACTGCTCTGCCAGATTCAGCCATAGACTAATTAAGCTGGGAACAAAGGAAAAGCAAAGCTCTTCTCTCCTCTCGAGCATCTTTATCCACGTGCCCAACTGTTTACATTGGCGACGCTAACAGGAAAGCCAAGGCTGCCAACATCCAGCTGGAAACCATCGACTAGCCCTTGAAACCAATCAATATGTGGGCATGCCTCGGTGGAAGTGAAGCACCAACAGTTGGAAAGGGGGGAAAAACCAGAGGGCAAAGAGGCAGGGCGAACGGTCTTGAGGTGGCACCCGCATATGCATGCGCTGCACAATCCTCCGCTATCAGCCAATATTTCTCAAAGGCCCTGCATGCATATTCGGCCGAGGAGTTGCTGACTGACACCTACATGGAACACAAAAAAAGTTCACTCTAGGAGGAGGAGGAGAAGCGATAGCGACTGCGAAGACGACAAGCTGAACAAGGACATCGGAAGCCACCGAACCAGGATAGCCTCAGCCAGTCTTGCACACCCACCTGAAGAAGAGGGAGCTGGCGGATACGTCCCGCCCGCCCCCCTCCAATAGCTAGTTTTTTTTCTCCTTTCGTCGTAGGCGCCATGCAAACCACTCGATAAACCTGAGTTGACCCATCCACGCCACACCCACACCTCGAAACGGCCCGCGCATGGGGGTGTCCAAACGTCAGGAGCCTCGTGGGCTTGCTCCTGGCTTCTCGCTGGACCGGCTTGCCCACAACACATCCCGTGCAAGTCACGTCCGGTGGAGACAGGGTATCAATTGAAGAGGGGGGGTACGGAGTATAGAAAACAGAAAGACCAAAAGATCTAGACCCAAACCGATCCTGGTCCCCTGTCGATCTCAACCATTTCCCATTTTAGACATCAAGGTTACTTAGTCGCAACAAAATAGCGCCCAATTCTCGTCATATTTTCTGGCATGTTGACAAGCGTGCCGGGAGCCCGATAGTCGCGAAGATCCCAATGGACGGATGTACCGACGTCCAGGTTCGTAAGTAAAAGCTACCGCTAACGCGGCGTTCAAACCCGGGCCCAACCATCGGACGGCCAATGCGATTTTTCCAAAATTCGATTTGACGACAACGAAAGTGGGCGAGGAGGATGAGGAGGAACAAGAGCGGGGGGGTCTGTTCCTGGATTGCGCCGGAACTAGGTAACTAACAACAAGCGCGTCGTCTGTCCCACAAACACCAATCCAGCCAAGCAAGACGAACACCTAACCAACCGAGTTTCCCGTGTGGCGCTCATCGATGGACAGGGGGAGCGGCGATGAGAGAGGGGGTTTAACTAAGAAGTCGTGTTCTTCTAGTCTGTGATGCTGACTTGACCGTCGTGCACCATGACCGTGCCATCTGAGACCCTGCCTTACCTCCTCCAGGAGTCCAGGCAGCCAACATGCCAGCCCATGTTCCTGATGATTGTCTTTCACTTTTGTAGGGACAACCTGTCTCGTCACACAATGCTTCCGAAAGGGCAGGACATGTACCATGGGATTTTGGCGAGAAAAACGTCACTCAAGCAAGAAAGGGAGAGAGCACATGCCGTTATGAACTGGTTTTTTTGCTTTTTCTTTCCCTGTCGTGTCCCACCTGATCGTCTCTTACATTTCCCCCACCTCAAGTTTGCCGGCGGAGGGATGAGACGACAGACCAACATCAGACTGACTAACAGCAAGAAAAAAAGGGGATAAAAAACACACAGATGGGTAGTAGTTATACCACCGAGAAGCCTAGGTATTTGTTCATCGGGCCACGCCCCCTGATACTGAGAAGAATATAATAAAAAAAAGTTAATGGAAAAATATGTCTATAAATCCCAGCCAGTATAGATTTGGTCATGATATGGTCGTTAAAAAAGGTAGTTGATGGTTGTGTCCACCTGAAAGTCGAGCCTGAAGAGATTTCCAGTCCTGTTTGTTATTTTCGTTTTTGTGAAGCAAGCGTTGCTGAAGTCCGGCGGCAGCAAACGCCAGTCGAATATCGCAAGAAATGAAGCGGTTCCGTTTTCTTTGCGGGGTGTTCCAAATGTTGCTTAGTGGTGATTCAATCACAATAGCCCGATCCTTGTACTAGATTGGTAGTAAAATGTTACACTCAAGATGCTGTTGCGACTCGTCTCGGAGTGATTGTGAACTCGTCCAATGGCCCGTTGGATGCTTGAGGTTTTGGCGCGCTGCTCAGGGTACAGTTAGACTGCAACGGCAGAACTCTTTATTGACCAACGGCTCTTCTTAGCCACCTTGGAGCCAGGCTGCTTCGACAACCGCTTCCCCTGCTTTTGCGCCGAGGTCACTTCGGCAGGAGCAGCAGTCACCATTTCCACAACAGCAGCTTTACTGATGGCATTGTGGGAGACCTGGGGTGGAGTGGTGTCCCTGCAGGCCTGTTCATACGCAACGCTGGGTATGGCAATCTGCTCCGTGTGAGAGTCGATCGTCTCCAGTTCAGTGAAGCGGGTGACCTTGGACTTTGAGATGCCACGGCGATCCTTTTGCTTCATCGCGGATGGTGCGGTAGTGGAGGCCGGAGCATACGTGTAAGCAGAAGCTTCTTCTTCTTCCTCAAGAGACTCGTAAACAGGCTCGGGTGTCACGCATGCTGCAGGGGTGGTGGCGGCGGATGATCTGCCGGACATAGGAGCGGAGAAGGGCGCGTTGTTGACATTGAAGTTAAAGGAGGAGAAGGATCCCTGTGCAGACGAACGGGTCGAGGCAGATGAGGAAGCCAGAGGCATATTAGGTGGTTGCCCATTCAAGGTGTTACCGAAATGCATTGGCGGCAGGGATGTAACGGGGGGGATGGAGTTGAAGCCACGCGTCGACGGCGGTGGCCTGGACTTATCACTTGGTGGTGAAGGCTGAAGGTTCTTAGGCGAGAAGTCCGCTCTGTCAGAAGCGTCTGAAGCCCGACGGGAGCTGGGATGAAGACGATGAGCGTGGATAGCAATAGCGGCGTTGCGAGGGGCTTCGGATGAGCCGGCAGAATGAGGGGGCATGGATGTGTGCCGTGAGGGCTTCATTTCAAGGTCCTCTTGAGAGCTCGTCGACTGGCTTGAGCTACCGACGGGAGATCCAGCTGTACCGCGTTAGTTAGTTTCAGTTTTCCAACCGGGGTTTGTGTGTATATAAAAGGTCACCTTTGATCGAGGTCGGGCTGTTGCGGCCGGACTCGTATGATCTGTCAAGCTCCTTGCCCTTCAATGAGATGCGGCTAGCGTCAGGGACAGAATAGAGAGAAGGGTTCTTGTTTCGATTTTCCCAAGGCATTGGAGGCGGAACCCCGCTGTAGCTGTAAGCTCTAGGCATCTGTCCAGCGGGGCTGGCATCAGATGAAGGGTAGGTGACATGAGAGAGGCTGCTGGAAACGCGAGGTAGACTAGGCCCAGGCATCCTATGGTGGCCTAGACCACTGGCGGCCATTGCACTTCTCCTGCGGTTCTGTTCGATGATTCTGGGCCGGTCATCATGTTTCCAACTCGATGGCGCTCCAGAAAGGGCGTCAACGGCGGCGTGGGTAGGGACGTGTCGATACGCTTGCTTGGGGGCCTCCTTAGCCTTGTCCGCTTGCTTCTGGTTGTGCTCCTTGGCTTGCTGCCGCGACCTCTTAATGAGAGAGAAGACCGACATGTTTCTCTGTATCGACAGCTCGGTATACGTGGAGCAACTTGCGTACCTAGGTTATCGAAATGGCGTGCTGCTGGAGAAGAACAAGTAAATCGGGTTGGTGTGGGTGGGAGACGAGGTTATAATTAAAGGGCGGTTGACGTGCACTGTCGCTTCCAACGGGCGGGATGTCGTATAAGTCAAGCCCGGCCGGATGGTCTGGGCTACACTCAGGCGGCACAGGTGAAACTCGGATGGTATCCGCACCACAGACACGGTCCCAGCTCTGGGGGCTCTGAGGTCAGAATATGTCGGTCTGGCAAAAGTCGTCCGTTCACTTACAGCCGTCGTTACGGACGATGGCTCGTGCTTGTGACTGGCAGGTGGACGGACGGGCGTCGTCGGCAAGCTGAAGCAAGAGGGTAGAAGGGCGGTTTACAAGTCGGACAAGATGGGGAGGGATGCAGTCAGTCTAATTATTACAGCCTTAGGTAAGACTGCCTGCGGCGTGGAGGGAAAGGATCTAATAAGAGAGAGCGGGTCGATGGGCGAGAGGAGTAAGGAACACCAGACTGCCCAGAACAGAAGCTGGGTTCGGGAGGCCTGGTTCCTTTAAGGCGTGGCAGCACTTTGCATGGTGGGTGTCTTGGGAGACATGGGAGTGAGTGCATGGGCAAGGGGGGTGGTGACAGTAGGTTAGGATAGGTCGGGATAGGATGGGGTATGGGATGGGATAGGTGCAGATGGGTGCATGGAGGACGTGGATTGGGATAATTGCTGGGCGAGGGTCCAGGACGACGTGCAGCTGGCTCGTTTTCTCTGCAGCTTCTGGCTCCCAGGCCCCCAATACTTCTTTTCTTGGCAACTACGGCGAAGTCCAGCCTTCAAACTCTCTCACTCTTGACTAGGGCAGAAAAAGCACAACGTGGGAAAATGCCGCCGCCGTCACTTTCGCTCTTCTGGTTCGGAGGCAGCGCGACGTAGGGTCAGCGACACCGTTGGGCCTTCGTCATCACAGTCGGTGGTCTAGATCGTGACATGCCTGGATCGTACGTTGAAGGCCTGAAAGCTGCCTTTGATAGCGGCTGTCGACGACTCGCATCTGATTGAAGCCAAACGGGCGGAGCCTGCGGGAGGGGAAAGCTACTAGTCCATGGTGTGGCAGACGGTACTGAAAGCTGAGTATTGCGTAAAGGAACCTGGACGGACCAGAACAAGACGGGTATGACGAGGCTTCAATGATCCCCATCAAGCTGGTTGACTGGTAGCAGATCCGGTCTCGCCTCGTCTCGTACCATAGTCAGAGTGTGTGATACGGCCTCGAGCATCAGCTTCAGTCCTTCTTATACAGCAAATCACATCTGCAGCGGTCCATGGAACGTCTTGTTAACTGCTGGTGATTGCTTGGTAGGCCTTTTTTGGACCCGTCAACGAGCAAAGCGTTTTTTTTTTTTTCCCTTTTCGTCTTTTTCTTTTCTCTGCCATCAACTATGCCAAACGGGCCTCGTATTCAGGTTAGGTAGCGGTACCTTGCGGCAGGGATGCGCTAGCGACAGCACGAGCGTTGTGGTCGCGTTTCTAGAAGAAAAGTTTTGGTTGAAATTCGACAGCGCCAGTGAGGAGACGAACCGCTAGACAGCGCCCAAGTACCAATACCAGATCATCAGCACGGCCTGCGCGGGCTTTTTTCAGGGCCCGAACAGCTGCAGCGGTGGGCGTCTGTGTTTGTTGGCTTCCCTTGGGGGATGCCGCTTGGCATGAGTGCTCCAGCCCAGCCGCACTGGGCAGGGGCTCTGAACCAAAAAGCTGACCCGCTTCAGGGGAACCAGGGCCGCTTGACGATGCCGACGATGAATTGACGAATTGGTGGTGTGCTGATGTGCCCCCCTCCTAGTCTCTGTCTCCTCTCCCGTTCTTCCACCACCCATTCGCAGCCGCCGGCTAGGCTTAGTAGAGTAAAGACTTGCATCCATTAGCCTGCCGTTTTGACAATGGGCCTTTTGTTCACAAAGCCAACCATAGCAACGGCGGGGGCGACGCAGTAAGCTGCTGTCACTGCCATCCGTAGTAGAAGGCCGGTTCGTCTGCCCTTTTCACTTTCATTGTGCTCGTCATTAGCGCCACTCGGCAACTCCTCGCACTACCTTAGTATACATCAACCACACGGAGACTCATTCCACGAAAGCAGAATCCACGGCAATGTGGTGCGTATGAATCAGTCGCCGACGTCTCGTTTCTTCTGACCGTGAGGATCCTTTGCCCCAAAGAGGCAAAGGCGATACAGCTCCCATGATAACGGCAACGCCTAGCGAAGTCTCAGGATAACCCCCACTCGAGAGAGACACACTGGCAGATGTGATAACCGCTGATGATCGAGGGCATGGCTTCCTGTTCCTTGCTTTTCCCCCCTGTGGATATCGTGGCAGTTGTTTAGGCGGCACAGGGAGGGCAACATGTATGTAAGATTGTGCCCTTGTCCAGAGCTTGCCTGTGCAAGGGGGTTAATGATTCGCTGTGTAATAAGGTGTGTGGTTTGGTGGATAGACCTCCGTATGGTGGAGGCGGATATGTAAGGTAGAGGTTGGGATGGAAAAGAAGGTTGGTGATCGAATGACTGGAGACTGTCATCTACTAGCCAGGCGATTACGACGAGGGAAGGAATGTCCTTGGTGTAATCTTGCCTGCTTGCCTTATTCCATGTGATCCGAAGGTCCTGCAGTTAAGATGTGTACGTAGAGCACTTGCCAGCTTTTGCAACACACTCTGGTATCTTGCTTGTACACATGGGCCAAGCCTACTGCATAGCATTAGCTGCTGTTCCTGCCTTATTCGCCTCACGTATGGGCCGCTGAGGCACCTCTACGACTCAGGGCCAACCTTGTCGCTACATGATGACAGCAAGCATGTACCACGCCGAGAGTACGACAAATTGTCAGTGCAGAATCAGGCCAGCTAGGCCTCGTGTCTGACAACCTCCTCCTTGGACGGAGGCATTCTTTATCCCAATCCAACCCCGTTCCTGACGCCAAGAAGGACGGATCAAACTAATCTTGGTTCGAGCTCTCATCCGTATTACTATAGTACAAACTACATATTCCAACCCCAACTATCAGAGACTCTTCCCGCTTGCCCCTCCCCCCGGAACATACCTCATCATATTTCGACTGGGATGTGCCAATATTTCCTCAGGCCTTCATTTCGAGCCATTCATTTCGACAGACAGACGCACCGTTTCAATTGCCGTAACTCCTAGGCATACCCAAGAAGCGGGCATGGGCCAAATTCGCCGACATGTGTACACCTTGCACACCGCATCACCTGCCTCTTTTAAAATTCCCGACCGCTCAAGGAGCCTGCCCGCCGCGCGCCTGCTGCCTGCATTCTTAGAACGCATACACACTCTTGCATATCACCTAGTCACTTGAACCAAAAGCAGACAAAGTCAATGGGGTCCGGTCACCTGAAAAAGGTGAGAAACAGCATAGTGCAGGTAAGGCCCAGGTCGAATTGAGATGATTTCAGCTGTCCTAACCCTGGCAGCCTGGCCTTGGGAATACCGGATTGGGCCTTTTTTGGCTGGAAACGTTACCTATGATCCTCACGATGGTGTCCCGAGCTGATCAATAGTTTACAATGCTATCACTGCCCGTTTGGCAAAGATAGCCTCCTCCATGCAGCGTACCGTTGCATGAGCGACGCAAGATAACCCTTTGCTTTTTTCTTCTTTTATCTCTCAGATCCCTGTGCCGGTGGAATGGCGTCTCATTCAGGGCTGGGAGAAGTCGCTGATTGTGTCTGTGAAGTACTGCCCCTGCGGTTCCCGAACCCTCCAAGCAATCAAGACCGATGTCAGCACTCCCCAAGGGAGATTCAGCCTCATGTCCTAGCACCGTCACCTTGTATTTGGAAGAAGCCTAGCTTCTCGGGAAACTAAACAGAGCACCGCAGCTCTCACTGACACAGGCGGTCCGCCAATAACTAGCGATTCTGGCGTACAGGAATTCGCTAACGAGATCGATGGAAATCCTGTAAACCCATCATCTCAGAGACGGTTCAAAAGAACGAACCGTGAGGCTAGGGTTGGAGTGGATGGGCTTGCCGTTATGCCGGAGACGGGCGACACGCCGCCACACGCAAGCTGAACCGAGCTAACAACCGAGTCTCAGGGGGTGGGTGGAAGTCTACACTGATTGATCGGCCGGTGGAACATCCCGATCAACACATGGGGGTGCTCTATCAATAACTATGCCATGTCGCAACCTTGCCATGACAAAATGTTCCGGTTCATTCCACAACCCGCCATGCTGCATGTACCCGTAGGAAGAGTACGTCGTGACAGACTCGACGGGCAATGACGCACAGGTAAAACACATCGATATGTCAAGTAAGGGGGCCAGTCTACCTCGTTCAGCAGGGTCTATCAAGGACGTTGAAGCAGGCATCTCTGCGTCGCCCCAAGCGGCCATATCGTATCTGCTCGTTTTGTCCACTCGCACGAACCAGAGGTCCTGGGCGAGAAAACTGGGCATCTTCGTACATAGCCCAATATGCATGATGCCCGCTAGCCCGGAATCAAATAGGCACGAATGGGGGGCTCCAGCGCCTCCCATCCCCTTTCATGTCCAAGAAAACCGCAGAGAGATAACATGCTAGCTAAGTCGAGAATTCGTTGCTGACCATTCACTCCCATACCAAACGTCAAAAGGGTGGGGGGGACTTGTTTGCTCAGACGCGGTCTGCGGCGTGGCAAAGGATCACGGCATCACCTCAATGGGAAATCTCCCCGTCGCGGCCTCGCCAGTAGCTCTCCGGCCCGTCGAGGTTCGTTATTCCTTGCTAGGGCCCCAATGATGCTTCTTGGCTTCGGCGCTAGAGTGGAGACGTCTTCCTTGGTCAATCTGCGTACGACCCTGGCAGAGATTGACAATCATCTCACTACTGTGAAAGCGTGTTATAGCACGCCTTGTCGATATTGGATGCAGAAACGAAGCACGGTAAAGATCATGCAAGGCGCTGTCGTCCGTATTATCTGCCGTCTAATTATAGCAGGGTTTCCGCGCAAGGTCTCAATAGTCTTATCGTTTCGAGCGCCTTGTCATGATACTCGTATGCTGCATGTTTCGTGCGTGGCTGATGCATGATTCCGGTAAGATTGGGGAGATGACAGCTGGACAGGCAGGTTGTTTGTGTGAAGCTAGCATATGCGCTGTGAGCAGCACGCCGCCGATCCGGGAATATCGGAAGAACTTAAAAATATGAAACTGCAGCTTCCCGTTTAAATACGTTGAGGCGCGCTGTTCCTTTGTCCCATCAGATATCATCGGACTAGCTTTGAAAGCTACCGCGGCTGAGAAAGATAAGGCGACCACCGGCCCAACCGTTGCGATCTCAACCACTAGTTCGAGAGTCGTACCGTCTTTCAGCACATCATGATGTGTGCGCCGACTTGCTTATTACGACGATAGCCGCCATTTTTGTCCCCTCCAACTCATTGCGTATGCCACCCTTTGTGAATAAAGGAACGCATGTTCTAGTCTCTTATTTCCTGTGGCTTTGTGTAGTGACCGAATACGCAGATGCGCAGCTTGCAGCGCTAGATTGACCAAAATAGCTAACGTTGCCAAGATTGGCTCAAGCTGGTAATCACCTTCGACACGACCCAAAAGGCCTTTAAAAAAAGAAAGCTATCCCCAATCTACAGGAAAATCATCAAGCAGCCCTGTAAGCACATGACGTGGGAACTGTCACCCTACTTCAAATACGGGACTCGATGAAGACACAACGCCATCCACGGAGTTGATATGTCCAATTCCTAGGCAAAGGTTGTCGCAACAAAGCTTTCTATAACGTCGTTGTGCTTTGTCTTTTATCTGGACCATCGGCTATATCTCAAGGTTGTCCAGTGAACAGAAAAGACGGTGTCTTCGGCTGCTCAAGCTGCGTCGTGCGCAAGCCTTCTTGGGGAAGCTGAACGCACCCCGATCGATTATGGGCCGTGCCTGCTCTGGGCTGGCTGAAGGACTAAAACAATAGCCAAAAAGTTTATCGACAACAGAGTTCGACAGGTAAATACCGAACAGATGTTTCGCGACGTTGCTTTGTCGTGGTGGCGCCAGATGCTCTGAAAGCGGGGATTGGAAATGTGATGTTGAGCAAGATGGGTATTTGTAGGGCGGGATCCCTGCATGATTAGGTTTCGAATTCCAGGCAAGAGAGCCCTGCTTTCTTAAGCCCCAGCAATGTGGCTCGAGCTTCTGGGACGATCTGCACGGGAGTAACCAAGCTTTAGCTGGGCTGATCGTTTTTTGGGAGCTGTTCTCAGACATGGAGCATCAAATGTGACTCTGGTTATTCTGATATAGCCTGTGATGTAATTCTGATGATGTTTCAGCGCTACAGTCCTCACATGTCACTACGAGAACTTTGATCGCACGGGAGGCGGCTGGAGATGTTATTTGAATGGGTTTCCAGCCGACTCGTAGTGAACGGTGGCGCCGACATCAGATGCTTTTTTGCTGCTTGGGAAAGGGATAATGGGGAATGCTGATACAAATCCACATCAGATAACCAACATTCCCGGCATATGAAACCGCTCTCACTGATCAACAAGCGGATAAAATTGGGAACAGATGGAGAGAAGCTGGGTTCGTGTGTGCATACGATCAATTTTGGTCCCACATGAGCAGTTCAACGGAACTGAAAGCTGGGCGAGGCAGAGAAGGACGGGACTAAAGTTTAAACTTAAAACGTGTCTAACATGGCAGGGAGAAAACACAGTCAGCCGATTGCCGCGAGGCATCTGCAGGGACCTCGAAGGTGCCGCACTCTCTTTCCGCTACCTCGACTCTGCAGTTTAGTAGTTTGCTGGAGCCTGAAGTGGCTCTCATTGACAAGTGACGAGGCTTCGCCCCAGCATCTTGCTCGGTGATTAGTCATTGACCGCCCCCCACTTGGCGGCAATTCCTCAGACGAGCGCCTACCGAAAGGAGATAATTAAACGAGCAGCCGCAAGTTGACGCAAGCCCCCAATAACTGAGGATGGTACGTGCGCTGGACACCAGGGGCCCACTTCAGTTAGTGCGGGAACCACTGGGCAGGAAGAGGACGAGGAGTATGAGCAAAGTGGTAAGGTTGAGTTAGGCAAAGTGTGGAGCGGGCAAACTGGCACTGGCTGCTGAACCAATGGAACTTGCCTGGGAATCACGCGCATTGCCTCCTGCCCCCCAGTGCGTTCCCAGTGCCAGCGGCCAGCGCACTTTCCGTCCCAGCCCAGCCAGCAGCCCAGTCCCGTCCGCAGTCCTCGCCTTTCCTGTCCGACCGACCGACCGACCGAATACAGCCTCAAAGTTCTTCCATCATCATCACCCACAGCCCACGCAACACAAAAAAAATTGCGCCGCGTCGCCGCAGACGAACTGCACCCGATTCATTCCTTGCTCATCTCTACCTGGCAAGCGCGCTGCTCGCTATTGCTGCTTGCACTCCGCTACCGCTGTCGCGTCAGCAGCATCCTTACTTCATCTTACGTTGCCTTGCGTCGCTCGAATCCCCCAGCGCCCGCCAATCGCGCGACCCGACCGCCCCCTCCCATTTTGATGGCTCCCTGATCATCTCGTCCCTACGTCACCCGGCACAACTCGTTGCCACAAATCATCCGCGGCCGCATCGTTAACGACGTCCCGAGTTTCTCGTCCCCGACCGACGTCTTTCTTGCGAGCCGCGCCCCATTTCAGGCGCGACCGACCGACGGGAAAGTGGCGCTCACCATCCTTAGCCAGACCGACGCTGAGCTGTCCCTACAACAACATCTCGACCTCGCCCCCGACATCCTTAGCTACCCCCGTCTCACCACCGAGGGGGGCACCGAACCATTGATGATGGCACAACCCGTGCCTCATCATGCGACGGACAAGAAACGCGTCAAGGTCTACGAGCTGCGCAACAATGACTGGTTCGACCGAGGCACCGGCTTCTGTACCGCTGCGTTTATGCAGGTACGTGATATCGCACGTAACCCTGTCTGTTTGCTCGGCCATCTCGAGATGAACCCTTCCGCCCTCTTTGGATTATTCTCTCTCTCGGAAGGTCAGACCAAAAGCTAACCCAACCTTGTACCACCAGACGGAAGACGGCCAACCTCGAGACCCCCGAGTCATCGTCGAATCCGAAGACCACCCCGATCGGCTTTTGCTGGAGACAAAGATCTGCAAGGAGGATGGCTTCCAAAAGCAGCAAGGCAAGTCGCCCACTGCTACTCGGTGCGGCGCAACCCGACTGACTTGGGAAACAGAGACTCTGATTGTCTGGACAGAGCCCAGCAATGGCATCGACATGGCGCTTTCTTTCCAAGAAGCAGATGGATGTGCCCTAATCTGGTACTTCAAGGACCCTTACCTCTTGGCTCATTCACGATCTATCGCTAATCACGCCTCCTCATTAGGAAATTCGTCAACAGCGTGCAGCAGACTTTCCAAGGTGGAATGGTTGCCGCAGGTGGGTCGCGTGTGATCGGACAAAGTCTGGACACTGTTGATTCTGACGCCGCAGCTACAGATGACAGCCTATCTGATGATCTTGCTATGGAGATGCCAAGTACCGTCAGTCTCCCCCCAGCCGAAATTGGAAACCTCCAGGAGATCGAGACTAGCATGCGCATCATGAGTCAGACGGCCGGTGGACGAGACGCTCTGGCCAAATGCATCATGGGCGATAACTACATTGGCAGACTGATTCCCTTAGTTGAGATGGCTGAGGATTTGGAGAGCCTTCCCGACCTCCATCGGCTATGCAACATTATGAAAACCGTTATTCTTTTGAACGACACTGCCATTATCGAACATGCGGTCTCTGACGAATGTGTCATTGGAGTGGTTGGCGCTCTCGAATACGACCCGGATTTCCCAAGCCACAAGGCAAACCACCGTCACTGGCTGGGCAACCAAGGAAGATACAAGGAGGTTGTTCCCATTGAGGATGAACAGATCCGACGAAAGATACACCAGACATATCGGCTTCAATACCTGAAGGATGTTGTGTTGGCCCGAATTCTCGACGACCCGACTTTCTCCGTGCTCAACTCGTTGATCTTCTTTAACCAAGTGGACATCGTCCAGCATCTTCAAGGAAACGCAGGGTTCCTCAATGAGCTATTCAGTGTCTTCAAAGCGACTCAGCCGGACCAGAAACGAAAGAAGGATGCTGTTATTTTCATACAACAGTGCTGTGCTATCGCGAAGAACTTGCAGCCTCCCGCTCGGCAGACCCTGTTCACCAACTTCCTCCATCATGGACTTCTTCAGGTGATTAACTTTGGTCTGCGCCACAGCGATGTGGGTGTTCGGGTTGGAGCTACCGATATATTGGTTGCTCTAATAGACCACGACCCTCAGCTGATTCGCCACACGATCTACCGACAATTACAGGAGCGCCAGCCCCCGCTGACGGACTCTCTGATTGACCTTCTCCTTGTGGAAGTTGACCTTGGTGTTAAGTCGCAAATTTCGGATGCACTGAAAGTTCTCCTCGACATGCCGCCACAGATGTCGCAAGAGGTTTTCACTAAAGCCAACGGAGAATACGTCAATTCCGTTCGAAGATCTGGAGATGTCCAGCAAGATGTCTATATTAATAGTTTCTATAGCACTTCCGCAACTCGCTTGTTCAAGCCGTTGATGGATCTTTATGGTCGCACCGACATGAAGTTCCCGGTGCAACAAGCCTCCATGTTTACATATCTGATCGAGATATTGTGCTTCTTCATCAGGCAGCATGGAAACCGCTCAAAGACATTTATTCTTGAGCAAGACATCTTTCGGCGAATTGCCCAGCTGTTGGCGTGTCCGGAGAAGTACCTTCGACTGGGTAAGTTTTCTTCATGAGTTATCAGCCTGTCCCCACTAACAAGTTCCTTCAGTTGCTATTCGCTTCTTTCGTCATCTTGCAGCCCTGCAGGACCCCTTTTATGACAAGCATATCATGGAACACGGGATCCTGGAGCCACTGCTTCAGTTGGTTTCTCAATCGATGCCTCGGGACAACTTACTGAGCTCGGCTTGCGTGGAATTTTTCGTCTTCATAAATGGTCACGAGAACAAAAAGGATTACGCAAAATTTCTCGTTCAAAATTATCGAGACCAGCTGGTTGAGCTCAGCTACGTAGACACCTTCAAATCCATTGTCACCAACTACGACCAAACACAAGGATTTACTTTGGATCTTTACAACGAGTCGGAGGAAGACCATGCAAGACGAATGGCCAACCCGCACGCGAGGCTAGCTGAACAACTTCCAGTGGATAGCGAGCAAGATGAATACTTCAACACATCGGACGACGATGAAAACCCCGAAGGTCAGGCCTTTGAAAAGCTACACCCCACAAATGGCTCTGCCGCATCAACTCCGGGCTCAAAACCTCTAGTGGACTATTCTTCGGACGAAGAAGCGGATGAGAATGTGGACCCCGAGGTCCTGCCCACATCCGGTGAAAAGCAGGAGGGGGCAGATGGCGCCTCCGACACAAGCAGCGAGTCATCATCGGTAGCACCACCAGAGCGGCTCTCAGAAAAGAGGCGCCGCGAAGAGGACGATGACGACGAGCTTGGCAAGATGATGCAAAACAAACGAAGGAACAGCAGTTCCGCAGGCTCAAACGCATCAATGACATCGGGCATGGTCAGGAGGAAGAAGAGCTTTGCAGATCGGTCAAACTCGGCAGCGCCGAAAAAGATTGCCATCAGCATATCTCCGTCAGTGAAAACCGGCGGCGCGGCGAGGTCGGACGACGAATCCTAGGCGTTTCTTCCGGGTAACCATATTGCATGGTCGACTACGGACATGATTGGTGATGACTGTTACTATCTTGCTTTTTACCAAGGACGGGCAATTTTCGGCGGCCGAGGCGTTATAATCAAAGTTCACGAAATGGGAAATCGAGAAGAATTGCCGAGAATAGCTAGAGAGAAGGAGGAAGCGAGACAGAAGAGACCTTGCCATGCGGAAAGAAAGGACTAGACATGGTTCCAACCGAGGACAAGGAGAAATACCAAGTTGAGTGGAGATGAGTTGGCAAGTTGATCTTAAGAGTGTACGCCGATGAAAGCCCCTCCGAGGAGGAGAGACAAAGGAACAGACCCATCGTGGTAGGGTCCTGCGGGATGGGGTTGTTAGCTACGTGTACCATATTTTGTTGAGACGCTTCTCCAAAGGCTTGCGGCTGGCGGGCCTGTTTATTTTCTCCACGAGGCTTTTCATCGGGTGCGTAGGTCCCCCCCTACTCTGAGCAAATACCAATTTGGCTTGAACCAAAACCACTTGTTTCCAAGGATGTTGTGATTCTTCTGGTGACCCTACTGAAACTTTGCGTGCGATTCCAGAAATGCCCATGTCGCTGAAAATTGAAGGTGTTTTATGACTTGCATATCTCTAGATATGATTTACATTTTACATTTAAATGTACACGTATTTGTACACTATAGTATTTTGAGGATATCCCCCCGTCTCCTTGTCCCACTTTGTACGTCTCTCTGTCTCTCTCACTTCCTCTCTCTCTTTCCTCGCCGGCTTTTTCTGCCAAAGTCCATCGTACAACACTTCTATATCAATAGGGTTTTAGTACAAGCTTCTCATGGATTGCATCTCCTCTTCCCTTAACATATCCATGGCCTGTTCATTATCAAGAGATGGCACGGCAGAGTCGTTGAATCTAGCTTTGAAGTAGGGAACAGCAGTCTTCGGTCTGCCCCCTGTGAGGGACTCGAGAATCATTTCTTTCCTTTCGGCATGGACGATGATGTTCTCCTTTGCAACCTCATCTCGCACTTGTCTGACAAAGGCAAGCGTCTCCCGGTCCGATTGGCGAAGCTCCTCATCCTTCATGGCCTCTGAGGCACGCTGCAGATAGAAGATGGTCTGATCAAGAGCACGTATGCAGGGCCTACGGAAGCGGTATTCGCGCTCTCGGAGTTGGGAAACCAACCAGCGTACCTTGTCATACTCGTGGCGGGCCGTGTAGATCCGCACCAATCTCTTAAAGTTGTTAAGGTTGTAGCAAACGTCCCCTTTGCCATTGGTCTCGGCGGCCAAGACGCAAACAAAGATAGCCTCCCGATAGTTGCGTAGGGAGCAACAGAGGTCGACGGCGCGGGTGAAGACTTTGTCATCAATGCGGATGCCTTCGTCACGTAGGTCGTACACGATTCTCTTGATGGCGGGGAATGGCCGGCCACGTCCTTCCACCGTCGTTGCCGCATTCTGTTGGTACCTCTTGACGTCGTCGAACTTTGCTTCGACGACGGGGACGACGGCGGAGCCTACGTCGTGACCTTCTGAGTGGGCCTTGGCCAGCAGGCCCTTTGCCTTTTTGCAGAACGGCCCGTTGATTTTGACGCAAGCGTACATCATGAGTCGGAGGCAGCGGCCTGAGAAGCCCATCTGATTGTGCACGGCGCGGTTGTAGATGGACTGTACGACGGACCAGTTCTCATGTTGAGCTTCCAGGAGCATACGGCCGAAGGTCTTGCGCTCGTCTGCAGGGCTGAACCGGTGACCTCGTAACTGGACGCGTCTGAGAGTGGCCTCCGACTTCGCCTCGATGAGTTGTGTGAATGACCTGTCAATGGAGGGGAACTCATACTGGACACCGGCCAAAATGAGTGCGTTGTACAACGTCTCCATATCCTGATCTGTATAAGCCCAATCCCGCTTGCAACTGTTCAAGACGGTTGTCCAAAAGCGCACATCCGTATGGAATCCAGCTTCCTTGCAAAATTTCAGCCACCGGGCCATTGCCTTAATATCATGGCATTTACCATGCCTGTCGGCGATAAATGTGACCAGAAAGCGGTCGAGGACCACCCCTAGTTCCTGGACATAAGTCGCCAGAAACGTCTCGGTCTCCCCCCACGTATGACTTTTTGAGTAAGTCTGCAGAACTTTCACGAAAATGCTGTTGAACCGTAACCGCTGGTCCTCGGGAAAGGGTTGCATCGCCTTCAATGCCTCGAAGTCGGCTCGAACCCCATCCCAGTCCCCGAGGTCAGCCTTGCGGTTGGCGAATGCGCCTCGAAGCTCGACGTCGTTTCGTGCAACCGGATAGTGAGAACAAAGCTCTTCAAAATTGGATTGCGCCGAGACCATGTCATTTGCCTCAAGACAAATTCGCACTATGGTGCGCCGAATGGCGTAGCTGTCATCAACGTCGTAGAAATCGTTCTCCAGCACATGACTGATGAGTTTCTGTGCAATTTCATAACCAAGAGAGGATGTCCAACTGCACCACAACACATTTTCCACCCATTGAGCAGGCGCCTTCCATTCCTCCATCTGTCTGAACTGGTTCATGACGTCCAAGAATCCCAAGGCCGAGTAACCTCTTGATCTCAAGACCCAATTAACTGCGAGCTCACTTAGCTCTTTTGAAGATCCACGTGGATTGTTTTTTGCGTAGAATGTGAGAAATGTGTCGAGGCCCAGCGTTGGTTCGCGATATAATTCGAGTTGACGGAGAAACCATAGTGTATCGGGGAGTTTCTTTCTTGACATATAGTAGACTCTCCCCCAGACACCCATGGTAAGTTTGCCTCGGAGCAAGCTGAGAGCACTACAAATGAGATCTTTGCCAGTTCCGATGTATTCTTGTTGCACCCGATAAGGCGCCCATTCGATATCGACGATGTCGGCCACATACAACTCTGTTACTTCGGTGACATATTCTGTCAGAGCTGAAGGGGATTCGATTCTTGACGTTTGGTCTTTAGACATCAGACTAGCTATAAGATTTTGTGGTTGATGGGCCAGGTAGTCTCCCAAGCTTAGCGGTCCATGGCTGACAATAACCTTCAGAATCTGCCCTGCGACATCATAGTGACCTTCTTGCTGGCATGCAATACAAAGAGTCGAAGACAGTTTGATGAGCCAGTCAGGGAGCTCTCTAGAACTAGAGGTCGAATTATATGCTCGGCGAACAATACCCAAAGCGGCGGCCGGGGTGTATTGTTCCACATCGGGTGTAAAGCTGTGATGCAAGTCTTCTGGTTCTCGGAAAAGAGGGTTGTCTTTCCAGAAGGCATTGATAATGCTGGCAATGGCGTTTTTGTTCGGCGTGCTGACGTAGGCGCGCGTTTTTGCAACTTCGCCAACAGCAGGCACAGAGTGTTTCATGACATCCGGCCGTGAAAACCGAGACCAAGAGGAATCCTTGCTTGTTTCCTTTGCGGCATCGGAGGCGGATCGTCGGTGCCGGGTCGGTACGCTTGCTTTCTCCAACGACGGTTCTGATGCATCTCGTCCTTTCGCTTCTCTCGTTTGTCTTGTTGGGCGCCGCGGGTCGGGCCCAAGATCATGCGCCACATAATCCAAGTAGGTACTATCGCCGGAGAGATGCCTGTGTTCCTGGGAGGAGGATCTGCTCCGTGACCGATTGGACCAGCCCACGAAGTTAGGATCTGTACGAACCTCTTCGTGGAGTGCCTCGAGGGCGGCGCCGCCACTGGAGCTGTATCGCTTCAAGGACTTCAGTCTTCTTCCATTCTCGACGGCGGATCGGGCAATCTTGATGCGTTGACGGCGTTCCTCTGCTAGTAGTACAAGCGAGCATGATGTTCCAAAAAGAAGGCCCCGGAGCGCATGAATTGCTGCCTTCGAAGGCACGGGGGGTGGACCAGACATTGCGCAGCAAGCTCGACAATTGCCATGACCGTTTTGGCTCGTCTATCGGGACATTGTGAGCGTGGCGCGATCAATGGTTGGGGAGCAAAGATGTCGTGCGGCCGCGGATTGGTGCCAATTGGCCGTCAAGAAGCACCAGACAAAATATCGAAAGACCCTTGTCGAAGCCGGAATTATCGTACCATTGCCTAGTGACAGCTCGGTCGCGCTACCCGCTCCGGGCTGTTGGGAAAGAATTCGGCCGGGAGCGCCGTTCTTCCGATCCGCTGGCCTTGAGCTTTGACCATCCCGGAATGGCAAATACAGTTAGTGTTCACAATTTGACACTGTGCTGCGCCTGATGTAGGTTCCATCGTCACTCCTACATAGAATAAGAGTCTATCGTCAGTCACCTCCGAGTAGCTCTAATGTGCTCTTTTTCATTGAGTGCCGTTACTTCCGGGCTTCCAGAATCTCTCAACTTGCCATTGGAAGGAATTCACCCGACTAGTGCTTATGTTGTCCGTGTGCTAGTTATCAAAGTCGTCCAGCTCAGTTGAGGTACACATATTTTGGAAGGCCCGGGAATGGCGGAGGTGACCCCGACAGGTCAACCTCTCTCAACCTGTATCCAAGACGTTTCAATTCGCGGCACCTTGATGGTTGGAAATGCTGATGCAGATAACAAACGTCAACTAAACGAAATAATTCCGCTTAGCATCATGAGTCATATTCAGTCACCTCTCTAAAAAATAAGCTTGACGAGATATTGACCCGGCTGCTTATAAACCATGTTCTCTCACCGAAACTACAGATGTATTTCTATTGGTTTATCGGACTTAAACTCGGACTCCGCTAGCTTCACGCAAGAGATAATGAAACCGGCACGAAATATTCCAGCATCCTAGATGCGGGACAATGAAGATAGTACCCGGGGTTAAGGTCGGTATTAATTAAACTACGATTAACGTCAGCCACTTGCTTGACTGAACCTCTATGCAAGCCACTATTGCATGCCATGCCAGCTGGAACGTTACGGACTTAAGGCCAGTGCAGAGCTAACTCTAAATGCCCACATATCCAATGGGACATCTGATACCTGGACGGACTCGTCGAGCAATGATGAAATCATCCACATTTGCACCTACGGTCCGCTTGACGACTTAGTTTGGATGGTTTCCTTCAAGGGGCTATACCCCCTCGTCCCATGATTGGTTTTCCTGTTCAAGTGGGAAAGAGGAAGTGGTATAAGATTCAACCCCTCCTTCCTCGAACATCTTAAATCAGATCAAACATTAGATTTTCTTCGGGAACAGGATATTCACTTCCAATAACATTTATTAACAGTCATTCTCTTCCGCCGTATTCTCTACAGGATTTATTCTCATCAATATACACTCAAGCCGCCACCATGTCAGCTCTACCTATGGCAGCTCCTCCCAAGAGTCCTTTGGCTCGCTATCGCATGCTTTCCCCCACAGCTTCCGTGCGGGTAAGCCCATTGTGCCTCGGCGCCATGAACTTCGGCGATGCCTGGTCAATCACACTCTCCCTTGTTGAAACGTTCTCTCCCTAACACTGATTACAGGCAAGGATACATGGGAACGTGCGACCAAAAGACTGTCGAGAGTATTCTCGATTTCTTCTATGAGCAGGGTGGTAACTTTATTGATACTGCAAACAACTACCAATTTGAGGAGTCTGAAGCCTGGATTGGCGAATGGATGAAGAAGAGAGGCGTCCGAGACGAGATAGGTGAGCGTTTGTACCCCGGCAAACCAGCAAGCACTAACGCGTTGCCAGTCATCGCAACCAAGTATACCACTAACTTCCGAGCTGGGCCTAAGGCCCCTAACATCATGGCCAACTTTACCGGCAACGGATCCAAGAGCTTGCACACCTCCGTTGAGGCCAGCCTCCGGAAACTGCAGACTGACTACATCGACTTGGTGAGCTTCCGCACCCTGAAATGGCCAAGTGACGTCACTGACTTTTAGCGTAGCTCTATGTGCACTGGTGGGACTACTCTACGTCGATCCCCGAGCTGATGCAGTCCCTTAACAACCTCGTCGTTACTGGAAAGGTTCTTTACCTGGGTATCAGTGACACTCCCGCCTGGGTTGTCAGGTACGTCTCAAAAGCAACCACATGACCAGGCAGGCACTAACTACAGAGCAGCAAGGCAAACGAGTATGCGAGAAATCATGGACTCCGCCAGTTCTCCGTCTACCAGGGCCGATGGTCTGCTGCATCTCGCGATTTTGAACGTGAGATTATCCCGATGACCAAGGCTGAAGGCATGGGTCTGGCTCCCTGGGGCGCGCTGGGCGGCGGCGCTTTCAAGACGGAAGAGCAACGCAAGTCTCAGGAGGGCCGCAAGATTCAAGCCAGCGAGACACAGATCAAGATCAGCCAGGTCCTGGAGAAAATCGCCAAGCGTAAAGACACGATCATCACTAGCGTCGCCCTGGCGTATGTCTTGCAGAAGACACCTTACGTCTTCCCAATTGTTGGCGGCCGTACTGTCGACCACCTGAAGCAGAACATCGAGGCTCTAGCTCTAAACCTGAGCGATGAAGACATCCAAGAAATCGAGGCAGCTGTGCCATTCGATATGGGATTCCCTCACAACTTCCTGTGGGGCGAAAAGATCCCATCAAACCCTGGTGAGGTTTGGCTGCTGAACATGGGAGGGACCTACGATTATGTCCCCGAACCCAAAGCGATTGCACCTAAAGAAAGTGAACAGTAGGGCTGGAAAGTCAGGACTCAGCGTAAAAGATGGCGACCGACAGACTATTAAATGTGTATAATACAATTGTTGGCGGTCCCCTATAGGCACAGTCGCACCAATCGATAGTTGAAATTAGCTTGTCGATGACTTTGATTCGCCAATGTGTGCAAGAGAAGTGAGATTCGTCGTCTGCCTTCGAGCATGGAAATGCCGCTAACTTAATGTTTGAGGCTCTTGAATCTGCAACGCACCCTGCTGACCCGGCAGTGCTCGCTTACGTCGACATGCAGGGGCTAGCGACGACGGCCATCATACAGGTCAACATTCGCTGCAGATGGAGTGATTCAGGCAGCTTCATTGGACGCGTTGACCTGAATTTAGATTTTGTCGAATCAAGGTACTACTACCTAAATTGATGAGCCCCTACACGTCTTAAAGGGGAAGACACCCCCCGCAAACCGAGGAAAGTCCACTTCTTGGATAGATTTACGCTTTACAAAATAGGAAATATTTGGTACAACTATCTTATCACGAAGGTAAACACTCCTCTCCGTTTGTACGTTTGCCCCATTAAGGGCTAAGAGATTGATAAACTGGTGTTCTTTCCTCATACAAGCTCACTCACTAGCCGTTGCTCCAGATTTCCTGGCATAACCCATAAGCCTCATGGTGGGGAGGCAACTTCCCCCCATAAGTTTATTAAATACACAGGTGCCCTCCTCTTGACAGTCAATGATCTGCAAACTTCCTCCCACATTTCAAACTCGGGGACTGTTTACAGAAGAGCATCCCATGAAGCATCTTCAACAAATCCTCCATTTGATCCCATTCCGCGTACACTATCTGGAGGCGTTCTTCATCTCCCGCTTCCGGACCTATGGCATCGATGACTATTCCAGTAATATGAACCTACATCTACTCCGATTCATTGTGCAACAGAAGTTCAATTAAAAGTGCCGAGGCTAACTTACCTAAAATGGACCCTCGGTCAAGTGAGTTTGTAACCAACACGTTAAGCTTGGCTAATCTCATAATAGAAGCCATGAGGACAAACCGCTTTTAGATGTTGCCACGAACCCTATTCTAACATTTGACGACAAATCCTCTTCTCCGTTGAATGATATAACAGCGTTTGGCGACACTGAGCAGAGACCAATCCAAAGTCACGAAATAAAGCAAAGACATTGTCAACATAGGTGTAGAACTCTAATGTCGTCAAGAACATCCGATATAGCTGTAAAGGCGGAACCGCAAGACATCTCTTAGGAATCAGAAATATTCCCAATGACAAAGAAAGACATCTCTCAGCATTCTGTTGAACCCGAAAACCTTCCAGCTCAGCAAGAATTGCGGAAAAAGAGGAGAATGACCTCTCCCATCAGGCCCAGTTTCACGCTAGGGGCTGATCTACAGCCTGGAATTCGGTTCGACCGACATGAAGGTAATTGGAGATGTCAATTTTGTCGGTTTGATTCTAACTTTCTAAAGCTTGGGGTGAACCGGTAACCAAAGGGCTCTTTCCGGTGTTTGTGACCAAGACGCCAAGCCCCAACCCGAGACGAGGCCCAAAGATCCATCCAGAGGATTACAAAGTATTGCTATCGACAAACCCCTCAAGTCTGCATCTTCGTCGGGGCATCAGAGATGGTTTCGAATACCAAGAGACACGCAGGGCCAGTATCCACCTGGCTACCAGGCGACGTAGAAGATCTCCTACTCTACCAGGAGTAGGCCCGCTCAACACCACTGATAAATCGAAGACCACCAATACATCAACACAATCCGGATTAGCGTCCAGTCGGGAAAGAATCAGCTCCGGAAATTCACCTTCTACACAGGGCTTGCTGATCCGGAACGAGCCCCGAAGTCTCCATCACTCGAGGCCAGACTCTGCTTTTGAGAATTCAAGCCACAAGGTACTGCCGTCTGTGGAGAGCGATGTCTTTGAAAGAACTCACAGCATACCATTGATCTTGCCAGCTTCAGGCACCCAAAATCGAAATTATGGCCAACGGAGTTCAATGACGAATCGGGTGGTGGATGCCTCTGCTTTAGAAAAGGGCAATATATATACTCCAAACCGCAGTAGCCGCAGCAGGAATAGCATTTTGAGCACGGACAGGAGGTTGTCTTGCAGAGAGGTTCAAATTTCTTCGCATCCTCTTGAAATCTCACGTCCATACGACGGACAGGCTCAGCAACCACAATCGAATACCTGGGCCGCCGACCTTGAGGGCCTCAGACCGAAGTCAACATGATCATGTAAGCGGACCACCGACCAGGAATGGATGGAAATAATAGGGCTAGGCGAGTTTGAGATACGAACTTGAGTGGATGTTCAGACATGATAGTATCTTCAGAGCACGGTAGTACAGAAGGACAGTACGTGTCGTCTGTAGAGGTCAAACGTCTTGTCCTGCCCAGCTGGGCTTGGACTTTTGGGAGATTAGCTGGATGCCGACTACCAACAAATGTATGCACATCACGGCTTCACCCCCCAATACAAGAGGTATAATCTGATATAATACATACCAGGCTTTTCCGTAACCCTCCCGGTCCGTCAAAATGAGCTTGCTTGCATATGGAAACCGCCTCAAACGCCATGCGCCTTTGTATTCATCAAATCCACCCCATATGATTCAAGCGTGTACTCATTTCGCGCCCTTGCCCTTGGCCTCCGTCTCTCCAAGTTCACGGATGAACACGCTGGCCTTGCCCTCCGCGCTGTAGTCCTCCATGCCTGTCTCGAAGCCCGGGCAGACACCGATGGCGAGGTATCTGCCATCCTTGGAGAAAGCCAGCGCGGCGACGCTGTCAGGGAACTTCTGATACTGCTTCATTCTGCGCTTGGCCTCGGCATCCCAGAGTGCAACAGTGCCATCGCCGCCACCCGAGGCAAAGGTGCCGTAGACAGGATGGAAAGCCATAGCGTTGACTGGGTAGACAATGTCTCCCTCACCCTCGGCAGGCGCGGCCTGACGATGGCACTTGAAAGCATATTTGCGGGCCTGAGACTCAGCTGAGTCCTCGAACCACTCGACGGCGACGCGGCCCTCGATGCTGCTCGTAGCGTAGCCAGCGTCATTTGGCATGCAAGAGACGGCGCGGGTGAGGAATTTGAGCGAAGACTCGCGCTGCTGCCAGGGCTTGATGTCGTGGGGACCCTCTTGGGAAAAGAGAGCAGGAATAGTACTGAGGTCGTAGATGTTGACGAGGCGGGCTGTCATGGCGACAACAACCTTAGAGGGGCTGGCGGCCAGAGCATGGGGCTTGCCGGGCAGGTGAATCGTAATGTTTGGGTCGGAGGGGGACTTTGCATTGTGAAATTGAAGGGTCTGATCCCAGGAGGCGGAGACGAGGAGGGCTGTAGCGAGTGCGTTAGTTGAGATCGTCTAAGGTGAAGGGGTAAAACGCACAGTGCTCCGGGCTGTAGACCACACATCGCGCGGGCGCAGTGTGTTGAGAAACCACTTGCTTCTCCCCCGACTCCAAGTCGACCCTATAAAGCCAATCAGCCGTTGAAGTTGTTTTGGTGGATGATCCTAGGTGCTGTCATACCGGTAGACACAATGATCTAAACAAGCCGTGTAGGCCTCGTCGTCTGTCGCGCCGAAAGATACATCAAGCACAGGGGCCCGAAACTCAATCGTCTTAAGAAGTGTGCCTGGAGCGTCTTCGCCTCCGCTGTGTGTGTCATAGAGGTAGATTTTCTTGTCCCAGCAGGAGACCAGGAGCTTTGTAGGAGAGTTAGGCGCATATGCGAGCGCAGAAATAGCGTCGCTGGGCGGTTGCGCCAGCTCGAATTGGGATGCTATCCAGGAGTTAATTATCAGTCTTCTTCGAAAACACGAGAAACATGAATCTTCTACTGAAACTCACCAGGTGCCATGTTGAATTCGAGAATTTGCTATTAGGCTTGCAGCTCTTCACCGTGACCTCGAGCTAGGATGGTAGCTTCGGTGAGGCATGTTTACATTAGCATTTTGGTTGGAGGGGTGCTCACGTGGCGATAAGCGAAGCAGAGCTTATCGGACGAATCAGCACCGATTCTGCCATGGACTACCGCCTCCAAACCGCACCCCACCATTGTCGGATTTCTGCGATTTGTGAACCGCAAAGTAGCAAAATTGTGACTCGATCGCCCAATCACCAACGCAACTCTGCTCACCACCTGGAGGCCATTTTTCGACGCCGCCCCAAGCAATCGATCCCACCTCTACGTCCGCGACTCGAAACCACGACAAGCAGGCGAAATACCACCGAGCACAGAGGAAACAAGCAGTCTTAAAAAGACTTGGAGGAACGTATAAAAAGCCCGCGCGCCTTCTTTCGCACCCCGCCCCTCCACTCTCGACCTTTACCCTCAACTCCCGGTTAACGACCACCGTAACGCCACCTACACCGTTCGCACTCGACGACTTCGAGAACAACTAGCCAAGATGGCGGAACCGAACTACAGCCATTTTCGATACTTCGAAAACAAGTATCCCGAGATCGATGAGTTCGTCATGGTCAACGTCAAGCAGGTTTGTGCCCCGCTGCCTAACGCACACGGCGCCAAACCGACCCAAGACCCCCGGTCATTGGTACGGAGCAGAGAGGAACACGGTCTGACACGACGATAGATTGCCGAGATGGGCGCGTACGTAAAGCTTCTCGAGTACGACAACATTGACGGCATGATTCTGCTTTCCGAGCTTTCGAGACGTCGTATCAGAAGTATCCAGAAGCTGATTCGCGTCGGCCGCAACGAGGTTGTCGTTGTGCTTCGTGTCGACAAGGAGAAGGGCTACATCGATCTCAGCAAGCGTCGTGTGTCGCCGGAGGATATCATTAAGTGCGAGGAGCGGTACAACAAGGGCAAGATGGTCCACTCCATCATGCGCCACGTCGCTGAGAAGACCCTCACCCCTATTGAGCAGCTGTACGAGACCATCGCATGGCCCCTGAACAAGAAGTACGGCCATGCGATTGATGCTTTCAAGCTGTCCATCACGTAAGTCGGATTCAAGAACCTCGTTCAACAGTAGATAAAATACTGATAAACTTGGACAGGAACACCGAGGTCTGGAACGATGTCACCTTCCCCAGCGAGCCCGTCGCCGAGGAGCTGAAGTCATATATCGGAAAGCGTCTTACCCCTCAACCGACCAAGGTCCGTGCCGACGTCGAAGTTACCTGCTTCGGATACGAGGGTATCGATGCTGTCAAGACCGCCCTGCGCACTGCTGAATCGCGCAACACTGAGGAGACCCAGGTCAAGGTCAGGCTCGTGTCCCCGCCCCTGTACGTCCTGACCAGCACCTGCCTGGACAAGAGCCTCGGTATTACCCGGCTTGAGGAGGCCATCGTCGACATCCGGAACAGCATTGAGGCTGCTGGTGGCCAGCTGGTAGTGAAGATGGAGCCTAAGGCCGTCACGGAGAGCGATGACGCTGAGCTCCAGGCCCTTATGGAGAAGAGAGAGCGTGAGAACGCCGAAGTTAGCGGTGACGAGAGTGTCAGCGAGAGCGACGACAACCCGGAGGTTTAGAGATTTTAAACGGTCGAGGCAAATAAAAAGGGGCGGCTGGTAGAATGAGCGTACTGGCAGGCTAGGAATCCGGTGTGATTCTAATGAAACGACCAAAAAAGAATCCAATACTTCAATTTCTTTGACTGCCCTCGGTGGGAGTTGGCATGTATGGCTAATAGTGCAGGTCATCTTCGCCGTGTATTCCCAGTCAAGCTGCCATATCGTCGATGAGTGTCTGATCTTATTGTTCATTGACTTACAATGAAGTTACTTATAAAGACGTAAAATCTTCCAAGGCCAACTGGCGGTGTTATAGTAAATACCAGTGCTGTCGCAGTATGGGGTATTGAATCAAAATGTTATAAGAATGCTCGCAAGATGATTCACATAGTATCATTGGCTATGCAAACGTACAAAGATTCTTGGTGTCTTGTATCTCTGGCATCCTCAACGATACAGTGTTTTAAACCTTGAGATTGTATGTACCCTGGGCTGTAGTTTTTCTAAACTAAGTTGTAAGCAAAGAATCAAAGTATCTTCGACATAAACCTGTCGTTGTCGCTATAAGAAGCCAGCTCAGTCTCAGTGTGCGAGCCAGACTCAATAAGTGGTTTTCTTCTTGCCCCTGTACAGTTCGCACCAAGCATTGCAAAGACAACCATTAAAACTGCGACAGAAGAGGTTGGCTCTTCTGTCAGATTGTGTCCTACTGTAAATTGGATACATGGAACCTGAAAGTCACGCAATTGCACCTTCTTCGCTGGTTTGCATGCATCATGTGTGTGCATAGTAAGTGTAGTTAGAAGATATGTTGCAACTTGGCACTAGATTTAAGAAGCATAATTAAGGAAATCGCATTATTTCCTGTACCGCTGTAAAGTACTAAAGTTACACATAAGAATAAGTACTAGCTTCTTACTCAGAATCATCTGGTTGATGTTCGTGTTATGAAAAGGCACAGCATACGAGCATGGAACGAGAGTACGACGCTCAGGCACGGATGATGGCAACTTGGAGGTAAGCCCTGATGGGTGAACGATAAGAGATAAGAGATAAGATAACAGTGGGATGATGGGAGCTCGAAAGTTTCGGGACTCAAACAGGAGCACGCAGCTCTCAAAAGACTACGTGAGCAACGAGTCTACCACATACCCAAATACGATCGCGCCCATGAGCTTCCGATTGTTATGGGCGCGCGCACGAGGGAGCTTCCTCGGCGACACGACCGTCCGCCTCCTCGGTCTTGCGACCTGGGTTCCTGTTGTTATATGCTTTAACGACTATGTCGCAACAGTGACAAAGATTAGCGGTGGTTCTATGTACCCGTATTTCAATGAGGACCGCAACAGTACCCTGACGCGAGATCTCGTCCTCAATTGGAGATGGAACGCGCAGAACGACTTGAGGAGGGGCATGGTTGTCACATTCAGGTACGTTGCCTTTACTCCAATCATTGAAGCTTTTCAACTCCAAATACCTAACTTCTTTCGCATAACAGGAGCCCCTTTAACCCGGAGACCATTGCAGTCAAGAGAATAATTGCGCTGGAGGGCGACAATGTTGTAACAAGGCCACCGCACCCTCAGCCGGTTGTCAGAGTGCCGCAAGGGCATATCTGGGTCGAAGGTGACGGGCCTGCAGACCAAACGCTGGATAGTAACACTTATGGCCCCATCTCAATGGAGCTGGTCACTGGAAAGATCATTTGGTTTCTGTACCCGTGGCGGAAGTTCGGGAGCACAAGGTGGGAAGAATACAAGGCCAAGCCAAGATTCTGATGGGATCTTGTGACAACTGGGTGTACGAGTAAGGCGCCGCGCGGTAGACTCGATGAGCATCCTGTGTTGAATTCTGGATGTTCCAAACCATCATGTATAATAGACAACTTCTACCTCACCTTAATTTATTGATAGGCAATGATTACAACTGCAGCTACGCTGAACAGGTACTCTCATGTTCGGGCGTTAATAAGCCAGCGGCGGCGCCTGCCAAGCTACGTTCAGCCCGGAGCTCTCGGCAGCGCTCAAGGTCCTAAGCCGACATCTTGCTACCACAGCAGTTTCCAGCTGAAGTGAGCTCGCGGTGACGCAGCGGGACAGGTGGTCCGTGCACATCCAACAAAAATTCCAGAAGCCCAGGAACCCTGCGAAATTTCATTATCATTGATCTACTGGACCTCGCCGCCGCCAAGTTTTTTGCCAGCGCAATAAACTCACGCGACGACCAAAACGACGGGGAGGCCTCTCCTGATACTTCCCTTTTTAGCGCAACCGAGCACGGCACCGCTGTCCCGCAGAGGGTAGCCCGACTGTCTCACAATCACATATCGAACCCCGAACAACCGACATCACCGAGAGAATAGCAACGGACGCCCTACTTTGACACAGACAGGAGAGAACCGGGGCCCGACTGCGACAGACGTCACTCGCAAATGTCTGTCGCTGACCGCATCGTCAGCTACTTCGCACCGGCCAATATTAACACGCGAACGATTAAGGGAGAGCTGGAGGTTTCCAGCCCGACGGCGGCGGCTTCGTTTGCGGAGGATAGCCATGCGGTGCAGACGGGTGGACTTTTGCCGGATATCAGAATTAGCGGACAGTCCTTTGGCCAGGACATGGGTCAACAAGATGAGGCTCTCGAAGATGAGGGCCGCCCCCCTTACCTCCACGCCATGATTGCGGGAGGTGTCGGAGGCTCAACGGGAGACATGCTTATGCACTCCCTGGATACTGTCAAGACGCGCCAGCAAGGCGACCCGCACATACCACCAAAATACACGTCCCTCGGATCATCATACTACACGATATGGAGGCAAGAGGGTATTAGACGAGGTCTCTACGGTGGATGGGTGCCTGCGCTGAGCGGCTCACTTCCGGGCACCATGTTGTTTTTCGGCACATACGAATGGAGCAAACGATTCCTTATCGACCATGGTCTGCAGCATCACCTGGCATATCTCTCAGCTGGTTAGTCAAAATCGCCATCCAGGACAAAACTACAGGCTAATTCACTGTCCCTAGGTTTGCTGGGAGACTTGGCTGGCTCCGTCGTCTACGTGCCATCTGAGGTCCTCAAGACTCGAATGCAATTGCAGGGGCGGTACAATAACCCTTACTTCAAGTCAGGATACAATTACAGGGGAACGATTGACGCGGCGAGAACCATTGTCCGCCATGAGGGTCCTTCTGCGCTCTTTTATGGCTACCAGGCGACACTTTACCGTGATTTACCCTTTTCAGCGCTCCAGTTCATGTTTTGGGAGCAGTTCCACGCCTGGGCTCGTCTGTACAAACAGAGCAGAGATATTGGCGTGCCTTTGGAGCTGTTGACCGGTGGTCTGGCCGGTAGCTTGGCCGGTGTTATGACATGTCCTCTGGACGTGGTGAAGACCAGATTACAGACTCAAGTGCACCCTGATCTCCTGCCTAAGGAGAACAAGTCGGCAGCCAAGGGCGCCGCGCATGTATCCACAGCAAAATCTCAGACGCGCAACATCTCGACGTCATCACCGTCGACACACACACCGCGTCCAGGAGCGGTGAATCTACAGACCTCCTCCGTCATCACCGGCCTCAGGGTCATATACCAGACGGAGGGCGTCAGTGGATGGTTCAGGGGAGTAGGACCTCGTGGTGTGTGGACTTTCATCCAGAGCGGCACTATGCTGTTCTTGTACCAACGTATTCTTAAGCAACTAGAGATTTGGGATCCAGCCGTTGAGCCGGAAAGCAGCATTTGAAGCGCCGATGATCGGCCGGGGGCGGAAGGTTTGAGCTTTGGTGTTGGATGAGGGAAACATGTACAAACACTACCATCTGTACACTTTGTAAGGATCTAAACATGGGACTGGCGTTTGACGGCATAGTAGATGGACGTGGAGTCCCATAGAGCTGATAGAGCGAAGACAAGTCTCACTTCAAAGAGTGTATCATTATCATGAAAATAGGGGTTACGTCTAAGTTGAAAGAATGACTAAGATAAACTAAAAACAGGAATGAAGAGTAATACATACAAAATATGACTATACGTTCTCAAATCTTTTGAGCAAAGCGTAAAAAATGGCAATCGCTCGTTGCGGAAGCTCCCGGCTGTCAAGTGCAGTTCACAGTTGCCTGTCCAGGCAGAGTTTAGTGCACCCGAACCCCTGCTCCATACCCGCTAGTCCCCCCTGTAACGACAGGAGGAGCTTTACGCGGGGTGCCTCGCAGCTTCCCTGTAGCAGCTCCCAAAATTTCGATCCCAAAACGCGCCGCGCGACGTCGTCTCACATCTTCCATCGCCCTTCTTTGCCAACCACACGACCTTCCCCAACGCACAACAGGTATCTACAAGCCCAGGCATACGGAATTCGTGCACTACAAGGAGGGAGCCGCTCCAATGGCTTCCGATTCAGGCACACCACCTCCTCCTCGGGAGGCGACACCTATCGGCTCTCTGCCTGCTTCGACCGCAATCCCCTTGAAGCGACCCGCTCTCGAAGAAGACTTTGCGCCCTCGGTACCGTCTCCTCTCAATCCAGATGTCAGATCTACCCCCAAACCACCGGGTGTGGAGGAGATGCCAGCAAAACGCAGTAAGAAAGAGTCACTCAAGAAGCGCGAATCGAAGGGTACCTTTGGAGGCGACAGCAACCGAGGCACTCCGGACCCTAAGCACAGGGAGCCGAAGCAGAGCGACTACAGCCCCATGCGCTACAAATTGGCGCCTCCAAAGGCTTCTGATTTCGAGCCCGCCCGAGCTCCTGTCTTCATTTACCATCATGATGTCCTTGCGCTTGATGGAGGCAAAGTTCAGTTCTATGAGACCTCAGAACAGCGAGTACCCCGCGGCCCTGATGCGCTCGGCTTGAACTAACATCTTGATAGTGTTCACAATAAAAAGAGTTACCACTACACACACTGTATCGCAGATCCTCAATTTCCCTCGTCGCTCTACTATCGCGGCACCGAGGCAGAACCCTTCGGCCCACACTTGGCTTTCGAGGATAGCGCAACGCATTTGTTTTTCGATCAGACGGGCCGCCATATCACGACACAGAAGGGATTCCGCATGACCCGTGCCAATGTTGCAATCCGCGAAGGACGGTTCTACTGGGAGGTTAAAATTACGAGAGGCATGGTAAATAAGAAAGATGGGGAAGGGCAGGCCGAATCGCATGGTCATGTGCGCATGGGATTTGCGAGGAGAGAGGCCTCATTAGACGCCCCCGTTGGGTTCGATGCTTACAGTTATGGCTTTAGAGACGTCGGGGGCGAGAAGGTATACATGTCGCGGCCGAAGTCTTTCTTTCCGGAGGGAGAGGGCATTCGCGAAGGGGATGTCATCGGTCTAGAAATCCAGCTTCCTTCGGAACGGCTGCAGAGGAAGGTGCTGGCTGGTCAGTACAATCCAGCCGTGGACACCGGCCTAGACGACGATAGTACTGCCTTCGAAGCCCCTAATATCGTCCGAGACCGTATTCCGATCCGTTTCAAGTCGCACATCTACTTCGAGAAGATCGACTATCACACCACGAAGGAGCTTGAGGACCTTATGAACCCCTCCCCTGTCTCCTCTGGTCCAGCCAACTCGACCGAAGCGCCTCATCCTAACCATCCTGTACCCGCTCTCCGTACACTTCCCAACTCCCATATTAAGGTGTACAAGAACGGTGTCGACATGGGCACAGCCTTCACCGACCTGCTTGCTTTCCTCCCCCCTGCCTCTAAGCCTCAAGCCAACATTGGGGCCCGCGAAGGCCTCGATAATGGCATGCTCGGCTACTACCCCGCGGTAAGCGTTTTTAGGGGCGGTGCTGCCGAAGTCAACTTTGGTCCTGACTTTTGGTACCCGCCCCCAGGCGTTGCGGAGGAGGCAGATAACGACATCGATATGATTGACGGCGGGCAGGAAGAGCCGCTAAAGAAACCCGCATACCCAGGCCTTGATAAGATCCGGCCCGTGTCAGAGCGCTACACGGAGCAGATAGTGGAAGATATTGTCTACGACGTAATCGACGAGGTCGACTTCTGGGTTCAAGACGGTTGCAAAATCATTGACCGGTTTGGACAAGGCGAGAAGGCCGGCCAAACTGGCATCGCCCCAGGAGCACGAGACGAGATCAAGGAACTGGTGCAGGATGACTAGGCGTCATGTTAATGAGGCTCGCTTGCTTACGAGATACCCGACATTCTTCTTATTTTACTGATTTAACCATTGTTGCGTTGTAACTCACAACTGTACATTAAAACTATGAAGGGGGCGGAAGGTTAAGAAGATGTTTTCCAACATACTGGCCTCTATGTTTTCCCGAAAAAAAGGCGTTTCAATTGTCAAAGTACAAAGGGCGTCAAAAGGTGCAAAAAGGATTCATTTCAGCTTCGTCCACATCGTAACGCTCGTGATACTCTTTGCATTGCTGGATTCGTTCATGCATCGCCGTCCCATTAAGAATATTCCATTCGTCCCATTCACAAACCGCGCAAATCAGTCATCAGAAGCAAGGAAATCTAGCCATCATTTGCACATAACAACATTACTTCCTCGTTGCCCTTCGGCGAGGGGAGTCTGATGGCGGCGGCGACGCTCTCCGCGCAGGTGTTGTCCTCCCCGAACTGTCTCTGCCACTTCGTCTGCTACGCTCGCTCCTCTGGCTACGCGGGCGATCAGACCGGGGTGGCTCGGTGCGGGAGCGAGAAGGGCCTGGCAGGGCGGGGTCATCGGGAAGCTCCTCGATGCGGCCGCTGCCGTCGATGATCTCAGGCGCGTTCTCGCGCTTAATGCGCTCCTCACGGCCGCGCTTGTGGCAATACCACAGGACAAAGAGGAGAACTGTCTGTGTGTTAGTATTGTGGTTCTCTGGCGTAATGTGGATTTAAGGGGGGAGAACTTACGAAATAATGCGACTGAGATGATCGCATTGGTCCCGATAAAGGCGGGCCATCGCAGCTTGAGTGCATTGACTATGGCCTTGAGCATACCCACCACAGCACCTGGCTTGGTAACCAGATCCGAGAGGTTAGTGGGCGTAAACATCTTTTTGGCGGCACCCTTGATGCCGTCTTCTGCCGTCACCTCGGCGTGCTTTATGCCTTGGCTCTTTGCCGCTGCTGACAGAACCTCAGGCCCCAAGCTTGCTGTGAACTTGTCGGGGAGGTTGGTGACAAGCTTCTTCATACCGCTGGGAAGCTTGTCAAACGACTTCTTGATGGTGCCATCCTTGTCTTCGACGAGCCTCTTGATGTCGTCAACGGCAGTCGGCACGCCGTTGACGAGGTCCTTGAGAGCCAGGGTGAACTGCCGGACGAGCTCCGAGGATTCTGCTGAAAGCGGGATGGCTTTGTTGTTCTTCGCTGAGAGGTTGAGATCATCAAGCACGCGGGACAGGTCATCCTTCTCCCGGGCAGCCTCATCCGGTCCCACAGCGGCTGGTTTCGTGGGCGCGAGTTGCTTGTCCTTGTCATCGCCCTTAACCTTGGAAAAGAGGAATGCAATCTTGTTGGGCTTCTTGCCCTCTGATTTGGGGTCAACTGCAATGGTGGCCGCCTTCTTCGGGCTGGCGTCTTTGGCAGGGGAGGAGCGCCGTGATTCATCTGATTCCCAAATGTATTCTGGGGTCTTGCTTCGCGGAGGCAAAGGAGGACGGAGGTGCTCGTCGTCTGAGTCCTCGGCGTCCGGGTCGGAGAGGATACGTCTGAAGAATGCTTCATCTCTGCGGTCTAAGACGGGCGCTGGGCCGCCATGAGTGCGATCGGTGGCGGCGCTGCCAGTGGGGGAAATGGAGCGGGAGCTGGTTTGGCGCCGAGATGGTGATGGCCGCGAATTGGGTTGAGGAGTTGTCGCGCCATCGTTCTTGACGTGCTCGGCGGCCTCCTTGGCCTCCTTTTCCGTCTTGTACTTCTTGTACTGCTTGTAGCCAAAGTACTCCAGCATCGTGGGATAACAACGGGTTTGAGATCTCTGGCTGCGGTTGACTGAGGACAGTGCAGTAATGTGAAAACCTCAGGGTTGAGAGTTACTGGGTTTGCGCTCATCGACAGAACAGCGTCGTAAGTAGGCGGTCGGGTCAGTGGTTTTATTCGATGGCCAAGCGCTTCTGAATCACATGTGGTACTAATCCCGGACTGGCTACCTTGCTGTTAGACTTGTATCATGTCTTGTGAAAGCTCAGTATTAGCCACAGGATACCTTGGTTTGGGTGGCAATTGTTGGGGTAGCTTGCACAGCCACACGTGATGTCACCGCAATGCCGTCTGATGATCATTTATGCCCCTCGATTGGAGTCCTCCGGCGCAACATCAAACAAATGCAACCCCGGCTGTTGGAGCCGAGGACCCATTCAGGGTCCTTGCACCGCCACACATTGGAGGCCCCTCCAGCAAAGTGCCGCCCTACTCGCTGAGGAGTTGATAATGATCTCAATTATTTTGTGAGCGCAACGTGGCTCATCCAATGCATTTGACAGCTGTCTAAATTCTATGGCAGCTGAGTGGTCGGTTAAGTACGGCATTATGCTGCCAACGTGGGTATCATTCGCAGAAACTGCTTACATTTGAGTTTCCAGTTCGTTCCATTTTAATCTTCATCGTCTCTTTCTTCGTCTTCCCCGTCTGCCCCATTTTCGTGCATGGCTTCGTCTGCAAGATTGCTTCTACGGCCACCACTCCTACGGCGACCCCTTTGATAGGCCTCTGTGCTGGTAACCGCCCTCTCGCCCACAAAAAGCTTGCCATCCCATTCCCTCGAGCATCGCGGGCATTTCCGACTGCGCTGTGTCCGCCAGTATGCCTCCTGGCATGTGTCATGCAACCGGGCGTTGCAATCCACGTTGGAGCACCTCTGCCCAATTGTGACAACTTCCTTGCATGCCTCACAGAATTTGATGCGCTGCCACTCCTCCGCCGCTGCGTCAGGATCGTTGTATGAGTCGATGAGCATCGCCCGCAGCTCTAAAAGAGACCGCGGGCTCAACGTATAGAATCCATCCTTCGACTTTTCCAGCCAGCCCTGGCTCATCAGGTTTACAAGCATGTCCTCCACCTCACTGTGTTTCAGGCCTTTATCCGCGACGGATTGTGTCTGCGCCATCTCGCCATTCTCATCATTGTTGATATTTTGTCTCGAGGGCCGGGCGAGCTTGATCGCTTGCATATCTGTGATGGCCATGACTTCCATGCGCTGAGAGTTGTATGTTTCGAACATGGCGTCAAGCAATCTCTTAGTGAAAGAAATTTGCTCGGCATTGAAAGTTGTTGCTAGTTGTGTCATCGGGTCGGAGGCTGTGTTCACAAGGGCGTAGATACGCTTCTTGGTCACTTGGTGGATGATGCTACGAATTTCGTAATCGAAGAAGGAGACCCCCTCTGCGGCGGCCTGCACGTATGAGTCGAAATCATCGCGTGTTACTTGTTCCGGGGCGACCGGTTCGCCGTCCTCGGCTTCGATGGTGAAGATGTTGGCTAGTATGGGTTGGGCTTCTTCGAACGTGAGAGTGCCGCGGGCCAGAAAAGCCTGTAGAAAGGCTCGATTGCCATCATTATAGTGCTCTGGGACAATAGGCATGAGTGCGAAGATCGGACTTTTACGCAGTTCCACGCGACAGATAAGTGTGATGATACAAAAATAGATAGCCTGGGTGGGAGACCAGATGTGATTTGGCGAATGCTTAAAGGAATATTACGTTTGCTGATGGATATCGTGGGGATGGAGTTCCTGACGCGTCCCTAACGCGTTTTGCCTAGAGATTTAATTGAATAAGCTTCTTCCACGCCTAGCTACCCACCCGGTGCTACTGGACTTACGGAGTGTTGGTAAGTAAGTAGAAGAATTTACACAGGCCCCACCAATCAACCAACATCTGGCGGGGTCACACCTTCACGAGCCACAAAGTGGCTGGGCCTGCTGGCCAACAGCGACACGCTGCTGGGAATAATTTTATTTCTGCACTGGACGGACCTTGCAGCCGCCGCCTGCTTCTCGATTTGCAGCCCACCTCTTGCCGGGAGCAGGGCCCTTCCACAGTCCTGGATCAAGATCCTCCAGGGTGGAGGTCTAGATCCTGCCATCCCTGAACTCTCTTGTTCAGCTAAAATTCAAAAACAAATCTCACAATATTGCCGGTGCCGCATCCCAACAACACGGCACTTTGTTATGACTGTGACTGCCGATCATACATCGGTTCAAGTTGGCTGAAAGACATCAACCCTGCAAACTTTAGGGCTCGGACACGACAAAGACGACTCGTGTTGACAGTTACATGGTATTTGGCACGTGGCTGAGCCGTTTTTCAAAGCTTCAACAAGCTTCCTTCAGGCAGATTGACATTTTTACGCTGCCGATTTTCAGACCAACCGACACGACCGCAAAGCAATCTTCCCTTCCACTGTGCCACTTAACGCTAGCGACGTCCTGCTTGCCACTTTAGGCCCAATACCCGGAATCAATTGCTGTTGCTCGGGCTCTTTAGGGCGTTGGTCAGAATGGAACTTTCTGAGTCAGGAGGTCAGCCAAGTCGAGACAAAACCGCTAGTCCGAGCTCCGTCCTAGGTTGTCCCTGTCTTACAACAAGCTCTCAAGCGCCGAGCGGATGGTAAACGGCATGTCCCATTTGCACATGAGCTCAGAAGGATGAGATGGTATGATGGACAAGATGATCTTAAGAACTGGAAAACTTTATCAGCCGCGGAAAAGGCTCTGCCATCTCAGGTCACTGACTCGACCATAGACACACATAGCTTCCGCTGGAACGACTTTACCATTAGATACTGAGATGATCTTGTACGCCGCCCACGGCCCTGTCGCCTCTCCTGGGTTGAGGCTGGTCTTGGGAGCCCTCTATGGTGTTCACCCATCCACAAGCCCACAGCCATGCAGCGAATCTGCTCTTGAGAGTCTGCCTCCACCCACCATACATGTTTCGAGCCATTGATGCCTCAGACATAATCGAGAAGTGTGATTGGCCCCAACACTACTGCGGATAGTTCAGTTGAACTTGTTCTACCCACGTTGCCATGCCACCTATTCTCAGTATGGCTTAGTGCAAGTGTCACCAGCCAAGTTCGTATGGACTGCCTTCCTAGTTACAATTGCGACGACGCTTGCGCATTGCTTTTCCCTTTACTCAGCCTACCCAACTAGTGAGAGCTTCATATTAGAAACGGATTGTGGCGTCCAACGTTTTCGTCTCGGGTTGACATGCCACCAAGTCTGTGGTCGGCATATGCCGCCAGAATGCCCCGAAGAAGCGGCTAGAAAACGTCAATGTCACTTGTCTCGCCATGACGCATTCGATGACCAATTCCGGAGCTACTTGACCTTGGTGTAAGATTGCTGTGATGATCTCCTTCTCACACTATTGTGTTTCAACCCTTATTACCCACCTACATCATGTTAAAACTCTTCAAAAATCACCCCGAGCGGCCCCGCCGAGTCCTTCGCAGGATCCCCGGCCGAGACATTTTTGGACCATCGAATGCAGGCCAGGAGAGGGGCTTCTAGAGGGAGGGCTCGTAATCTGGCCCAACCTCCCCTTGTCCTCTTTCCGGAGTTTGTGGGAAGTCCCATCTCCCTATTCTGCCCCTGTACCCCGGTTCTACTTCATACAGTTGCCAGTGCCGGTCAAGGGCCGTCAGCCTCCAATGTGCCTGAATCTTAGTAGTAATTCCCTCTTGTTCCTACCAAGGAGGTTGGGTCCGGGGGAGTCCATCCATGCGCAGATCGCAAGGGGGGGCGATCGTTCTCAAGGCTGCATGATAAACATGACCTTGCCGTTACCTGCTCCCCAGTTCTTTATTTCTTCTTTCAACTCGTCCCCCGTCACCTTGTTCCCTGCCACGGACGAAAACTCCATATTCATGTCTGGCCCGTTTGGCCAACATCCAGAGGGGTGATATGGCCATTCAGCTGCCTCAAGAAGAGCTAGGCACAGCTATAGGGGTGCTTGTCTACTCTTTATTCTGCCTGGCATGCAGTTGTATTATGGCATGGTTGACGTACGCGCATCGTGAAGCTCTCAGCTGTGAGTAGCCGTGGCTGCACATCCAGGAGGCCAAACTAGTTGGCCCGCCGGACTAACGCTCGTTGCTACAGATGTCGCGCTTGTGTCATATTTCACGGGACTCTCGACTGCTGCCTCAGTTGCTCAGCAGCTCCACACAATGGTGCGTTGGAAGGATATCAAACTCGAGCAATTCCGACATTCGACCGCCAATGTCGGCAACCCTGAACTGGCGATAGCTGGACAGTCAGTCGGTCTTGACCTTGTGCTCTTCTATATCCGTTAGTCCTCCCTCGCGATCACCGATACCTTACTTTTCTTCTGACGTATATCAAGAGTTCTATAGCTACAATGTCGAGGCGGTATTGACATTCTTCTGGTAAGGTTTATCGAGTCAATATTCACGGCGATCTGATTCTAACGTCGATCCAGGGCTATTGCCCTCACGCAATCCATCTTTCAACTAGAACCTATCAAATCAATGCGCCACCGAGCCAACTATATTGCTAAAGCTACTGCGGTTCTTCTACCTGCCTTGCTGATGGGCATCCTTCGAGTCGATGCAGTTCAGAAGCAAGCGGTTCCGTTCCTGCTTCTTGCCGATGGGATCAGTAAGTATTCTCCCGTCACATACAAAGTGATCTAGCTAATGAAGTGTACAACAGTGGGGTTTTGCCTCAGTGGAAGTGGCGTCCTCCTCATAGTCATATTAGTAAAATACATCCACACGCGCCGCAATCTCCTGTCATGGAACGTAGGTTATGGGCAACATTCGAATAGTACCAAAAGCAGCGGTACTCTGGTCATCGATACCAGCACGGGAAAACGTCGTCAGAGCATCTACGACAGATGGCTTGTTGTACGCTTCAGTATAGCGTTCGTAGCTCTGGCGTAAGAACAAACTCTGTCCTAAAGCTTTAGTGCCAAGAAGGCTAACTAACTCGTCAACAGAATCTTTCAGGTCGTCACGATCATGTTTCAAGTGTCTTCGGCGCGGCAGAATAGTCGTGATTTCTTGAATGATGGCCCGGATCTTAGCACGGAGCGTCTTCACTCGGACCTGATTCTCTTTTTACCTGGCGTGTCTGCAAGTCTGTTAACCTTCGTTGTTTTCGGCACAACGAAAACATTCCGAGATTACATGGTAACGAAACTGATACCGAGGCGCCTCCGCAAGTGGGGGAGGAGGAGGAGCAGACAGCCGTCTCCTCGACAGACACGATTATCACAAGCGTTCTCGCAGAGGAGCGCTCCGTACCCTCCTCGGCTCTCCCTTGACACGTATATTGGCAGCGATCTCGAGGTGTACACTCCGACCGGAGATGGGAATGGCATTCAGTTACGAGAATTGAATGCCGATGGCTCAAGGAAGGCCGGCGAGGATGATCTACATCCATTAGTGCACGCCCCAAGTAGGCCTGAAAACGTGTATTTTTATCCAAAACAATAGTTATGAGTTATGATCAAAATGATACCATGCGAGCTAAGACTCGTTCTACGAATGGAAAGTTACGAAATAAAAGTTGTTTCCAACCTGTTGCCTTTGTTTGTCCGGGTGGACGATGGTGAAATGAGAGAAGATGGTGAGGACAAAAAAGAGGTTGATAGAAACTATGACGGATGAACATGGGTGGTAGCTGCAGCGACTCTCCAATGACTGGATAACACCACCTCAGGAGGGGCATTGTGAGGCAAGCCAGTACTACATGTACAACACAGGCAAACAGCTGAAGGCTTTCAGCAGGCCCATTCCAATGATGATAGGATTATCCAAAACCCCACAAGAACCGGGGAAAGTTTACTGAGGCTATCTAACCATAGTAAGGTTTCATCTAACAAACACCATATGGAAAGGTGCAAACTTTTCTTGTGGTTAATTGGACTGCGATTCTGTCACGATGGAGAGCCCTCTCCTCCCTTACGGTGCTCATCGGCAAATGTTAGCGCCAGGATGAAGTACAGTATGACCACTGTCGTGGTATGAGCGCTGCTGACTAAGAAATCCAATGCCGCGCACGGGCATCTTGCCAGGTCCATCAACGTTCAACCTCTTTCAACCTTCACATCCTGAATCCATTTAGGCGACAAACAAACGCGGCGAAACAGGTTGTTCAATCAGCCAACTCATAATCACTCATCTGATACATCCTGAAGGAAGCGACGAGTAATTCTGGTGGTACGGGAGACTTTTGCAGTACCACGACATCAATTGGTTGTGTCTGAAGTGAACCCACCGCGCGGCTAGATCCACTTCACAGCTTGCGACAAAGCTGCCTCAGTCACAGCACCATAGGCGCAGTATGTGCTAGTACAAACTCATCTCTTTCAGGAGTTTAAGCTTCTTAGACGTGGTGTTTTCATTGGGTTACCAGAACATACGCGCCTTGGGTCGCGGCTGCCCGTAGCGGCCGCCAACCCCAACCTCTTCTCACTCTCTCTCATATCGCGCCTTGCGCCTTGACGAACTTCACGATGACCGACCTCACAGAATTCGCGATTGTCAACATCTGCCGTAGTGATGGACAAGACACTGGTCCAGGCTATTGGCCAGTACAGAATGATGCAGCCGCAAAATCAGCGAAGAAGGCAGCTCCTCTGGATAAGATCCCGAGGGCGAAGCCTCAAATGGTCCGGCTGGCTGAAGACGACCCGAGATTTCAGGAATGGCGCGTCAAGCTGGGCATTCTGTTGAAACAGGAATTGAATCCTACAGGTGAAGAAGCCCGTTACGTCGAGAATGTGCTTTGTTTCTAACCCCTCGACAGAAGGTCTGCCATGGCTCCTCAACTTCCCGCGAGGATACTGGCTTTACGAGAAGTCTAAGCATCTCTGGGTCTCTGGATATCCCGTGAAGTCTAAGCTTTACAAAAGTCCTCAAGAGTTTGGACTCCACCTGTTATGGCTTCTTTCCAGCTCAATGGATCGTATGGACTGCCGTTGTATTCATTGCAACATTCGGGAAACACCAAACATCGAAGAACTGACGCTTACGGATATCCCACGGGCTCTACCGGGGCCGGCAAACGCGCAACCGCCGTCCAAGATGCGCAAGATAACACCACAGCTGCCGTTGAGTCGAACTGCATCTCCAACCCCTGCTATTGCAACACCGCCTACAGCCACGAAGAAGGAGACGCCTGTGCCCATACCGATGCCAGCAGCCAAGAAAGAAACCCCAGTACCGGTGCCAACGATTCCTCCTCGCGCGGCTGCAACAACTCTTCCAGCCCAAACTCCGGCGCCAGCCCCCGCCCAAACACAAGCACTGGTTCAGCCCCTGCAACAGCCTCATGCACCACAACCTCAAGTACAACAGCTCCATGTACAGCAATCTCAGATTCAACAGACTCAATTGCAGCAACCCCAAATGCACCAGCCTCAGAAACAGCAGACTCACGTACAGCAGCCTCAGGGGCAGCAACCTCACATTCAGCAGCCTCACGGACAGCAGCCTCATGTGCAGCAACCTCCTGTGCAGCAATCCCCCGTGCAGCAAGTACCATTACAACCAACCCAGGCTTCTCCTGTACAAGCACAGGCCCGGCCTCAACCTCCAGCCCAGACTGCTGTCCAACCTCGAGTTCAAACGCCAGTACATCAAGCTCAGCAGGGTGTTACCCAGGCTCCTTATCAACAGACGCAATTCCCTCCCTACCCTCCGCCATTCCTTGGGGTACAGCCGGCCCCGCTGTTCCGCGTTGGAGAGATGGTGTGGTTCCAGATGTCTTCCGGTTGGCGTCTAGGTATCGTGGCAGCTGCCGGGATTGTCAACCCCAAGACTAACAAACCTGAGACTCTGCAAATACTACCTATATCTCATTACTTGTTCAATCAGGCTCCAGTCCACCTGCTCGAAGCCTCAGCGCGCCCATTCCTCGCTTTCTCCGTCCCCAATGTGGGCATTCCTGACCTACAGGGTAAGCCATACGATGAAGTTCCGTGGGACTCGTTCCTCAGCACTCTATCTGCCGACGACACACATCGTCGCGAAGTCATTCTCCTTGACTCATCAAAAATGGCCGCTCAAAAAGTCGGCCAATCCTACTCTCTCTTTACGTGCGTCTCTAAAACCGAAGACGGCAAGAAGACCGATTACAACGGCATCTTCCTCGGCGCAGAACGCATCGAGCTCGGTGACGTCTTACGAATACGCGTCTCCGCCGACCAGGGCCTCCCTGAGCCAGCGACGAGCCTCTCGGACGCCATCCTCGGCCTCCGCGAGATCTGCACCGCCGTTGACATGCCTGGCGCGGTCTTCTTCAAGGGCGACATCTATCAGCCCATCACTGGAGATGCCATGCCCGTCGGCGGCGTCCCCGTGCCCGAGGACAAGCTCCCGCGCCCGCTCCGTGAGGAGAGTGCCTTTCGCAATAAGTTCGCTCCCACCGAGCGCTGGCGCTGTGTCCTTCTTAGGCACAATGCTGTACTCCGTGAAGGCGATCTCAAGGGCCGGTTCTACCCGACCCATAAGCTTCTTCCGCTGCTTGATGGCCAGGCAAAGGTGTCGGTCGAGGTGCAAAAGGGTATCATCCGCGACGCGCAGCAGCGGCTTAACCAACGCATTGATACATTCAAAACGGGGTACATTGGCCGGAAGAACTCACGCGCTGAGACGATTGGTCCGGCGTTGCCGCCCGGTAGTGTTATCCAATTCGGACCCGAGGTGCGGGAGGAGGAGGCCTAGAAGGCGTCGTCCATCCTGCCCTCCTTAAGACCAAAAGGTCCGTTTGCCTCTGGGGACGTTGATCATCGAGATTGGATGAGAAGGCCTACGACACCTTCTTTCCGTTTCCCGTGAGACCACGGAGGTTCTTTTCTGGATGGCGCCGAGACATTCAGCAGACTAGGCTGCGGCCAGAGCGACACGTTATTGGAGGGTAACTGGTAAAGGGGGGTTTTCTGTGAGAATATACTTGGAATTGTCCATTGGAGGCCCGGAGATGAGTAAATGGCCTGTACAGCAGAATCTCACATAGTCAGCCCTCGGCTTCACCGAGAGCAACCATAGCATATTGCAGTCAGTTTTTTCCACAAGCCCTGCTGATACCACATACACCGATCTCGACGTTATTTACCCCCTTCCAGGATCTACCGCAATGTTCTTCATCAGGTACAACTCATTTTACGGCTCTCGGGGAAGATCACAATTCCTTGCGCGACCCAATGATCATTGCAGAGCAAGCAAGCCACACATTGCACACCACGCTCCTTCCTATCCAATCGAGACGGTAGAACCCAGACTCTCGGGATTTCCTTCGTCAGCACATGCTACTTGTAATGCAACCCAGTGGAAGAGACCAGGAAAGAAAAGAAAAGAAAAGAAAAAGATAAGTGTGCACCCCCGTCCTTTGCCTATCATTCGTCAGGCGCAGTAAATGAAACCAACCACCATGTGCCTTCTTTTGTTCGGCCCCTTTTCTAGAAGGGTCAGATTAGGGGGGGGGGGGGGGGGGGGGGCAAACACACCCCAAACCAAGCCAGCCAACCAACTAACCGACCATTCGACCAACCGGCCAAGGAAAAGACCCAAGAAGATGGAAAAAAAAGGGGGAAGGACGCAAAATCGAAACGCGACTTGACCCAAGGATATGGACACGGGGGGAATAAACAAAAATAATAACAATGGTAATAAAACCCTAAATAGAGAAAAAAGGAAAAAGAAAAGCCGAGTCAAACAAGCGAACAAACAAGAAAGAAGGAAAAAAAAAAAAAAAAGATGTTAGATCAGATCAGATCTGATCCTGCAAAAATGTGGCAAAGGTTCCTTATTCCTTGTGTTACCATGTTTTCCCTCTCTCTCACACACTCTCTCACTCTCTCTTCCACACGCCCCCTTTATTCCCTTTGCCGCGCGAACGCCACCACGCACACACACCCCTCCCTCCCTTTATTCCAAAGATTTTTTTTTTTCTCTTGTCACCCATTGCCCAGGCTCATGGGCAGATTTCCCAGGGTTACGGTTCTACACATTTACTAGCCGGGGGGCGTGGGCTCTATTTTTTTTTTTTTCCTCCTTCGGGGTTCAGACGTTGTACATAGACTTTGATTTCTTTTCTTTTCTCTTCTCACCTTCCTGTCACGGCATCTTTGTTCGTGTCGTAGAATGACTTGACAAGTTACGTTACACGAGGCGAGGTGACATCGTTAGATGACGATTCAGTCGAAAATAAGGTCAGATGACGGAACGGCCTGGCTAGTGTGAAAACCAGACATGGCCCGATGGCACATCACGGACATATCTCACAAAGTTCCCAAAAAAGGGAAGAGAAAGCCTATCCTCGGGTATAGAGTTTTAGATGATTCGTGAGAGATGGGAAGAATGTCATGATGAAAGAGAAGAATAATCCACTTTCTGTACGGCTAAATCGGCCACTCCCAAGTTGGACCCGCGTTGCCGGTTCTGTCTGCCCGCCCATTACTGCTCTGTTCTTGCTGCAATGAAACTCCCATCTTCGACACAACGCCTCTCAACTCCTTCTCCGTTTCAATTCAACTGCCGCATTCTCCGATTCCGTCCCATCTTCCGCAATTATGGCCTGATCCACCCCCTCCTCCCAGTTCAGGTGCGTCAGGGAACGTCTCCTCTCTTCTTTTGGTTACAGTGTGGACTAGGTGTATATGCAGCAAATAGAGGTCATTACTCGGTCAGTAAATGGTACTTTCGGTGGCCAAAGCGCTTGGGTCGTAATCGCATTGTACTTGAAAGCTTCATGTTCTTCGTTGCCCCTCTGGTCGGTTGGCCGTTGCAGAGAGACCGTTGTGGCGGCGAATGAGAAATATCTGTGTGGTGTTGATGATGGTGATGCAGATGATGAATAGTCGTATGGTTTCGTAGTGTTGCAATATGAAATGAATGATGAATGCATGTTCGACGGAAAAGATTCGGATGAAAACGTGCGCCCTGGGGGAATTTGAAGATGAATAGAAAAATGTCGCATACTCGCTCCCCGCACCAAATCAACTCAGACATCCTTCGTCCCACCATGCCCGGACGCCTTCAGTCGAATTCAATCAAGTCGGACCGTGTAAACAGCAGGCTGCCGTACTACTTGAGCTTCAGGCTCTCGATTTTGGCCTGTATGCTCTTAAGAATTTCCGGGTCTGGTTCTGGCTCGACCTTGCGTGGCTTCAGGCGAGGGCAATTGGCATCCTTCTTATGTCCACACTTCTTGCACTCGGTACCATCCGCTGCGCCACCAGGATATATCGTCTTGCACTTGTAGCACTCGTGATGCGGCACAGCATTGGGTCCAAATTCATCGCCAGGGTATCCAAACGGATACTTGTCCTTCTTAGGCCTGATGTACGGTTAGCAGTTAGAGATAGTAGAGCGTAGTATGTAACGTACGGGTCTCTGGGACAGTCTGTGCAACGGTTGTGGTTGCACTTGGGGCACGACTTGCTGCCAGCAACAAAGAGGGTCTGGCACTCGTGGCAGGTTCTGCGGACTCTCTGTCTGGGCTTCTTGTAAATGAGATCCTGTCCTCCGGTCTTGCTAGGTCGCTTCAAGACAATATCCTTTGCATCCTTGGGGTCAAAGGAGTAGTCAGGAACAATAGGAGCATTCTCCTTCTGTGCCTTGAGAATGGCAGCCCTCTTCTCGCGACTGGCAATGCGCTCCGCCTCGGTTCGCTTGGGCGGATGACGGACGCACTTGGTGCAACGGACGTGCTGGCAGCTGGGGCACTCCTTTGCGGCGGCGAAGGTAGCGTTGCACTTGTGGCAGGTTCGGTGAACACGCATTCGGATGGGCTTCTCGACACGAAGAGCGGTACCCTCAGTAGAGATCCAGTCGCTCTGCTTGAGTTCAAGGCCGAATCTCTCGCCCAACTTTCTGGCGCGCTCTTCGAAAAGCTCGGAGCGGGGCACTTTGACAACGCCCTCGAGATCCTCATACTTGCTCTTGGTAGGCTCCTTGGGGGTTTCCTTGGGGGCAGGGGCCTGCTCGGCAGCGGCGGCCTGAGTCTGACTATATGCGTGTTAGACCAGTTAAAATGGATAAATGCAGTGCCGTCAAGCTAGACAAAATGTTGACGAAATGCAACGACTAAAAGAAAGCCTAGGCTTACCCAGAGGTTGTAGCCTGTCCGGAAGTCTGCTGTCCGGTGGGGTTCAAAGTCGAAGCGCGCTTGGAGGCGTTGCTGCTGCTGCTACTGCCTTTGAAAACAGTCTTTGCCCTAGATAGGATCTTTCCCAGCCCTCCCTTCTTCTCCTTAGGGACCGAAGGCCCAGATTGCGCTGGTGAACTCATAATTGCCGTGGCCTGTTGCGAAAGACAGGTTCAGGAACGTGGAATCTTTAGCCAATTACAGATTTCCCTAGATTCGAGTCAGGGTGAGCAGTGATATTGAATAGTTGGCGGTGCGAGGCCGAGAAGCGAGGTTGAAAATGCTGGGAAGCGCTCGGTGGTGTTGGTGGTGGTGGTTCGTGCAGGCGTGAATGGATCGGCGGCCGAGGGCGAGTTGGATGTCGATCGTCGGTTGTTGCGAGCAACACAGTGTCGACGTCGAGTATTGTTGGATGAAACAGAAGTCTCCGCAAGACGTGGTCTTTCTTCTGAGTCCCGTTGCCTGGTGCTGAGGAACGGGTAGAAGAAGAGATCGAATCGCGAACACCTATGTTTGGTTGTTCGGGATGTGTCGGGCAGATAAAGAGGGTGTGGTGTAAGAAGGGGAGGATGAGGAAGAAGAGGACGGGACGGGGAGGAGGTGGTTGAAGTTCAGTGTGGAAAAAGTGGGAAAACAACCAAGACCAAGACCAAGGTACCTTGCACCATACGGTACCAAGGTCGTGGTGGGAAGGGAAAGGCAGGTGCCAGTGGCAGGCCCTCGGGTTGCAGCTTCTGCGCCACGGCGCGGCCAAACCAACCCAATCCAATGCAAACCGCCAATGCCAGCTTCTTTTACAGGGCCGGTCGTCAGTCCCAGTCCCAACTTGCAGCAGCGGTGCAGCAGGCTGGTGCAGCACACAAGGGCAGCAAAAAAGGACCAGACCGGCCAAACCAAACGTGGACTCCAGTGCAGTGGTAACACTGAAAACCCACCTCGCTGGGAGAGTGGTGACTGGTCACAGCACGGAGGCCCCAGTGGCCCCCTCCAGTTGCTCCTCTCAGATGGGCCCATGTTGGATACATGACCCATAACAGAGCGGGGCCATTTCTTTGATGCTAAGATGTTATAGAGATACGTACCCTTCCCGAGGGAAGACTCCAGCGCGCCGCAGCAGACACCCAACATGATCAACCAGACAATCTCGCCAGCCAGCATTGAGCGTCAGCACAGGCGCTGCATTTGGGACTGGGGGGTGTGAGTGGGAGGATAGGAGTGGAGATGGGGGACAGGATTAGGGGAGGGGTGGTGAACCGGTGGGCGTGTGGATTGGCGCTGGCTCTGGTCTGGCTTTAGCATATTAACTGGCATTGGCACTAGCACATTCGCTGTTGTCAACCTGCGCTGCAATGGGGAGTGGTACATCTGGGTGTCTGGGTACTGGGACTCTGGACTCTTGGGAAAGAAAGGCCCAGAGAAGCGGGGGAGCCTGGTGCCTTCCAATTGGGAAGGTTGTCCGAGCTTCTCTGAATTCTGTCAGTGTGGGTCCAGAAAGCGGGGTCCGTACAAGGACCCAAACCCTGGTAGCCCAGCCGACCCTGGCCAGAGGCACAACTGTGGGAAGATGTGTGGGTCGCTAGGCCTGGGGATTCGCACGGAGCTGCTCTGGAATACGTCTGGCGCTAATCCCTTCTGGGATCTTCCCTGTCTGCCTCTTGCAAGTTAGTATAGCGTTCCTGGTCTGACATCCGTGATACACGTCTTAGCTAAGACCTTCGGCCCTTAGGCGTGCAGCAGTCCAGACAGCGGCAAAGAAGGCGAAACTCGGAGAGACAGAGAGACAGTGAGACGGGGATAACGCATTCCTCATGAACCTCGTCTAGACTCTCAAGAACCGAGACCGGGAGACGACACCCCATCCCTCGTCCCGAACGGATAATCGCCCTCATCTTGCAACCCGACCCCTAACGCTAACAAGCTAGCCAAAGGACGGGCTTGAAGGGAGAAGAGAAGAAGGGCGGTAAGCGAGCAGCTAGCCCAAGGTAGCGCAGCCTCCATGCTCAGGTCTCCGTACCGACCACGGCTTTAGCACGAGGTAAAGGTTACGCAGTACGCCGTAGAGCCCTTTGCAAATAGACGGCTGATGCAAAAGTACCCTACCAAGCCTTCTACGCAGTCCCTTTCCTTTGGTGGCCCCCCTCCGGCTTGTCTTCAAGACGTAATTAAAACACGACCGACAATCCCAACTCTCAGGTCTGCTTTGCGGCCGACCGACCGACACCCCCCAGCATATTCCAATCAGCTACTCGAACATTGTGTGGTGTCTCACACTGGCGTTAAGATGGGAAGGGGGGAGAGACGAGACGGGGGGCGATGTTGTTGAAGAACCAAATGCTCGGAACTAAACGTCTCACGGCTCGTCAATTGGCGGGATTGAAAGCGACGTAATTACATGTTTTACGAGTGGGAATTTTGTGAACGGCTGAAAGACTGTGCTTTCCGCCTCGACAGCCGTGGCCCACGGCCCCCCCGGGTATCTAGATACCAGACCGGTCCCGAAATGGCTTAGCGGACGGGCCTCCCTTCCCTTCTTTAACTTCCCGCACCGGGTACGGAGCCCACAAGGAGCGAGCACAAACTCACACTACTGCAAGAGAAGACAGAACCAGATGCAGAGGACGCTTCCCCGGCGGTCAGTACCCATCCTGTTCCTTTCAGGGCACATGATGGAATGGAGTCTGGTGCGATGCAGTAGCATTGAAAAGGGATATGGATCGTCGAGACAAGAGATGGTCAGAAGGGGTAATCAGCAGAGATCCACCACCTCCCACCACATGCTTCATCTCAAGCTGGCGAGGCTTTGCAACCACAGAATCTACCAACATGGCAAACATGGTCATAATCATGACCCAAGGAGGCATGTCTTGGATTCCAAATTGTCGGAGGGCCATGGGATTGGGCGCCATAGGACGGATTAGTACGGGTTCCCACCTCCTTGGAATCAAGCAGCCCTCAACACCAGGCCATTGGAAAGACATGTGAGGCCTAGTGTCCTGATGAGAAACACTTACATGCTTTATCAGTAGAGTGCGGCCCGAATCGACGTCAGGGACAAGTAGACGACGATTCCTATTCATTTCGCCCCAGGCACGGATATAGCTTCTCACCCCATGCCTCCTCATCTACCACAGAAATTCATCCTGTGAGTCCACCGATGCCTGCCATAATCAAAACACCACATGATCCCACTAGCATCGCCGGGCTCGTCGGAGGGAGACGAGCCCGTGTCTCCGTCCTGACGATGCCGCTGGCTGCAGCGACTGCAGCACCAAGTCCTGCAAAGTCAGGGTGGAACATGAATCCAATAGGACGAAGAGGTTGCACACATACAGATGAAAGCATCCCCGACTTTTCTTGTGTTCCAGGTCTCGTTCCTTGCTTGTCGTTGTAGGTTGGTCCCATTTTGTGCACCTAAATAGACCTCCTAGTCTTATTCCCGAGCGCTGGCCGACACAATCCCAGCATTTATCCCCAACCCCCGATGAAAGGAGAATGGGTAAAGTATCCGTGAAGTAAAACAAAATACATAAAACGAGCAAGACGCCGACATGCACACGCCGTAGACAGGCATAGTTTACGCATACGTGCGTGATGCAAACCTGTTCGTTCGGTTGGGGGCACCAGAGAAATAGTTTACCGCTCCTCCACCGTATGTACGCACGTGTCAGTCAATTTAGCAGGGAAGTTATTGAGTACTTCGCAAACAAACAGGCGTCGCATCAGGAAGTGTTTTTGTTGTTTCTTTTTTGAAATAATCTCTCTTCCCAGCCTTCTCTACCTTACATAGCAGCGCATTAGCAAGTACCCTTACTGCCTGGCAGACGGATAGAAACTAGGTACAGACATGTGTTTATTTCGCAAGTCCACACCCCCTGCCATGCCTTCAATTCATACCCCTGTATCCCTGTGTTTCCAGCTCTTCGGTTGCTGGCAATTCACTACGTATCTAGTCCAGTTTTTATGCGTTGGGGTCCCCAGTTGTCACCATGGGCGGTTGCCATTGGTGCTCTAGACGAGGGGGATTGAGTCGACGGGGGTCCCAGAAACGGGAGCTGGGATTTTACGTGATGTGTTTTTTTTTTTTCTGTTGCGCCCCTAGGGCGGAGACTGACTTCGTTCACAGTGCACAGTGAGGTCCAGGCACCGCGGAGACGAACAGGAGTCACAGCCCAAGCACCCACGCCCCCAGGGGCGAGCTCCCTCTCCAGCACAAGCACCACATAAAATAGAGGACCAGCACAACCCACGGTGCCACGATACCACTGTGACGGCGCCTTAGCCTGTGCCAGATTACCTAAGAAGCCGTCCCAAATATCCGTACCTCCCCCACTTACCATACAACGGAAGGGATACCTTGCCTCGGAAACAATACTCATGTCCACTTTCAACTTGCCTCTGGAAGGACCGATCTGAATAGTCTCCCTTTGTTCCTTCCGCCAGACCAGACCCGTTCTAGTTCCACTGCCAGCACCAACAACAGGAGAAACAGCGTGTCCAACCCGGCGTCGTTGGTGAATCAAAACAGGGACCTGGGGTGTGGGCAGCCCCTGGTAAAGCACACCGCGGAGCCAGGCTGAACTATGAAATCGTTTCCAGCCCTTTACAACTACTCAAAGAGATTTAGGCGTCTCCCCAAGTAAAATAGGCTCTCCACTTTCATCTTACGGCCGCATCTCTCCCAGCCGACCGGTCACGACGATTCTTTTTATTGTTGCTTTTTTATTTTATTTTTTATTCTCGAAACACTTTGCTCCAATCACTGACAAACAAACTTACTCCCATCGAATGATCGGATCACGGCAGATGTAATACTATACAACGACCGAACCAGCCCTCTGGAAAGTCTAACAGACGCAACCAGCAGGATAACGAGATTGGGTTGATCAACCAACGCACGAAGCGTAGCGATCAGACAGACACACGGCGCTGCTGAAAGAGTCTCAACCTCCACCACGTTCAAACTAGCCAATGTGCGACCGTAGCTCCTAGGCTTTAGTGTGCTGCTGTCACCACTGCACCAGCGGATACCCCAGTACGCCGCAAGTTATGGTAAAGATATACAATAGGTTGCCCGCCACTGATGGGTCGTACTCGACAGGGCAAATGAACAAGGGGACCCTTCCGCCGTGGGGACCTAAAACGTTCTACGCCATGCTTTCTTATTGTCATGCAAACGTTGGGTGAGGTACACATACGTCGTGTCGACTCACCATTGTGTCACTAGCGAGCAAATCAGACGGTTAACGTCAAAATAAATGTCGTCGTCGACGTCAACCCCTTCATCAATGCGTGCGTCCCCAAACGTATTAGGTGGGCGCACACATCTACGCTGTCAACGTCGCAATAGCCCTAGCTTCCTCGACAGCCAAAGCCCAAGCTTGCGTGCAAGGGATAGTATCACATTGAACGAACAGCTAGGCTCTCTGCACAATGCCGTCTGGCTACAGCACAGTCATTTAGAATCATGCCACCTAACAGCTGCATCGTAGCGCCGGGACACCACAAGCTGCATACCAGCAACGCCCATTTACGGCCGCCAGTGTTGAACTGGTTTGGAGTGTAGACAGATACTGCTGGTGCACCTTCCGCCTCCCTTCATTCTAATGCCCTGCCTCGCTGGCAGGAGCCTCGCTTGGAGCCGTGGCTGAATAGGCCACCAACGATTGACGGAACCCTCGCGCCACGTTTCCCGATTTACTTTGCCTCAACGCGCGAGCCGAAGACGGCCTTTTCTCCCAACCGCCTTGTCGGGTTCTCTGTGTGGAATGGTTGCCTCATCTAAGAACTAATTTAGCTTCGTGTCTTCTAGATCTTATCCATAAGCCCCCTAGTCCAGACCCAGCCATAGTCCTCAGAGGCATGAACGGCTCATCTTTTGCTTGTGTGTTCCCATTCGGCCGACGACTAACTTTTGAGGACGAGCAGCAAACTCGACTCAACCGAAACAAAGCCGAGTCACCCCTGGGGTGAATACACAGTGTAGAGACGTCTTTCGATGTATACATAGATGGACACAATTTGGAAGCCGGAACGATATCGCGAAGCGACAAGCTGCATACCGACCGGCTGCAACTCCTTTGTATGACAGATGAGAGATGACACATCCTGAGGGAGAAATTACCGCTTGAACAATCGCACCCAATCAAACATATCGCCATAGCTGCAGCCAAGCTACGAATACCGTTTAAACGACACTACAGAGCCCCCTCTCGAGAGCGTTCCTGGAGAAACACACAGGTATTCTCGTCGTCAGTTGCGTCAACCAGCCTCCGAAGCATGATTTGTAGCAGCAACGTGGATTAGTTCTGGCCAACGAGCAGCAAACGTTGGACCAACCGCATAACAGCTGCATATGACCCGCCATCGGCCAGGGTTGACGATCACGGCGATGGAACCCCAAAACGCCAGCTGGCCAGTCGGGTTGAAAGACTCTTCAGCAATCCTGTTGATGCTAACACTAGGGGCTGAGGAAGATGACCTTTAACCTGCCCCCAAGTGTGTCGTCCCATGTGCTTGAAAGTTTTTGCCAGCCCCGCACGAATGCCACGATGTCGATGTAACTGGACCCAATTCCAGCTCC